GTCTCCTAGAGAGTAGTATAAACTACTTTATAATATACTTATATCTATAGGTTTTACTCGCACTTAGTTAGATCATTCTATCTTTATTAGGTATAGTAAGGCCCCCTTATACGTTATAATTTATATCGACGATCTACTAGTTATATCCCCGTTAGATTAAGAGATTAAGGACTTTAAAATCGCTATTTCGAGATATTTTAACACTTCCGATAAAGGAGTCCTTAAAAGATATCTTATAATTAACGTATACTATAGAAAAGATAAAGATAATAATAGCTTTATCTATCTTTCTTAGAAAGACTATATTAATAAGATTCTTACCCGCTTTAGTCTTAAAAATTATAAACTAGTCGCTACCCTAATAGATAAAAAAATACCCTTTATTATTTTTAACGGTGTTACGTTAAAAATTGAAATTAAGGAGTTTTAGACAAAAATTAGGACCCTAATCTAGCTAATGGTCTCTACGAGACTAGATATTACTTTCGTCATTATTAGGCTTGCGAAATATACTAAAAACCTAGGTACTAGCTATTTTAAGGCGTTAAAACGAGTTTTTCGCTATCTTACTAGCACTAAGTATCTTATAATTTGCTTTTATCTGTTTAAGAAATATAACTCTATCAATCATTATACTAGAATTAGAGACTATCTTCTTTTCGGTTTCTATAATACGGACTAGGTAGGTCTATATAGCGAAAAGGGTCTCTTAATATCTAGTTTTATATTTAAAATAGCGGGTGGAGCTATCTTATAGACTTCTAAAAAGCAAGCTTATATAGCATTATCTACTACTAAGTCTAAATATATTGCAGAGGCTCTTACTACGTAGGAAGCTATCTAGCTGATTCAGTTATTAATAGAGATCGGCATTTCGGGACTTTTTTAGAAGCCTATTCCTATTTATATAGATAATAATAGTGCTATTACACTAGCTTCTAACCCTAAATTTCATACCGCTACGAAACATATTGCTATTAGATACTATCGACTTCGTGAGGAAGTTACTACAGGAACTGTGAACTTCATTAAGATTCCTACCGCTAAGATGGCTGCTGATAGACTGACGAAACCCCTTAGGAAGATCATGTTTAAAAGGTTTGTTACGCAGCTAGGATTGACTATCTGCAACTGATTGAACGTTGATTTTCATGCTGAAAATGGGGGGTTTAACTGAATACTGGTTTTTCAAAATGGAGAGAGATAGAAAGGATCAGACAGTTTACGACTATAGCACTAGTCGTGGGGGGTGTTGCGAAGACACGTGACCTCCTAGCACTTTAGTCTAGTCTAGCTAGCTTTCCTTCTTCTTCCTTTTCTCTCAGCACGCACAATACAAGATTTTCCAGTCCACTCCTTCTTATGAGTAGTCGTATAGGATCATCTCTCCATCAACTTCCTAGAATTGCCATTGGTTGAGGGACAATGGTCTGGGATAGGTTGATGGTTGGTACATGTGCATTCCTGGCTCGTTGGAGGCAATAGGCTGCCTCTCAAGGTCAGAGAAGTGGGACCAGTAACTCTTGAAGACTTTGTTCTTTTTGAAATCTTAATCAAATTTCTATTTCCCCGTTACCGTTCACAGTGAAGACCGTTTTGTCTTGATGTTGCATCAAGAGAGAAACATTGTGAACTCTTAGTCAGAGATAGAGTCAAAAAAGCTAAATAGCCAAAGATACGATTGGATATGTCAATTCTGACATTTTCAATGCCTTTTAAAAGCTGGCCAATGATACTTTTCTTTGATCTACATCAAGATCAATCAATCAACTGGCCCCATTTGTCGAATATAGCTCTTCGGGAATGTAGGGATAGAAACGGGGGGTTGCGGTAGCTATCGTTGATAAAGCGCAAGTGTGACTAGGAGGTGGTGGTATAGAGATCATCGCCTGTTGCTCCTAGCATTACTTACTGTATTGCATTGCGTTTTTATTCTATTAGATGAGATTGATATAGATATATTATCAGATGCGATGTGTACCCTGCCAGCGTCTAGAGAAAGATCCATGAACCAACAGACCCGCGTAACAAAGAGCAGAAGCACCACTTGGCGCAAGCCGGTGATTCGCAAAGTTAATAAAAACCCGTTATCGGAGGTGGTAATCCACGAAGTATGTTACATCCGGGGTATAGATCAATTTAGCCCGTTGTCCAAACGGCCTCGATGGATCCTTTAAGGTTCGGATCGGGTGTCTACGAAGCAAAATAAATCCAGTACTTTGCTAGTTAGGGCTACAAAGTCAACTTATACTCTATACATGCGGCTCAGGCTCTGTTATTGGATGGGAGGGGAGAAATGCCAGCGCCGAGCGTGGAAAACGGCCGCGCTGCAAGGCCGGCTGTTGTGAGACCCAGGAAAACACATACGGTTATTTGGCTATTCTCATTTTGACCCCGTACATTTGTGATATAGTTCATTCTGTGATCCGAGTGTCGCAACAGCCATTATTGTGCGACCATGCTACATCTTGCTCCACCTCGTACAGCCGTCGGAGGCAGTGCGGTTCCCGAGTATATGAGCGAGAATCAACTCCTATTTGGATATTTAGAGGCATGTATACAGTACTGTTTGCTCCACGTATGCGTTGGAGCTTACGCTGATTGGAGTATTTCGATGGAGTTTTGCTTTTGGTCGCGCATGGGCCGTTGATCGACTTCCCTAGTTCCCGTTCAAATGTCTCTCTTGGCTCTGTTTGTAGACCATTCTGTAGGTCATCTGCCCGCTGTCGGACGTATCATAGTTTCCGGTTGGGCTTTGAATCCATGCTGATCTGAGAAGTCACTGATCTCACAACACGAGGCTCCAGTGCATACTGCAAACACGGCTGTTCGGCCGTTCCGGTCCTATTAGAAACCCTATATCATACATAGAGCTTGTGTACTCTTTCTGGGTCGTTATGATGATAGAGATACCCTCTTCAGTATCAACGCAGTTATAAAGAACTCGATCGTCTAGATGTGCACCAAACAAATGTTATTTGTTCGGGGTAAATCAAGACTGTTACCATACACGAGCATGCCCCCGCCCATCTTCATCCATGGGGGACTAGATCTAAATTGTCATTAGCTCTAATTAGGCTGACAAGCTGCGGCCTGAGCCCACTCCTCTCGATCTCTTTCCTTTATGTTTTTCTTTTTCTGTTTTCAAATGGCCCCTCATTGCCTTCTCCGGAGGATTATCGCCCGACTTACTAAATGTCGGCACAAAAACAAGAAATGCCATTGAGCCTAGATGACTAGAACAATCTTAGTATCAGGTGGCTGGCTTTTGACCTAATCTCATTATTACATTATTTTCTATAATCCCTAATTCGTACTTAACCCGATATAATCCGACCGTGCATCTCGGTTGCTTTCCTTCAGATGACCTTGAGCTCCTTTATACTAGGCTAAGCTGGTGAAGAGCGTCCACACTTCTGGGTATCATTACTTCTCTCGTCTCATTTATATGGGACTGAGCATCTGTGAGCTCTATCATGGAGTCATTCTCCATTTCCCAGTCTTGTTTCTTTCGTCTATAAAATTGGAGTCGGGCAGATTTTAAGACCCCCCGAGTTACACAATTTACAGTCCAGACAAAATGGACAAAACAATAGCTCTTTTTCAAAGCCTATCACGGTGTCTAGACTCTCTTATTGCTGTGACAATCTTTGCCCGTAGTCTGAATAGGAAGTAGGCCATTCAGGAATGTCTACAGAGATGTATTCGGGCTTTTATACACTCTCTCCATAGTCCATATTCAGGTTCTTGGTCTTTGAGGATCAGCATCAAAACATCAGAATCCGGATATAGAAATACAAGGACAATACCAATACCTCAGATGTGATTGACCCCGTGATTGGTTCCAATGAGGACAATGTCTGAGAATCACTTAGGAATCTCAAAAATCCAAAGGCTTTGTACGCTTTTGTGCTACGGTTGCACCTTGTTTTTTTAATTTGATTTATGAAAATCTTCTTCCTCTGTTTCCTGACCCTTCCTGCATACCCCTCGACACTCTTGTTGCCCAAAAGACGCAGGGTCCTTTTCCGTATTGCTTAACCCATATCGAGGATTCAATCGCTGTATCACCCCGGAAAATCGTCCCTTTTGGATTACCTTGGATCACCGCAAGCCAAAAGAGAGAAAAAGCATCATTTTCGTGAGCTTAGGCTGCAGCCGAGTTGCACCCTTCAGCTTGTTTGTCTCCTGTCGACCCTGTTAGTATATTGGCGCCGTACCCGCGATAGCCAGAAGGTCACAAAAAGATCCTCGTTCCCTCCGACTTCAAATTGGATCCTTTAGATTGTGGACAATATCCGATCATCCTATCACCCGGGGAGAAAAGTACTAATTTCTAACGTCCTTCCAACATTACCTCCTGGAATTGCGTGTGTTTATATTTTGCTTGTTTCGGTTGATTCCATGACAGACAATTTGCTTTAGCCTCTCCAGAGCACAGGGCATCTTCAACCTGCAGGAATTAGGGCCGTTTTTTGTTTGATTCGGCGCCACTTGCTTAGCAGCAGACTGTGAGTCTTCATTGTTTTCTGCTCGTGACCAATCACGAGACGATTGTTTTCCTTTTTTCGGTTTTTCCTTTGCCCCTTGCTCTTTGTGCTAAACTTGAGTTCTCCCCGATAGAAAATCGAAAGAAGAACAATAATCTTGATTTGTGCAAGCTTATCCCAATCTGCTCCCAGTTGATGTCCTTTGGGGTATGCAGAACGCCTGAATACTCAGGCTGCAACCCTCACCGCCTCGAGTCCTTTCCCCTCTCAAACCCAAGTTCATCCGAGATCCTACCTAAAAAGCCCCAAGCTCCTGACAACTTGACCTAATCCGATCTACCTCAAAGGTCCAAGAGTCCTGCATGAGCACCTTCCGCTTTCTTGCGCCACTTTTGAGTCCATCTCTGCCCGCCAGGATATCTTGCGCGTTCACTTGACGCGCCATCTTGCGACGGGCGACCGTCCGACCTTCGACCCGCTATGTATGGCACATCTCATTCCTTATCCACAATGAATGGAATGGATGCCATAGATGGCTCGGGAACTATTGATCCCGCGAACTTGAGCAACTCCGGTATGTGTCTCAACGCATCTCTTGCTTCCTCGGCCTGGCGTCTTTGTTGTCACTTGATTATCTCTCTATTTTACCCTCACCTATCGCAAATTGCTTTTCGCGCGTGTACTGCTCTGCGTGGATGAGGCCATCCAATGGAACCCCATATCTTATTGTGTATTTCTTCCCCGTCGCTGCTTTCAAACTGATACCCCTCCTAGTCTCTGTTGCCCTACCAGCACATTCCCATGCAATAGCAAGCCCCCGTGGTATCAAGCGTAGTCGCACTCCAGAACACGGTGGGAATGGACATGCCGAAGGGGATCAGGATGATGGTACGTGCGCAGCGGGGAGCCATTGTCAACATGTTCATTCCAGAACCATTCCATATTCCCAGCAGCGCCTATACACCTTACCTAGTTACAATCTCTATACTTCCCGAGCTGGATGCTAACATTGTTATGTTGGGTTTCTAGAGGAACAAAGTCGTCGGAAACGCGGTCGTCCCCCAAAGACGCCTCGGGCCAGTTCCAGTGAACAGCCGCTCGCAAATACCCCCATTCAAACCCCTCAAATGCAAGCACGCCCCCTACCTCAAGCAACCGCCGGGTCGCCGCCTCTTGCATCACCGGATAACAAAAGCACCCCGACAAAAACGCTAGTCAAAGCGCTCCCTACTGTGAGGGATCACACTTCGGACCAATTAAATGAAGAGGGTGATGAGTATATCCCCAAGGAGTTTGATGAAGCAGGAGAGACCAAGGCAGATCCTATGGGATACCCGCAGGGTGGTCGTGAATATAAATGTCGGACATTCCGCGTTCCCCTCCGGGGTACCAAGCTTTTCATGCTTGCGACTGAATGTGCGAGGGTATTGAACTATCGTGATTCGTATCTTTTGTTCAACAAGAACCGATCTTTGCATAAAATCATTGCTTCCCAAATTGAGAAGGACGATCTTATTCAACAAGATATCCTGCCCTATTCCTATCGATCTCGCCAAATCGCTATCGTCTCTGCTAGATCCATGTTCCGACAGTTTGGGAGCCGGGTGATCGTGAATGGCCGTCGAGTTCGAGATGACTACTGGGAGAGCAAGGCAAGGAAGCAAGGCTTCACAGAGGATGACCTAGCGGGTGAAAAGCGTCCTGGGGCAGCAAAGGCCCGAGATGGTTCTATCTCTGAGCCGGCGACGAACTTGTTGCCAGCATTGCCTCATAACGATGTTGTTTACAGTAGTACCATCGAGCCGTTGCCTCATGGGCTCTCGCTGGATACCGGTGACACATCTGCTTCCCTGGCACCACTCCCCATGATTCACATGGCGACCACAGATGACCCACGGCTGCGGGATTATACCGCGATGCCTCGTGCGCGCCAAGAAATGACGGGACAACCCTACCATGACCGCACACAAACCAGTTCAGCAGCCGACCTCATCAATCAGGCCCAGCATACTTCTGATTTCAACAAAATGTTGAGCATTCAACGTAACTTCCGCCAGAAAGGTCTGGATGAATTCTACTCCAAGCCTCGTGAGGCCCCAGTTTCAGAGGATCAGTCCAGTACCACTCTTGACTCGGGTTTGTCTGTTTCACAGCCTGTTCAGGTATCACAGATTGCTCCTGTGGGTATGCCAAATCCTGCTCATCATACGCAGCATATGCTGCCCCAGCAAGTTCCGATGCAGCCTAATCAAATGATGGCGGCGCAACCAAACTATGCTCAACAGGTTCATGCACAGTCCGTCGGACAGTCTCCCCTGAGAGTCCCGCCAAACATGCAGCCCAATCTTATGCAGCAGCGATCCAACCCATCCATGGCTGGTGGTGGTATGGGTCAGGCCTCTCCATACGGGTATCCGTCGCAACAGCAGCAAATTTGGGGGCGCCGCCGCCGCAGCCACAGCCTTCCCCGTTGCCTTCATCGGGCCACCAGGGCGTTAGTATGTCTCAATATGCTCAACAGATGTCCGCACCTCCGCAACAAAGTCCATCCCCGCTTGGTCACCATCCCCAGCAGCAGCAGCAGCAACATCACCACCAGTCTCCTCGCAATCAACAGCGCCAGTCAATACCTCAAATGCCTCAGCAGTTCTCTCAGATGCAGCACCCCCAAGCCGCCCAGCCTCAAGGTATGCAGGGCATGGGATATCCAGGAGGCACCCCGGCGGGTTATCCGGGCATGCAACGGGCTATGTATCCACCCAACCAGGCACCAGTTGGCCAAGGCTTCATGGGAGGCAACCCTCAACAAGGGGGGCTTGCGATGAATATGGGAGGCGGTGGTATGCCTGGGTGGCCTGCAGGGCCTGGCGGACAAATGCAACCGGGACAACCTCAATCCGGCCAGTCTGGCAGCCCATTGGGAGGTGGATGGTCCTACTAGATCACGGCGGTCGGCGTTATCTAAATTGGTGATTTTTTAACCGGCTTTTACACCATCATCTAAGGCGTGATTATTGTCTTCACTTTCTCCACGTGCTTTTTCTCGTGCCTGAATCCTTCTTTTTTCTTTTAGTGGAGTTCCAGCTTTCCTCTGCATTCTTCACTGCATCCCATGGTGAAGGATCTTTGGTTAATGTTAATCTGGGCCAACCTTCCTATACCCTTTGTTGAGTTATTCTTGGTCAAGGTACCTGTTTCCTGTTTCTTACTCTTCCTTCCTTCTTCCTCTTCTTCTCCTCTATGCTTGCCTTTATCGGCGTTGCTTTCTATTTATGCTCGGCGTTTATATTGTTTCCCATTTGGACAGTGTTACAAGATTATGAGATGTACGTTTTTTTTTCTTATTCTCCAATATATGGTCGATAGATGAGCCGCTGTGGAATCAGCAATCTAGCTTGCTTATTCCTTGACCAGGATGTCTGATAGTCTGAGTTTGTGGTATTTGTTTGTTCGCAGCTCCTTCGAGCTGTGTGTCTTTTTGGTGTCTATTTCGCTTCCTTTTTGGCGCTTGTGTATCAATTATCTTAACAGTTTGTCACCTGTCTCCCTCTTTTTCCAAGCTGATTTCGATCATGGTATCCAGTTTGCATCCCTTTTGGCCTTGGATATCATTCTATTCCCTTTTCTCTGGTCCGATTATTGCTATGTGCGAGGTACATTGATCTTGGCTGTGTGTTATTAACATCTGGTGTTCCATCTCGTTGTCTATTTCTCGAGTTTGAGATTGATTGCGATGCATGTTGCTTCGTATCTCGTTTCATTGTATGTAGAAGGACGGCTGATGGCGTTGTTCCACGCTCATTTCGTTAATGATACCTGCTATGGGAACGATTTACATCCACCCACTCCAGTGCACTAGGATAAAATTGGTGCAAAAAAAATCAAAACAGACGTCCCCGGGAAGGCTTGAACTTCCAACCTCCTGATTAACAGTCAGACGCGCTAACCAATTGCGCCACGGAGACTTGCTTGTGACAAAATCGACGGTGGTTGTAATTATATCCTGCCTGATACAGAGAGTATGTAGTCAAAAATGCAAAAAGAGACGTCCCCGGGAAGGCTCGAACTTCCAACCTCCTGATTAACAGTCAGACGCGCTAGCCAATTGCGCCACGGAGACGTGCTTGTTGAAGAAGCTTGAGTTTTTGTGTACTATAAGCCAAATAAGACTTTTTATATCAAAGTCCAGTTCATACACAACATAGTACCAGAAAGTTCTATCACACGGGTGTCTTTAATGCCAACAATATATATTCTATAGATAGTCCTTTTATACAACCAGATTCTTCATCTAGGTTGGCTATATAAAGTCAGAGAAAAAAAGAGAGATAATGAGGGGATGAAAAGGCCATGGATTTTCCAATATATATCCACAACCTTGGAACTACCGTGGTGTTACATGATCTGCCAAAATCCCAACACAGCTGACTAAAAAAAACAGACCGCACATAAATACAATCAAGATAAACAATAGCATAGAGACAAAGCAACGTCCACGTGGAACCGGAATATCCCCCGTGGCAGCAAGGCGAAAGAAATTCTGTCGTGGTGGCCACAGAAGTCTATAATCCGCCAATGCAGCCTTAGGTGCATAGCCCCCACACTCTCCGAGAAAACCTACATACCAATGACAAGCATGCTGGCCAGTATAAGCACTCAAACCCTACAACGAGAAGATATCGGCCAATCGAATGCATCACCACCTAAACCCCACCCCGAGAGAGCGAGAATATACTGCTCCGAACTTCCCGAGATCTACGATCAAATACATACCCCCGATCACCGGACAAGCTGCTCCCATACAGGAAAACTACCCAACCGGAAGAGAACTGTCCATCCCAGCCCCCAGCCAGACCCGCGATAGCACGTCCCGCACATCCTCGCCGTAGGCTGCGACGTAATCCAACCGACATGCCCAAACACCCAGACAACCTCCAAATAAACACCACGAAAAAAAGTAAGCTGATCCCGAGATTACTCCACGCTAGAATCAGAGCAGGGTGAGTCACCTCAATGGAAAATGGATGCCGAGTAAACACAATAAGCCCACACAAATTTACGAGCATGCCAACCAAAACTCACCTGATCGATGGTATACAAAACCTGCATTCAATGGACAGCAACAACACAGATTACCTATACATACTCCGCATACTCCAGGGCTTTTCATCTTCCGCTCATCCCGAGATATCAGCCGATCACCCAGAATAAACCAAGAAAGTGCCCACCAAAATTCAAGCACACCACACACTAAACTGAACAAACCAGAGTAGATTATTCCCCCTAAAACTCAAGCCTTCTCGGCATCAGTCAGTATACATACAGCAGGATCATAAATAGCAATTATCCACGCATGTACTAACCTTGCCGGTCTGCCCCCTGCCTGCAATACCCGGCAACACCAGAGGTCATCCACTCCTACCGTTTTAACAGCACCCAGTCCTAACGAGAGAATCGAAAACCACACTTGAAGTACAACCTAAACCGAAGAATCATACACCGAAAGAAGAAGAAGAAGAAGAAGAAGAAGAAGAAGAAGAAGAAGAAGAAGGAGAACACAAAATATAGGACAAAGAAGGGTAACTTGAAATGTTCATTTTCTATACAGATTAGATAGAGTTCGATGTCTTGAGTTTAATTCGACAACAGCAACCCTAACGAATTCCGGTCAATTAATTAAGAAAATGAAAATGTAAGATCAACAACCATACTTTACATAGCACTGCATAAAAAGCGACCTACCACGCTGTTGTCAAAATGATAGAAATGATCATGGTATAGTATAGTATATATTGCGTGATCAAAAAACAAAAAGAAACGTCCCCGGGAAGGCTCGAACTTCCAACCTCCTGATTAACAGTCAGACGCGCTAACCAATTGCGCCACGGAGACGTATTTGTTGAAGAGGGATGGGCATTTTCAATATACAAGGTCATCGACCTTTCTTCTAAAGCGCCACACTCGTTTCCTGCCTCACAAGGGTACTCTGCACACATTATCTACACAGTGGTGGAAGCCCCACTTCATAGCAAACCCATTTAGCAAATAATAAACAGCAAATACATTCTTCATGTAAGGATAAATAATACTTGCATATGCCATGAGTGGAAACCAAAATGACCAGATCAAGAAGTAAGCAAACCACAGGCGAGAGAGTATACATGCAGTCTCTACGTTTCAAACTTGACATTTGAAAGACAGGACCAGACTCTACGCTACGAAGAGAGAGAGAGACTGGAAATCCTGTATTCGTCTGCAGAAGAGAAGAAGGGAAGGAAACTATCTAGGAGAAGGAGCTCCTTATAGCACGGCGAGGAAGGAGGAGTCACCCGACTCCAAACAACATTCTATCCTTTTGAGCCAGATAACTGTTAAGATAGCCTGGGGCTTCAGGCTACTACCCAGGTTGCTTGCCTATATAGCTTCCAGATAGTCTCTCCCTTCGTCGATATGGCACTGGTTTCTCCTCCATCCGCACGTCTCATCAACATGGGCCAGTGTGGCTGGAAGACAAGTAAATCTAGGCCCCGGGGTTCCTTTCTCTCTCTTTTTTCTCGTGATACTATTTGATTACCTGTATATCTTGTTATAGATCCTCCCCATATCTCAACCCATAGCCAAAAGCCAGATGGGGACTTCCATGGCGCCGATGAAATGGAGACTATGATTATAATGGCCTGGCTTACCTAGATAGTCACTTCACAGCCTAAAAGCCCTATAATATTCCAAAACAGAGATTTTCCCATGGATTTTCATTGAAGTTGCATGTTTTATATAAGAGGCATCTGCAAAGAATGGCCCGAAACATCTCAAAGCTTCTATCGACCACGCATGGCTTTTTGTTTCTTTGTTTTATTATGCGAGTTTCCAAGCTGCATTGGTAACTTCACAACATATGTCATACAACCTATCTGAATATGTACATACTGATAACCTTGGCAGGTGGAGGAATGATCTCCACTTGAAAGCCTCCACCCATAAATTTAATCCACCGAATTTCGCCACAACAAGTCTCCGTGGCGCAATTGGCTAGCGCGTCTGACTGTTAATCAGGAGGTTGGAAGTTCGAGCCTTCCCGGGGACGTTCTTTTTGCTCCTTTGTTATTTTGTCATACATGACTTATGGATACATAGGATTGTGATTCTTTTTTCATATTTGGTGGTTGCTCCTTTATTGCACAAGCAGTGTACTATCAAACTTACACGGAGTACCGACCATGCTAATAGAATAGCATGGGTGTGAATGAAACTAGATTAGGATTATGGCCATAAGGTTGGTGCATCTGAGTATCTTGCGAGCTGTTGCATGGCCCGACTTCTAAGGATTTGATTTGCAGACTTCATATACATAGGTCTCTATGTCCGCTGACTCATTGGGACAATGAAAGTGACAATATTACTAACTAGTTTTAACTCCATAAAGCCAAGAAAGTTGATATCAATTGGATCTTGACTCGCGAAGGATATACGGACGACCGGATTGCCTACGACACGTGAGTGATATCTATCCCAAATAGAAGGATTCATGCTTATCGTCAATGTAATGCTGTGCCCAAATAGAGGTGGAAGAATCTCCGCAGAGATCAGTTGAAGCTACAATACTAGGTATTGGCAACGTTGCATTAAGGGAACATGAAGCACAGCTCACAGACTATGCGAATTTCTTACATTAACCCCCCCAGGATGATATCCCGATACCAGGGTCCACCGTTAAAGGAAATGATCTAAGTTGTTACAGTACTATGTACGGTCCTAGCTATAACCATGGTTGCCCTGGCATATTCATCATCGTCGAGCCGTCAGCTGGTCTCTCCAATGCGTTGAAGTTTGATCCAAATTGTTGACCTTGCTGGTTGGACGAAGTCAATATTCCAAATAAGCCTGTCACGAGAGAATGATCGGCTATATATAGCTTAGTTAGACCAGGTAAGAGAGAAAGCTCAACCGGAAACCCACACTCGAATAAACTCATATTATCTGGTAGTAGTGGCCCTTCGTCTAGGGGTTGATCAGTAACTTTGACAGAATTTTTCAGCAAAGCATTTGTTTGATAATTGTATTGTAAGTTGCCGGGGATATCTTGGTTGAAAGAGAGGTTGGGTTTATGACCATCACCACCGGCCTTTGCGAGGAAAAAACCAACTATTTCGGCGGCTTTGGTTATTCGTCAAAGTCCGTGTCGTTCAAATTTTGCGACTCTGCTTTGTCCCAATATTGGTACAAGCTTGATGGGCTTTGGTGCGTTCTTCGTGTTTGTAAGCTTTCTTTGGTGATCACAGCTTCAATTTTTGTTGCTGATATGTTTCAATTTAGACACCCACCCTCTTTTACAAGCACGGAGAGCAGCTCCGTACAAAAGGACCAGCGCGTAGACTGAATTAACTTGATGGATTCCAACCGATGTATTTGCCTTTGTTTGGGAGACAAGAAGGATAATATCATTGAATATTTACTTGGAGACTGCGTCCAGGAACAAATGCAAGTTCCTGATGGACCAATTAACTAGAATGGATTGAATAATCAAGTTAGATCCGAGACTCGCAATGTCATCCTATGCAACCTGAAGTCTAGGGCCTGTTCCCAATTAGAAGAATACAGAGGTCCTATAAAGGGTCAAAGTACAAGCGCAAGATCGAAAGAAACGACTGATCAGCAAGTGACCCAAAGATGTCACCTGAGAATATGGGTGTATATTTGATCCTCCCATTAAACCAATCAACTCACGTTGAATGAGACTACATCGCGTGCTCAACACGATAAAAACACCAAGCTTAATTCCTAATAGCTGTTCTGTCGCTGCAAAGCTGCTGCGGTCATCATGCAATTGATATTGTACAAAAAAGCTACGATGTGTGCCGTCCTCTAAAAAGAACTCTTTTTTGACGTGGAAACACTGCCTGAAGGCCAAAGAAGCTCAACTATGCACCTTTAGTCGACGAGTACGAACTGAAAGTTTGAGGACCAACAGAGAAATGGACAAATAACCGAGTTTAGAGACAGGGAGTGGAGCACATATAAAACATCTCTACTGGATATAAACATATTCACATTATCAAGTCTATCAGATGAACCGACTCGGCCAAACATGCCGTCACATAGGAGACAGTAACATAACACACATGAGACTTTTCCGTCAGTCACGCTACTGGAGAGGTGGCCTGATACCTCTTGGCGAAGAGTGGTAAAAGATCATGTTGTCAGATATCTAGGGCCGTGAGAGATTTTTAACACTAGTTGGGTTTGCCTTTATTGTACAAGGAGTATACCACGGAATTTCCACCGACCATGTGAATCGCATTCCGATATTAAGCATGAATATGGATATCTGCCACCTGCAACCAATATTGCAAGTATGGGTATAGGGTTGGTGCATCTAAGTACCTCGCGAGCTCCGGCATGGCCTGACTTCCTAGGATTAGTTACATACTTTATATATATATATGTTTATTCTTTTGCGGGACGAAAATTGTAATATTACTGACTACTCTTAAACTCACAAGGTCAGGAAATTTGATCTGAGTGTCCTCGAGACTATTCACCAATTTAACCAACTCAAGCTCTAAATGAGCTAGCTCAATAGCCGGTCACCAAAGCTGTTGTAACAGGTACTACACCAAAAGGACACACGCAAGCTGAGACCGATGTAACTGGCGGCATTGTACAATGTGGACTGACCGTCCAAGACACAGATGTAGCTGGCACCTTGTCCTGGAGTTTCTCTGCCTTAACCAACACCGGAATAACAGCCCCAGTACTCAGTGTGAAGGTCCGATGCCCAAGAACCCTCAGGATGGATTTGATTTCCCCCGAATGGGAGGTAACAGATACAAAAGCTTCCTTCTTACCGGATGAAGTAAAGAAAACCTGTCCCAACGCCTTTGCACTCCTGGCATCCTGCGCCTCACTGGATTCGGCCGTCACACCGTTCCAAAGTTCATCTTCTTCGCTGAACCCATCTTCGATAGGCCAGTCCGGAAACAGGGAGTGGATGTAGCTGCGGTTGCGGCGGTGGTCGCAGGTGTGGATACCGATTGCCTCGCGGAAAAGTTCCTTGATGGTCGGCCTAAAAGGCGCGCTGTCCTTTGGCAGGGCTAGGCCCGTGAATGTTAGGTTGGCAGTTTGTAGCGTGCGTGTCAGTGGGCTAACATAGTAGCGATCTGGTGTATGGATTCGTTGGTCGATTATCTGCTTTTGCCAGAACTTGTTTGCTTCCAGGGCTTGGGCGGCGCCGGTGGTGGTGAGAGTAGCATCCATCCAGGTTGCTGTGCTATTGCCATTCAATTCGGCCCAGTAGCACTGGTTTGGGGATTAGATTGAGACGGTTGCCGGGCAGTAGAAGGTAGGCTCACATTCCAGGCAGGTGTTCCATAGTACGTCTCGGCACTATTGTGCCACCCCTCCCCATGTCGGCCAAGGAATAGAACTTTGTACTCGACGTTTTTGGGGGCATCTTCATTCAACTTGGTCACTTGATGATAGAAACGCTCCCATTGTGTGTGGGATTCATGTCTCTTGAGCTTATGGTCCGCGGGATATGTGTGGCTGATCAGGCCAAAGTTCTCCGCTGTCTGAATATGTTAATGGGCTGTATTTACGATACTTTGAATTGAAGTATGGCATCCGCAATTCACTCACGTAGTCGAATTTGGAAGCATCGGTCGACTCCTCATCCTGCAGAAAATAGCCCGTGACGGTAGAGTAATTGATTGTTGAAGCCTGAACAACGGTCAGGCCCACAAGAATCGAGCCAAAGATGGAGAATTTCATTGTGAAAACGAAACGCGGAGATACGCGATTTCAATTCTCAAATCTTAATAATGATTGTCTAGAGATCGACAATGATCCCTTTATATCCCGCACCCCGGAAGGCATATGGAAAGACCTCACACGTGGCAATCAAGGTTACAGTAGTGCGCTTTTCTTTTGCCGTGACGACACCACTTTCCACTGCAATACCCAGGCTAAAAGGGTCTGTATCTAGCCAGGTATGTAACGTTGAAACTAAACCCACCAATTAGACGCTCGAGGTATGTTGATCGTTATTTTATTCTCGGAAATTGAGGGAAAATGTAGAATTTGCCCCTTTTTCATTGAGAGATATGAGACCTCGCGAGGTTAAGTATAGATACGTACGATGTATATATAGTGTGGTTAATGCAAAGGCGAAAAAATAACAAAATGCTGCCAAAGTGATATGCAAACCCAAATCCAAATCCCATTCACAAATCCCGATTCCACAGGATCAAAAGATGTCAAAAGATAAACGACGAAAAAGGTAATCCAAGAAGGTAAAGGGTCTCGAGTTCCTGTGGAGCTCGGCAGAAATTAAAAGGTCGTATCAGACACCAAATGACAACAATCCCAGGCCAATAAACAACATGCAAGGAATGCTCCGAATATGTAAAACCCCGGTGAGTACACCCCAAATAAAGAGACACGAAAGAGAAAATAGTATATAGCAGACATAAAGTGACAGTGGTTCTCCGCGCACGGAGGAATGGACAAGCCACCCCTTTCCCCAGAGGTGGGAAAGAGGAGGGAAACAAAAGGCGAAGCTGAATTTTCTGAGTAGTGAACTCATCCCAGACCGAAAATACCCAAAGTTGTCGCGCATTTCTCATACAACCATAGCGAGGGAAAGATCAATGGATCTTCCTTCAGGAAGGGTAGTTACTTGGCGTCGTATTGTTTGTGAACGTATAGGCCTTCGGCTTCTGCATCGATGATAAGTGATGACCACCATAACGGCTATCGTTCTCTGAGTATTCGGGGATCATGAAACCAGCCCGCTTTCTCTCCGCGAGTTCGACAGAGCCTGGCATATCGGTATCTTCAATAGAGTAGATCAAAGTTGGTGAGCCCGAGACCGGATCCATACCGAAGGCTTGTCCGGCGTGGTCGGTGGTCGCATCATAACCCATGGGTGAGACGGTGCTCGAATGCGGCACCTGGAGACCAACCGGGTACTCTGGTGAGGAGATGGAAGCGGTGTCGGCCCAGCTGCGGGCTGTCATGGGCATTGAGTCACATGCGACATATTCAGGGAAAGAGGAGACCTGAGCTGGTGCCGACATGGGCGGGGCCACATTCTGGTAAGGGAAGGGGGAGTAGATATCCAGCGGCGTGGTAGGAGGCGATGCGATATTGACCTGCATGGGTTGGGAAGTGGGGAAGAAGTGCGCTGCAGAATGCGCAGACAAGCAGTAATTGCTGTCCGTAGGGGAGGCAGGCATAAAGTGTCCGAGATCTTGCGGGGTCAAGGGAGTCGGAGGGGCAAGGGTACTGGTAGATACCGAGGGCCGCAGCATCTTCTCAGCCTTCTTGATAGACCCTGTTTCCGCGAATGTGAAGTTAAGAGGAGACCGCTGAGCAGCCGATGCTTTTCTCACACCTGCATAGCGAGAGTTGAGGCTTTGAGTCGATTTCGATTGTCTCATTGAGCTACCTGCACCGGGATTGGGCATGCGAGCGGTAGGCGAAAGTGAGGACATTGAGGTCGAGTTAGCTAAAGGACGAGACCCCGAGGTGCCAATGGCCGCTGGCCGCGGGCGCTTGCGGCGTGCGGCAAGATCAAGCTCCTTGCCAGATTCCTTCCAGGAATTCCCTTCCACTCGATCGAGAGACTGAGACAGCCCAGATTGACCCGGTGTACAGATCCCGATGCCCTCCAGAGATGTTGTTAGCGCATCAGACGACTCGCGGCGAGAAAGTGAGATATCGGGCGCCTGCATGGACATCGGATATTGCATATTGCTGTAAACAACATTATCCTGCTGTACCTCTCTGTCTTCGGACCACTCTTCCCTGTGAGGGGGCAGGTGGCTGGGATATATGTCCATGTTTTGTTGCATAGAGTGGGAGCTCGGCATCTCAGCCATTGGCTGGTGGCAAGCAGGATATGGGATTTGCTCAGCAGTGCTATATCCGACATTCTCATCTTGCTCGCTAGAACCCCACGGAGCTGGTTCTTCTTTGACATCAGACCAACCCGGAAAGGAAGAGTTGATGTTGGCGAGGTTTCCGTGTTCATTGGCTGGAATAGCCGTCTTTGGTGGTGGCATTGAGCTAGGGGACAGTACCTCTTCGTCGTCCTCTTCTGGAACAGCCTCGTTCTTGTTACGGGGGTTGATCCGGCGACCGAATCGATCTCGAGCGGCGCAAGCAGCATTGAGTGCCCTTTGGAGAGATGCAAAAGTTGCTTCTCGCGCCGACTCGCTCTTTGTTTTATGGTGTTTGGAACGGCTGGAAGTAGAATCTGTCTTGACATGGCCGCTGGATGCGGAGGTAGGTGTTTGCTTGGGGGTAGCGGACTTGTCCGATTCCTCCTTGACGATCGACCCTTTCCGAGATCCAGATATTTGATCCAAGGTCTCTGATTTTCGGCGAGCAGCTTCTTCGGCTTCAGCCTTGGCCTTGGTCATCTTTTCAAATTCCTCCTGGCGTTTCTGCTGCTTGGCCTTCGCACGGCGGTTCTGAAACCAATTCTGGACAATTTGTTAGCTACCTGAGCAAACAACAGGACCATAATATCTTTTCGTACGTACCGCAACGCGAGGAAGGCTCAGGTTTGTCTGAGCGGCCAATTGACGCTTAACATTGCTGCTTGGTTTTGGATGAGCTTGGAATTGAGCCTCCAGGGTCTCAACTTGTTCTTTGGTCAACCGTGGTCGCGAGAGGTTTTCTGTGTACTCATCGTAGTCCATAATCGGTTGGTGATAGTAATCAATCATTTCCATTGGCGGGTGAGGGTACATATAGCCGTCAATGGGGTGCATCATCGGAGGTGGGACCATGGCCGGGTCATATGCCATGTGCTGGTCCATCGGGATTCCCTGGTGACCCTGGTAATTCCATGAGGGGTGAATATAACTCATGGTGGCCTGAAGAGTAAAGCAGGCAGGTATAGGAGGGAGGAAGGCGAGGAAGGACTGAGATGGGGTGGGGAGGGGGAGGGGAGACGAGATCGGAGTTGCTGCAGAGAAAATGGCAGCTAGGAGGGATGAGGTCTATATCATGAGGTAAATTCGGGATGATTAACCTATGGCGACGAAGACAGGGACTTTGATTGTAGATGTAAAGAGTGACAGTAGCGGGCAGTCGGTGGTTCAAGAAAAAGAAATGTGCAAGTGGTAGCGTGTGGTGATGGTTGGTGTTAAGGAGAGACTCGGGAGTTAGGAACCCAAAAGATTGTGCATGGAAAAAGAAACCAAAGAAAAAGCAAAGAATAAGCCCAAGGAACGTAAAGGAAAGACTGTGTGGGAAAAGGAAAGGATGAAGAGAGAGGAAGATGGAGTTTGGAGGCGCTGGGGGGAAGATCGGGGGTGACGGGTGGTAAAGCGCGGTACAGTGGTCCCGAACAGTATGGTATGATTGGGTGATGGGTGAGTATGGTCCGGTAACGGCTGGTAATCGGATGAAACAGCTTTGAACTTTGGGAAGGTCTGTGCCTGTACGAAGTACTGGGTACATAAGACTTATGTACTACGAGTACGGGATATCTGGGTCGCCGGTACCTATACTCCGATCGAGTACTATACCTAATTCTGTAGAAATACAATATATCCAGCCTTGGAAGATTTGCGTTTAACAAAAGCAATTCAGATCTGAGATCGTCTGCTCCCTACCCGTACAACTCCCCATTTAGAACACCAAAGCTGGCATATCCACACAAATTTGAAGGCTGCACAACCCCCCACCGTATCCTATCCTTTTTTAGTCCGTGGAGTCGCGCTACCGCCCGCTCGGTAGGGGGTGGCGGCCTGACTCTTGCATCAGCGTCACATTTTGATTTGATTTTAATAATCTTGATTTTATTCTTATCCTTGATTCATGGTCCTGGATTTTTTTTGGATTTTCAGGTTTATTCTTTCGAGATAGAGTTGGCCCAGAACATAATTCCGATCCCGCCTAGACTCTCCTCGTGAACCCATTCGAATACGGGCGTGTGACTTGAGAGAGGCAGAGGGGGAAAAAAAAGCTAAGGTTTCGGGGAGCCCCATCCAAGAGATTTGGATCTCTCATAAATCCTTATAAAAAACTGTCGGCGCCTCGAGGTATCTCCCTATGTTGTACTCCGTACTCCGTATGTTCATCTATGGCATTCCACATGTCTTATGTTGTATATAGATGGTCCAATATACTCTCAATGTCTATATGCATTGTAGGAAGTCGGAAAGCTCGTAGCTATAAATCATGTCCATGGATGCTCAAGTGGTATGCTATATAAGGTAGGTAGTACTCGTATGGAGTACTCCGTACTTTGTAGTACATACGGAGTACCTACCTACATACATAAAGCACTGGAGTAAACAAAGGTGATCCAAGGTTCAGAGTGTGGAGAGCCGAGTTTGACTCGGGTACCATGGATGCTTCCCGCGGTAATTTAACCCTGGACCATACCTGCCTATGTAGGTAGGTACCTACCTAACGTGTATAATACCACATTACAACCTTGGAACACTGTCGCAAGGCCTGAAGAGCGCTATCTGGTATTCCGCGGATTACACAAAAAAAACAAAAACCACAAACGCAAAAAATCCAGTTCCTGCATTAGCGTCATGTCTGATCCCAGGAGGTGGCCCATCATCCATCGCTGCAAAGAAAATCATGTCCACTCCTCCGTAGACTCCGCAGAAGCAATTTCCAGGATTAATTTGGAAAGAAACATCAGTGGATCTCCCGATTACATACGTAGTACCTAATTTTGCTTTGATATTGTGTAACGTACTCCGTAGTTTGTACTCTCGATACGGAGTATATCTTCCAACGACCTACCCAGGTATATTCAAGTCATGATATGGTACTGTTCTACACAGTACGAAGTAGATATCTGCTTTGGTATGGTGATCGGGCTTGCATGAGAAATCTGCTTTAGGTAACAGTCACAATTCCTTCCCAAACAATCATCCCGGTCAAGTATTCCCAAGTGTTCCCTCGTTATTCCGTTCTCCGTATAAAACGACTGGGGACCGATGCTCTGGGTCAGATAATCGGGCGCGGTGCCCGATCCAATACCACGGCTGTACTCCGTATGATTCGGAAATAAACACCATGATTGCTGCAAATACCTATAACAGACTATTGACTCCTGAAGCAATTGGATGTCAACTATCTGTTACCGTGTCTGACCAGGGCTCTCATTTCCGCTAGCACAAATCGATCCTAGTGTAGGCGCATGGCAGCAGTCAGCCAAGACGAACTAAACATCAATAGTCGACAGATCCCCCGTCGATCACTCAAGGATCTGCCGAGCCCTTTTCTCTTTCTTCTCATGTGGCGCTCCCTCTGGGCAAAATGTGGACGGAGACCCCTGTTATTCGGGGTTCTCCAGGCTCCAACCATATTCCAAGTGTGACACCATTTCGCCATTTCCCAGGGATCTGGTTGGGCCCAGTTTGATGAGCGCTAATTCCCTGGAAATAAGAGGCTCCATGCAAGCAAGTCACGAGGGTTGCAGTCCCAATCTAGTCCGCCCCCTTAACATGCGCATGCACATGCACACATTGATGATCACTTCCCGGGGATCCGGAGACCGCTGTCCTTGGCATTCTATTCTGCTCTTGTTTCCTTCTCTTTTCTTTGTTTCGACTTTGTTTCATCCCATGCTTTGACTGGAACGTTCCGGCAGTGAACGTTACAGACCTTTTGCACTGGCTTTTGAATACCCCAATTGATTAACGACAACATTTACGATTCTATTGGGCGACATAGCCTGGATTATGGAGTCGGGGGGTTTCCGAAACGCCTATTTTCCAGCCATAAGAGGATCGCGTCCTCCGTATGTTGTACGGCGTACGGAGTACTCCGTAGTGAGCTCAGACTCATATTTCGTTTATAATATTCCTCGGCGACACATGCATAGGATTATCCCAAGAGAGCAAGGAAAACGACGAGCCGGTCCAGCGGAACATCTGCTGTAGTTGTGATGTTCTCCATACGTTGTACTCCTGGGTACGGAGTACTCCGTACGGAGTACTTGGTAAGCCACAGCAATACCCCTCATCCCCAATTGATGATCTGCGCCATTTAGTGCTCTATTTGACAACAGAGTCCGACTGAAATAGCCGACACCCAGTGATTCAAGGTTGGTCATGTTCGATGAGCCAGTCATATAGAACGGGAGACATACAGTGGGGTGATTGCCCACAGGGATATGATTCTATTTCTCCACGGAGAAAAGATCCCCAACAAAGACCTCTGGTGAGACTGGTAACGCACTCAGTAGATCCTATGAGGGTACGGAGTACGGAGCCTTCCGTACACAACGTGGCTCTTAGCTTCTCTTCCCAAACTTTGTATCACGGTGTCCCATTTTTCGACAAAGCGAGATAGGGAATTGAGCTTGATAGTGACAAACTGATTCAAGCATCAGGTGCAATAGGGCGCGTATCGGTTTCCGCACATCACATCCGATCAGACTTCTGACTGTTTCAGGGCTTCCCCCCTTTCGGCAATTGTGCTAGCTTTCACCCTGGCACATCATGCCCCACCCCCACTAACATTATGGTGTCATCATCGAAGGTGGCTACGTTATACTCCGTACAGCGTGAACAGTATGCGAAAAAGGAGACTCAAGATTTGAGCAGCATAGTTATGGACCAGCTTGATATTCCTCCAGTCTGGCCGAGAATGCCCGATCTCTGATATTCTATACCCCTTCGAATGTTGTACATCTACAACGCACAACTTAGACCTTCCGTACGGCACCTTCGTACTTCGATTCCTTGGCCGTTACAGTAACGTTGCACAGATCTTAAGATCCAGATTTGCCATGACCCCTGGGTCGATCCGTAACTCACTTTTCGCACGGACCCCTGTGCTCCGTCCGACTATTGATTGGATCTGATGTGAACCGGTACGCTGGAAATCCCTATCTCAAATATTGGAATTTGCAAAACACACAGTCCTATGGAATGAGGGAAATTCCCCGGGGACTTTGAAACTGGATAGGTGTGTGATGGCTGATTGATTACCCCTCAGTCCTCAAAACTGAGGGGGTTGACAGACTTACCAACTGGAGACCCTCCGCGCGTCATTGACCCATTTCGCTTCGTGTGCATAGCTTCACAAGTGGCTTTCTGGACTCATCATTTTGTATTTTTCTGCATATTCGGGGTATTTCGGTGCCCGCGGAGTACTCCGTACGGAGTACGATATACGGAGTAAAAGCCAGGTGGATATCCTCTCGGGTTGTAGATACAAGAATGTGACAGATCCTCAAGGCTACCCCCTTGTGGCACCAAAATCCAGTGGCGGTGCAGAACTATATCGAGCGTCATGCATATAGCTACTCTGTACAGGTTTATTGGTCACATTCGTATGACCCTCCAACTCGCAGATCATGTGCGAAACTAGCCACAGACGAACGGTCTGTAAGATAATTGGACCCGTTCTTCTCCTTTGTTCGTGGTGTATCCCGATACTGTGGCCCAGATCGGAACTAAAGAATTAAAACCAAAACCAAAACCAAAGACAAAAGCCAGCTGATGTGATGAGATTGCATTTACCCCTCATCTTTCATCACATATTGACGTACGGAGTACTCCGTCCTCCGTATAACGCAATGCGTTCATGGACGAATAACTTCCTCCAGATTGGAGCAAAGGATCTCTTCCGTATTGCTTCTCATGGTCCAGCTGGATGTGATAGTCAGGAGCCTGCACTCGAGTAGCACATCTTTTTAGCCCGTGTGCAGGATGCAGCCTAGCCCCCTTGCATGTTGCTCTCACCGGCAATATGGTCTCCATCAACACCATTGGAGAGAGACTTTGCTCTTGCCCCGAGCTTCCCGAGTGAGATAGGATGTGTCCGATCTCAAAACTCACTGGGACGCCAATGAGACCCGCAAAGTGCAGTTGATTCTGCGTCGCTGTGAGGAAAACGATGCCCTCACAAGTGTGGCACTCCGGACGCAGCCAGCAGAACATTGTGTCTCTCAACAGGCTCAAACTTGAATCTTATTTGAGAACTGAAGTCATCTTCCTCGGGGATGTATTTCCGTGCTTACGGCTTGGTTTCAAATCCACACAGAAATCCACACAGGGCTCGACCATGCATGAACGGTAGTTGACGGCCCGCCCTATCGTGATGATTGGATCAGAAGTGAGCAGCGGGTACGGAGTACATCTGCATTCTGTAACGCACTGCCGAAGAAATCCGGCTTGGAGATGCAAGGATTGTGTAGCTGCATACTCCGTACGTACAAACGGCATCCGCCACATACACCATGGGGTCTACTCCGTACCCAGGGTCCAGTCACTTTGTCAACAGCTATACAGCTTCATCCTTGCAATGAGACTTGTCTGCTGTCACCCAACGAAGTCATGATGCGCACCCATACCGCCACCGATTCGTTCGTAAAGAGCTTGGGTGGATTCCATGCCTGCTTTGAGGTACTAACACATGGGTCTGATGTGGGCCCCAGGTACTCCGTATAGGTAGGTACTTCTCAACTTGCATCTTGCACCTTGCCTGGACGATTAGCTCCCGGGGAACTCCTTGAGAGACTGCGGAACTTTGTACTCCGTAAATATATGGAGTACGTATCTTTGTATTGTTTCAAAACATGCGGAACCTGGTGACCATTCAATTCAGCCTTGTTCACCAGGCCCAATAGGCATATTGATCAGGGGCATATACTGCGACAGCAAGGAAAGCCTGATCCAACTCCCATGTATACACGAGGTATCTTGTCAGCAACCTCAGCTGCAATTTTGATTGTGTTGGTAGATGTGAATGGTGATTATCACCGGTCTGGATGCTCCGTACCCTCTACAAGCTCGGCAAAATTTGGATTCGATGCCAACCCATACGATATCAAAGTATATGAATAAAGCCCAGGAAGTCTGAATATGTACTAATCCGCCCTCTATGTATGCGGTGCACTTTGATTCTGAAAGAGACTTTAAGACCCCTATGCTGTGCAACCCAACTCAGAAAGAACCCGTTACGCAGCTGCAGCGACTTGGCGAGACCAAGCCGGAGATACCCACCTATTGAAACGCATTCTTGATCTCAATCTGCACCCGACCATCAACAACATCCTTGACCGAAATGCTTCTCAAATCCTCCACAATCCAATCCGCGCCAGCCTCTTGGAGTTTCTCCAGTGAATGCGTTGTCGTCAGCGCAATTACCTTGAACCCAGCAGCCTTGCCAGCCTTGATACCTGACGGCGCATCTTCGAGCACAACAATAGAGGTTGACTCTTCAATGCCTAGCTGCTTCCGGCCTAGCAGATAGCAGCGCGGGTCCGGCTTGCCGAGCGGCACGTCCGCTGCTGTCACCAGGTTCTTGGGGCGTGGGAGGCCGATCACTTCCAGCCAGCCATCCACTAGAGGACGGGTTCCAGACGTCACAACACCCCATCGTGCGCCGGACTTCTCGAGGGCTGTGAGGAGGTCCCGGGCACCGGGGATTTCGATGGCGTCGGAGCCATATTGTTTAGGAATGCGACCTTCGATTTCGTTGACGTCTGTGGAGAAGGGATGTTATCAGAGGGTTTTGTTATTCTGGGGTGTTGAAAGCCGCATATTGATCTGGAAATATGGCTATGTCCAGCAAACTTACAGTCCCAGTTGGCCTTAGTCTGGTCGTATAGACCCATCACATCGATGCTGCGGCGGCCATGCGAGGTCGCGAGGATAGACTTAGGATCAACGCCTAGCTCAGCGCCAATTCTGAATGAGAACCAATCTTAGCGTATTTGCTCGCAGAATTGGAGTTGGGGTCAATTTATGACTCACTGGTGCCAGTGCTTCACAATTGCTGTTCAAGACCCGATGATTAATATTTATTCCAATGGATCATAAGTGGACTCGAATGGGCATTGCATACCATCAGTCGAGTCCACGATTGTGCCGTCAAAGTCAGAAAGAAGGCCATCGAATGTATGAACCTGCGCAGGGGCGGAGAATGATCCTGTTGCCGCGGACATGGTGGGGGACGTGAGATGCGGGGGGCGTTGATGCGCGGGATATATGTTTGGTAGATATGACGAAAAAGGGTTATCAGGAGAGCTTTCTCGACGTATCCTTGAAATATCAATGCGAAATATACAAAGATGTGAAAAAAAAGAAAGGATAGACGCTAGAGCTGGAGTGTCACCATATATATTTCTTGCTTGTGCATCTGGGCCCTCAGGTCGGGTATATACTCAATTAGGCAGTTTCCCGCAAGTTTAGTCATGAGAAAATCTCGGAGATCGGCTCAACTACTAGTCCGCTTATCGGCTGTGGGAAATCTTGGCACTCAACTTTTTCTAATCCCCATTGCAAACAGACTTTGAGAGTTTGCTGTGCACATTTTTGTGATTGACAAAGGCGTGCATTCAAAATGGTCACCAAGAGTGGTTTCGGTAAGACTACTATTCTCACCATTCGACTTTGAGGTCTTCGGGCGCAATTCTGACGGTCTACAGGCAAGACTTCCAAGCGGGTTCCCGTCCGCTTGAGGCACAAGATTGAAAAGTCTGCAGTTCAGAAGCAGAAGAAGGCAAAGAAGCTCGCAAAGAAGGTACGGCATACAGTTCTTTCTCGAAGGATTCTCATTCTGACAACTTATCTACAGAACCCCGAATGGCGGTCAAAGCTCAAGAAGGATCCTGGCATTCCCAATCTCTTCCCCAACAAGGACAAGCTTCTCCATGACATTGAAGAGCGCAAGCGCAAGAAGGTAGAAGAACAACAGCGCATTCGGGATGAGGCACGAGCCCGCAAAGCTGAAGGCTTGCCCGCCAAGCAAGGCGCCGAGGCTGTCGACATTGATGAGAACGATATGCTAGATGATGATATGGACATCGAGGGCAATGATTCGAACCCCATGGCCGCACTTCTTGCCTCAGCACGCGCTCGCGCCGTAGAATACGATGAGAACCAAAGCGATGACGACGAGATGGACGATGACGAGGATGAAGACGATGACGATGAGATGGAGGATGACGAGGAGGGAGGCGCAACGATTGACGATTCTGCCGCACCACTGGTCAATTCCAAGTCTTTCTCGAAGGAGAGCTCCCGCCGTCAATTCGACAAGGTCTTCAAGCAAGTTACCGATAGCGCTGATGTTGTGTTGTACGTGCTTGATGCCCGTGACCCCGAGGGAACCCGCTCTCGTGACATTGAGCGTGAGATCATGGCTGCCGATGGTGGCAATAAGCGATTGATTCTCATCCTGAACAAGATCGATCTGGTCCCGCCACCAGTGCTCAAGGCCTGGTTGATCCACCTGCGCCGCTCCTTCCCAACCCTTCCCCTTAAGGCCTCCAGCGGCACTGCCAACGCACACAGCTTTGACCACAAGCAGTTGACGGTCAAGGGTACTTCAGATACGCTTTTCCGTGCCCTCAAGTCATACGCTGGTTCCAAGCAGTTGAAGCGATCCATCTCGGTCGGTGTTATTGGCTACCCCAACGTTGGCAAGTCCTCTGTCATCAACGCACTTACCGCACGTTTGAACAAGGGCTCGAGCAATGCTTGCCCGACCGGTGCCGAAGCCGGCGTTACCACCAGCTTGCGCCAGGTCAAGCTGGACAACAAGCTCAAGTTGATCGACTCTCCTGGAATTGTCTTCCCCAGCGCCAGCGACAAGACTTCCAAGAAGAACAAGAAGCAAGAAGAGCAGGCGCGTCTGATTCTTCTCAATGCTGTCCCACCCAAGCAGATCGAAGATCCTATTCCCGCAGTCAATCTCTTGATGAAGCGCCTGTCCGCTTCAGAAAACCTCCTCAACAAGATGCTCGAGCTGTACGGTATCACAGCTCTCTTCCCTAGCAACGGCGACAAGACCACCGACTTCTTGGTTCAGGTTGCCCGCAAGCGCGGCCGTCTCGGAAAGCGTGGTGTTCCCAACATCGAGAGTGCTGCTATGACTGTAATCACCGATTGGAGAGATGGTCGTATTCAAGGTTGGGCCAATGCGCCTGTGCTGCCCGTTGTCTCAGCGGATGCTCCTGCAGGCAATGCTGAGCCTGGCGTTGATACCACACAGGTTGTCACCCAATGGGCTAAGGAGTTCAGCATTGAGGGCCTCTGGGGCAATGGACAGGGTGATGACGAGGAGATGGCCGAGTAAGGGCCACTCCTCTTGCTCGCGTTATGAACTCATTATCTCATTTGATTATAACTTTCTGGATACCAAAAAGTGGGCGTTATATGTTGGCATTCCATCGTTCCCTAGATTTGATCTCAATTTCAGTGGTGTAAAAGCATCAGTAAACTGTCTTTCTCCGAACAACCCTGCTAGAAGTGTATTTCTACATATCCAATCGTAAAATGGTCAAAGTCAAACAAAGGGACAAAACTGATGCCGAAATAGGCCAAAGTACATATGTAGACATCACCGCCAAGCCCCCACATCCAGAAATCGAACGCGTTGGCGCGTCCTCCTTGCAACTCTCGAACATTGTCTCATCTCCGAAACCCATGACTACAGCTCAAACCTGACAGAAGTTTCAAGGGAATCCAGAGAAATATATCAAACAATCCAATTCTATCTCACAGGGGGGCTACATATTATTAACCCCCCGATCTCTCGAACGCGCTACCACCTATCCGATCGCCACGCTTCGACTCTACCAAAATGCCACCTCGCAAATCTACATCCTCGGTGACACCCGCTGATCCAGATGAATCCATAATCCAGCACTCACCCGCAGCACCGCAGGCTGAAAAGCCCATCTTTGCGACAGAGCAGCAGTTAAAGGCTCGAGCTGAGGCGGGCACTAGTGTCGAGGTAAGCAGAGACACGAACCGAGATTCAATACTGAAGATGGCTACAGCTCCGTTCAATTCTCCCCACATGGCATGTTGAAACAGGAACCAGGCTAACGCTATCTCCCATAATCTACAGGACTACCTCCTCCCACGCTCATTGACGATCCGTCTCGCCAAGTCGGTTCTTCCGCCAAATACGACAATCCAGAAAGATGCTGTGCTGGCAATGCAGAAAGCCGCTACAGTGTTTGTTTCTTACCTGTCTTCACAGTATGTTCGCCCTTCCTATATCCCTTAGTATTTCCCTTTCCGGTACTCCAGTCCGAAGGTTTGGACAGCGTTTCCCCTCTTATATTCCATAGTATGTTATGATAAACTAACATAATTTAATCACAGTGCCAACGATGGAACTCTTAAACGCACCATCGGCCCTTCAGATGTCTTCAACGCCCTCTCCGAGCTAGAACTCGACTCTTTCCGCAGCCGGCTCGAGCAGGAACTGGAGGCATACTCGGAGATCAAAGCCGGGAGGCGCAAGCCCAAGAAGGCTGATGGAAATGGGTCGACGCAGAATACATTAGAGGAAGGGGCTACACAAGCTGACAATGGCGATGTTGAGATGCTCGATAATCCTGCGAAGAGAGTGAAACGAGATGGTGATGGAGATCGGGATACGGGCTCAGTTGGGGATGGGGATGAGACGCAGGACGAAGATGTTGAAGAGGAGGAGGATGAGGACGAGAGTGAGGAGGAAGAGGAGGAAGAAGAGAACGAACGTGGTCCACGTGAAGATGATCTTCATTACGTGGAGGATCTGGATCGTGAGCCTGGAGCAAGGAGAGGTCCTTATGATCCTGATGCTGGAGAGACGGATGAGGATGAGGATGGGCCAGGTAGCCAGTTGAGGGATGATCTTGGGCTGGGCTAAATATCAGCCAATTCCAGAGGGCCTGGAATACGGATGGGTCCCAAACGATCCTGTCCTGTTCTGGATGGTACGAGAAGAGATTGACTGGCAAAAGAAAGGAATGTCTCTGCTGTACTATACAAATAATGATGAATGGATTGCATGTCGCGCTTTCTTGGCACTTATATAGACTACGAAGTCCAAGACAATTGAGGGTGGACTTATATCAACATTCATCTAGCAGAACGTAAGGACTTGGGGATAACATACATGTATGTATACACATTAATGCCTAACGCGCCGCTGCACCGGCTTTTGCATCAACTAGACAGAAACAACACTTGTTGTGTCTAAGGAAGCCGAGGAATATTCTACCGGATGCGACAGCACAATATAAGACAATATCCAAATTCCGAATTCTTCATTTAGATAATCCACATATGAACCCGTGACACCCGTGCGGAGTATCATGAGGTTAGAAGAGAAGAAAGAAACAAGCAACGCCCACCATGCCCAAAAAAAAACGGCTCCTTGCCCGAAGAACGCCCGAGCCAACCCATGCAAGAGACGGTAGTCTATCAATGGTATCTTTGGAAAATAGGACAGCAGCAAAGATCAACCCAGGAGAAACGTAGGTGATGCAACTAGAAATACAGTCCATGAAAGGTAAATATGGAAACAACGAGGGAAATAGAAAAACCGGAAGGGAACAGGAGGGGCAGAGGAAGCATCGAAAAGAACAAAGGGAAAAGCAACACCAATGACGCCGTCTTGATAACCATGCATCGTGTCATGAACATCGGCCAAGAGAGCGATAAGGATATTAAAACCATGACCGGAACATAAACAATTAGGATGAAGCCACCACCTGAGGAATCGTCTCAAGATTGAGGCTCATATCTGTTTTCACCAGCTGTTCTGCGGCTTTTGAAGGCATGGGGCCATTATTTCTCGAAGCACCCGCTGGAACTGGTTGCATAGCTTTGCCATCGACTTTTGTGCCGATGATCCCAGCGGATTGAGAAGTTTTGGTGACGCGGACATTGTGGAATGAATTAAGTGTGGCATTTTTCTTGACCTGTACGGTAGGTTCCATGCCACGCTTTTTGGAAGCTGCCTTGGGGGCAGGCCTCTTGGCACGAGATTTGGGAGCGGCCTTAGAAACTGCCTTGGGAGCGGCCTTGGGAACGGCGGTATGGGTCTTCTCAATGGCGTCTTTGATAGAGGTACCTTGGCTTGCTGGATTCTTGATCTTGTCCTTTGTGGCTTTTGTAGCAGGCTTTTTCGCAGGCTTCTCATCATGGCTGGAAGAAGGTGACATAGGAGGAATATCAATGCGCGATCTCTTTTTCGGTGGGACAATAACGGAAACAGCGTTGAGATCGGAATCGTGGCCGTGGGTGTTGAGGGAGCTCTTGAGTAGGGGAATCGGCTCGAGCGAGGGGTCGTATGTGCACGGCGTCTTGTCGTCTGAATTCCACGGTTCCAGTCTCGTTTGGTGGGCGACTTCATCGCATGACCCCTTTACAATCAAGTCAAAGCAGTCATCGAATTCTTTGCCGCTCGGTAATTCGTTGTTGATGAACATCGTGACCCCGTCCTTGCGACTCCGAATCGTTGCGCACATGCTTTTGACCAAGCGACGGACTCCAGGGATCTTCAGACTGGTACCGGCGACAATTAGGACGCGAGGTCGGGATTTGATATCAGCATTCATCACAGATGCGATTGCCTCCTCGTCGGGGTTGTGCTCGTTATAGAGGACTATGCGCGGGCGCATCCGTCCGATTCCATGACTCCGTAGACCGCAGGCCATGCGATTTTGGTCGTTCACAGCACAATCTGTGCAAGCGGGCGGGTCGGCTTCCGTGAACATGTCCGCTTGGAAATCGGTGAGGTAGCAACATTTCTGGCATACCATCCACTCAATACTGCCGTGCAGTTGAATGGTGACCGGCCAGCTACCTTTGACGCTCAGTGGAACCTCGGTCGCCAGCGGGTTCATAGACGTCTCAATCCCATCGATATTTTGTGTGTATAGTCGTTTCAGGCGAGACTCGGTACCTAATCGGGCGAGCATTTTGTGGAAGCGGGTAGGCTCCGTTTTGGTCTTCGACAGCGACCGGACCATTTCATGGAAAGGCGCCGTCAATGCGTCATCTTGATAGACGGCAGCATCAAAGAGAAGTTTCCCAGATGCTTTGAGGTTATGCTTTTTCTGTAACGACTTGAAGAGACCATCCGTGGACCGAAAGTCCGGGACTGTATGTAGAGTTAGACTGACTCGATGTGGCAGAATCTCGAAGCAAAAACTTACTACCCGCGGCGGTTGAGATGCCAGCGCCAGCGATGACGACAATATCCTTTTGGTGTCGAAGAGTCTGAACCAGCAGATCGTACTGGTTCTTTTGCTGATCGAGACATTTCGACAGATCGATATACTGGGTGGTCCGTTCCTTTGGTAGGGGGTTGCGTCTCCTCTTTGCGGGACGGGCTTGGCGTGCAGAACCCTCAGCGGCAAGCTCAGCGTCCACCTGGGATGAAGGCGTTGGGTATCGCTGTGGTGATGGACACGGAGATAGACACGGAGATGCGGGCGCAGAGCTCAAGTCGGATTCATCGGATAGTTCATCAATGGTTAAATTTCCCATGGCTGTGTGTGGAGTGCGAATGGGCTGAGAGCTTATGTCACAGCGAAGAGAATGTCACCCGAACCCCAGGATAGTCGGGCGAAAAGAACCGGGAATATCTCCAAGTGTCGCACGAATCGTCAGTGAACCTCGAAAAAAGCGATCATGCGCGGAGAATAGGAATCAACGAAGTGGAAGATCTGGAGAAAAGGAGGATAGGGAGAAAGGAGTAGGAGAAGAGTAGGAGAAGAGTAGGAGAAGAGTAGGAGCTAGGACGTTGACGATGAGGTCAGCGTTGGGGGGGGGGGGAAAAGGGCATTTAACGAAACCCGTGCACTTCAGGGCTCTTTGGGTCGGAGGGGAAAAAAAAAAAAAAAAAAAGAACCCGCAGAAAGACTCTTTGTTTTGACCGAAGATATGGAGATTCCGGGTGAAGGAATGTGGTCCTGGGGAAATTGGGTTGAACGAATAGGAATTATGACCAGGGCGACTCGATGATGTTGTTTTGATGCGAACGTTGTGGGTTAGCACGGCTCTATACTTGGGAAGAGAGGGATATAAGGGACGGTTACGGGGTACAATGGCTCTAGATACTCTGAAATCCATTAGCCATTGACTACATGTACTTGAGAATAGTCAATTGTCCTTGGACACTCAATAGGACCGCCAAGTTTTCAATCTATTGTGCTTTCTCTATTGTGCTTTCTCTATATTTTTCTTGTTTTTTTTCCTTATTGTCTATATTTTTTTCCTTTTTTTCTCTCTCTCGTTTTCATGTTGTGACAGTCGGAGGGCCCCGTGGTGATTCGCTGTGCTGTATAGTGGGTCACATGATACCCATGTGATTGGTCGGCTGTCGTTGGCAGGACTACCTGTCACCTGACCGACGTCACGCGACGTGACTAAGCATCTGGGAAATCGGGCCACTGGTCCCTAGAGGTCCAGGCGCTGAGGGCATAGCCATTTGGATTCGGTCGATGATCCCCTCATGTTGAAAGCTGGAAGTGTTGCTTTGACTGTAACATCGCTGTTAGTGTCTGTGCCATCTACTTGAACATTGGGCGCCGATCTCGGGACCCCCTTTCCCCTTCCCGAATAATAATAATCCCATCTGATATCCAATGGTCCGGGCAAGGCCATGAAGTTATGCTGTATTGATCTCCTGATTATCGAACACCATTGACAGTGGTCTGACAAATATTATGCCCTTGATCATGGAGGAGGGTATCAATGTGGATGATCTCTTTGGGGAACCCAACTCCCTGGAGCTGGGCTTGTCGGCCGCCCCCCCAATCAAAGGTCTAGCACAATGTCTAGATGAGATGCGTCTCTTAGGGTGCTGCCAGTAAGCTCTGATGGATTTTCCACATTCATATCCTTCGGCTAACAACTGTCTAGGAAAATCGCCTGGTCTCGGATGGGATGTATTGCATCTATTTCCCCGGACGGACTCCGGGTGATTGTCCGGCATCTCCAGTGCCGTCCATCAGATGGAAAATGGGTGCTTGGAGAAGAGTCATCTTTGGCTCCACTTTTGGAGGCTCATAATGGCAACCAGTTGGCCCATTTATCATGGAATGAGACCGGCTCAGAACTGGCTGTCGTCGACTGTTCTGGTCGTATATCCATCTATTCTATCTCAATTGCATTGAACAGCATCTCAAGCTTGCGTCAAGCCTCGTTTGACTCTGGCGACGATGGCAACCAAGTAGTTGGAATGATGTGGTTGAACTCTCAACGTTATGTACGTCAAGTTTTCCATTAATTAAAGTGGAAAGCTTTTAACGTGGCAATATAGGTGCACGCCTTTCATCAAGCAGCGAAGGTGAATGGTCGATGGGCATACTCGCCTTTCCGTCGACGCCCGATCGGGCCATTCCACCCAGCTAACAAAGGCGCATTGATCTGCGTGACCCGGGCTGGACAGATCAAGCTTATATACCAAAACCCGGACAGTAAATGGGCGGAGTTACCTGCAGAACTGAAAAACACGGGTTCTTCGGATAGAATATTAACACATGCTTCCATGACCGCAACACAAGGTATTTGCTTTCGGTCAGAGCGTCAAATTCCATCGCCACTGACATATTGATGCAGCTGGGATCCTTCTTTCTACCTACTCCGCATGCCAGAAGATGTGTCTCTATAGAGTGCATATCAGCTGGAACCCACCACAATGGGAGCCGGCACAGGCCAAACCGCCAGGCCAATTCCCCATCCCAACCTTCCGTTTAATACACTGCAAGGTCGACATGCCCAGCAATATATTGAACGTCAACAGGGGTCCAGACCATTCCGATCCATCTTTGCCGTTTTTGAACTCGGTATATTCGTTGATGCGATTAGAGATTATGCCAGGCCAGGTTGATAGTCCTGCAGGGTCAACTGCCAACCCTTGGATCCTGGCTGTCCTTGCGAAACCCCTCCATGCTGTACATGACTATCCAGGCCAGCAAGGCCCGCCGAGTGTGATAGTCAGGTGGCATTTAGAATCTGCACCGCAGATCCTCCATCCCAAGTTTGACGAAGTGACGTCAAAGAAGAGCAACGTTCAAACAAAGGTATGAATCAATTAGTTTTTATCTGTTGCTTGGAGCAATGCTGATGTATCCCCAGCCTACGATGGAGCTGCGCAGGTTGGAAGATATTTATTGTGACAAGTACATTGTCTCGGTCGATTTGGTCGAGCATGGGACGGTCTTGGCTGTCACCCATGATGATAGCTCAATAACATGCTACGACACACGAACGATGGCAGTTCTCAACCGCCTTGATGATTCAAGTACAGTGACTTGTCTGGCTCAGGCTGGGTTCCAGTACCCAATCGAGACATCAGGTATGTTGGAAAAATTTCCATTTTGCATTCAGATATATGGTAGGAACTGACATTCAAAGGTCTTCATATTGCTTTCTCGCCTAATGCTTGCGTTGCCGTTACGCTGGACAGTGACGGACACGTGCAATTGAGAGTGATGGAGCATTCTTTTGGGTCCACAGAAGGTCTCTATGATGAGAGTATGTGCAAGACAGATCACCTCTATGAAGGGATTATACTCACCGAAACGTGTAGACAATTTCTCTGCGGCTATTGCGGCCTTGACATTGGCATTCAGTCGTGGATGTGGTGTCGATTTCAATACGGACGACATACTCATGGTTGCCCTCGGGCAGCTATCACCAGGTGAGTGCATTGAGTCCTTCCGAATTACCAAGGAAGCTCGTTGACATCCTCAAAAGAAGCTCAAACCACGTTCATTAGCGAGGTGTATCGTGCATTGCCGGTAAATTGCAATTTCACAGCTGAACAGGACAAACTCATGAGCCATCCATACATACCTCGATGCCTCAGCTTACAGGCCGGGCTGGGCTTCAAGGGAAGACTCAAGCGGCGCAACCTCTCATCAGCGTTACCATGGGCAATTCTTCAGCTCAGACATGCCTCGGTTCTATTCGCATATTTCTTTCAGTATAATAAAGGAGGCCAGACTGAAACCCATGATCCAGGTGAGTTTCAAGAATACCTGGTCGGTTGACTGCTGCTAATACAAACAAAAGATGTTCTTCGCATGGTATTGGGCAATACCAGGTGGACATTGGACTTCTCCCACTACCTTCTAAGCGAGATCTTCAGTATGGCCGACGAATTCGAAGAGGTCTTCAATGATCCCGAAGCATTCACTCAGAAGTGTAAGTGCCGACTTATTAACACACTCCATCCTCCGGGGCTCAGCTAATACGTCTCAATCTTCGCAGTGAAAAGCACATCCTCCCTTCCCCTCCTAATTCTTCTCTCAAGCATGTCTCGCGCTTTCCTCCGCTTTACCTGCCGTGGCCTTCGCGGCGTGCATGCGGGCTTTGCGACTGCAAACGCCACGTCATTAATGGGCGACTCCAGAATTTATTACACAGAGATCTGCCAGACACTGGAATCATCACCGGTCCGGATCGACGTGTACGAGAAGTTCCTAGCAGGAGTCGACTCGGCCGTGAAGCACGCCTACCAAGGCGCCGGCTTCGGCGACGCCGAAAGACCCGGTCCTGAAAAGGAATTGCTAGTCAACGCCCGAATCCCGCCAGTGCTCATCACAGCCGTAGCCACACTCCTCCGGCAGACGGTCCCGGCGCTCAAATCCGAGATCAATCGCATGGCTATCTACTTTGGGGACTATAGCTGGCTTGGATTTGGGAATGACCGACGCACTGCACTTTATCATAAGCAGCGCGAGATTGACATTCTCAAAAAATGTCCGTTGCGCCCACCATTGCCGTTAGGAAATGATGGCCGGGTGGCGCCGCTCAAGAAGCGCAGGTGTGCGCGTTGCTGTGAGGTTTCTGGGGATACCAATCTACCCCGATCCCTTCTATCGTTCAAGATGATTGCTAAGCTGGGGCTATTACGGTCTTGTCTTTGTGGGGGCATGTGGGTTTTAGAGACGGACACCGGGGAGCTTACGACTGGCAGTGCGGGTGCAAGTGGGAATGGGGTTAGCCCAACTTGAAACATTCGTTGATGATAGAAATGGATACTATGGCTAAAATTCTGGCTTTGGTTAATGGTGGTGTGGGGTTGATCGATCTACTTGGGTGTCTCAACATAGAGGGTGGGGATGTATTGCAAACGTGCTTGCTAATGTGACACTTAGAACCATCATCTACATACCTACATGCAGTTGAAAGATGACATCTCTCGCATGCATATTATGACAGTATACAGTGTTGATGTAGCGGGAGAATGCCCTGGATAATTGACTTCCAAGGTTGTTGATGCCATCGAGCCACGAACTAGGTTGGTGTTTATAGCACAGTGCATCCATCGTAGGCAAGAGGTAAATGACTGGTAATAGCAGTGTCCATTGGGCCTAGCGCAATATATGTGCCCTTGATTGGCCTTATTGCTTTGTGCTTGTCATATGGATTGTCCATGACATATCAAAATATGTATAGGTGGATTTTCAGTGGTCTTACACAAGAGCAAGAGCATGAATATGTCTATAATCGTGTCATGTCAAGAGTCGATTTGCATCCTATTTAGATACATAATCAAATTCCATTTTTTTGGATGTAAAAAAAAGAGAAAACCGACCCCTCCACAAGCTTTCAGGTCCACACTGTCACGTCCTGCTTGTGTCCAAGGCCAGCAACGTCTTCCCACAAAACTCCATATCCGAACAAGTTCTGCGTTTAAGCCTGCAAAAAGACGATCAGCATCGTGTTCGGTCGACTTGATTCGTATGATGGCAGGTTCCTTGGTGGCCCGGGAGTAAAGATGAATCATCTCATGATCCTTGTTCCACCAAATCACTGTCCAGGGTTTATCGGAGGATCATACCTTAACGGCGTACTTGCGCTGGGGGAAGTGGATGTCACGCTTGCGCTGCTTGTCGGTGATCTGGGTGCGCTCGTGCTTGGTGAGACGGCGGCGGATCTCACGGGTGAGCTTGGGGCGGAGGTCGAGCGGGAGGTACTTCTTGTTCTTGTAGAACAGACGCAGCTGAGCGCGCTGGTTGGCGTTGATGACGGTGAGAACGCGAGCGATAGACTTGCGAACCTCGCCGCTAAAAGGTAGAAAAATTCCAGTTAGTATCAAATCTCGAATATTGATGAACCCCAATATCGTCTCTTTTTTTTCATGTCGCAATGTTCATCTCCTTTTCGTGGTTTCTTGCTGATTGTTGGCATAATCCTCCTCTTGATCGTTGTCTTGCCCGGTCGGGTTCGATTCCATGCCGCAAATCTCCAAATTTCATCCGCACAAAAAGAAAATATCGGGGGTGTCGGATACGCACATTCTCTGAGTCTTCGTGGAAGCACCGGAGGCGATCTTCTGCACGCGGAGCTGGTTGAGCTCCAGCTTCAACTCCTCGAGCTGCTTGGCGAGCTCATCCTTGTTCTTGCCCCAGAGCTGACCAGCCTTGACCTTGGACGACTGGAAAAAAAGAGGGATTCATCAGCATTTTGAGATAAGAGCATTTGCACAGCAGGACATACCATGGTGGCGTTGAATTATGTGGGTTGTCGACGTTGAGAATTGAAGATGTCCGAGGGTCAATTTGCGACTGGTTGTGGGACTAGGGCTAAGCGAATTTGTGACCATTTAGCGGGTGCACGTGATTTTGGTGGCACTTATGCCTTGTTTTGTTGCCTGATATTTATGGCCTCTATTTCGCCTAGGCCTTGGGGCAAAAACTTACTATATCCGGTTAGCGGCGCTTCTACCCCGTCATGGGCTGCAACTTACGTAGACAACCAGGGAGCACCTCGGCCCTTGCACTGGTTGATTATTTAGTCCAAAGACAACTCTTGAGCATATCTGATTTCGTTTGCCGCTTAATTTCCACTTTCAACTTGTCCTTTCGCCTGCCATGGCATCTGCAACAGGCTCCGGGTGGACACAGCTCCGACAACAAGCCCGGTCGCTCGAAACTCAGGTACCAATATAGCCTCACCAAGAATTATGTATCAATGTTGACTGATCCACCACCAGACTGAGAATCTCTTCCATACTTACTCACAATTTGCTTCCATTACCAAGCCTCCACCATCACCTACCGATGAAGAGCTACGGCTTGAATCGCAATTGAAAGACCTCCTCGACAGGGTACATCTGTCTAGCAACCTTCGATAGAGATACCCGACAGCTAATGAATACTCCGTACAGCGTGAATCTCTTATAGCCCAATTATCCCGTCTTCTTGACTCCGAAGCTACCCTCACCTCCTCCGCCCTGAAACAGAACAACGTCTCCCGCCATCGCGAAGTGCTGCAAGACCATCGCCGCGAGCTTCAGCGCCTGGCTGCAGCTATTTCAGAATCGCGCGACCGTGCAAACCTCCTATCCAATGTCCGCTCAGACATCGACTCCTATCGCGCATCGAACCCCGCCGCCGCCGAGGCAGAGTACATGCTCGAGGAGCGGGGCCGAGTCGAAAACAGCCACAACATGATGGACGGCGTGCTGAGCCAGGCGTATGCCATCAATGAGAATTTTGGCATCCAGAGCGAGACCATTGCCAACATCAATCGGCGCATCGTTGGCGCTGCTGGAAATGTCCCCGGCATGAACTATCTCATCGGCAAGATTGGAAACAAAAAAAGGCGAGATGCTATTATACTCGGGTGCTTTATTGGCTTTTGCTTTTTGATGTTGCTATTCTTCCGGTAAGATTGCACATGCAAATTCTCGGCAGCAGCTCGTTCGCACCGCCCCTATATCCTTTACTTCTTGTGTCGATTGCTGCTCTCTAGCGAGTGAATTTATCTTGTTGAAGGCGTTCGGGTTTAGGCATTTTCCAGGCCCCCCTTGACGGGGGATTTGACAGAACCGATGATAATTCTCGTGACAGGGTCTTGATGACGCCTATTTGTTATGCTTTCTATTATACACATTCTCTATTGTATGTACAAATTCAACTGAGGGGGAGGGGGGTTGAATCACATCCGAGGCTACATTTCAAGTAGCCCTTGTCATTCCCGACTCAATCAATACCTTCGAGCTGGGTCTTGCGCCTCAAGAGCAGCTTTCTTCTCTTCAATAAGCTTCAGCAAACCAGCATTAAGTCCCTCCAACTCAGACTCATCAGCTGGCCCACTGCCTGCCCAGCGGATGCGACATTCCGAATCAACCAGGTAGACATAGCCTACTTTAGAATTCATCATTCCCACGGTCTCCTTGAGGGCCTGATCGAACCCTTTTTGTACAAGGAAGTACCGCGAATGTTGCTCCGCAGCCAATTTCTGTCGCATCCGCCACATGAATCTCTTCACCAGGAACGCCTTCAATCTGTTCTCCTCGAGATTGATATCAATCCTCTGCACTAGTCTCCCACCACTAGCCATCGCCTCCACCAGTCCGGGGTTCTGTTCCGGTCCTGTAAACGTCGCAACCTGGCTTTCGGCCCACACACTTGAGAATAGGTTCACGACGGAGATGCTGCCGCGCAGCTGCGTGGTGGTATTTTGAGGATCTTTCGGGGATGCCAGTGTCACGCCGTGCATGTTAGGGAAGTATAGGGCTCTGTCGGCTTTAAAGAGACGCGGGTTTGAGACAAAGGTCTTGCCCTCGGCAAAGCGGAGATTAGACCATTCACGGAAATATGGTTTCGCCACTTGTTTTGTCCTGCGAGTTGCCATGGCTTGTTAGTACTGCTGTTGACCACTTAAGTATCTCGAGATGCGGGGAAGAAGGGATAAAGCCGTACAATTCCTTGCGTCGCTTGATGTGCCGGTCATAATTGGTAAAGTCGTCGCGCCGTTGGCGCATTGACCGTGTGTCAACACCTGTGTTCTGTCCTTCTGAGGGCGCTTGCGGGCTGCCAATCGGTCTATCCAGTCTTGGAGGAACGAAGTCTGCGTCGCCGGGTTGAGGTCCATCCTGGGAGGGCAAATTCTGTTTGAACTCGGTAGCAGTCGACAGGCGTTGGTGTGTGTCGTTTCTTATGGTTCGCTTTATGGGTGCGGCGTCCTTGGAGTCGCTAGAACTTTCAGTCTTACTGGAATACTGGCGCAAAGAGAAGGGCGTGGTTCGGAGCTGGGATAGAGTCGATGGATTGCGGAATTGACAGCTTAGATACCGGCTAGTTCGCCGGAGGGGGAGGTCGGCACCCAATCCGGTAGGGAGAGCAAACTTCCACATACTGATTGTCTATCGGTGGGCTGTGAGGTTGTTTGTGACGACACTTGCTCTCGATCTTGACTCGCGATCTTCCATGGAAATTCACGGTCACATGACCCGGTGTTTCCATTTCGGGAGGAATAGTCGAGGCTATGTCCATCATTGTTTTTGGCAGAAATAAAACTTGAGATGGTATAGACATTTAGAATATATATATCACTCTGGCTTTTCCCCCTTAAGTTTTCTCAACGGGATTAGATTTGTATCGTTAGGAATACGAAGTACATGTGGCACTTAAAGGTGCGAGACTATCTCGTGACTTGGCGTCGATTTCGCGCCAGGCAATCGCGTCCACGGGTACGGAAAGCCTTTCGGTTGGACTTCCAGTTGGAAGACTCCGGACCGTTATCCTCTCATACGGAGTAGTGACGGAACTCCAGGCTGCTACCGGTACCCAAGGTACCTGGGTAGGTATATAATGGATCGCCCAGGCACCCGCCCCTTCTTCGGAAACCGGACTTACCATGACGAAGCATTTTTCGAATAAAAAGAGCTTCTTCGCGGCTCTTGATGAGCTGGATGAGCTGGATAACGAAGACGAAGAATATGATGATAGCTGTGAGGGTCCTTTAACTTCTGCAGACAAAGGAATCAAAATACCAAACTTGAATAAGGTCGTTCTCTCCTCTGAGCGCACCCCATTTACTCAAGCAAACTCGGATTCTCGACCCTCGTGTCACCCCCAGAGCAAAAGAGACAGTACATCCGATACTCTCGAAGTCTCTACTGCGAACACCCCTCCGATGAATGAAACCATGTCTGCAACCAAGAACGGAACTCCTCGAAAGAAAAGGAAAACCAATAGTGGTAGGATCATCCCAGATGACCAACAGATCTTCGACGGATTGATCTTCTGTGAGTTCTCGATTCATCTAAGAGATGTTAACTCTCACTGACTTCTCGGTTCAAGTTTTCTTCCCAAACAATGATGTATCACCATTCCGACGGTTACGCATTCAACGAGCGCAAGAGTATGGCGCACGATGGAGCCGAACTTGGGCAAGTGATGTCACCCATGTGATCAGTGACAGGGGCTTGCAGTCTAGCGATCTCCTGGACTATCTCAAAATTGACGCTTTGCCAGTTAGTTTGTACATGAAACAACCCTCCTCGGTACTAACTTTGCCACAGACGGGTGTTGTTCTTGTCAATGAAACCTACCCATCCGAATGCATACAGTTTCGTTTGATTCTTAATCCTTCACAGCTCCGGTTTCGTGTCGATGGTTCCCCGATTGCCGCGAAGGAAAACTCTCCAGTCGTAGAAGTCCCCCCTCTTGATTCGCTGCCGCTAAAGCCATCGCGGCGGCAGACGTATCAGTCTCCAGATCAATATCATTCTTCAAGTGAGAAACCATCGCTTAATCAGTTGCCCAAAGTCTCCTCGGAAATCACCCCAAAAACCGTACCCAAGACTGTATCCGATACAAGGGTCGAATGTCTCCTTGGGGCCACAACTGAGCAGACTGGTATCAAGGCTATTTGGGAGCGCGATGATGCATTGGACAATATGATAAATGAGGCTAAGGCCACAAGTCACCTGGTAAGAGTCCTTCCATTTTAGTGGGATCTCGAACAACTCTGATATATCACTAGCCACTGGACCCGCTTGAATCCCCGGTTGAAGATGGCGCCGATGATGCCTCTGATATCGAAACCACTGGTTCAGAGGACGAATCAAGTGGGAGGACACGAAAAATCACCTACGGAAAGGGTCAAGGTAGAGAAAAATCCGACTGGACCGAAGGATTTGCCTGTATGCAGAAATTTGACGCCGAAACGAAACCTGTCAACCCAAACAACAGGACCATCGAAGTCCTTCAGCAAATGCTAGCATATTATACTCAAACTGCAGATCAGTGGCGGATTATCGCTTACCGCAAAGCCATCAATGCTTTGCGACAGCAATCAAAAAGGATTACAACGCGAGCACAGGCTCGGGGACTTTCAGGTGTCGGAGAGCGATTGGCTGACAAAATTGAAGAAATCGTCTTGACCAACCGCCTTCGATGTCTCGAATATACCAACGATACCCCAGAAGATTTGATTATTCAAGAATTCCTCGGCATCTATGGTGTTGGACTTTCCCAGGCCTCCAGATGGGTTGCACAAGGCTATACGTCTCTGGGCGATCTACTCGAAAGAGCGCCTTTGAGCAGGCCGCAACGTATTGGGGTAGAACGTTACAACGACTTCGCGCAACGCATCCCCCGCAAGGAGGTCGAAGCCCACGGGGCAATTGTGCGGAAGGCGGTGCAGGCTGTGGATAGGGATATGCAAGTGATCATCGGGGGCTCTTACCGCCGCGGGGCAGTCACCTGCGGAGACGTAGACTGTCTGATCACCAAACCCGGAGCTTCACTGGAGCATATCCGTACTATTATGCTTGGTCTTGTCGTTCCCAGATTGTTCAGCAATGGCTTTTTGCAGGCCAGTCTTGCCGTATCGTCGCGTCAGGATGGGTCCAAGTGGCATGGTGCATCGGCCATACCTGGAAGCAACCTATGGCGTCGGATCGATCTCCTGTTTGTTCCTGATGCAGAGATCGGGGCGGCATTAATATACTTCACCGGTAATGATATATTCAACAGGAGTATGAGATTACTAGCCCGCAGGAAAGGTATGTGCTTGAACCAAAAGGGTCTTTACACAGACGTACTTCGCACCCAGCAAGTGAAGTTGAATGCGGGCCGACTGGTTGAGGGTCGGGATGAGCGTCGGATCTTTGCTGCGTTAGGTGTGCCCTGGCGGCCTCCCGAGCACCGGATCTGTTGATGCGCATGGAAATCTTGTGGGGAGTTTGTTTTTCTTACTGAGAAAAAAACGAGACCCATTATCCTGTGGTGAAACCCGTGCCATTAATATAGGTCTCTGATCGGGTCTTACTAGCTGCATTTTTATTGTACTCCGCAAAATGTATATAGGAGGGATCCAAAATGAAATATATCCGCACCAATGGCGAGATCTTCAGCTAGAAACTCAGTAGGCTCAGTAGGCTAATACTTCGTATAGCTCTGGGGAGTGTAAATAGCGACTACGGATGGAAAAAGAGATATTAATTTTGAAATAAGAAAACAGAAAATAACACAGCTGCAGGAGTGTGGGTATATAGAGTTTCCCTCAGGAGGCGAGAGAGAGCGCGAGAGAGGCAGAGAGAGAGGCAGTCACAGTGGCACAAAGTGACTAAGAATTCCTCTCCCTCCAAGACTCACTTTTTCCCTCCCTCAACCCCATCCCGTGACAGCTCATCCCCTTCTTCGCCTTGTATCCAAACTGATATTGAGGCTTTTCTTCTTTCATCACCGCCTTTCTCATACCGCCTTGTCGACATCACCGCCTTTCGTGCGGTGAAGCCTCAATCGCGTGTTCCTCCCCTTGCGACTCCCAGACCGCCCTCTACTGCCCTGGGTTTTGCCCGCACATCGTGGTTTCAATCATCTCAAGAATCATCTTTTGCGTCTTGAGACTTTAAGCCTAAGGCTTCCGGTCCTATATAGGTTCGCAGCCTGGGCCTTCCAGTTCCCAGTGACTGTGTGCGTGATTTTCAGTCACGTCCCACATTACAGGGTTTCTCATCGTGTCTTCCCCTCCGAATCCACACAACAGTCTCAGCTCGGGACTCACTGGTCACTTGGAGCGTGCGACGCATCAATTGTCCTGATTCAATTCGTACGGTCCCCGGTCTCGTGTCTAGCACGTGAAAAAGTCCAAAAACACGTCCCAAGCTACCATCACCATGGGTCGCAAACCGAATCAACTCATCCTCGAGTTCTTCCACCGAGGTCCCAAGCTGGAAGACGCGAGCAATCGATACCAACACACATGCAAGGCCTGTGGTGAAGTCTTCCCCAAGGGTCGCATTGACAGCCTCACCAACCACCTGGTGAAAAAGTGCCAGGCAATTCCTCTCCGAGACCGTCAACGCGTGTTGATGCGACTCCACGAACTCCCGGACTTTCCTGAAGGTGACTCAAACAAGGATTCAACCTCTGGAAACAAGGGCAAGTCTGCCGACGGTGGCTTTCCTAATCGACAGAACTTTGATGGCCTGAATGTGTTGGCCGAGGCTTCACGACAGGTGGGCGCCTCAGACGTGACCAAGCGGGGTCCTGGATACACCCAGTCTGTGACAGCTGGAGGAAAGACTGTCATTGTAGACCCCGCACTTGAAGCAGAAGGCTTTCAAGGGCATTCACAAGGACCGGACTCAAAGATAGAGGGTACGGCAAATGTTGAGGGTATGTTTCCCTCTTTCTCATCGTTGCACGTACTAGACCACCACTAACGTTATGCAGGAACTCCACAGTCATCAAATGCTCCTAGTATTCCTGCCCTCCCGAGCCATACTTCTGGCGAGCACCCTGCATCCATGTCTCCCCCGCTTGGCGATGCTTCTATGTCTCCTGAATCTACCTCCAACGCACGTCAGTCACAGCTGTCGCTGATTGCGGCCTCCGCTAGCGAGATGGTTCCTCAAGGAATGTCGATCGATGGTGATAACGATATGAAGCTGAGTCAATGGAATCAACAGCTGTCTACACACGAGCAACTTCTTTTCGACAGCTTGCATGAACATGACCCTTCATTGACAGCTGCCACCCAGCGTGCTGCATCTTACCCCCGCCCCATTGCAATGAACCCGAATACTCAGACAAAGGGCTTTGTGAACGAGTTTGGGAATTCAACCAAGCCTATGAAGCCGAAGGTACGAGGACGTTTCACTGCAGAGCGACGTCGTGAAGTTCAAGATGTGCGGAAGAAGGGTGCCTGCCTTCGTTGTCGAATGCTAAAAAAACCAGTAAGTATTGGTGAATCTGTGACAAGAGAAAAGTGAACCTCACTAACAAACTTCGATAGTGCTCTGGCGACACCCCTTGCACAACTTGTGCTAGCGTGGAGAGTGCTCGTCTGTGGAAACACCCGTGCTTGCGTACCCGTCTTTCCGATGAGTTTGAACTCTACAATGCCAATCTCAACTCGACACTTGCCTATCATGACACAAACAGCATTAAGAATCAAATTAAATTTGATCATTATTCCGGTCGCATTGAAGTTACTCACTTTGAGGAGAGCAACAGCTTCATGACTTTCAGTGGACTTCAGGGTCATCGTGCTTCAGTTTCTGCGCTTGACCCCCAGCTCCAAGCCCTTGGTGATGACCAGTTCTCTGGTCCCCCGCAAGAGGTTTATCTCCTGGATGCGGAGTCGGATGACATCCCAAGCAAGTTGGAAATGTACATCAAGAAGAATGCTTCTTACTTCTATGAACGAGAGACGTCGCCTTTCATGAAGCCCACTTTGTTGCTTGCTGCCGAGATTAACCAGGAGAAGAAGGTAAGTCGTTTGACTTCGATCTTTTTGGAATGTCTATTAATCTCGATTTAGGATATTCTTCTGGAACGCGTGCTGGAGCTGTGGGTCGCTACCCATATTCTTGTTGACACTGAGCTCACCTGGAAAACCTACTACAACCCTACTCTGCCCCCAAATTCGTTGCATTCCCTTTCACAGCCATCAGACGAGGGCCGTTTGCCCATTGAGGAGGTCACTGATCCGGAGTCATACGGCCTTCTTTGTAGTCAATTGCGCGCAGCCATGGAGAAGCGTGCCTCGCAACTAAGCAAGTTTGTCATCAATGACTTGGAACGTCGACTCCTTCAGCGCCAGAAGTGTGGCTGGTTTGATACTTTCATCGTGGCAATTATTCTTCTCAACTGCGTGGAGCGCACCTGCTGGCTGTTCCGTTCATGGGACAATGAAAACTTTTCTCAGCGAGTAAGTTTTATGCATCTCGTTTTATGATGCATTTCACACTGACCATCCATTTAGTGGCCCCTCGACAAGCGTCCTCCGTATTACTTCAACCAGTCTGATCGCTTCGCCGACATCTTGGAGATGTTGCTGCGCATGCGCCACATACCCCCTAAGGCCACATTCCGTCCAGACAATGGCATTTTGAAGGCAGTTGATGGCAGCGATGAGCATGCTATCCGCTGGTTTGATATGATCCAACTGACCCGTACGTGACCTCGCATTTTATAATGAAGTTCTACACATGCTCGGGTTCCCTTGACTAATCTTGTTCATTTGTACAGCATACTTCATCGAAGAGCGCAAGAACGCTGTCTTCGATCCATCCGACTCACGCTCGTTGGATTGCCATCACAGTGCCAACCTCCTCGAGCCCAACAACGCCACCTAGTTTCTCAAAGCCAAAAGCAAACCTCAAAACCAAAAAAAGAGAGAAAAGAGAAATAACAACAACGTCCAAGTATTTATTATTTTTTTTTTCGCGCTTCGCTTTGTCCGTGTAGGTCCCTTGCCGGCCAAACTCGCGATTCCGAAAGTGATAGCGAGATGCATGCAACAAACCAAGCTCAATCCCCAATCAAATTCGAATTGAGGCCGGCTTGGCCTGGTTTGATTTGCTTATGGAGTTTCTTAGCAGGTCGAAGTGTTTTCATGAAGCGAACTGCTAGTCGAACAGAGAACATCGCGGACGAATGAGATGTTCTCTATTTTCTTTAATGGGTGTTCGGGAGTGTTGAAATGGGGGGTTTCTTCTTCGCTTTTGATGTCTGTAGCTCTACGGCTTTATTCAATAGGCTAAATGTATGAGGGAATTTTATGTTATTACGTGTCTCCTTCACGCCAACTCAGAACCCAAGCAAAACCTATTGCCTATGATTGGGCCCCCGTAAACCGAGATTGGATATCCAGTCGTATGGTGACTGCTTGGGTCACAAGTGATGCCGATGCTGGTCATAAAATGGCATAGCATCGGTAATGCATGTGGTTGGCAGGTTGGCAGGTTGCCAGGAACTGGGTCAGGGCAAACCAAAAGGGAAACTTTCCAAATACACTTGGATTCAGCTTCTATTCTCATTGGCGGATCCAGTTACTTTTGGCTACTTTTGACTGCTTTGGGCTTTTTTCCTTCGGTGGCCACCTTCTTGGATGACGTAGACTCGAGAATTAGCGGCACTCACTGGTCGATCGGGTGATGGGGCACCCCGTTTCACCCCCATTCTGGCTGTTAGTCTGGAGAAACTCAACTGTCTCCGGATTCCCTGCATCGTACTGCTTTTGAACAATCATGCCTCCATTTCGCAATTTTCTCGCTCGAAAGCCCCAGCCCAATGCCGAGGACCCCGCTGTCTTTGACGAGAACTATCTCTCTCCGAACCAACGCCCCGCGCCGATACCGATTCGCAATAGCCAGGATGAACCCACCGAGTACAAATTGAGTGGCACGTTTGAATCCTCCCAATTGTGCTCGCTATGCTCGTTTTGGAATGCAGGCTAACCTCGGTTCATGCATAGTGGTCAATGACAGCGGAGTCTATCTCCCGGTATGGGCTCTGTGACCCTCGGGGAGTGAAGTGAGGACTCCTACTAACTACTACCACAGCCTTCCCCCCCCGGAGAGACCGAGTTTTTGGCGCCGGTATCCGGGCTCTAACAAACCTACAAATCACCGGGATCTCGTTGATGAGAATGAGCCCTTTTCCATCTCTCGCGAGTCCTTTGACTCTTACCGCCGATCATTTGTATGCATACAGGCAACTGGTTCGCATCAAATTTGTCTGACTTTGACTTCCCAACTCAGGATATTTCCGCCCGTTCACCCATCATACACCCTGACGCTGGGCCCTCTCGAACCTCTCTCGACTCCCGATTCTCTCGATTGCCTTCGTCAGGCCCTTACCCCAACGGTTTTACCAAGTCTGACACCATGGAGGAAGAGGCCTTCGAGGATGTAGGTCTCAACGACGAGACAAAACCCAAGAAAAAGGGATTCCTCTCTAGGTTCGGCGACTCTACTAGCGATGCGCAGCCATCCGGAGCTAGGTCCTCTACCTCGTCTTTCGGCTTCCATATTCCCGGCCGGAAGCGCGGCCAGAGTGGTGTTGGCTCAGAACTGGGGTCTATGAAAGTCACTCCATCTGCAAACGCGCCCGCCGATGAGATATGAAGTGACGAATTATGAGATATGCTTAATGTTTTGTGGTTTAGTTGGAAGCTCTCTCTCTACGGCGTTTCAGATTTGTTTGGGTGATGCAAGTCACTTGTTTTAAGGATTCATATAATTTGGCCGGGAGACTTGATTGATGACACATTGATGCCCATGTTCCCAGAGAGTCTGGATGGCTCCTGTCATTTATTCGCATTTTGTACATGTGTCTGTGGCCGATTTGCAATTCGGGTCAGCTGTGCTTCGGTCAGGAACAATATCGTATAGTTCATTCTCATAGAGCCCCTCACGATAACTGGTCTTTGAAACTTCAAAGATCAATCTTAATTTTCATCAGAAATCAGAAACATTGCTACAGCAAGTTGTTCCGTCGTAGACCTCCATACCGTCTATCACTCTTATCGGTGCAAACTGTGCAAACAGCCGGCAAAAAAACTTCCTCCGCCTGCAACCAAAAAAAAATTATCCACCAGGACATCGAGCAGTCTCCGCTCGCAACGACCCCAGTTTTATTACTCATTCCAATCGGGGTTATTTTCAATCCTACAGAAATACTATCTCATCATGGCTGGATTGAAGCGTCCTGTTGACGGCAGCGAGGAGCGCAATGGTAAGCGAAGCAAGACGAAAGAAGGCTCCGCATCGAAGAACTCGAAGACCGCTGCGCCTGTGAAGAAGTCGAGCTCTTCATCCAAGAAGGACTCAAAGAAGGAATCAAAGTCCAGCAAGAGTGACAAGAAGCCCTCAAAGAAGGTTCAGAAGGAGGAGTCCTCAGACGACGACTTCGATATTGACGATGTGTCGGACGAAGATATCGATGCCCTTGATGCCCTTTCAGATGACGATGCCGCGATGGAGGATGTGAGCGAGGAGGAAGAGAAACCTCAATCAGAGAAGAAGGTTGCTGCAACTGAAGAGCAACAGGAGGCACCAAGAAACCCCAACAGTAAGTTTCGGTCCTGTTTCCCTGATGATAACACGGCTAATCTCTGTTTTCTTTCTAGACAACTCTCGCGAATCCCACATCAAGCAAAAGGCTCTCCAGCAGGAGCGCAAGGCCGCAAAGCCTAATGCCGATACCGTCGCCCGCTCTAAGAAGTTGTGGGAGCAGTTGCGCCGCAAGTCACATGTGCCTCTGGAGCAGAGAAAGAAGCTCGTCAAGGAATTGTTCGAGATCATCACCAACCGCGTTCGCGACTTTGTTTTCAAGCATGACTCGGTGCGAGTCATTCAGACTGCTCTCAAGTACGGCAACCTTGAGCAGCGCAAGCTGATTGCGCACGAATTGAAGGGCACCTACAAGGAACTGGCACAGAGCCGATACGCCAAGTTCTTGGTTGGAAAGCTGATTGTACACGGAGATGACGAGACCCGCGACCTGATCATTCCAGAGTTCTACGGCCATGTCAGGCGTCTCATTCGTCACCCCGAGGGCTCGTGGATTCTTGACGACATTTACCGTACAGTTGCAACTAAGGCACAGAGAGACAGACTACTCCGCGAATGGTACGGTCCTGAGTTTGTCATTTTCCAGGATGAGAACGACTCCGACTCCGATCTTGCCAGGATCATTGAGGCGCGCCCAGAGAAGCGTGGACCGATCATGAACTACTTGCGTGAGATGATTAACCAGCTGGTGCAGAAGAAGAGCACTGGTTTCACCATGCTTCACGACGCCATGTTGCAATATTTCCTCAGCACAAAACCCGGCAGCAACGAAGCGAACGAATTCATCGAATTGCTCAAGGGCGATGAAGAGGGTGACCTGGTCAAGAACTTGGCTTTCACCAAGTCCGGCTCCCGCTTGATGTGTCTGACTTTCGCATACGCCAACGCCAAAGACCGCAAACTGCTTCTACGATTCTACCGCGATACCGTCAAGGCCATGGCCGGTGATATCAACGGTCACCAGGTCATCCTTGCCGCATACGAGGTTATTGACGATACCAAACTTAGTGCCAAGTCCCTCTTCCCCGAGCTTTTGAACCAGAACGACGGTGCAGAGGCTCGCAACGAGGAACTCTGCTTCCAGATCAACGACTTGACTGCGCGTATTGCTGTGCTATACCCCTTCGCCGGTGAGCGCGTCAAGTGGCTCGTACCCGATACCGACCAGAAGGTTCTCGAAGAAGTCCGCGAGATCCGCAAGGAAACCTCCAAGAAAGACCCGGATATGCGCCGTCGAGAACTTGCTAAGGCTGCGTCGCCGACGCTACTTGAACTCATCGCTGCCCGCGCCTCTACTCTTCTCGAGACGACTTTCGGCTGCCAGTTCCTCTCCGAGGTGCTGTTTGAAGCCGATGGCGACAAGACCGCCGCTCTCGCCGCCGTGGCCGAGGCCGCCAAGTCACACACTGAGGCCCGGGACACCGCACACGCAGGACGTCTCCTTAAGTCTCTTGTGCAAGGTGGACGGTTCAACCCGGCCACCAAGACCGTCGAAAAGGTGGAGCCAGCATTGAACTTCGATGCTGTGCTGTATGAACAGATCCAGGATGAGGTTATGGACTGGGCGACAGGGGCTAACCCCTTCGTGATTGTTGCGCTGACCGAGTCCGAGGACTTTGAAAAGAAGAGTGAGCTGCTCAAGACCTTGAAGAAGAACAAGAAGGCGTTGGAGAAGGCCTCGGCATCGGTTGTGGAGAAGGATGGGAAGAAGAAGCCCAGCCCCACGAGCAGTGGTGCAAAGCTGCTACTTTCGAAGATTTAGAAGCGTTTCTACGGGATTATAGCATGTGTAATTACGTTGTATACAAAAAAAGCATACCTTTTCTCATTTTCTTAATCTCCCATTCTCTTACTTTCTATTGTTGGGTCGGCAATGGCCGTTTTCACAAGATAGTCGCTGAAATTAGTTCTCCACACGTCTTGGTTCGAGGCCAATCTCAGGGGTTCCCTTGGTATTGACAAGAGAATAACTGAGAGACACCAGTGTACCTAAGTAATCCAGTCAAATCAAATGCCGAGTCCTGTAGGCACAAATGATGGGTTGCACCTCCAAGACTAAATAGCACAGAGTCATTTGCGAGAATCCCCAATTCCCCAGGTACTCTATCGACATTCATCTTATTGTGATCATCCGAGGACCCTTATTGCTGGGCATCGAGAACGGACTATATAATCTGACCTATCAATTCGTACTATACCTAATGCCACTTAGACTACTCCGTACGACTATTGACAATCCCAAACGTGGTCGAAGCCTAAACCCAACTATCTCACTACCTAGACACAATACTGTGAAAATTGAATCAAAATGCCTGAATATCTTCAGAACCACAAATCCGAATGAGGCAATGATCAGGGCACGCTAAACCGCATTGTACGTTGCCTAAGGGGAGTCTCTTACGGAGTAAATTAACTATAACAGCGCTGGTACCCAACCCATCCATTTTGCGACTCTTGTTTTCCTCTTTTCTCCCCATCCCACAGAGACACACCCAGGCCCCAGGGCCTGAGAGAGAGAACCATGCCCTCACTCACTCTAACTAACCCGGACATGATCCTGCCATACGAAGGCGAACGCGAATCCCAAACGCCCTCCCCACCCCGAATCGCGTACCTATCGCATCTCAACTCCCGCAACCCATCCGACCCCAATGCCCCCACCATGGCGGTGCCCAGCCGACAGAAGAAAAATTTTTCTCGCCATGCGTGGACGCACGACGACGTAAATGTCAGCCGCCGTCTCTCGGATATTGGCGAGGAGCTGTCGCCCGCTAGATCGGAGGGATTCGACGATTCGGACACGGGACAAGAACTGGCCAGTTCACCGCTACTGCATGGGCAGCATGACGACCAGTCTAGAGACAATGCTGCGTGGAGTAGCTCCAATTCCACTATCAGCGCAGGGAGCAGACGCGCTTCTACTTCGAAGGAAGTGTCGGAGGTGCAGAATGAACGCAACGAGACTCCTGTTCACCCGGAGGTCGCAAGAGCGCAAGTTACGGCGGTCGTTGGAACTGCAGGGGGTACTTCTGTACCAGCTAGCAGCGCTGTGGCGTCTGCAGCTGCAGAGGGTAAGGGGCCCGGCGAGGAGTTTTCCTCGGCGATACTGAGTAGTGAGGCGGAACGGATTCTGGAGAATGCGAAAAAACGGCTAAACGTAGGTGGTATGATGTGCATATAACTTGCGATATCCCCGCAAGCTGGCCAAGGGGTAAATACTAATTTCATTTGTTTTCCAGCTCATGGAAGGCAATCTCACTCGCGCACGATCGTCCACACGCACGTCGGCCTCGCCTTCGCCCTCGAACTCTGGCTATATTCAGCCGATCGGCAAGCACCAGCCTGTTGGTGGACTATATAGGTCGATTTCGCGCACAGATCCTAAGAACTCTTCGCTCCGACGGCAATCACTCATCGCGGCGCAAGATACGACCAATAATCGACATTCTAGAGTTTACTCTGAGACGAGTATTCCGTCCGAGTCTAGCTTTTCGAATGATCCCAAGCGCATGTCGCGTTCTGTCAGTGCGATGGGCGCGAGCACTTCGTCCCGCCTTCATACCGATGATCGCTCGTTCCATTACGCACCTACGAGGGCATATTTGACGCATCGGCCTTCTATCTCTTCTAAAAAACCCCCGATACAGGTACAAGACGAGGAGCCACAGGTCCAGATGCCACAATCTCCTGTTTTCACCGAGAACAGTTCATCGGACTCGCCACATGATTTAGGAATTTCCTCGGAAGAGGATTCCAAGTCTAGCCCGGACGGGTTCAGTCCTGTCTACAGCTCGTACGGCCCCCCTAGCCGTGCACAGTCGCAGTTACAGGTGCGTGATCTTCAGTACCAGATGAAGGGACTTCACATCAAGATCTCTTCTCTCAAAGTGAAGACTCAGGAGGACAATCTGCGCCGGCGCAGCCTGCAGAGCTTACGGACACCCAGCCCTTTGACGGCCGCTGACCAATGGTATGCGAATGGACTGGAGCTTAGAGATGGTCGGAGTAGCGGTGGCTCCAATCCTCGACATGACGCTAGCTATGAGAACCTCCGAGAAGTTTCAGACAGTGCAGAGGTCAATGAGCGACGCGGGTCTCACCAGGATCTCGCTGCGAATACTTCCACCCACGCCGAAAGTTGGCAAGGCAATGGACCCCCTGGTTATGATGATGACCAGTCTATTGCCGAGACCATGTATGAAGATGCTGAAGAAGGTGAATTTGATGGGGACATCGATCGCGAAGCTCTCGATGAAATATTGCGTGAACCCCTCGACGATGACCTCGATGATGGCATGGAAGCTTTCCCTGATATGCCACCGCTCACAGATGCGACGCCCCACGAGATGCGCGAGGATGCGTTTGATTATGAGCACTTCATCTTGCATAGCGCATTGGGGAACTATACTCAACAACTCCGTCGGGTGAGCAACAGCTCGACTGGATCGGTTGAGACAACCCGGCCCGCACACACGGCGCGACACTCGCGCACCAGCAGCAACATGTCCGTTTCGACCGTAGCAACATTCGCGACCGCAACCGAAGGCGAACGCCCCGACGACGAGGATGACGTTGATAGCGTGATGTACTGGGACCGACGGTTCAATCATGGTTCGTTTCCGACATCCCCTCCCCCTGGCGTTCCCCATACTAATTCCTGAACAGAGCTGCGACATGGACATACCCACGTCCACGCGCATGGCCACAGCCACTCGCATTCTCATACTCATTCCCACAGCTATCAACCAAGTCCAATTCAAGGGGTTGAGATCGAGGCCAATCGCTCCGAAACACCCCGTGGACCACGATACGAGGAAAGTGGCAATGCTATCACATCCTACACGCGCAATCTTTCACCCCATATAATCAATGGTCGCTCATCCTCAGCCACGGCCGGATCTGCAACCCCGACCGCTCTCGCTTCGTCTTTTGTCTCAACCGTGCGCGCAGCATCCAGTACCCCCAGCCTCGGCGGAATCAACGATGAGGACACACAAATGCTCGAAGCCCTCTTTGAAAGCCTGGGCACTGTGTGTATGGATCTGCAGGCGATTACGACTTCTCCGGACCCCGATATGAAGGCTGCGCGTGTGCTGCGACGTCGTCTGGATGCCGCACGACGAGTACTGGAGGGAGAGCTTGATGCTTGATGCTTGATCTTATTTCCTTTTAATTCTTTCATTTCGTCCCATCTTGAATGACGCGATATACCACCTATGATTTATTTTTGCCTTGAGCGGAATTGACGTTCTTTTTCATTCCTTTCATCTATCTTTCTTTGGTCGCATTATCATGATACCCAGTTTTTTTTTGTTTCTTTATCTCTTTCTCTACTGGATTTAAGCGGCTCTTTTTTTATATCAAGTTCCCCCTAGAGAGCATATAGTATCCCAACTTGGAATAACCTAATTCAAGTCCGTTGTGATCAGTGGGTGTGTACGGAGTATACGGGACATGTGAGACCTCCCATATCCGAAATATCCTTATTACCTATTACATTGAAGTCGATCATAGCATTTCTCATGAAGATATCCTCTTTGTTTAGTTTTTATTTACCCTGTTTTCCATTCGATTTCCTTGAGGTCATCCTAGTCGCTCTAACTAAAACCCCTTTTTGCCCCGCGATGCCAATCGCGGGACATTGATCAGCCAACGCGATAAGCAGAGCCTGTCGCGCCCTCCATACACGCCACTGTCAACAGGTCGTAAGCGAAGGCCCTAAGATGCACTGTATTGTATATGGCTAATAAATTCCAGAACCAAATACGCTCTCTGCGCACCTACGCCAGAGCCACAGCGTAAGAGCCAAAGGGGACAAAAAATCAACGGGGGAAAAAAGAAACAGCCAAACTGAACAACCCATCTCCCCCAAGGCTAAGTCCAAAGAAAAAGATCCCCAATCCGGATCTTCGCAAGACCCTTCTGCGTTCTTTGCACTCCCAGAAAACCCTCGCGATGAGTATGAGTGCAAGCGCAAACGCCAGGCAGCTGCCAGGAACAGCCGCACCGGGGCAGCCGTACGCCTCGCGCCGTCTCCTCATTTTCCAGGAGACGCGCAACCCCCAGAACGTCGCAGAGACCGTCTACCTCCCTGTCAACAAGCTGGGCTTGCCGATTTGTGGAGATGGGCCTGAGTTGCCTTCTATCTTGGAGTTGCCGTTGCGCGTGCTGAGGGTTTTTACGGATATCTTCAATCAGCCAAAATATAAGGGATGGTATGTTTCTCTTGTTGCTATGATTAGATTTAATTTTTGATTTTTTTTTAATACTCTTATTCAAATTGCGATCATCATGCTAATTCGATTTGTTCCAGGTCTGTCTTATCTGCAGGCCCTTACCACGATATTTCAGAGGAAGGGAAATTCTACGCTGTAGTTCTGGAGCAGGCGCTGAATGCGTCGGGCCAGGCATCACACGAGACTCATATGGGAACGCCTTGATTTGTGGATTGATCTGCGCATTTGATTCCCCTGCCGATACTTTTGTGGAACATTGAGAGAGTGTTGTTTCTTGCTTTTCTTTGTATATCCTTATCATTTTCTTTATTAGCGTATTCGATGCGTTAGGCTAATCAAGTCTCGATGTTCGCGTCTCCTATCTCTGATTCTCTACTTCGGGATGACCGAGAATGACAACATCCAAGTACTTTTTCAAGAAGTCTAGCAAGGATAGACAAGGAAATAGTTAAATGTAAGAGCGACAGTAAGGTCTGAGTTCTTCCGATGGTTTTCATTATGAGTCAAATGGCTTTTGCTTGGATTTCTCAAGTTTGGAACATCCTTACTAGGCCTAAATTGGCGCTCAGTCCATAGATACTATGCCGGTGCTAGAAATGGAAGCGGCCCTACTCAAATCGCCATAAGTGACCGAGGGACTTGTTTGACGGATCTTCTCACATCTCACCAAATACCACTATATCATCAAAGTCTCCCTTGAAAAATATCCAATCAAGTCTGAATCCTCTTGATATCTTCTCGCATTTTGATCGAAAGTACAAGTATGTGTACCCATCTTCATACTTGACGTTGAGCACATTCTGACCAGAGATTAAGCCCAGTCCAAATTTCGAACTCAAGTGCGCCATGGCAGATACAAATTCTTGGCAGCGTTTCAAACACCTCTGGATGGCGATTAGCTTCGTTCTTAGTTTGGGTTGTCTGATACTTCTGATAATGAGCCTTGACCCGATCGAGAAATGCATGAACGGCACTTGCTACGGGCTCTACCAAGGGAAGTCGGTGCCGACAAGCGCCGCGAGATATACATCTTTGGAACCTACTATGGCTGCGATAGCCGTGGACAACGAAACGCCTACCCATCTTGCAAGCCGTGATGCAATCGATGCCCCGGTTGTAGGGGGCCCGAAAAGCACGAGCGAAGATAACATCGTGCAAGAACGCAACCGGAATGATAACATTCCGGAAGAGACTGGCAGCAAGCAAGACGACAAGCATCAAGAAAATGACTACGTTCAGGGCAAGGACCAAGCTCACGATGGAGAGATGGTACACGATTACATGGAGAATGAAAGCGACGCCGGCACCGAAAGTCTCGCCCCGCTGGAGCCAGCCTGTCTGGTCAGTGGAGATTGCAGTTCCGGGTACAAATGCGTTGAAGGGTGGTGTGAGCCTGGTTGCGACAAACATCAAGATTGTCCGCGGGGATATAGTTGTAGATACGGTCGGTGGGGATACCGGTGTTTTGCGACGAAAGGACACCATCGCGAGTGTCTGGAACATTTGATGTTTTGTATGCGGGATTTCCAGTGTTGCTCGGGGTATTGTGGGCGTCGGGCTAAGGGGAAGGACCTGCTGTGTTGGCCCAAGGAGAAGAGGGAGAATACTGGAGTGGGATTTGATTAACTACACCACTGCTTATTCTAATCTGTCATGGATAACCTAGTGGAAGGTTCACCGCTATGCCACTTACCCTGCTTCGGCGCAAGTCAGCGGGTACTGGTGCCTGGTACGAATCCCGGGGTTGGCATTTTCACTCGTGCGAGTAATCCACGACGCTGGAGGCCACTAAGCAATGGAAATGACCCTTGAGGGAAGCAATTCTGCAGAGACATTTCCACCCCGGGATGGCGTCGCTAGATAACACCGTCCTGTTACAGGGAACTGGGCAATTTGGTGTGACGACTACTATTTTTTTTTTTTTTTTTTTTTTTTGATTCTGGCTGTCTTACTTCTCTTCAATCAGCTTGTATTTAAATATTCTCAACATCGTCAATCCTCCTTAAATCCCCTCTCTACGCATATTTCCCCTGAGAAACCACGGTCGGAACAGATCGCAAAGCCGCCACCAGATAGCCGATCGCTTTGACTAGCGCAGTCTTATTGCATGAAATCGGCTACAATCAATTACCATCAGCTTCGCGGAATTGTTGGATACAGGGCTCTCGTAGGCAATTATCGGTCTGTTATAAGCTAATATTCTCGCTCTCGAACATATTCATGGCCTGTTTTACGCTATGGAATAAAAGCGTTCCCAGGAATGCCTTGAAAAATGCCGTACAATGCAGCGAAAGTGGGTTGTAGTTACATATGTACCAATCTGGCCAAACATGCACAAGCTTCCTTCCACTGGTTCCTGAGACTGACTGTTCGGGTTATAGGATCAGAGTTTCATCGCCCTTTTGTATCCCCTTTAACGGGGGTCAACTGGCTTCGAGGCTGTCAGGACTATGGCATCCCAGATTCGACCGTGGCACATCCAACAGACTCTAGAATATCTGCCTACCCATTAGTATTCAACTAATAATCGAATGGTCATAACATATTGGTACTTTCTCTGGATCATATTATCAAATGAATATGATCACGGAAAATAAAGGATTATATGATGAGTGGAATCTTTCTGAGCAAAATATTGTTACCCCAGGAGGTTTGTAAGGCCACATGCATAGAACGCCGAATTGTATACAATAAGCTTCGGGGGCTACATGCCCCATCTGTCTCAATCTTCATATCGGCCCAGATGAATATCTGCCTCGATGGGTTTCACAAAGCTCGGACGATAGGCAATCTTGTGGCCCACGTACAGCACAGCAAATAACAGCAGACTGAGGTAGTTGATAAAGAAATCCGTCACACTAAATGATGGAATGAAGGCAGTGAAACCTTGCGTGATGATGATCAAGGTATTGAAGAACAAGCCGTACCACGACAAGTAGGGCTGCCAGGACGCTTTATATGGGAGAGTGTCGCGCGAAATGCCCTGCGCTTTCAAGGCTCTCATGAACGCTAGGTGGCAAGCGTTGAGAGATGCCCAGGTGATAAAGCCCGCCAGGCCTGCGATTTGCATCAACCAGTTGAAGACTTCGGCTCCGGCATTTGACACATTGAGGAAGCCCAATAGTCCAAAGAGTGCTGTGAACCCAACACTTGCGTAGGGCACGCCGTATCGAGTCGTTTTCAAGAAAAACCGAGGAGCGAAACCCTCCTGGGCCATTCCAACTAGAATCCGACTGCCGCTGTACACGTTCGAATTGGCAGCAGAAAGTACTACGGTAAGTAGTACCGCGTTGATAATGCTGGGTAGGGCGCGCACACCGGCGAGTTTTGCAGCAATAACGAAAGGGGACGAATTTGCATCGGTGCCAGTGCTATCAGCGAGAAGGTGCTTTTCATCGGATGGTACGACGATTCCAACAAAGAATATCGTAAACACAAAGAAGAACACAATACGGAAGAAGGTTTTCCGAATTGCGGAGGGGACATTCTTAGTAGGGTTCTCCGTTTCACCCGCGGCAATACCGACAAGCTCAGTGCCTTGGTAAGAGAACCCGGCTTTAATAAGAATGGCCCAAAATCCCACGAACTTGGCCAGAGCATCCTTTTGAGGATCTTTAATCAGATAAGGATTGAATGGGCCGGGATGCACCCAGTATCTGAATCCAATATATCCCTGACTGCCAGCTCCGGCATTGATGCAAATAGCGAAGATCATAAACCCAACGACGGTGATGATTTTGATGCTCGAAAGCCAAAACTCGACTTCGCCGTAGCAGCTGACAGGGAACATGTTCAAAATGATAATGATGACCCAGAATACAGCAATGAAAATTGATATTGGGATCGAATCATCCCAATATTGAATGATTAAGCCGGTTGCAGTCAGCTCGAGGGCAAATGTCGAGGCCCATGAGAACCAGTAAATCCAGCCCATCGCAAAGCCGAGACTGGGGTCCACCAGGCGCGTCGCATAGGAAGTAAATGCTCCGGGGATGGGTAGGTAGGTGGCTACCTCACCCAAGGCCACCATGATTGAATACACAATGGTTCCCACGAACGCAAATGCAATCAAGGCGCTCACAGGGCCTCCGATAGCAATGGCAGCTCCACTACCAATAAAGAGACCTGTTCCTATCGCACCACCTGCACGAAAATAAGAATCATTGCGGAGAATATTCACTACTGGACCTCTTACCCATTGCAATCATCTGCAAATGTCTGCTTTTGAGTTTCCTTTGCAAGTCCGGGAGTTGGCGTGTGTTGCCATCGTGTTTCTCTTCATCAATATCGTGTTCTGCTGTTGAGTGGGTTGTGATGCAATCTTTTATATCATTCTTCTCTGTCCCAGAACCGTTGTGAGTATTAGGAACCTGTCCATCGGTGGCCATTCCTGGTTATATAGAGAGATTTTGGTGGATTCTAGGCCAATAACAATGACAGATGGGATTCATAAACATCAAGTCAGCCCCAAGTCTGAGATCGAAAAATTCAAAACCCTGATCCAGCCCAGCTTGGCTACTCCAAACAGCTTAGTTTGCCTCCACCTCTCAATCGGGAAAAGCGCAGGTAGTTTACAGTGAATGCTTGGCGTATTGATCCATGATAAAAACCCGGTGAATATGAATTAATTACGCATGGAGAGATGCCTTCACCCAGACCATACTCCACTCAATCCAGCAAATTACGGAACTATTGCTAATGAAGAAGTGGCGATATTATGGTGCGGATAAAGCGTATCGGAAAACGCTTTCACTCAACCTCACTATCTAAAATCAAATGTCTGAATCATTCAAAGTCTGCAAAGGTTGTTTTTCGCGTTGGACTTCCATAACGGGGCTCTCCGTGAAGATCAGGCTGCGGAACTCTAACCTCCACAACATGAGCTTCATAGCAAATGCGAGTAAGTGATTGGGATACGAAGGATCGTTAGACTATCATTAAACCGTAATTGGTGCTTGGCAAATGGTTCAAAGCAATGCAACAGCTCGAGCCGCCCGATTTCGACAGCAAACCAATCATCGCCTTGATTATAACGTGAGTTGCCTGTTGAGAGTGAGACAAACCGGACCGGTGGGATCAAATCATAAACATCATAAACTCCATCATGGACTACGCACACCACCGTATGCAAGTGCATTATGTATTCAGGTGCGAAGGTGACATGGTCTTTGAGCAAGGATGTCTGTTGGCAATCCTCTCCCAATAAGTTGGAACTCATCTGTAAAAGCTAGGGAATGAGAGGTCTCTGGGAAAAGAGAAAGGAGATGCAGGGGGAGAAACGGGGAATGAGGGGGGGGGGGGGGTTTATACTCGCGAGACATAGTCCCACCTACCAAAACAGGAACGATTCAGCACGACACGTGGAAAGTCATAGGATGAGTATCCAAGGCCATCGGGTGCAGAACCATGGGACTGATATCGAGTAATTCAGATAAATACATGAAGTAGAAAGCATATACCGGGCTCAAGAACCCGCCAAAGCTGTACGCAGCAAACCAGCTGCCAAAATATACCAATAGTGGCTCCATTCTCATTATTCGGGCAAAAGACGCGCAGGTCGATCAAGACGAACGTCCGTCCAGACTTTCGGGCAATCCTGCAATGACAAAATCATGGAAGCCTACTCAAGTCGTCTGCGGCAAGAAATCGCGCCCAAGGAAATGTGCAGCTGCCTCAATATTCTACACGATATGAAATTTTGTATATGGACACTGTGGTGGATAGTGTCTGCCGCGCACTTTGCCATTTCCAAGGATGTCCACGACCAAGCGATATCACGGTCACAACCCTTCCTACTGCATCTTGGGCACCGTGCCTTACGAGGCGCCTCGCTGTTGATGATGTCACAGTTGGCGAGGTGGTGAGTGACCGCGACATCGACCTCCCCAATGCTGATGCAGTCATTGGACCATTGTGGCAATATGTACCAGTGCGGGTCAAGTTTGCAAATGAAGGGAGTGCTATGGATCTTTTGCGATTTTTGAAACGACAGCTTCTTGAGAGCGCAAACTTCGAAGGAATTGGCCTGAAACAAATCCAGAACTGCACTGACTGGCCGGAGACAGTTGACTGGTTCCATTCGGTTGTACATCAGGATATTGACAACGTGGAGGACCTATCTGTTATGGCAGCCAGTAGTCGCATGCAGACTATCTACCCACATTTTGCACCGTTATGGGAGATTGAGAGACAGCCATTCCCAAAAGGTGACACTCAGTGCATCGAGGTGGTCGTGGTCGGAGTTTGCCGTATCTCTGCTGGATGATATAGTCGACACTGCTGGGCAATTGGCGACCCTGGTCCATTCCTAGATCACGTATATGAGACAATTTCATTACCTAGACTTTAGAATCGTTCATGGCTATATGCACACATATTCAATCACTCCGTTCAGATTTGTGTCATGTGACCATCTGTGTCCCTGGTCTGACTCTTTTTTCTTTCCTACGCCTTTCATTTACAGCATCCTCCTAATCGAACTTTCGAACATTCGAACTTCCGGTAGAAACTCAAATAACAACGGGTGTTGTTGCCTGCAAGTGGAGAGCAACCAGGCATCAGCGGGCCCGTGCGACTGAGCTCCCCTGGGGAATTCCGGTTTCTGCCTCGCAGATATATAAGTCGACAGCAGCGCGTGGAGGCTCAATAATCGATTCAGAAAATGCATTCAAGACACTCAAAAAGACGTCGCACGGGAGGTTCGGAGACCTTACAGGATCTCGTTCCGTCGCTACCTGCAGCCCCACTGACGTCGCCGTTGTTTACGGTGTTCCCCGCTGAGATCCGCAATCGCATTTATGCGTTTGCCCTGGAGTCCGAGGATGTTTCCACAGAAAGCAGTCCTCGATCGCTCTATAAACAAAACGAATTCTACTACCGACCCGGGTACAAACAGCCAAAGCGCATCCAGACTGCTCTCCTTCAAACATGTCAACAGATCTACGCCGAAGCGTCACTCCTCCCACCAGCGGTCAATGAGCATACATTCTGGTTTTATCGCGCCCCGCCGCATGTCAATGATGCCTCGAACCCGATGGAATATTTTCGGAAGATGACCCCAAAACAACAGGCCCAAGTGCAACATTTACACTTGTTCACCCAGCAATTTTTCCTAGAGGATAATGTCTGGTCTCACATATGGCACGGTCTAAAGATAGGCGATGATGGGCGCAGAATGCGAGGAGAGTGCAGGATCGCGCCGAAGAAGCTGACAATCACCCTCCGGCACACAGACTGGTGGTACTGGGAGAACAATGACCCCCTGGGCATCGACCCATTCCAAACTGGGAGGACCCGCGCGGCCCAGATGGGTCGGGCTGTCAGTTCAACCGCCCTACCTAGGGCATGGGGTAACCAGTTCATTTCGATTCCTTGTCTGAATGAACTTGTGATCGAGTTCGAGACCGTCATGCGAAAAAGAGACCAGCTCGATGACATCATACAACGAGCACTGCAGTGGAAGTTTCCCTTGCAGCCTGACAATGGCTTGCATTTGGTTGCTGATCCCACATCAATAAGCGCATATACCTGGGTCGGAGCAAAAGAGGCGGCGCTGAAAATGCAGAGGCCTGCCATGCCACGGCCGGTTCATCCTGTGGTTGGGTTCGAACCACAACCCGTTCAGACGGAGGCCCCTGCAAACCCGACTTTGAAGCCGTTTGATCCGAGTGCCTCTGACAGTTCTGAGCTTAATCCGGATGCGGAGCAGTTCTATGTTGTGTTTTTGACTTGGAAGAAGCACCAAGATCAGAGATAGCCCGTTATATCTGACCTCAGTTCCTATTATTCCCTAGATTCCCCTTGTTCATGATACAGGACTTCGTCTTCGAAATCGGTTTGTGGGACACACAATACCTTCACGTTCTATAATGCAGCAAATCAGATGGAAATTATATGATATCACTATGTGAATTCCGTGCCTTGGGCCCAAACAAAAGAGAATATCTGTTGAAATGCCTCCTAATGCCTGATCTTCCAGGCAGAGACATGTATGACAGACTGACTCTCAGTTGCTAATTTCTTAGTCGGTGTGGACCATAAAGTTCCTAGTTTTTCCTAGCCCTGAGAGTCATAACTTCTTTCTTTTTCTCTCTCGCGCTCTCTCTCCCTCTCGGTAGCCCCAACAGTATCATAACATGAAATTTTGATTCAGTTCGAGATATCATAAGATCTAGTACCTATTCGATGTGCCGAGTCACTATGCCAGAAACCTTGAAAAGCTCCTTTTGGGGGTTCTTTTCTTCTTAAGAAGGGAAAAATTCACGAAAGCATAAACCCAGAACAAGTTCCATGTACATTGCGTTTCTCGAATTCGTTTGTAAGACCATTATAACACCTGTTCCAAGCTTGCAACCATTGAAAGCCCGAAGGTGACACGATGAAAGCTATGGTCAGAGAAGAATATACTCGCGCAAATGGGTTTACAGAGCCATATGTAGGAATCGAAGAAAGACGTTATGATATCATCCCTTCACTTCTACTATAATCAACATATTCAACGCAGCTTTGGCTTGAAAAGCCTCCTACGCATAAATGTAAATTTGAAGAAATATTTGGGGCCACGAATGGAAATATTAAGATGCATAGTTGATAGTTGATGAAGCGAACCTATGAGACGAGCAAGAGTTCTGACAGAGACATTACACCGTTACATACATCACGGTTCGTTTCATTCCATGTAAGTAAAGAGATATAGGTTGCAAACTAGGAGCCTTAGACCCCCAATCTGACCAAACTTCAAATTATGGGCTTGGGATTTAGTAGCATATCGGATCCCAAGGCATCCTCAAGATCCCATAAAGCACAGAAAAGCATTATGATTAGTATATGTTAACCCAATCACAGGCTACGTAGGAACTCCCACACCCTTCTTGCTCGTGATGGTCTATAGCGGACCTTGTGGTCAAAGCGGTGGTTCCGATAGACATCCACGCCACGCTCGATCGTCAGCATAACCGGCTGCACCACTTCCGCAACAATGCCCGAGACAGTTCCCGTAGCTACCATATGCGCTGTCGAATTGCCCTTCGAATGCATTACCGCCAGTGCCTCTTTGGTCGTCTCCGATTCAATTACGGTGTTCGGCGTGAGAAGTGCACCGCTCAGCTTATCCCTCACCCAGTCTGAGGCTCCGGAGTTGGCTTTGTGAATGATACTGTCGGCGGTGGCGATGCGGGGGTGGCCTTCTTTGAAGTGTTCCACGATTGTTGAGGGCAGCTGGCTATCCGGAACCACACCTTCATGTGTTACAAATGCAGTCGTCACGGCGCCTAAATCGTCTAGGCCCATACCCAGCCCCGCCGTGAAGACCTTGAGACACACACCGATGAAGAGGGCTCTGCGACGGCCGCTTTTGAAAAGAGCGTTGAGTCGAGGATCTTTCTTGACGCGATGGTGGATGTCTTCTTTGGAACGATGGCGGTTGATCATTGTCACACACCCCTGCCAGATATTCACTGCGGCAAGGGCACACAATGGGGGCATGTACGGTGCCAGTGTAAGACTGATAGTAGCTCCAGTCAGAGCTCCAGCGAGACCTAGCCGGTTCGAGCCCATGGAACGCGCGAGGGCATTATCAGACATGGATCTCCTATGATCTCTTACATCGCGTTTCGTGCAGAGGTTCAATACCTCTCCCAACTTTCTAAGAGTCAACCCCGAGGACGGCATGGCTCTCCTTGGTGGAAGTCTTGGTTCTTGGAGTTTTGAGTGTTTGTTGTATGAATGAATGGAATGATCGAGAGTGAGTTGAATCATGCGGGTCACTGGGATCTCGATGTTTATGTGGATGGGAGTCTGAGGTACATCCTGAAAGGCTGAGACTCGGTATGCCCTATGGCCGATACCATGCTGTGATAATTTGGCTGCCTGATATCACAGCATCTGACGGAAAAAGATTGGGCTATGTTTCACGCCAAATCCAGGCACAAAACAAGAACTAGTGTCAGTGCCTGTAGGTATGAGTTGCCCGGGTTTCAGGGTTTCTGCGACTCGCTACCGTCAGCATCCGTTAACACCTTGCACAGCCTATCTCCAGCCCTTTTCATCTATTAGTATGGAGTACGAGAGGCTTGTATACCAACGTATGTACGTCTATGCGTAAGATAACATGCATGGGCACCATTACCTACCAAATTCCCCGTCAGTTGGAGGCTGTGCTAAGAACCAGCCAGTCAGTGGCTTCAGGGCCATGTTTCCCTCCATTCTCGTATTCGTATATCTCCCCGGTTTTGCCCAAGGCGTCGCTTGAACCTTCACCCAGTCTGTCATTTGTCAAGCATAGTCACTTGCAAAAAGTCAAGATTCCAATTTGCCGAGGCAGCAATCCCTTTGCAACACGGAGTGCTGAGGGGGCTATGCAGTCCACCACGAAGTTATTCCCGAAAGTTCTGATTGCACATTGGCAGTGGCAATTTTGTTTGAGAACTTCGAGTGTCAGTGAGTGTTCATGACGGCGAGAGATTTGTGAGATGAGGGAATTGCTAGTGGTCTTTGTACACTGTCTGCTATAAGTGGGTTTTAACCAAAATTGCAACCCATTCAATAGTACCAATACCAATATCTACACAAGTTTTCCAAAGCGAGTTGAGACAGATTGAGTAAGTCGTTAACTTATCTCCAATATAGGATAAATGTACGAATTGAGAGCTCATAAATTGCTCTAATCAAATGCCAAAACGGAGATGATCTCATGTATCATGAAAGGCCGAGAAAGTAAAGAGAAAAAAACGAAATCAGAAACAAAGCAAAACAACACATATCACTTTATCATGAATCATGAATCAAAAATTGGCCCATAGGCCGGAATCCCTTGGGATTCAAATTCATAAACGATTTGCTGGGTCATCGCAGGGTTGCTGATAACAAACACAGCCTCAGCTCGGAATTCCTTCACTTGCTGTCGCACGACTGGAAGCATGTCAACACGGCCATCACGACTAGTATCGAAGATGATCGGATCTGGACCCATTTTATGGACAAGATCAATGACATCTTGGCCATAAGTCTTGACCGGTGTACGCGTCTGCCAGATGACCTTGATCAAAGGTCGGTTTTCGTCGCCAAGGAACCCAAGACAGGGTCCTATTCCAGACCCTGTGGTTACTATGATAATACGGTCGAAGACACGTAGACCATATCCAACGCCGCGCATCAGAGCCCCGCGCTTCCAGAGGTGGGTTGGAGGTTCACGAATCGTATCGGCTGTCCAATCCCCTGCTTTCGACACAACAATTGACCAACTCCTCTTGTGTCCATGGCCCTTGACAAATGGCTTTTTCCCAGACGTATTCTTACCAGGTGGATTCTCATCGACTGGAATAGGGTCCGGGAAACCGGCAAAACTGTGCCAATCACGTAGAGGGTGCTTTGAGACCTGGACACCTTTCGCGAAGCTGATTGGCGTGAAATCAAAAGACAGCCGTACAGCATGGGAGGAAAGAGGCTCGGCCTTCACTGGAACCCTTCGCAGTAGTAGCCATGGATGTGCGACAGCAATGATCGCCGCAATCAATAGCCAGAAAGCGGGCAGAGTAACGAGAAAGTGACCAAGCGTTTCTTTCTGTGCCCTGCTAACTTCATGTGCAAAGATCATGACCAAGGCCACAAAGAGAGCTAGTATCAACCATGAAGTGAATCGGTGGGTGAGCTCAAAGTAGTCGTGCATCTTCCTGCGGAACGTGGGGTATGCGACTACTATCATCACAACGAGCAGGGCAAGAATAACGTAGGCGACAGCAATCGGGGCGGCTGAGAAACTGGCATCTGTCACTGTGCTAATAGCAGATCCTGTCCAATAGATTTGTGACACCATGGCAACGAATCCAATATACCACACCAAAGATGCAGTGCCACAACCGCTGTGAACACCGCCATAGTGGGCTGCCTTAGCGGCCCTACGGCGCAAGGACAAGGGTGCAGTCCTAGGAATCGAACACACGATTCTATAGATCGCGTTGACCATCATCGGGTGTCGAGCGAGACCGCATGCAACCAAGTTTGTAGCTGTCGCATTCACAAGGGCTAGCATTTTTCGATCTGAGATCATCACATAGAGAAAAACAGCAAGATTCGCGCAAAACACAACCGTGAAAAGACGCCGATAGACAGTGAAAATCACATATCGGAAATGGGCAAACCGCTTCCGTTTGGGTTCGGTGGACAGAGACTCTATGTCAATTTCATTGGGAGTCTTCTGTTCGTCGGAGACTTCTTGAGAAGAATGCTTCTCAACGGCCTTTTCATGACCTGCAATAATGGCCTGAGGTGGAGGTGCTGGCAAGCATAGCTCGTTCTTTTCAGTGTCTGCCATGGCCGAAATCAGGTAAGGGAGAAAGAGACAAAGGAAGAACTCGAGAATCAGACACGGCAGCGAAGTATTAAACTAAGATTTTATTTTCGTTATTTTTGCGTAGGAGACCCGATTTGCATAAGCTAATCCTAGTGCGATAGCGAGATGCCCCGGAAACTCACTCACGAAATCCTGCAATGCCCGGATTGCGAAGCAACAGTGTGGGATACTCTACAGTATAGATGGCTGAGATGGACCCACGGTGTGGGGATTCATTGATCACAGACACAGCATCTCGAGAAATGGATACGCCTCCAGTGATTTTTTGCTTTGCTGATCTTGCCAGCTCGGAATGTGGGCCACACTCTGGCCAAGGATCGACAATCTACTACTTCGCGCGGACCCATTAACGCAGATCTTTTCTATTTTCCTTCTTGGGTTGCTTTCGAATTCCAACAAAAGTTCGTCGAACCTCGGCCCCGGGATGTGGCTGCAAGGACGGTAACCGTGGTGCCTGAGTAGGGATGCCAAACCGACTGGCAAGACGAACAATAGAGGTTTTTGTCTTCGAGCCGATACAGAACCTAAATTTGAGATCTGATCGGCGCTCCATAGGGAGAAGCCAGAAAAGTCTTCGAAGGCACTAGTCCGGAGGACGGAGGTATACAACGTGCGGAGTACATACCTGGGCATGGTGGAACCTGCAAAGCTAAGCGGGTTATACAATCACTTGCCTTGCTTCGCAGAGAAGCATTGCGCTATCCCTCCGGAAGCTAGGGAAAATAGCGAGAACGTTTCGATCACAAGCGCATATCGTCGAGTCCGCATTACTACGAGTTTGAAAGATATCGAGGGGCAGACGGAGCAGGAACCCAAGGTCTAAGGTCTCTTAGCCCCATTCCAAAGGATTCAAGACGCTGGGTCTTGTTGAGCTGATGGGGATCGAGGAGTTGTCGATCGAGCTCCCGATGTGTGAGACTATGGGCCTGTCAGCGGTGGAGCCAGGAACGTGTTCATTACGCTTGGTCCTCCTTGATTTCCTTGAACGGAATACAATCTGGCCAACACATTACACACATTGTATACCTGGTAGCATGGCCATATGCAATATGCAAGGTTGCTCGTTAGCCCGCATTAATGCTATATTTACGGAGTATAGGCCGCATGAGACAACTTGGGACTTTTTTGAAGTCGACGCCCACGCGGGCGCACGGGCGTTTGTTTACGGTCACGAAACCACGTATTGTAAGCAAAAAACACCGATATCAGAATCCATGAACTATTGGCACTAGACAAAAATAAGGCTAGATTGTAAAAACACGCAGTACTCAGTGGTTGTCCCAGATTCTCCAAGGTAGGATAGCCAAGATAATCATTGTTCTCAGCTCGGCACCGAGACAAATGAACTAGCAGAAGCAATCTTCTTGGCCAATGTCTTGGTTGGTTGCGAACCGAGGAATTCGAAAGAGGATAGTTCCGCCCCCAGTTCACGAGAAACCCAATTTTGGACGGCTGTAGCTTTGAGAGAATCAACTAGAAAACATTGTCAGTTATTTGTAACGTCAGGATGGAGAGACAACCATCCAGAACACATACCACCCAAGGCAGACAAAGGTAAATCCGAGTCTATAGCATCGGCGGTGGTAGCCATCGCATCTGCTAAATATTCGCTCAGGATGTCAAGAACAATCTGAGAGGCGGTATCAATGGAGTCGGACTCTTTGAGCAAAGTGCTGGTCTGAACCTTGGAGTCACCGTTACCCTCGACAGCGAGACACAATCGGTGATCGAATTTTCGATCTAGCACCCACGCCGTGGAACCATTGCTGCGAGATAGAGAGTCGGTCATGCCGGCGATAATCTGAGATGGAAGGGGCAATTTGCTGTTGATAATCACCCGAAGTAAGGTCTGTAACTCATGGGTCATAATTTCTGTGCCCTCAAGATGCTTGTATCGGCGACGGCGTTGCTCCTGATCTTCGGCGATGTCACTGAGTCCACTGGCATCTGGAACGAGACCGATGTTTATAGAATGTCCAGGAAGACCATGGCTACGTCGCCATTCCATGAGAGCATCGATGAAACCATTGCCAGCAGAATAGTTGGCCTGGCCCATATTTCCAATGACACTTGCCACAGAGGAGAGTGCCACGAAGAAGGTTAAATCACCCTTCTCTGAGAACAGATGGTGCAAGTTCAGTGTTCCACGAATCTTTGATTGTGTGGACTGGGTCCAATCCTCAAAGGTCATGTTTTCAAACATTGCGTCCTGTAGGATGAAAGACAAATTAGCTTATATCAACGGAGAAATTGAAATGAGAGTAAATGACCTTAAGAACGGTTGTGCACTGGATCACACCTGCAACAAGCCAGTTTTTGCTGCGAATTTTATGTCGAAGGTGATCAATGTCTCCCATCTGAGAGATATCGCAACGCAGTATATCTATGTGGCAACCGTAATTCCGAAGGAGGTCGAGGGCTAGTTGTTGGCTGGGTTGAGCTCCCCCAGAACGCCCAAGGAACACCAAATGGCGGGCCCCAGATTGCACCAAGGTACCGGCAAGGGCAAGGCCTAGATTTCCCAATCCACCAGCGAGGATATACGTATGTTCTGCTGGCAAGCTGGTAAGTTCTGGCAGTGGGAGTACAATGGGAACCTTTCCTGGAGCTTGAAGGTCCACAATAGCTCGTGTGTTGGTCTGCTTGCAATGTGTCAACGCTCCCTGGAGGTCGGAAATAGGGAAAATGGAATAAGATTTCACCCGGTCGAGCATCCGATGTTGCTTCATGAAGTTTATCACATACCGCAGTGAAGCATGCAGACTACCGGGATTTTCAGAGAATGATTTTTGTAGGCGTGGAGAAGAGAATGTGCAGCCACTGTCGATAAAGCTCTCCGGGAGAGCGCTCAGCTTCATATCGCTGGACAGATTGATGTATTGACCACCTTGGACCAGACACTTTGCAGCATTTCGGCCAACATATCCACCAAGGAAGCAGATGCTGGCGTCAATTCCACATCCGTTCGTCAGCCTTGACACGCTCGTTTCTAGGCTACCGTGAATGCCTAAAATTCGCTCCGCCAAAAATGGGTACTGTGAGCGAAGCTTCTTGGTGGATTCCTGTGTATCGGTGGCCACAATGACTTGCATGCCCATGGCAATGGCATACTCGACCATGGCCTGAAGTGTATGGCTGATTGGGCCGACCAAAAGAACCGAGGAGCTCGAGCTGAGGCGACCGACTTGGGTGAGAATTTGGTATGCATTGATGTACGCCAGGGGGGTCGATATAGCCTTTGTTGGGTCAGTGTTTGCAGGAATTCTGATAGTGTTGCCCTCCAAGACCCGCATAGTTGTGGCGAGTCCCGAGTCCGCCGATGCCAAGGCCAGTACTGTGTCGCCAACAGCCGAATCCTGCACGCGAGATCCAATGCGAGTGACTTTTCCGACAACCTCAAACATTGGAAGAGCTGTATCTGGCGACTTTCCCTGGTCTTCATGCATGTCAAATACAGTGGCCATTTCAACTTTGATTTCAGTGTGGTCTGGCAGAAGTTTCTCCTCCAAGATTCGTTGCTCCTCCCAGCGAGTATTTTGCGAATCCTCAAACTTCAACTCAAGGGGCCTTGGATCAAGGGCTAGCTCTGACAACACTGGCCTGGGGCCATTCACCAGAGATTGCATGGACTCCTCTACTGCTGGGGCTTCAAGGACCCGTGGAATCAACAATCGGCCGTTCGCCAGACGATATTCCATATCTGGCCTGCGAGAGTTCTCCTGTGTGGTGAGCTGCATCACCTGCAGAATGCCACAGGCCAAACCGAATTTGTCTTCTTGCAGATCTTCCATGTCCACTAGCAAATGTGGAATGACAGTGTTCCATTGCTCATTGCGAAGTGTTCGCAAGAGGCCACCCACGGCACCAGATCCTATGTTCTCTACAGAACCTTGATCCCAGGAGGGTGAAACACAAAGAACATATTGGGCTTGGATTATCTCTCGGAGACGTTTGAGATCCTCATCTGTCAAGCCGATTACCCAGGGATTTGCCAGGTCCAGCAACGAGATCACAGTCTTCCCTGCGAGTGTAGATACTTGCTCCAATTCCACAGGAACTAGGCGAACGTTGTGAGTCGCGAATATCTTTTCAAGATGATCAAAAACGGGGGATGAGTTCGACGTATCGGCTGGGTTCAGAACGTAGATTTCGGTGTCTGTTGTCCACGATGCTGGGGTTCTACGCACGATGATGTAGTTCTGGTCTCCAGTCGTACTGCAAACTTCAAGCCCGTCAAAGGCCTGCAACCTCTCCACTATTGGCGTCAACTCTGACATGCGCATTGCTGCCAGGCCTCCACGTTCAAGAATAGTGGGAAGGAAAGATATAACGGCTTGAGTGGTTTTGTCATCCCACAAATGAGAATCATCAATAACCACCAGATCATATATATCCTCAGCAAGTGACGAAGATGGAAGGTCATGGAGGGTAGTGAGAGGTAAAATGCGAGTGCCTGGGAGGGTTTCCGCGGGCGGTTCATCGGCGCCTCCACATGGAGCGATGGTAACCTTTCCGAGAAAAGGGCGCTTTCCGGCTCTTGGAATCAAGTCTTGAAGATTCTGAATCCACGATTTTGATGTGTCGGAAGTGATAATCAATGACCTGGCATCACCGTGGGTATGGCAGAGTCGCTTGATCCAGTCTGTCAGCTGCAGACTACTGGCTTGCACAGCCATCTTCTTTTCTCCTTCGTAAATATCTCTAGTGACAAGTGCAGACTCCAAATGTTCTTCCCAAACAATAGATGAATACCGACTCTTGGAGGATACTTGATCTTCCTTTTGTGAGTTGGGGTTGAAGGGAAGGCGACCAAGGTGAACGCCTTCAAACGTGATCCAGGGCTGTGACCAGGAGGGATCCGATGCGATACACTGGGATTGCGACTTGCCATCCCGCCATTTCGTTTCGGTATGGACAACAAATTGTTCACCTGGCTGAGGCTGGAACCCATTGGAGATATAGATGTTGTCTACCCCAACAGGAATATTGGCGTTGTTGCTTGATAATGCCTCAGAGCATGACAGGAGGGCGGACTGGAAGAGGCAATCAAGAGTTGTGGGATGAATAAAACTAGGTGTCTCCTTTTCGTTCGGCATCGATTGCTTTGTATCTGTGACCACGCCAGATAGCCAGAGACGAGGCTCCGACTCACAAAAGGACACCCCGGTGATTGTCTGGAAGGCCGGTCCCACGGTGAGTCCTCCCGTGTGAGACAACCATTCACGTGCTTGTCTAACATCAGCCATCTTCGCGATGGTTTGCGTATTCTTGATACGCTCTAATGCTGCTTTCCAGTTTGCATTTTGCTCGTCATCGTTGCGATCCTCATATCTCGTCGTGAATGCACCCTTTGCATGTTGAATCCAGGCACCCCCAGATGGAAGCGAGAAAATTCCAAATTGATACCAACCCGGCATTCCTGGGTGAGGCGAGACCTGGAGAAGCGTCTCCAAACCTCGTTCTTCCTCCGGGATAACCACTCCCCGTGTGAAATGAAGATCTTGAAACTCAATTCCCTTGATATTCGCCTGATCATCAGCTAGTTGTCGCGCAGCCTCGGTGGCCATAACCAACATGCCCGCAGCAGGGAAGACAACCGATCCGGCCACAATGTGGTCTGCCATCCATGGGTTTTCCGAGAGCCGCAAGAAGTTTCTCCATCGTGGCTCCAGCGCATTTTGATAGTCAAGAGAAGCCCCCAAGATATCATGGCGCGGATGCTTGCGCTGTCTCAATTGTGCTGTCTCCAACGGCTCGTGCCAGAATGATGTTTGGTGGTTCCAGGGATAAGAAGGCAAGTCAGTAACCAGCATTGGCCTTGTGGTATCGACGCTACTGTTAACCGCAGCAAGGTCCACTGTGTGGCCAGTACTCCAAAGGGAACCGGCGACTTCCAACGATGTTCGTAAAGCGTGCTGGTTTCGCGAAACTAATGAGTAGTAAGGCAATGATGCCATGTTGGCGTTGACAGATTTCAAAATTTGAGTGACAGGTCCCTTCAAAACGGAGTGCGGGCCGATCTCGACCAATGCAGTCCATTTGATTGGAACCGGCCGTCGGCGGGCCTTGATAGATTCGCTCAATTTTGCGAGCTGCGAAACTGCAGCAGTGAATTCGACTGTGCTGACCATGTTGCGCACCCAGTATGGTCCACCCACCTCCTCAGGAGATACACGCTCTTTCGTGACAGATGAAAGCATAGGAATAGACCCACTGTATCGATCTTCGGGCTTGATACAACTGATAGCACTGCCTACCACTTCGACCAAGTCTTCCATATGAGGCGAATGATAGGCTGTATCAATGCGCAACTTCCGAGCAAAATGACCATCTTGCTGTAATCTTGTCTCAAGCTGATTGATGAAGTCCACATCACCAGAAAGAGTTGTGCTGGCAGGACTGTTGACGCACGCAACAACAACTGAACGTGGAGGCAGCTCATCGAGATACTTCTGTGCATCCGTCGCGGATATTCCCGTCGCAAGCATACCTCCTCGTTTATCACTCTCGGCGATTTGTTGTGAAAAGAACCCGCGGAACCATGCGACTCGCATGGCATCTTCGTGGGAAAGATACCCAGCAGCATAGCTAGCGCCTAGGTAATGGATATATGTTAACTGAAAGTGGTTCCAAGGCCTATGTTGAGAGGAAGGGAAGAGTTAAGAATTAGGGAAGCTGGTCATACCGATTTCACCACTGGAGTGGCCAACAACTGCGTTGGGATAAACAGACCAGCTGGCCAAAAGATCAACCAGTGCAATTTGCAGCGCACAAGTAATCGGCTGACTGCGATCAGGCCGATTGATTTGACTCTCATGTGCCTCTGCTTTAATTTCCTCGACAATATCGAACGAACATCCCAGGGCGGAGAGAATGTCTTGCGACCGCGCCATGCTCTTCTTGAAAGTTGGAATCCTCAAAAGTTCTCGACCCATTCCAGCCCATTGACCACCCTGGCCGGTAAAAATGAAAGCAAGCCTCGTTTGAGCGTTGCGAGTAGCGCGAGAAAACCCGGGCAGTCCCTTGTCCAAGGTGCTTTGCAGCTGCTCTTGTGAATTGGCAACTGCGAAGCTACGAAAACCCAACTGCGAGCGGCGAGTCAGCATTGTGTGCGCTAGATCTTTCACTGAAATATCTTGCTTGGACTTCTGCCGATCTTGAAGAAATGTGCTCCAATTTTGACCCGTGCGTTCGATGCCAGCTTGGTCAAAAGTAGAGAAAACTACCACATGAGGCGCTGGCTCTTGGTCTTCAGCATCCCCCGGAAGGTCTCTTTGGCACTCTCAAGGATTATGTGGGCATTTGATCCGCCGAAGCCAAATGAGTTGATACTAGCTCGCTGTGGTAGATGGTCTGGCCAGGCAATCGTTTTGTCGCTTAGGCGCAGACGCCAATCATCGAGCCGGATTTTGGGGTTGATATTTTTGAAACCAGCATTTGGCACCAACATACCCTTTTCCAAACACAGAACAACTTTGATCAAGCTAGCCACTCCCGCGGCTCCTTCGGTGTGACCCAAATTTGTTTTCACAGAGCCCACGTATACCGGCTCATCTGTCGGTGTTCGTGCCTGGCCCAAGGTCATTCCAATAGCGGATAGCTCAGTGGGATCCTGTTAGTTGGATTAGTTGATTGAGCGTGAGATAGCCATTGAAACATCGGTTTTGCTTACCCCGGCTGGAGTTCCAGTTCCATGGGCTTCGAAATAAGAGGTGTCTCTCATCGAAATACCATGTCGTTCGTAAACCGAACGAATCAAGTTTGCTTGCGACGTTGGACTGGGTAAGGTAATTCCAGGAGTGCGGCCATCTTGATTTATGCCCGTACCACGAATCACGGCTCGAATATTATCTCCATCGGCCAATGCAGCGCTGAGAGGTTTCAAAAGAACAGCTCCGATGCCCTCTCCTCGGCCATATCCATTTGCAGATTCATCAAATGAGTGGCTTATCCCGTCTGCGCTCATCATGTGCATATAGGAAAGTCTTTGGGTGAAATTAGGATGTAGGATAAGACTGGCTCCAGTGACCAGGGCCTACGATAACCATGTTTAGTTCTTTTTCATAGTGCGAGTAGGTAATAAAATGCGTGTTACTCACCATACCACACTCTCCAGATCGCAAGGATTGAGCTGCTAGATGTACTGCAGTCAAACTTGAGGAACACGCAGTATCCATCATGATGCTTGGTCCTTGGAGATCGAAGAACCAAGACAGGCGATTCGCCAGCATCGTCCTTCCGTTACCAGTCGCCGAGTTGTGAGGCATGTCGTAAATATCTCTTGTCGATAATAGCTCATAATCATTGGTCATTGAACCGGAGTAGACTGCCGTGTTGCTCCCTGGAAGCGTATCTATTGGGATTCCGCCTGAGGTGCGCATTTTAGCTCCCTCGTTTCGAGATCTCGGATCTTGTTTGACATACCGTTCTCAAATGTTTCGTATGCAACTTCAAGCAACAAGCGCTGTGCTGGATCCATCCCCTCCGCCTCTTTGGCAGTTATAGAGAAGAAAGGCGCATCGAATCGCGACGGATCCTCTTGCAGGAAAAATCCACTATCATGATTGATCTGATCGTACCACGATTTCAATGTTAGAGAGCCCAATCAAGTCCGAGAAAGGTTTTCATACTGCTCCTTTGCGCTCATGGCTGGGATGATGCCAAGCCGAAGCTTGATATCGGCTCTTGGGAACAGTGCCATGCCCAGTGCGTCCGTCGCATAGCATCTGCCAGAAGTTCTCCACGGAGGTCGCCCCTCCGGAAAACCGACAGCCCATGCCAATTACCGCGATTCCTTCCATGTCTGTTGGGGGAGAGTTGATTTTCGATTGGCCAGGGATCTTGGGGGTATGGAATAGTTGAACACAACGTCGAGACTGCAAAGGGAGGCTATGGGGGTATTATAGGGAGTGTCTTGTCCTCAATGGGCCCTTCCCCTTCTATCCGGGTTTGGCAAGTCCCATTCAATTGGGGTTGAGCGTAGATCCTGGAATCTAGCCCCATTGATGACGGGAGGTGTCGCATATTCACATGTATATCTTACTGGCGAGCGGAGAACGTGCGGTGGAGACGAAAACTGATTGAAATGCGCTATAGAGTACATCGCGCATATCCTCTTGGAGTTCAACTTGGCGATACGCTTTTGCTCTAGGAATACATGACGTAGCCAACGCATTTGGAACTTATTGAATTTCCATGCAGCTCAGGTGATACCAACATCTCCGCCCCTTCGCTCTCTCTTAGGTAGGTGCTATGCGAGGTGATGACCCTGTATCACCATTGCAAAGTGGAAGACCGACAAACCGGATTGTCAATGCAAAGGTTGTATGTTGTACATCGAAGAAGGGAACCGTGGAAGGCCGATGCGAACGAGTACCCTCAGATACGATTGCGTACGGAGTATAGGTATCACCAGTTACCAGCATCCGTCACGGTATTTCACGATGATACAGGAAATGATCTGCGAGACTGATCCTGGCCCGTGTTGGCGAAGATCCGAATTCCCACTTCATATGGAGTAGTGGGGGCTTCCCTTGGCCCTTTTTTGAGACCACTTTCCCTTGATAACAGGATGGCTTCGTACTTATGCTTCCAAGCGCTGTGAGAGAAACCATTCTCTGCCTACGGAGCATTAGCTACCTAGCTATCTCTTGAGCCCGTCTCTTTGTCAAGACCTGTCGAACATGCCATGTCGAAGATTCTTGTGATCTGCCGGTGGGGGCGACTATTTCCCATAACTCGAGCTGATGGAGATCTGTTTTCAAGATGAGATCTGCCAGCGGGGGCGACTATTTCCCATAACTCGGGCTGATGGAGATCTGTTTTCAAGATGGAATCTGCCAGTGGATTATAATGCAAGCGACTAATCGTGCCAGACGTCCAACACCACTCCCGTGGGTTGGTGCGCCCTACCACTTCAAAAAGAATCAACATTTTCCCCATTAAACCTCATTTATCTCCCCACCACTATGTCAAATACCCCTGATTTTACCGAGGATTGGATCATAAAGGCACTTAAGGCCTATTCCCAGGGTCATATCTCTAATATCTCCTAGCTAGCGCGTGATTTCGACGTTCTATACCAGCGGCCGTACAGGCGTATCCGCGGTGATAAGTCTGCCTCCACATATGGTAGCCAAAGCAGAGTATTAGATACAATTCAGGAGAAGGCATTGATTCAATCAATTCTCTATATAATGCGTCTATTTACCCTACCCCTCATCTTATAGAGCAGAGTGCCAATTCTATTCTACAAAGTGCTAGTTCGGATTAGACTTCCGCACGCACCGAAATTGGGTCGAATATCCCGACCCGGCACCGGACCCAACGCTGGGTTCACCGGATAACCCAATAAAAACCCAATTGGACCCAACTTTTGTATAATTCTCCGTATAAAGTGCCTTACTTATCCAAATTGAACACTGTGATTTTCCCTTGTTTTGGTCATATCAAGAAAGACTTTGATATTTAGCAGCATAGTAAGTGAAGCTTGATGAAATATCCTTGTTTGTTGGTATTTGAGGTCTAGTAATATATTAATTACTTGATAGAATATAAAATTTCGTATAAAATAATGCTGTACTTAGTGAGGTTAGAAAACTCATACGTTTGAGTGGTAGAAATATATATTTGCAATGTGTGGTTCTAATGTAGACTTTCCAATACTGAAGAAATAATCAGAACTATAGTAAATCCGTCTAATCTTCTAAATCTTCTTTATCAATAATCCTAGACCTACTAAAAAAATGATTCTACCCATCAGGGATTGTAAAGTGAATACTTAAATATACAGGGAAAATCTACATAAGTTATGAATCCTACAATTTAAGTTTTCTGGGTTCTGCGGAAGTCCTATAATAAGGGGGAGGTACTACGCATTTTTAATTCCACCCCCCTCCCCCCCCGGAACCCTTAATTTTAGTAACCAACTCTGCCCTAGATACCTTATAGCGGGCCAATAAGCTTATTAAGGAGCTTATTAAGGAGCTTAGGGAGTATAACTAGCTACTAAAGCCTATAAAAAGGCATATTAACGGAAATACGCTTTTCGCCTAAAAGCTTGCCTTATGCGAGGTAGATCTAAAGAAGGCTCGCGCAGCGAAATCGCGTTCAAAAGGCCCCCAAAGCCAGAAACGGATCCTTAGAGCTACCAATTTAGCACTTTCGCCTGCAAATGCAAACCAACGTATGACAAAAACGCAGGATGATGATCTAAAGAAGCAGCTACGCAAGGAGGCGAGGAATGCTAATGTAGCAGAGGCTGAGCAGCTGGCTCAATTGGTGCGGGATAGGGAGGAAGCTAAGCATGAAGCTAGATTTACCAATAATAAGAGCTACTATATAGGTAGCACAGCGTTGTTGAGATAAATGATATTTAATGAGAAAAATGTTGATCTTTCCTTGAAGTGGCGGGTCGCACCAACCCACACGAGTTGTAGTGGGCGCCTGGCCCGATTATTGAATGACGCGGTCCACGAATACTAGCACTTGCTCGCCCCTCTCACGCAGATCTCATTTTTACCTGGATTTTGCCTACCTGACTGGAGTCCGAAGTCATGGTGCGCACTAGGCAGACTCTCTAGCACTCGGCACCCAGGCATATGAGCACGCCAATGGTGAAATCCTGCTCTCACATCTCAATCAGCCGACCTGTGCAAGGCACATACTATCTGTAGGCTCAGAAACTAGTGATTTTCATTTAGACGACTGCTCAGGAATATCCGATCCCCCATCCCCTTTTGCTCATTCCGACTCTCTCCCACGTCTAGACATCTGCTCAAAATGACCACCCAAAGCGCTATTGTCGTCCAGGAGCCTGGCCGTGCGAGTTTGGCACACAATGTCCCGATTCCCGACTTATCGGATGACTATATTCTCATCAAAACAAAAGCCGGTATGTTAACCTGTTTCTTTTTATCGCTTTTGGTTTCTAGCTCTATGAGTGGCTGGGCTAAGATATCACCTAGTCGCTTTGAATCCAACGGACTGGCGTCACATTGATTACGTCCCCTGTAACGGTGCCATCGTGGGCTGCGACTATTCTGGGATAGTGGAAGCGGTCGGCCCCCTTGTCAAAAAGTCTTTCAAAAAGGCGATCGCGTTGCTGGGTTTGTACACGGCAGCAATGCGGTTCGCCTCAATGGTGGTGCATTTGCCGAGTATGTGATCGCAAAGGGCGATCTCCAGATCTTGATACCCGACTCCATGAGTTTTGAGGCGGCAGCCACGTTCGGCGTTGGTCTGACAACCGTTGGTCAGAATCTGTACCAAAGCATGGAATTACCCTTCCCAGGCGATCCGCCAGGTGAGACAGATGACACCAGTATTCTCATCTATGGAGGGGCCACCGCTACCGGCACTCTGGCTATCCAACTAGCAAAACTATCGGGACTGCGAGTGGCTACCACATGCTCGGAAAGCAACCGCAGCTTTATGTTTGAGCTCGGGGCGGACGCCGTTTTTGATTATCACGACCCCCAAGTGGGTGACCAGATCCGAGAGGATACCGATGATGCTCTAGAACTTGTCCTGGATACAATCTCTACCCCCCAGTCAGCGGCCATATGCAGTGCTGCCATTTCGTCAGCCGGTGGCTCCTATAATGCCTTGCTAGATGTGCAATGTCCCCGAGAAGATGTCGATTCACATGTCTCCATGGCATACGACCTTTTGGGCGAGCCTTACCGCATGGGGGCACAAGAGACATCTCCTGATAACACAAACTTTGAGTTTGGTGCCAAGTGGTGGGAATTAGCACAGCAGCTGCTTCACGACCGTCGCATTCATCCTCATCCGTATCAAGTCAAACCAGGCGGCTTGGCTGGAGCCTTGGCTGGTCTCCAAACATTACGGGAAGGTAAAGTTCGAGCCTGCAAGCTGGTTTATCGAGTGGATGAGGTTGAGTGAAATCTTGGAAAGGCAAACTAGATGTTCTTAGTTTATTATCAAAGCTCGGCCAAGCACGGGATTAGGTATTCCATATAAGACTGATCCGGTGCATCCAATGGTAGCTGTGAGATAAAGTACAAAGCCATTGTCCCATCAGGCCAATAATACATACAAGGAAGTATCAGACAAGAAAACTCAATAGAGCTTTGCAATAAGTCACTATAGTGTAAAACATCTCCCATCGCTTCTGGATTACTACTGAAATTTGTCCCTCACAAGCAGATACTACAGAGACGCCGAATTGTGTGCTCTGTGGCTTCATATTACCAAACAGTTAGTATATCAATTCGACTTCAAACATGTGGATGTCCTGAAGCATGATACCTCTCATCGCCTATCAATGGCTATCATCTCCTCGACTTAAGTCGGGAGCGTATCTAAGACAGTGATACTTACAGCCCAACGACCGAGGGGCTTTCCAAGTGACATAGTATCTTATATTTATGACTTTCATTTGTATTGAACACCACGGCCGCCACATCAAACAGTCGGAAGACTGCTTCTCTATGGTATCTAATTTTGATAACGGATAAATAGTACATATAGTGAATATTCAAAAACATATAATGGTCAAGGGAATGGTGATAGTGGCCTCCAATGCAAAGATCAGTATGCTGTCAAGCTCCGTGTCAGCCACTAGCGCCTAGATGGCTGGATTAGGGTGTCTTCATCCCGACTTCGCAACCTCGCCCTTGACCCAGGACTCGAGTCCGCCTTCGGCAATGATAGCCTGCACGTTCGCGGGCAACTCGCCGACCTGCTCCGTCCAGCTTTCTCCAGTCTCGCCTTCCTTCACCTCGACGAGACTACGCTTCACGTCCCACGTCAGGGTCCAGCCTGTCCGGCGAGTCAACTGTCGGTCCGCGGCCGAAGGCGACTGAGCAAATTCAGTGCGCAGGCGCTCAAGGAGTCGTGGGACTTCAAGGCCCATGAGGGCATTGTTGATACTGTTGCGGGCGAAGATGTTGCCGAAGCTGCCAGCGACGACGAGAGGAATCTGCTTGGCCAGGATTGCGGTAGCCGCCTGTTCTCTTGAGGATCCGCAGCCGAAGTTGAAGCCAGCGACAAGGATGTCGTTAGGCTTGGCAAGATCCTTGAACTCGGGGTCGTAGTTGGACATGCAGGCTTGCGCCATATCCTCCTTGGAAACATTGTCTTGGTAAGTCAATTTTCCGGGATAGATGCTGTCAGTGTCGAGGTTGTCGGCATCACAGAAGACAATCTCGCCGCTGATACGCTCGGGGAAGCCGGGCAGAATCTCGGTGGCAGGCTTGGAGTCGTCGGTGGCAGACTCGACGCGATCGATCAAGGATTCCATCTGCTGGAGCAGGTTGGAGAGCTCGTTCTCGGTGGTGGGCTCCGAACCGATGCCGAATCCGTGGTCGACGCCATACCAATCCTCTGGCACCTGGTAGGCACCGGGGCCAGAGATCACACCGCTGAGGGCGCTGGCAGCCACAACCTCGGGACTCGCCAGGTATGCCAGCGCGTCTCTCGAGCCCATGCGTCCCTTGAAGTTACGGTTGCTGGCACTGATACCAACCTCGCCGGCATCGAGAAGGCCCTTTCCGAGACCAATGCACGGCCCGCATCCAGCAGGCAACGGCTGCGCACCAGCATCGAGCAGAGCTTGCCAGTCGCCGGTCGCCTCGGCGGCTTCTTGCTCGGGCGCGGAAGCTGCCGCAATGTACAATTGGACACCGTCGGCAATTTTGGGGGTAGTATCTGGGTTCGCCTTAGCGGCGTCTTTGAAGACTTTGGCGGCCGCCGCGAGGTCGGAAGCACGCGAGTTGGTGCAGGAAACGATATATGCGCGGTTAATTTTGATGTTCTGTTGCACGAGCTCGTTGAGTGGTGTTGCGACCTTGACGGAATTAGGGCCTGAAACGTAAGGCGAGAGGGTGGAAAGGTTAAGGTAGAGCTGCTTGGCGTACAAGGCATCGGGGTCTGCAGTGAGGGGATTGGCGAACAACTCGTCGATTCGTTCGTGTGTAATACGTTGGCGAGTTGTCCGGTCATCCAGCATCGCCGCCTCCGTAGCCTTGTATCGTAGCCAGCGCTTGAGGGTCCGATCGATGGGGAAAAGACCCGAGAGCGCACCCCACTCGGTTGTCATGTTGGCAATCGTCATGCGACTATCCACGAGCAGACTTTCCATAGTCTCCTCGGAGCCAGTAAACTCAATCGCATGGTTCAATACGTCGCTATTGAACAGTCCGCACAATGCGACAATCACATCTTTGCCCGTCACGCCAACAGGTAGCGTTCCTGTGAACGTGACCTTTGCCACAGGGGGAATCTGCCACCATGTGCGCCCAGTTGCCCAGATACTGGCGGCATCTGTACGAACGACAGGTGTTCCAAGACAACCGACTCCGCCGTAGTGATTGCTATGGCTGTCAGAAGCAACAGCCATCGTGCCGGGCCAAGCATATCCTTCCTCGACCATAACCTGATGACCAATACCCCGGCCGGCAGGATAGAAGTCGACACCGTGCTGTGCAGCAAAGGACTCAATCTGTTCATACTTCTTAAGATTCGCCGCACTGGTGTTCTGAACGTCGTGATCAAGCGTCATGACAATCTGCCCCGGGCGACGAATCTGCGTAGCTCCCATAGACATGAACTTGAGGGCGACAGGCCATGAGTTGTCGTGAGTCATGCAATATTCAGGGGCAAGACTGATATAGTCGCCGCTCCGAACGATCTTTCCTTCGGGAAGACCCACGGCGTAGCGTTGTACAATCTTCTCTGTCAAGGTCTGCGGCGATTGCCTTCCGGAGGAAGGCATTGAGGAAGCATACTCTTGCTGCGAGTGGAAGCCTTCGGTCTGAAGAGAAGCTGTTGTGCTCAACGGGCGAGCGGATAGGGACGTCGGGAGTGATCGCAATGGGTGATGGATTCTCCTGCTTGAGAGACCGACCGACGGCGTGCATCGGAGCCAAATCTGGGAGGGTTAGATTGACTGAATCTCCATCAGAGGAAGTTTTACTCACCGGTCTGCGCATCATGGTGCGCGAGGCGCCTGCCATGTTCTTCAATGCCATCGAACACGGGGACATCTTGGTGAGTCACTCCAAAACAAACTTTTGGTGCACAAGTTCCTTCAAAGACCGATCTCGGGGGTTGACAAGGGTGGAGACACGTGATCTGGCGTACCCCGGGCAGTTGGTCTGCTGACAGCCAATCGATTTCAAAGCGACCCCGGAACGCCCCAGGTCACGTGCAGCGAATGATCCTCGGTCAGAGAGTGGGACTCTCCGTGTCGATCCTCGAAGATGAAGGCATGCTGGTTAGCATGGGACCAAACACTCGACCAAACGGTTGCTAACTGAACATGCATTTAATTACAGCGATGTCCTAAGGAACAGCTTCATCTGATGTCAGTACAACGTCGTCCAGGTTAATCGGGACTTGTCTAGACCCCATTGATCGGGATTTCGAAGGTGTAGTTGTACCTAGGTATATGCATAATTATCATGCATGGTGTGTAGGAGTCTTTTTCTGACATGTTAATGGAAAACAGGGAACGTCAAAGCAACCATCAGTGCATTTCAAGTTCTGTATTTCGTACCCTCCGTACGGAGTATATTCTGTCAGATCTCGGCAGTTCTCGCCCCGAGGCTTCAATGCGTACGTCTACGAGGCACCTGTTTCGTTCTTAGACAGGGTGCGTGTGCCTCTCAACTAAACTCATGTCACAACGATTGATTTTGATTCTCAGATCTCGAGCCGTGGAATGATCAATTGGCCACAGTGGAATGAAAAGCCCTAAACCCGAGACATCTCATTTCCAAGACAACTCGGGAGTCTTGGCAGCTGCAGCCACTGCGATATGAGGGTTTGCGGCAGGATCGCCACGAGGTTATATGCAGCCTATCATGAACCTTGAATGTCGAATCCATGTGAGATATATTAGCGATTCGATAAGGCTGGGCTGTTTGCCACACAACAGGGGAATTTCTCGGTTTGTAGAAGGATTGCAACCTTGGAACACACAGCCTTCCCACGGTTACTCCGTAGCGATAACCTGGCGCAAAAGCAAACCACGGTGGCCCAAGGCAGGAATGCCAAGACATCAAAGGAGGTTTACAACGACGGAGTAGTCCGTCGTTGGATCGTTCCTTTTCTGCTTCAGTACTATATCATATATGTACATTCATTCGAACTTAATGATCGCCTTCTACTCCGTACTCATTCCTCTTTTTTTACTTTATCGCGTGGTCTGGTTTTTTCTTTCCGCCTAAGGTTGTGATGGAGATCCTCGAACAGTATTGCAGCTGTACGGGGTAAACAATCTGTGATTACGCCTGTCCATTTTGCGCACCTTGACAAAGTAGTATAACTTTCACACAACTCATTTGACTGATTCAAACCCGATGACCGCAATGGCCGGACTGGAACCGGTTTGAGCATAACACCTGGGCTGAGGCGATCTGGTCTTGGCCGAGGGGAACGTGCACTCAAAAACACTGTTCGGGGCCACTCCAACCTCAACCCGGACAATGCCCCTCAAACCCGGGCCTTCAAGGGACATAGCAACCGTTCCATTGTGCCTAGCCATGTTCGGGTTGTATGATCCGATGCACTGGTCAAAAAAGACGCCACGTGCCGTAAACTGTGCTACAATCCATGGTCGCGACCGGATGCAGTTCAGACCCCCGATATGTACCATCTCAGCCCGCGGGGGGAAAAGTTCACTTCGACCAATTGGCAACGATAATCGAGAGGTTAGTGTGCGTCATAATCATTCGGAATGGCCTGCAATGGCCGTGGCTTACTGCGTACATGGGGCTACTTTCGGGCGACGCCTAATCTCGCTTTGGCGCATATAATCCCTGTTCTCAAATGTCATATCCCGCACTCTGACCGATTTCATTTCCGGATGATTTACTTTTTTTTCTGCTTCTGTCCCTCAACGTTACATATCTTGACCTTCCTTTGACCTCGTTCTGCTTCTGACTACATCCTTCCATTTACTCCAAATTTCCCAGTTCTTTCCCCGATTGTTTCTTCTTGTGTGATGTGAAACAAACAGTATCAAATCGTTGCTTCATGAACTCTTGTCCTGAATTCACCCAATATTCTACGGCCCTGGAAACTCGACGTTTCCGGAGATTCGGCCATCTGGACTTCAATATCCATAGCGATATCACTGCCCACAACGCGATCGATTCAACCTCCAAACCCTCGCGATCAAACCCGTCCGACTTGTAGAAGACCCGCTCCCAGATTGAAGCCCACTCGGAACAATTGCAGAGCCCATGCCCCAGAAATAGATTAAGCGACAACTTATTGCCCACGTGTTGACTGCACCGTATCATCAAATCAACCCAGGAATGAAAACAGAATGACGAGCTTAGGCGAAAAACACAAAGAGAGGAGTGTCAGTGTGCTGGGCACACTCGGGCTCAAGAATGAGGGCGGACCTCGTGATGTACAAGAAGGTGTGATGGCTCAAAATGCAGACAATCTTCAGCGTCATCTGGGAAATCGTCAGATTCAGCTCATCGCCATTGGCGGCTCTATTGGCACGGCCCTTTTCGTGAGCATCGGCACGGGTCTTTACAATGGTGGGCCTGGCAGCTTGTTTATCGCGTTTACCGTCCAAAGTATTTTTTTGGCTATGGTGAATAACTGCATCGCTGAGATGACCACTGCATTCCCTGTCAGCGGTGGGTTCATTCGCTTGGCCGGAAAATGGGTCGACGATGCTCTTGGGTTCATGGTTGGTTGGAACTTTTTGTCCGTTTTCTTTATGGCGTTGCCGGAATCCTCTTTATCTTCGCTAACACCCATTGTAGCTTCTATGAGGCTCTTTTGATTCCTTTTGAAATCTCAGCTTTCACCCTTGTGGTGTCTTTCTGGAGTTCGACGGTTACTGAGCCCGGCCCAGTTGCGGGACTCTGCGCTGGAATTATAATCGTCTATGGGTAAGCACTCATCTACCACTATGCTATTTGCCTATGATCGAACTTTTACCGAAGTACTGACGTTTGCGCAGATTTCTTAATATTCTGGCCGTGAAGGCTTACGGTGAAGCCGAGTTTTGGTTGTCCAGTGGAAAGGTCATTCTGATTTTCTCCCTGTTCTTCTTTACCTTCATCACAATGGTTGGTGGAAACCCGGCCCATGATGCTTACGGTTTCCGCCACTGGAACAGCCCAGGCTCTTTCATGGAGTATCTGGATGGCGGCGCCCTTGGTCGTTTCGAAGGCTTTTTAGGGTCCCTCTGGTCGGCCTGCTTTGCAGTTGTGGGCCCTGAGTACATATCCATGGTCGCAGCTGAAGCAAAGCGTCCCCGCGTTTATATCAAGAATGCGTTCAAGACGGTCTATATTCGATTCGGTCTTTTCTTCATCGGTGGCGCATTGGCTGTAGGCATTGTTTGCGCTGCAAATGACCCAGAACTGGAGAAGGTGGTACTGGGCGGTTCGTCTGGTTCGGCCTCGGCCTCGCCATATGTCATTGGCATGCGAAACCTGGGTATTTCAATTTTCCCTTCGATCATCAACGCGTGAGTGCTATCAAAAAGTGCTTTCATTGAATATATGCTGACAGTACTCTTTCAGTCTCCTCTTGACCTCGATCTTCTCTGCTGGAAATACCTATACTTACTGTGCTATCCGTACTCTGTATGGCCTGGCGCTAGAAGGAAGAGCGCCCAGAGTTCTCACCCGCACTACACGCAACGGTGTTCCCATATATTGCTTCATGATCGTGATGATCTTCCCCATGCTCTCCTTTTTGCAATGTTCCAGCAGTTCGTCAGTCGTCATCACCTGGTTTGCCAGTCTCGTTACTGCTGGAGGTAAGGAGCCATGATTCACTCCGACACAACTAGAAAGGCGATCACTGACCAGATAACTCAGGGCTCATCAATTATATCGTCATCTCTCTGACGTACATCTTCTTCCACCGCGCTTGCAAGGCGCAAGGCATCGACCGCAGATCCTTCTCATATTTCGGATGGCTCCAACCATACTGTGCCTACATGGGATTAGTTTGGATGATTATTGTGACCATCGTCTACGGATATCCTGCATATAAGCCCTGGTCGGTCTCCAAATTCTGGTCGAACTATACCATGCAAATCGTCATCCCTCCTCTCTTTATTATCTGGAAAGTCATCAAGAAAACCAAGTTTGTCAAGGCTCACGAGGCGGACCTTGTCTGGGAACGGCCCTTGATCGACGCCTATGAGGACAGCTTCCTGGACCCACCTTCTAGCTTCTGGAGAGAAATGGGCCAGATGGTTGGTATTGGACGTCACAAAGGTGGCGATGAAAGGCGATCGAATTCAGTCGCTCAGCCTCGGGAGTCCGTTGATGCATCTTCCGCCTGAGTTCGGAGTGTCTTGCATGATAATCACGTTGATTCACAGTGATAAAGATATCTTTCATGTATCAATGAGTTTTCTTAGCACGGTAATGCTTCAAGTTCTGATGCATGGATATGTTTACTTCCGATATGTCACAATATGATACCAATATCTCTTTTATTGCAAATGTGCTTTGAATTATTCTACCTAGAACTGGGAACATTGGGGTTGGATGGATATTTGTCACAGTCGATGATCCTACATTCTTATATGCTCGTATCTATACCTCAGTCGACAAACATTTGGCAATGCCACCTTAATGACTTGCGTCAAGATTTGTCCACCGCGCCATCGATTCAGGTGCAGCCATTTTTGGCTTCCGGTCCCTGGTGAAGACACATTTTTTTATTACCATCCACCCGCATAGTAGCCACAGTCGTCTGGAAGTCAGCAAAGTTCCAAACCTGCTCGCCTGCCATCGACTCGACACTGTCAAACACTCGATGATACATGTCAAGCAGTTGAGTCTGGAATTCCTCGCTCCAAGGCAGAGCCAGGCTGGAGTGAAGACCCGCAATTGTGTCAGCGCCGTACTCGGTCATGATAATCGGCCTGTTGAATTTCTCTTCCCAGCCATGCAGCTCCTCCTTCAGCGCGGCCTCCGCTTCTGCGGGGTCACCTGTTTGGGAATACCACCCAAAGTACCGGCTGAGACAACTAACATCAAACAAGTCGGCGATTCGATCTATCTTGTATGCTGCCGTCATGACGTTGGCGAATGTGATAGGATGAGTTGGGTCAAGTTCATGGGTCAACTTGGCTAGCGGCTCGAAGTATTCGCGGGCGCCATTTTTGTGAGATGCAGGTTCATTGGCAATCGACCGCATGACAATGTAGGCGTGGTTCTTATCTCGGCTAATAGCTCCCAGATGAGTTTCTCGTGCGGTGCTTGAGTTTTATTGTTGATAGCATCTGGAGTAAAGGTTTCTGGGGATTCGCCGGAAAGCCCCAGCAAGCCGATGTTTAGACCCACCCTTGGGAAATGGCCCTGTCCAGGGCTAGGTTGTGTCGCTGGCATTGGACGAGAGAGTGAATTTCTACAGACCATCAAGGCTCAGAAGCTCTCGAGACGATGTTTGTTGAGGCTTCAGCTTGATCAAAGGCTGTTCCTTTTGGACGAACTCATTTTGTGAGTGACGACCAAGTGCAGGAACGGACAATGAAGGAGGAATAAGAGACAGCAGCAATAACCCTGCAAGGGATTTCATGGCTACTGACAGTGGGCTTGTTATGCAAGGAGATGTTCCACGATTTCTGGTTGTTTGAGGTGCGCTGTTGAGTTGATCATGGTAGGATGTCTCCCCATATAGAAATATATATACTTGTCACGGCCTTGACCGGCATTTGCACTGTATCCGCATCGGCGACTGAGTAACTTGGCATCCTGAACAGGACATACGATATATAACATACTATGAAGTACAAGGCTTAATGTGAAAGTAAGTCGGGTTGGGGTATGTCAAGATGCTAAGACTGGGGAGTCAGAGGTGTTCATTTCTTCTTGCGAGGGGGGGGGGTTCGGTAGAGGCCCGGGGTATCGCCATGTATGCACGCAAATACCCCATGTATCGGCTATTTGCATCAACTTCCTTCTCTCCGGTTATTACTGAGCATTTTGACCCCCATAAATTGCGGAGACGAGTTTCAACCCATTGCAGTGAAATGTAGCGAGCAGCCCTAAGGGCCCATCTCAATTCTCTGATTGACTCTTGCTAACATCATAGCTCTACACTACACCCATGTCAGGTGATAGAAGATATCTGATTATACCTGGAGGGAAGGAATAGCTAGCGGAATAGATTCCGCTAGCTACGAATAACCCTGCTTTAAGATGGAGACTGAAGATCAGAGGTTAAACAACGCAATGTTGTTTCTCCTTCGGTATTCGAAACGAAAGCCATAGTCTGCTATCGGGGAAGTAGAGATGAACAAAACGATTATATTCACATTCATGAAAGGCATATGATCTAATAAAAAGGGACGGAAGATAGAAGGAAACATGATAGTATGTACATCTTTCTCAACAAAGCCACTAATCGTGCACTTGTGGAAGAACAAACAGGTTCCAGAACTCGTCAAAGTCGATGGTCTGCGTGGCTCCGATAGAACCTCCCTTAGTTTCCCTCAAAGTTGTTCCATCTCCCAGATACGCGAACCGGTTAGTCTTTGTCTCAGGCGTTCGGTCCATTTTGAAGTCCTCCCAACGCGGGTTCTTCATGGCCTCCAAGAGATGGAAGATGGATCCGCCGTAGATGGCAATAACTGGGCCGTCAACAGTGCCGCGTTTGTACCAACTGCGACAGTTTCCAGTCCAGACTGTGCGTTCGAGGTATTTCTGCACATGTTGATTATACTCTTCGTTGACATCGTCGTCGACTTCGAAGCTGCGAACCCCCTCTGTTTGGAGCTTTTCCATCCACTTGTAAATATACGCGGCAGTTGCTTGGATTCCAAGGATCAGGGACCCATTTGCAAGCGGTGAATTGGGTCCGACAAAGCCTGAATTGTTAGTAAATCAATCACAATGTCAAGATGAAAAAGAAACATACAGAAGTAGTTGGGGAAGTCTGGCACACACATGCCCATGTATGCTTTTGGAACATCTTTTTCCCACTTCTCAGCCATATTAATTCCATTGCGGCCCACCAATGGGAATGCAGGCTTGAATGAAGTGTCAAAGCCGGTTGCGCAGACAATAACATCATATTCAAACTCAACGCCGCTGCGTGTCTGAATACCACGCTCGGTGATTTTCGAGATATCATCCCATCTCAACTCAATATTATCTTGAATCAATGCCTCCAGAAAACCGGGTCCCGGTGTTTGGCGACGGCAACCAACTGGGAAGCTTGGTACTAAAAGTTCAGCTGCACGTTTGCCCTTCTCACTATCACCCAAACGGTCGATCATGGACTTTCGGAAGAGATCCTGAGCTTGCTTTTGAAGGTCGCACTCAGAAATCACCCGGTTGTAGTTTTCTGCTCGTCGGTTCATAATGGCAACACGATATTCACGAAGTACTTCAGGATCCTTGAATAGCTCCAGAGTACTCTCAGAGAAATTGTAATGCTCGTCCATTTCCGGATCCTTTGCTGTCGGCTCGTTGATTCCGGGAGCTGGACTGATCCATGTCTGGCTGCGTACGTAGCAATCCATGTTCCCAACGACTGGCAATGTCAGTTACCTGGTACAGATGCATCCTAGAGGGTAGATATGAAGGTACCTTGGGCAAGCTTAGGGACAATCTGGATACCAGAAGATCCGATTCCGATACAGGCAACGCGCTTCCCGGTGAAGTCGTAGCTGGAGTCCCAGTGTGCCGAATGAATGAGCTTTCCTTTGAAACTCTCCAATCCTTCAATTGTGGGCCATTTCCAGTTGCTGCAGTCATTCAATCAGCACCAATATGAAAAAGAAAATTGAAAGAATAGGGATGCATACTTCAACACGCCGCTGGCATTGATGAAAACATCGCACTCATCACTGAATGAGGTAGAGCCAGTCCTGATCTTGAGGTCCCACTTTCCCTTATCCTCGTTCCACAGGGCAGATTCGACCGAATGCTGGAGGCGAATGTATTTCTCGACTTCGTATTGCTTGGCCACATCTTTCATGTATGAATGGATTTGCTCCGACGTCGCGTAGTAATTCGGCCACTGCGGGTTGGCAGCGAAGCTATAAGAATAATTGTGCGCTGGAATATCGCATTGACAGCCGGGATATCTATAGTGAACATGTCAAGCAAAATTAGATCGTCGTCCTGAGCGCGAGGGATAATTCAACTTACCGGTTCTCATACCAGGTTCCTCCCAGGTCTGCATTTCGTTCGTAAATAACAAAGTCTGCATTGGCATTCTTCATGCGCTCATTGAACACAATACCCATCATAAGACCGGAGTACCCCGCCCCAAGGCAAATGACGCGAATCGGTCGTCGGGTGCCAATGGGCTTCTCGATGATTGTATAGTTTGGATCCAGAGAATTGTGAGAAGCGCTTTTGGGGTCTTTGACACCGTCAACGCCCTTCTGCGGACCCGAGATACTCGTTACTGGAGCCGCTGGCTCTATAATTGCTGCGGGTGGTGCCATGGTTGGAAGTAAACACAACGCTGTAGATGATCTTGTGTGAGTGATAGCTTGAGACTATATTCCGATCGCGTGTTTATGTTTGTTTCGTTTTCACCGAAGTATACGAGCAGCAAGCATGGCGCGGCCATAGTCATAAATAATGTTGTTCCCTTGAAATATTGCAGGGGTACACTTGCCGAATCTCCGGCTTCGACTCATTGACCCGTAGCAACAAACCACGCGAGACGCGATAGTTCCGGGACATGACTACGCAAGCTGCTTCGGTTGTCCAGATTGGGACGACCGGGGACGATAGCCGAATCTTTGGTGCGACATCGGCTCGTATACCCCATACCCCACATCGGATTGTGGAGAAACTGGAGAAGCACGAAGCAGACAGAAGCGGAAGGAAGAATGACCAAAGCTGAGGCATGTCATCTAATCGGAGGGACACGGTCGCTGGAGTGTTAACACGAAATTCACAGTGTGGCCTGACCTTTTGTCCCGACTCAGAATGTCGGACTAATGACCTCCGAGATTGTTGGGGAACAGAGTCATCATTCTCGAGTTTCAACTAAGCTGTTACTCCAGGTCTTTCCTGAATTCCAGATATTCAAATTCCATGTATTTACCAGTGGAAATCCTGATCTTGCGAGTATTGACCACGCAAAAATGCATCTAATATTCCTGAATCTTAAACTCTTTGGAAGCAGTCGGGTTGGCCAGAGCCCACTGAATACCACTTTCCATGACATGATCCCATTGCTTGCAAACCGATAGTCTCTCTCCGAATCGTCGGAATCCATGCGGCACACCCTTGAAAACATTCACATTGGTTGGCACCCTATAATTAAATCAATGAGAGCTAGAGGATGGACATGATCGGGGGCCTACTTACCCATTTTCAGCCAACAGCTTGCCGTATAGCAGTCCTTCATCTCGCAGCGGGTCATAACCTGCAATTCCAAGCGTAGTCGGTGGCATTCTCTTCGCATCTTCAGAAGATAAATGCGCTGGATTCAGCCGTTTGTCGGCTGGATCTGGATCTTGTACCTTGAGGAGATCACCAAACAGCTGTTTCCTGCGCAAATTCAGGATTGGCGCGTTCTCATTTTGGCGATATGAAGATATACTAAGATCCTTCATCTGGTGTAATTGGGATGCGTAGCACTTCGTGTAGACTAAACAAGGAATCATCAAGACTTGTCCACGAATAGCGGGTGTTGACGAAACTCGGAGCTCCGATCTTAATGCTGTCTGTGTCAGGGCCGCGGCGACCCATGCGCCAGCTGATATCCCACCGACGACGATTTGGTCTCGATCACCGTTGAACAGAGTAGCGTTGTCACAGACCCAAATAAACCCGTCTTCTGCATCATTCCACGCAGTCGGGTATGTATACTCAGGAGTATGACGGTAATTGACATTGACGACAACGACACGGGCACTGATGGCAAGCCGAGCGCATATCGCGTCTTCTGAACTTAAGGTGCCAAAAAGGAATCCACCCCCATGGAAGTGTATGTAAACAGGGAGGTTCTCCGTGGGTGGGGCAGTCAGTGGACGATAGCTCCTCGCCTCCAATTTGTGGTCATCGCGGCTGGGAATTTCGTGGTCTTGCATTGATACGCGCTTGGAAAGCTCGATCATTTCCCTCTGCGCCATGGCTTCTCTACCCTCGTTGGCTGTTCGCTTGAGCTCAGATAAACTCTGCTCCTTTGCAGCCGGCAAAGTAGCCTCCACCTTCAGCCACTCCTCGCTGGGGATACCATATTGCGAAAAGTCACACATATTGCGATAAGAGTTTGGAGAAAAGGGCAGTGCGTTGTTCCTCACGTTGCTTGACTACCTAGGTATGTTTTTGAGTGTTTCATCGATTCACGCGTAGCCTGAAAACCTAAGTCAAACTTTGCACAAGACCTTGGATTGATGATGATAACTATGAAACTCGCTAGATCACTGCCGAGCCTACTAGTCCTCTCGGCTTTGGGTACCGGCGCTGGCGTATAGTACTTTCTATACACCAGCGTTGGTTGCCGGGGATCATATTGAAACAATACGCGTCGACTACCAAGCTGCACGTGCGTCTACGGTACAGTCACCAGAGTATAGCAAGAACTTGTATCATGAACGTTGATTTGATGGCCAACGCTGGAATTCACGACAAGACCGTCTGCTTGATTGATTTGATAAGAATACCGTAGACTACACGCCAGCCTCCCGCCCTTGTACTCCTTATGCTCGGGTTAGAATACACCTATAGAGGATCACATTCTTCCAAAGGCCTACACTTGCTGTGGTCGAGGATCTTTCTAGGACTTTCCCCAGTAACGGCCAAAGTTTAGCCAGCTCTGTAGCATTATATCTAGTTAATTCATGAATGAAATTGGGTTTCATCCACATAATACGATATTATTGGGCAATCGCTCGCGGACTATAGAGCTATCTCACGCCGTGTTCACTAGCGGCGCTGCAGGTTGTGGGAGCGCAAAAAGAAGCCCAGGGTGGAAAATGATTCACATACGAGTTGAGAAAGAAGAAGAGGTGATTTTCTCACGGCTGAGCTGTAGAATTCTGCATGCCTACCTCACAAATCTCGCATTTCATCCCGCATTAGAATCATGTGGTTCGCACCCGGCTCTATCGACCAGAAAACCAGAAAACTTGCACTGCCAAGGAGGTTGATCGGAGATCAAATGATCACTCTGAAATTTCTTTCATTCTCATTGTTTTTTCTCACGTCGTTGTCGAGAGAACATCAGGAACAGACAAGATCGGTATTTCCAAAAGCGGGTTGCCGGAGGCACGTGTCACGTTAGCCCCTTTCTATGAAAATGTGTTTCGGCTATGATCCCTCTGCCCTCGCGACATCCACGGGCACTTCGGTAGTTCCTTTGCCTCCGTGAAGCGATGGCACCTGATGAGCCGGGATGAGTTGCGCACTCGGTACGGAAGATGTCCCTGATGGTCCGCACGGCCAGTGGGGGGGTTATAGCGGGGATTCTCCCCAACGCCGATAGATTTCTGTTCTAGTATAAAGTTAGGAACTTCCAACAATGAAACGCAGCTAAAGGAATTCCATCTGTCGATCGTCTATCGCTTTGCCATACCCCGAGTCGAACCATTCCCCAGCTTCAAGCTTCCTTCAATCACAACAGTTCATCCCTGTCACGGACAATCGCCATCGAAGCTATTATTTGAATAACAATGGCCCCGTCAATTGTAACACCAAGTATCCCGGCGTCCCCCGTGGCGGAGGGAAAGCTCCCGGCAGTCTTCACTCCTAAAGACGCGAAGGACCTTCCGGAAAGCTTGCTTTCACATTTCGCCCCCCACATCGATGCCAAACAGAATGTGCATGGTATTGAAACCGCAGCCAGCGACCAGTACAAAGAACACTCTGTATCATTCAATGCGCAATACGCATTGAACCCTCGGAAACTGAAGATTATCACCATTGGTGCAGGATTTTCTGGCTTGTTGCTCGCGCACAAGTTCCAACATGCCTACCCGGAGCTTCAGGACTTTGTGGAGCACACGATTTTTGAGGGTCGAGGCGATGTCGGTGGAACGTGGCTTGTCAATACCTACCCTGGTGTGCAATGTGATGTGCCTTCTCATATTTATGTAAGTCGACCCGTGAGCATTTATCATTCCGACCTTCTGCTGACGCCCTTAGGCGTTCCCGTTTGACCCTAATCCAGACTGGCCTCGCTTTTACTCAAGTGGGCCTGCAATCCATGATTACATCTCGAGAACTGCAAAGAAGTGGAACCTTGATCGTGACGTTCAGCTAAACACCCGGGTTGTGGCCGCTCATTGGCAAGAGAACTCCGGTAAATGGAAGATTACTGTGGAGCACGGTGGTGTTGAACGTGATGAGTATTGTGACATTCTCATCTCAGGTCAGGGCAACTTGGTGTACGTTTACAACTGGTTTCCTCATCAGAGAGAAGCGTAGCGCTAATCTTCGAAACAGGAGCCCTTCGTGGCCAAAGATTGCCGGACTTTCCGATTTCAAGGGTCATGTTACGCACTCTGCAAAATGGGACCATGACTTCGATTACTCCAACAAGCGGATTGCTGTTATTGGCAATGGATCATCCGGTATCCAGATCGTTCCTCAGATGGCCAAACTTCCGGGCACCACGGTGCGCAACTTTATTCGCGGACCAGCCTGGGTTTATTATCGTGTCCCTCCTTCCAAGCACCTTGGCCGAGAGACCGAAGACACAAACCCCGAATTTTTCGATACGGAGAAAGAGCGCTTCCGCGATCCTGTCCAACACCGCGAATACCGCAAAGGCATTATTCACCGTACCAACAAGGCCTTCCGCCTGGTAAGCTCCTGAGAGACGCCCTGTCACATGTCGCCTCAACTGACATTCGATGCTATGTAGTTCATCAAGGGAGAGTCCAACGAGAACACTGTCAGACTCGCAACAGCCCAGATGGCCGAGAAGCTCAACCATGATCCCGTGCTGTGCGAGCAGCTCATTCCCAAGTGGGAGATTGGCTGTCGTCGAGTAACCCCAGGCCCTGGTTATCTGGAATCATTCTCGAAGCCGAATTGCAGTCTTACCTCGAGCGCGATTACCAAGATCACAGAGAAGGGTATCGTTACTGCCGATGGAGAGGAATATGAGTGCGATGTTTGTAAGTGGAATCTCTTGGTTGATCCCCTATCAATGGGACTCAATTCTGACGCGTTACCTTAGTGGTTTGTGCCACCGGATTCGATGTCTCCAAGTGCCCTCAATATCCTCTGGTCGGACAAAACGGAGTCAACCTTGCCCAGAAGTGGAAGGATGAGCCCACCTCTTATCTTTCAGTCGGTACCGATGATTTCCCCAACTATTTCACAATGGCTGGACCCAACTGTCTCTGCGGTCACGGATCCCTGGTCGAGGCACTGAACTGGACGGGCGACTACTTTGTTAAGATGATCAAGAAGATCGCAACAGAAGACATCAAATATATGGTCCCCAAGCCCTCATCTGTGGACGCATTCGGCAAATACCAAGACGAAATCCACAAGACCTTGGTTTGGTCCGGCTCCTGCCGCAGCTGGTACAAGAGAGGTACAGTTGATGGTCGAGTCACGCATTTGTTCGCGGGCAGTGCCATTCTTTTCCGCAAGCTGCTTGGCGATATCCGCGCAGAACACTATGATATTGCTTACAATTCCGGCAATCCATTCCGCTTTTTGGGTAACGGATTCACTGAGTGGGAGATGCGGGAGGAAGCCGATCTGGGATGGTATGTGCAGGTTGCTAAGCCTGGTCCTGAGGTCAATGACGAAAATGACAAGTCCTGGATCGCGAAATAAAGGGCTAGAATACCTTGGAGTATGCACTGGTTTGATATGCTTAGTTTAGATTGTCTGTTGCTTGATGATTTGTGATTTTCAATACTTGTGATAAATATATTCATCTTTGAACGAACGGAAATCCCGCTGGTCCCAGTCCTTTAACCCATTTCAATGATCAATCAAGGACTAGATGCCCCCCAAGAGCCGTAGATCTGAGGCCCATCGACTTTTCTCAGGGAACATACTAGAAACTGTAGAGGATCCTAGTCGGTCCAAAAGCTACACATGCAGTGACCTTGAACTTTTCTAGCGATTTCAACAGAAACAATAAATCAACCAAAGTCCAATTGCCCTGTTACAGTCTAACTAGTTGCATATGACTATGCAGGCGCTTCATCCAACCGAAGGGAAAACTCAAAGTCAAAATGCCGAGCTGGGATCCCTCCAGGCTCCTAGAGAGTATACAGAGGCTGATTTGTAAAAGAATGTAGAATCAGCTCAACACTGGAAAGAAGCGGTACTTCCTTGGCAGTGACCTACATCAATATAATCTTTCGTAAAGGACTTGCTGTATCTTATGAGTTGGTAAGTGTCAAATCAATAGAATGCTATATTTGGAATGCCTCGGATCGAGGTCTGATTTGTTTCAAACATCTATGTATGTTGGGACTTCCCAGGGGAGGAAGCTGGTGTAGACGAGCCATGAAGTAATTATGTTCAGTTATACCGAGTCTCAACCCTCCATGCTCTCAATCACAATAGAATGAATATTCAATTCTCCTACATAAAAGATTCCACAATATTAACTAACGACTATTTGCCCAGTTTCCGAGGTCCCTTGATCTGACAACCTATCACAGCGAATACCGGAATTGCATGTTCTGCGATCGGTTAATAGGAAAGAAGAATGTGGGAGCTGGAGCGTCTTACCTTCTTGTCGGTTAAGTCATCCTCGTACGCATGCTCAAACCCTTCGGCGGTTCCCGTCTTGTCGCGGCGGCGATTCTCCATCGCGCAGATAATACGGTATACCAAAATAAGGCAAGCTGCAACAAAGGATGTGATAACAACCACGATAAATCCTTTGTTATAATGCGGGGCATCTTCGGATCGGAATGCCTGAGGTCCTGCAAAGTTACCTGATAGGGATCAGTCATAGTAGCCTATGTCAGTAGAGAGTAACTTACCGAGGGAGTAACCAATGTACAATCCCGAGGAGGCCAATGATCGCTTAGTATATCCGGCGTTGTTTGCAAGGAAAAGGCCCATGCAGACTGCGTACCCAGCGCCCAATGTTGGGAGAATGTAGCAGGAAAAAGAAGTCCACCGAGTGCCGACCGAGGCAGAAGCCAGAGAAGAAGGCTTGCAGTCATCGTAACCAACTGGGTGATAATGATGAGATATGTTCGCCAGCCAGGGAATTTGTAAGCCAAGTAGGTCATAAGAAGCATCATGCTGCCAGCATAAACACCAGATGGTATCATGAGAAGCAACGAGTTGAGCGGATTAAAACCAAAGCCATCGATGATGATAGCCTGGAAAGTCGAGATTGGCGCGTTAGCGAACATGCTAGTGACAGCGTAGAAGAATATCAGCCAAAACTTGACATCGGCTAAAAGCTCAAATGCTTGTCCTTTTTTGAAATGCGTATTTCGCACTCCGGAGTTATTGGTCCTCATGCGAGCCACTGCGATATAACGCTCCCTCTCATTGAAGCCCCTAGCTCGAATGGGATCAGGTGGGAGGACAAAGTAAATCACAACGCCGCAGATGATGGTAAGGGCGCCGGCGAAAAAGTACATGTAGAACCAGGGGGAAAGGCTTCCCTTGAGGTGTCCAAGTCCGTAGTTGACAAGCGGCGAAAAGATGGACACGTAACCTGTCCATGAATACCAGGCACTAAAGGACAGTTAGCTCGAGGCCAGAGCCGTGTGAGATTGATGTGAAAACATACCCCATTCGTAGAGACTGTTCATCCTTTTTGTACCATCCACCCTGCAATGTGGTAAGCTCGAGCTTCTGGAAGGACCAGTGAAGGAACGTTACATACGACGATCATCATAAACATGGGGCTGATTCCAGCTTCAGTGAAACCAAGGAAAAATCGTTGTGCATAAAGTCCGCGGAATTCAGTACACGCGGGGGTGCAGATCAAGGTGGCTCCCCAGACAATGATTGCTAGAGAAGCGACCCGCTCAATGGGAAATCTCTGGGCCAGTACAATGACTGGGTAGGCTCCCAGAATAAACCCAAGGTAGAAGATTGAAGAAGCCATTGAAAAGCGATTTCCAGTGTTCAATTCCAAATCATCCTTGATGCCGAAGAGAGCCTGTAGATATCATGAGCTTGTGGAATAAGGAAATCCAGACGATCTTCATACAGCTTGTCCCAGGAGAACTTTGTCGGCGTAGAGAAAGGCATAGGTGGCACACAAGACAGGCAAAAGCTTCAAGTCAATCTTTCTGCGCAGCCTTTTCTCCTCCTCGGGGGTCCAAGTTTGATCGCCATCGTAGACAGCGAGGACCTTGATAGCTTCATCGCCATGAACGTTGTCAAGTGCCTTCAAGTCTCCCTCTTCACTAGCCGAAATGTGCTCGCTCGAGACGCCCAGCGAAATGTCTTCCTTGACTGACATGGTCAATGCGTGATAGGAATGCGATGTTGTGTTGTCACATCGAGGGCCAGCAGCCCCTTTTTATGCTCCGGACAGATACTAGAATTCTGGGGAACATCATGATACCGAACAACTGAGGAGCGCCAAAGCCTGGGCATCAATTAGCTCCATGTGGATACATGCTTTGTGTAGACACAACAGGACAACCGACGGAAAGTCCATAGGGGGATTGCCGATAGCATAGCCGGAAGGCAGAACCGTGATGAACAGGATGCTGTCTTAGCGCCTAACTCCCGAGAGTGCGGGGGCATAAATGCGGGGAAGCGCTAATACGAGAAAGAGAAGGATTTGAGGAGCCGATCTGGTCTCAGAGCAGTTAGTCTCTTTAGTCACTTCTGGAAATCCCGATGGGGACGGCCGAGATCGCTGGCGGAAGAATGCGCGCTTCGTCCGCTCTCATAAAGTCTACAATCTCCGGCAATTTTCAACTTCAACTCACTTCCAACATGACATCGCGGCCATTCATCGAGCTGCCTCCGGGCAAGGACGTGGTGAGCGTTAAACTGATCAATCCTGTCAATTTCGGCCCAGCTATTATCAACCGGTTCATGGGCCCTCCTGTGCCTGGAGTCGAGAAAAAGAAACCTGGGCCAGTCTTGACATTCCTGGTGGAACATTCTTCCGGCCAGAAGCTTGTGTTTGATCTTGGGATCCGGAAGGATTATCAAAATTATGCTCCGACAGTGGCGGAATATATTCCCACGACGAATTATGACATCCAAGTGACAAAGAATGTGGTCGATATCCTGGAAGAGAACGGCATTCCCGGGACAAGCATTGACGCGGTGATTTGGAGGTAATTGTTTTCGGAGCAAAACATGAACCACAAAGTAACAATCATTCTCTAGTCACTGGCATTGGGATCATATAGGAGACCCTTCAAGCTTCCCCAGCAGTACTGATTTGATCGTGGGACAGGGATTCTCCGATGCCATGTTGCCTGGTTATCCCGCCAATCCCAAGTCCCCGATCCGCGAGAGCGACTATGCGTAAGTCCGGACTTCATAAGAATGACTAGAAACCCTCGGGCCTCTAACGCTTTGCAGGGGCCGAAAACTGCGCGAGATTCGATTCGATGGGCCTGAGGCCCTACTCATTGGGAAATTCCCTGCAGTGGATTATTTTGGCGATGGGTCATTCTATTTATTAGATAGCCCTGGTCATGCAGTCGGGCATCTATGCGGTCTCGCACGAACGACCGTTGATCCTCCTACTTTTGTTATGATGGGAGGAGACATCTGCCATTATGCGGGTATCTTCCGTCCCTCGAAGTATCTCCCTGTGCCCGCATCGATTTCTCCACATCCGTATAACGTACAAAGTGAGGTACCTTTCTGTCCTGGAAGTGTGTTTGATGACTTGCAGCACAGCAGAGAGAGAAAACCTACAGATACGATGTACGAGATGTGCTTCGGTCATGATATTCCCCTGGCACAGAAGACTCGTGATAATTTGCAAGAACTGGACTGCGACGAGAACATATTTGTCATCATTGCACACGATGCAACAGTGAGGGACGCGGTGGATCACTTCCCAGCGACTCTCAATGACTGGAAGGAGAAGGGATGGGCTCAGAATGTAAAGTGGACTTGGTTCCGGGATCTCGAACCATTTTGGAAGTCGAAAGGCTTGTAGTTAGCTCAATTTGAATGCTCTAGATGAAGTTCACGATCATGATCACCCAAATTGAAGTCTGCATTGGGTGTCTTTTATCGCTTTGGCGTTGAATAATCGTCCTTTTGCTGATTGTAACCGCAAATACCTTGCCATGAAAGAACGCCGCCTAGTGCCTTCGTGACCACTGTCTCGGTAGCAAATTCTGCTTTTAACACGACACAATCTACTTTGATGCAATTTACTACCGAGTCTAGGGAGGTCCAGATTATAGATTCAGTACAAGACGCTATAGCTGCAACCCTATTCGTGCAGTAAGGCAACTCGGGCCTTGACCTTTCCATCGCAAAGATTCTTCAAAATCACAGGGAAGTCCTTCAAGCCAGCAGTTTCAGTCTGTGGTTGAATTACACCCTTCGAGATCAAATCAAGAACTTCCTTCAAATCTCTCGCTTGCCCGCCATAAGTGAAGATGATGCTCAGCCGCTTCTGGATACCAATCTTCATATCGATCATATTCTCGTCATCGAGGGTGCCAACACACAAAAGCTTTCCTCCGCGGCGAACTGTCGACGAATCAGCTTTCTAGTTTATGTCCAATCTAGATCAAATACTCACCAATATTTTGTGCATCCTGGAAGGTCTGGTGCGTGCCCACGAAATCCAGAGTCGTGTCAATCTTGCCCTGTAATCCATTCTCGCGCACAAAGTCTTGTACTGACTTCCCAGCTGGCACTAGATCCTCTCGGGGAACGCCGAATCTTGCAGCCTCTTCTAGTCGTTCCTGTCGAATATCCGAAACGATAACCCTGGCCCCAATGTGCAGAACAATCTGCAATGCATTGAACCCTAACCCACCGAGGCCGAACAAGAATACAGTCTCCTGGGATTTAACCTCTGCACGCCTGACAATAGCGTGATAGCTTGTTTTAACTGCATCAGTTGCAACAGCTGCGACAGACGATGGAATTCCTGTGGCTTTTGTCAGATCAAGCCGCAATATGGGACTGTGCCGACAAACCGTCTGGGACCCGCACGACGGCTCGAATATCCAGCGCAGCATATGGTGCATAGAAGCCATCTTGACCAATACCAGCATGATGGGCTTGCTCACAAAGCTGAGCAAGATCCCGTGAACACTCTGCGCAATCGTCTAATCCACAGCCAGGGACGGCGATAGTCGCGATTCGATCTCCCTGTATGATTTATTAGGCTAAGGGCATCATCCAGCACATTTCCTACTTACTACTCTGAATCCAGCATCCTTCACCTGGTCACCTATCTGAATAATCTCACCACAGCCTTCGTGACCCTTCAATCATAAATTCCAGTCAGCATTTCAAACCCTCGATAGTTTGAAAAAGAGGGTGTGATGTGCGTACCAGAGTGTACTTATCCTGAAACCACGGACGTTGCTTTTCGCTCGTGAGGAGCGAATGGTCGCTATGGCACACTAACAAGCAAGTGTTAATACCATCGCTTAAAGCTGCTGTGCCAGATAATAGGGATAACTGCGAGGTACTAACCACCAGAAGCCAGCAGCTTTACCAAGAACCCTCTTTCTGGGGTTTCGGGAACAGGGACTTCCTCCCAGACCTGTGGAAGTGTGAGCAAGTGCGATTCCCCATATACTCTTTCTAGACTCACAGGCTCGGGGTTTCCTTTATGTTTCCTCCACGCATACATGGATGACGGGACGCTAGAGTTAGTGGAAATCGTCATGGTGGGTAGTTCTATGTTGTATAATTTAGTGAGGATTCAAGTCTCGGTTTTAGTCGCTTTGTGTGTCTATATAGCAGCTGCGTCTCAATTAAATGTACTTATCAGGACCTGCCACTCGGTTATACTATACCGACATTGCCGGACATGTCGGCTTTTAATCTAAACTGTACCGAGACATGATGTGAGCGACTATCTAGAACTATGCAGGAGTATCAAATGTCCCGTAAGAGTATGTAGGCATCTATCCAGGTAGAGGCACTACCCACGAAACATGTGAAGAGGTGGTTGTTACCCGCCAGCGGAGTACTTTGAACTAGGTTCTATTCCAAAAAATGGACAAAGTGTTCAAACATTGTAACTCCAGCTGCTCATGCCCTCCGCCCTTGGCCCTGTCTCTGCGAGGAGTCAGCCATGTAATGGGACTCAATCTTTGTATATCCTCACTTTATAATCATCAAGCCACTTGTCTTCGATAATGACCAACTGCGACGCTTGCTTTTTCGCAAAGTACTCGTCTTTCGGATCGGAATAGTCTTCCTTGTCAACGTCCATGAATCCCTCCTTAGCTTTAGATCTTGGGGTAATCATGAGCGAGCGTCCTGGTAAATGTGAGCAATCAATCATCCTTGTTCTTTGTCCAATGGCAAAATCCAGACGACGGTATAGTAAACTAACATACCATTGATGGATTTATCGCAGGCAATTCGCATCATGGCACCGGCGCAGTCCTCTTGTTCACCAAATTCGACACCACGTTCAATCAACCAGTCCTCATATTCCTTAGTGCGGATAGCGCTCTTGATCCAGCACGGTGCAACATAGTTGATTCGAATTCCTTGCTCCCAGCTGCTACGTCTGACGGTCTTCATGAAGCCACGCAGGCCATGCTTAGTAGCTGTATATTCCCAGTTTCCCTAATAAGTTGGTTAGTCACGGTTTCTTGGAAGGGGGGGACAAATTCCAAGAAATTCGTGATGTGCTCACCGGTGAATCGATGTATGCGACCATGCTTCCAGTCATGATGAAGCATCGGTCACGTTCCGGGGAATCTTCCTGCTTTCTGAAATAGTGGACTGCGAGTTTCCAGGTGTAAAATGTGCCGTCCATGTTGACACGGACGATATTGAGATTAGGCTTGGTGGGAGGTCCATTCGGGTCTGTGGATTATCAGCATCTTTTCCATGTAGTAGATATGCAGGGTCAATATTCTTGTCCCTCCAACTTTCAACTACCACGTAGAGATTGACTTACTATCAAGATTCCACAAACTATCACCCGAGGCTCGGGAGATTCCCGCATTAGCAATGACAACGTCAACGCTGTTATGCGGACTCTTCGCTTTGGCCGTCTCAAATAGTGTGATCAACTGATCCCAGTCTGTAATATCGCATTTGACAAATGCAGTCTTCTCGCCATCTGCATTCAATTCCTTGGCAAGCTCGTCGCCACGAGGGTGTAGGTCGCCAAATGTGACGAATGCGCCAGCTGCACTGAAGGCGCGCACCATGGCCTCGCCCATGCCATTTGCGCCCCCAGTGATGATCACGGATTTACCCTTGGCATTGGCTAGGTCAGGAACCACGGTGTGGTCAATTGGACCGGTATAGGTGTATTTGGGAATAGGCATTGTCAAGTAACTTCCAAGTGGGTAAAATTGCAGTTGACTTTCGAGCTGTTGCACGGGGGACTGCATGCGCCACTTATAGGTGTATCCTTGCTCACTCTAGCTGCGTGTATCCGAGGCTATCCCCCGCCTATATCGCACGCGGCAGAGACGACCCCGCGCCGCTATCCTCGACGGGCGTTGCCGTTGAAACTAGGTCCCATGTCGGTATTCCGGAAAAGGATAACCGCTAATTGTACCTGGACATTCGGGCACTGTTGCCGCGATCTTCGATTGTCACAGCGGAGGTTACTTATCAAGTTCACTTCGGTTTCAGTCGGTCGGAGATGCCAATCGGTTCATAAGAACCGCACTTTCTAAGTGTACCGACTCGGTTGAGGTCGGAGGGCTAAAGTCAACACTCGAATGCAGTTGATCTCCCACTTTTAATTCAGGTAAGATCCGGGGAGTGATGAAGACGAGCTTTTTTCAAAGACCGCCCTCAAGACTTCCAAGGTGGCTATAGGTGGGCTGCTCAAATACCGACTCTGGAGAGTTGAGAGTCATGGTCGCTTCCGCTGGTGCCTTATCCTTCAGGCCTCTACCCACATCAAATATCAAACAGTTTTCAGGGGCCTGAGACTTGATTTCTATCTCTTTTGTTTATCCTTCTCCTTTCTTTGTCTGTTTCCCTCTCGTCTTCCGACCCATCTTGATCTTGGCCTTGTTTTCTTCAACTCTACAACAACAACCCCCCCCCCGGGTTATGCGATACAGCCCACCCTTGGGATCAGACAACATACGTACAACATACTCCGTACAGGGAAAAGTGTCGAAAAGGGTGCTGATTAGTGAGATGAAGATAGAGGCTATACCTGAAACGCACTCCGAAATACATGGGTACCTCGATGTGGCTAGAACTCGATCGCTTGGCCATCTACGGAGTAGTGAGAATCAAGCTCCGCTGTAGCAGCGCGGGATCCAATGTGCAGCTTCCGCAGTTGCACGGTATCTCCTGTGTGCACGGAGTACTCCGTTATGGGTACTCCGTACCACATTGTGGATGGGTTTTTTCCAATCCCCACATCGAGGCTGCGGGTGAGGCAGTCCTCAAGGGAAGTTCCTGATAATCGACCGACACGGGTGGATCCACACGGGATGTCACGGATTTTCAGATCGAATCAAGACTTGTTCATGGGGTCTTTCCACAGAACATAGCGCTATGGAGTACGCCAAGTGTGGACATCTTTCAAGTGGAAGCGAGAAAGGGGATCCTTTTAAACACCCGAAGAAAAAGAAATGAGAGAAGCGGGTAGAAAACAAAGTTTTGATAGACCTCAACATGCTAAATGCAGTTTAGAGCAGGTTCGCGGAATGCCATCCGGGGCCAAGTGGATATATTCAAGTGGCAACATAAGCGACTAGCGTTTGCCTTAGGCCCGGACGGCCAATTGTCAACTAACCGAGACGTGAAACAGAAATACCATTCTCTGACCATTCATTGTGACGGCTCATTACATTATGGCCATATGGGCCCTCATAATCACTGTTATTATAACCATCCAAACCAGCTGTTGAGTACATATCAATAATCATTCAGTTGGGAGCTCATCTCCAGCGCGGCGAAACAAATCTCTTCGTTACTGAGGATCGGCGCTTTAAGACGAGTTCGAGTTATCAGCGCAGCTGAAAGTGCCACCTAGAAAGAGAGGTAAGTTTCAAGTTGTGAAGTCAACAGCGTACTGGAACATACCAATGGCCCCTGTGGCGTAAGCATCAATGATCTGAATGACGACACCATATGTCGCACCAACAAGGAAGAAAAGTCCGAGCAGAACCATCCCCCAGTGCAGGAGATAAACCACCTTCTGCAGAAGGGAACCCTTCCGGTAGTGGCTGTTGCTGTGCAGCCACAAAAAGCCAGGAAGACAAATGGCAAGGGGCGCGAAGCAAACCGACCCGATCAACGCAACCAGATAGTTGAAGATAGGGATAGTCTCGCTGAGGATGAAGGAAAGAGCACCAAGAATGATGGTACAGGCCATCCAGGTACCCCAATGAACGACCGTGTTAGCCTGTAAATGGCGTGTGTTAGCCAAGATACGGACAAATATGTACTTGGCAGCAATCTAAATAGCAAGTTAGCTCTCAAGCTTGATTTTCGAAAGAAAAGATAATACTGACATGTAAGTAGATTGTCGCGCTCATGACCAATCCTATCAGCGCAACACCGTAAGACACCATTTTGATCGTTTGTCCGGCGCTCTATTCATCAGGTCAGCTCATTGCATATCGAACGGGCGCCAAGCACGAGCTACTTACACCCAATGAAGGACTCGCCACCCATTGTCCACACCAGCGGTAGACAACCAAACTGAAAGCAAGGTAAGACGCATTGACTATAATCATGCACAGGTAAAGTGCTTTCTTGTAGTCTTTCGGGTTTCGCATCTCCGACATCACTGGGATGAAGGCACTTGTACCAGCGGTGGAAACAAAAATAGTGCTGGAAGCAACCATTCCAACTGCAAATCCAGGATTATTGATAGCGACAAAGCCAAGCTCATAGGGACCCTCTTGAGGCGCGGCAGCCGGCCGGTCGCGTGTGGTGACTCCGATGACAACGATCAGGACCGCGGCATAGATCGAGATGAATCCCGCATATGTGAGCCAGCCCACATGCTGGAGCTTGCGGACCGAAGCTGTCGCAACAATCACCACTGCTGCAATCAGAGACCACCAGACCGTGCACGCAGAGTGATGGGAGAGAGCGTTCAAAGCTGTCGAAACTCCGATGATACCGCTGCCAGTGACAAGGACATAGCCGATGAGAAACAGTAGACCAGTGAGTTCCTTTGCAAACCAACCACCGGCAACCTCAGCCATATCGGCAATAGAGTGGCAATGAGGATGCTTCTTGCGGAAGTTACCAAGGATCACGAAAGAGTATGTGTTGAATATGCCCCAGGCAACGATACTGAGCGAGCCACCCACTGCACCAAGAGAGTACAGCGAGGATGGCAGCGACAACACACCTGTCGCAAAGAGAACCTTCACGAAGATAATGCACGCCTTGAACCAGCCGACACCGCGGAAGCTGACACCATCCTCGGTTTTCTTGAAAACCTCATACTCTTCGCCTGAGTCTTGATGGCTTCCCACCTCCGCATCCTCCACTCTAGCCTTCTCATCAACAGTCATGACGTATGAATTGGGCTATTCTATCGGAACAAGAGATACTTGGGAAAAGTAAAGTTCAGAAGGATGCACCGAGGGGAGAAAAGCTCTCATAAAGACATTGTTCTCACAAATTAGAGGCCTGCCAATGGCGGTAATAAACTGTGGACCCTGTAGAGCAAGCGTTCATTGTTTGCCACTAGTCGCGATGCACCAAGGCGCTACTTACCAAGGCCGGGCAATATCTTGACCTCCTGATAGTCACCGATCTCTATGGATGCTCGATATCGCTGCCATGGACTACTTTGGAGCCGAGTTCAGGACTAGCCAACACAATACAGTCTGCCTCTGTCTTGTTCTGTCGGAGACGCGTTTCCGAAGTTCAGAAAAAGTGATATTGCAGTCATATTGCTGTTTCTTCAATCTAGATGAACGACCCACAGTCCACAAGACCCGGCGTGGGGCAAAATTAGGCCTAAAGCATCGGGGTTTGTCTTTGCAAACCAGTCAGAGCTTTGATGGGACCAGTACGGAGTAGGTAGTCTCAATTCGAAGGCATCAGCTGCACTGACTCCATCAGAAGTTTATTGCACCATCGGGCCATTATACCAAAGTGGTTTCATGGGCGTAACGGCATCCTTTGTTGTAAATTTTTCGTACGTACTCCGTACAGAGCTACCTGATTGTGAGAGGGCCGAAGGACTAACCTCATTTTTTACTCCGTTCTCCGTAAAAATCCTCGTATATATTGCAGGGAGAAATTGTGCTTGAAATTGGTTTGTGGGCCCAAATCGTTGAGCAGGGGTGTGTGGGGCTTTTGAGTCAGGTTGAAGACGGCAAGTTGCATTGATGCGACATTTAGCACGTTCTCTTCTACAGGCCTGTAAGACTCCGATGTACTCCACACTCGTTGTTCTTGATGGGCCAGGAATCCGAGATGAGAAAAGGGAGAAACAGGGGGAAAGGGGGTGTTGCCGCGCGAGACGATCTGCACGGGCCGTGGGATCAGCACCATCGTTGCCCGCTGCCCATTCAGCATACGAAGAAGTCAAAGGGTGAGAGTTTTCAGTGTTTATTCCTGACCATAATGTAGTTGCGCGTCACCTAACAGGGTCAGTCAATATTGCATTTTTACATCTCCATGATAAAGATGATATCAAAGGTTGAGTACTGCCATCCCCGTTTGACATAGCATACTACAATGATCCACGAAACCCTTGTGCCAGCATTATCGCGAAGTAACTCCCAATTTCAAGCTTCACTGTCTGGTCAGAACAGCGGATGCGACATGAATATGATTGAAAACATGCTCGATATAAGGAAACCGCAAATCCAAAGAATGTGTACTCAGGCGAGAAAGTGAGGAGACTTGCTCCAAGTAGTTGGAAAGGAGAAAAGAGAACGTAAATAGATACCCGGGAGGTTTAATAGCTAAACAGCTGGCTCAATGTTGTTGATATTAGGGGAGGATGATATAAATATATCACCATTGGCCCTTCAAGGAGGAGCTTCAGGTCCACGTTCTGGCATCGCTAACGGTGCTGGTATCCCCGGTTCCCACTGCCCACTTGGAATGGCCCGTGCTCCTGCTGGTGCTGGTAGGAGCAGTCGGCGAGATTGAGCGTTTGTCGCACTGGGTGGGTGTTGAACGAGATCCAGTTTTGGCAGGCCAAGCCCAGATTTCGAGGTTGCGATGTATAAAAAGCTGCTCGCCGGTGCCGTTCCCAAATACAACAGATCACATAAAATTGGGCCGTCTAGACGAGGTACTCCATCGCTTGTCCAGTGACCTGGGTTGAGACAGCATGGGATCCTACTCCAAGACGTCATTCTCTGTCTATTTCCATCAAGAATTGTAACTTCAACTTCGATGACATCCCTAGTGAGGAAGCCAGATGCAGTTCTTGTCCTTGCCACATTCATCACGGGTACATTTGGACCGACGGTTGCGCCATAGGGACCAAGAAGTGTGATCATGTCTTCTTTATAGATGCTCATCATAGTGGCACCTGTATCGTGTACAAAATCCAACTCTGTAAACCACTCAACACCCGGTAAACGGAGTGCTAATCTTACCTATGTTTCAAGATTAACAGAAATGCAACGGAGAATAGGGATATAGCTCCCTACAAGAGATGGGGCATACATTATGCATTTTTGGGCGGTGTACAGCTCGAGCTGCCTTGATTCCGACATAACAGCTTTCAGGTCCCGGACCGGTCACCTATTATCACTCATTAGCAAGCTGCACCTAGCCATTTGAGAGATTGGCTAACAAATTTACCCCTTCGGTCCAAAATCCTTTATGGCCTCCGTGCTTAGAATTAAGGGCCTCAAATTCATCCCAGTCGAATCGCCTTGGTTGACAAATTTGGGCGCCTTTGGACCAGTATGTGACAAACCCAACGTTCCATTCAAGCTTGCCTGATCGGTACGCATTCAAAAGAGCCCCAATGTTTGGAAGTTGCTCGGATTCATCTCCATTATCTTCTAGATCTTTCTTCATAGCTTCCAATTCATGCAACCGTTGGATTGTATTCCAGGTAAGGTCTTGAGGCTCCGAGTTTATTATATCTCTGTAATATGATAGTGAGAAAGTATTCAAAAAGTCCACACTCTATAAACTCACTCGTGCTTGGCTTTTGTAGCTGTATACTCTTTTAATCTTTGTTGGAAGACGTGGGGCATTATATTTTCAGCAATTCTCTCATGACATCTTTCGATTTGGCCATCTACATCACTGTTTTATTGCCATTAGCTGTCTGTTCGTACCTTCGCCTGGCATGATTTGGAGGCTTACTCAATTTCAAGGTCATCCTCATTTGTATGCCAGCCTCGAGGAAGCTTATTTGGATCCGTGAGAGGCCCGGCTCCTGTCCATTTGGCCCATGGCCTACTTTTGTTGGGGCGCTGTGGTCGTTTAGGTGGTACCAAAATGCCAATGTATGATTTCTCAAGATCTAGATCCTCTACCGCAATCTTCCTGCGCGAGATTGGTTCTTTTGGCGATCCTCTGGGGCGTTGAGGTGGTATTTGCTGAGCAAGAGTGCTTCGCCGAAGGTTATACCGCCGTTGTGACATTACAATTGCAACACGCCTTGAGAGTACGAGCCTTACAAATCGCTCAAAGTGCAGCTAACGGACACACGATTGGTCTGTGGTAGGGCAAGAATTGCAAGAAGCAGGGAAGTCTGAATTTCCGAATACACCACAGGGGAGAGAATGTAAACTTGAACTGATCGAATTTGAGTCTTAAGACATGAAAGGGGTGTTGTGAACAAAGAATATCACTTCAAAGGGGTCGAAGGAAGAGTCGAGTTTCAGTCAAATTAGGTATTGTTATTCTATAAATACATGTTTTCGGTGTTTCCCTTTGCTGGCCTCTTTGTTGTAGAGAAATTGGGGTCAATAAAAAGCAACTGCGAAGGGGCACAGCGGCCAGTGTCCCAATGGACCTTTTGGCCTAGTTGAGCAGGAGATCATGCTGCCCATAGGGTTGATTTGTCATATTTTGGCGTGAGTAGGTGGAGCCATGACTTTTTCAAGATCTCACATGAAAACTATTAGCACAATCTCTCACTTTTTTTGGAGCCGCGGATATCTCCAAAAATCTGGCCTTATAGGTTTGAGGGGGTCAGAAGTGATAGGCATTTACACTTTCGGGATTTCATTATCTCGCATTGTTCTAGACGAGCTTGTCATCCACCTGAAGGCCAAGCGAACAAGCTGTTGATCCGAGATGGAGAAACAACGTCACCGCGGTTCGAACGAACTCTGGAACAACGTTATTCCCAGCAGCCAATAGGGCCTGCTCTTCACTTGAAGCCCTAAGAGGCTCGGTCGAATCTGGCTGGTGGTCATTTCGTCCGACACCCCATAGATGGAATTTTCTCAAACAGAAAAGAGGAGGAAAAATATTTTCTCTGCAATAATTCTCTCAATTTCATCAATTTCGCTGACTCTGCTGCTGCTGTTGCCTGGACGCAAAGATGACGGAAAGCGATAGGCAGAACGATGTTCAAGTCATTGAAGACTTCCTTTGCATTGTAGCGACACTACCGCGGTAGCGGGACTTGGGTCAGAATGGCCATTAGGCTCAATTGATCATATGGTGTTTCTTTTCGTTCCTATTAAAGTCGTGTTCGTGTACTCCGTACGAGGATACACATTCAGATCCCACCTTGCTCCCGCCTCAAAATGGCTTTCTTTAACCCCCGAAGCTCCAGCAAGCGCGTTGTCGTCCGCTTGACTACTATCCACACCTCACAGGTCGTCTAATGTTCAACTTTGACACACGGGCGGCCGAAATTTCTCAAATGGAAATAGGAGCCGAGCTATTGGTGGCACGTTCTGCATTGCAGCTGAATGATCTGAAAACACCGGATCGTGCAGTGGTCATATATTGATGAAGAACCTGTCGGGTTGCGGTAACGCTTTGACACCTCCTTTTGACCCACCATTGAAGGTGTCTGCCGCGATCGTATCCTTGCTGTTCAGCATACGCTATTCTCTTGTGGTGGTGTTGCTCTTGGTATTCGGTTGCATCACATCGTTTGCGATGCATCAGGGCTTTTCCAGCGAGTCGGAGATCTTGCGGAACTCTATCGTGGCCTGAGCGGCTTATCGAGACCGGTTCTCTTCGCTGATCCCGAGATTCAATCATATCTCCGGGAGCCAAGTCTATTATCGGAAATCCAACGAAAGGAAGCTCTGATGTACCAAATATCAATATTTTCCTTGGGAGAAGACCCTGTTGAAGCATCAAGCCCACATATCAAGACCGAAGCTCCTACTGTTCAGTCTGAGCTCACAGGAAAGGTGACCGGGTGTCTGCTGCGCTTTTCGGGCCGCAAACTGCAGCAACTTGAGAAATCAGCTAAAAGGAGGAAGCTGGGTATCTTCATTCGAAGTATTGTCAGCGTATCTGTACCAGCATTTATACCGTGCACGAGTACATTCATCGAAGTGGCGCGGTGCCTCAGACTCTGAAGTCGCTTCTCGCCTTTCTCGTGGCTTTTGGGCCTCCATCGAAGCGCGTGGACCTACTCGTCTCGGCCTTTCGCAGGAATATTTTCCGAACGCTGTGACACCGTTAATTCTTGCTGAATCGCTACATGAGCTACTCACGAATGGTTCGCTTTGACAGGCGACACGTGTTATCCATGATGTTGTTCGATCATTTGAGCCAGAAGAGACGGCCAAGGACTTGAATTGGATTGCCGTACAGCCTGATAAAAGCCAAATCAAAGTCAAATTCCCCTTCAGCTGTGGTAATTCTACCGTCAGTCAGTGGAGCAAGCATCAGACGTACCTTGGAGTTAATTTTAATGTCGATGAAGATGGCAATGCCACCTCACTTGTTCTTTTCACCCCTCAACTCGCTAAGATCACTTGAGTTGATGGGTTGGCAATAATGTTATTCTCGGAAGAACAGTTGATGCAAGCTAGGTAGTGAAAAGGGAAGTTCATTAGACATCCCGTGCTCCATCGACATCAATATAACAGTCACGGAGCTCTTGTGGCCAATCTCGATTTTGAGGGTATTTCTGCTGATATCACGGCGAGTACACCTTGAGACCAAAGCCTTCCCGGGTCGACACTGTTGACTCTTGAGACACGCGTGGGTTGTCTTGTTGATCAGGCTTCCCATTTCTTCTAGTAGCTGGTTCAGATAGTTTAGAAAGGCTAGAAAAATACATGAACAGGGAGTACTATGTCGTATTGAACTAGCAGGAAGGGAGAAGGACGAGAGGAAAAGAAGATGGGGGAGAGAAGGAGGAAGAAGGAACTATCTATCTGATGGGTGCTGTCGGCCTGGGGCAGCAAGGCCTCAACACACAGTCAGAAATAGCATCCACCTTCACCTTCACCTCTCTCATTAGACACCCTCAAGCTAGTAGCATTAGGATTCACACTTATTCCTCACATAATCACATATCTACACGTAATTACGGAATGAGTATTCAAATACAACATCTACGCGTAGCTTTAACCTTCCTAATTTAATTGGTATATTCGAGCGGTTTCCCGCAATGAGATTCGGACATAATATTCGATATGACGCATGTATATGTCGGCTTAGACTCGTGTGCCGCCTTAGAGATTATGAATGCGGGGCTGTCAGTTCTTCTAAAGCTGTGTTGATAGATATGGCGCCATATTTATATTATTAATACACCAACGGCCTCCGGAGCATTTTGTGGTTCATAATTCGCAAGTGCATGGTGTTATTGTCCGAGTTAGCACGCAAGACCCCATCCGTGATCCTCGGACTGGAACCTCAATTTACCGAGGTATACGATAATTTTCATTCTATTCTTCCTCAAAGATTCTGTGAGATTCAATTGTTTTACATCTTGTGTTGCATGAATACATGAATAACTTTGGAACATTTTGCACTCAATATTGACGGATAAAATGATTATCGCAGAAGCAGGTCTTGCAATTTGTGCAAAATATCAATGCCGATGCATAGTGAATAACGGATCCTTTCAAATCATCCATGCAGGTTTCGCGTATATCGGCCATCCGTAAATTCTATACGTGATTCTAGGATGCCATGACGCGAAGACAGGCGTGGGCTGAGGAATATGGATATTTAAGTCAGTGGTCACCCACAGATACAAGATAGCAATTTCCTCAAACTCGACCAACGAGCAAAGTGATTCATACAGCTCTCAACTCAACATGGCACCCTCTATTGCCGAAGCTACCACTGCAGAAATCGTCGTTCCTGTCAAGACCGCTGCTGGAAAGACCGATGGCAAAGCCAGAGTGAGGAAGATCATTGAAGAGGAAGGAGAAAACACCACTGCTAGTGTATGTCCCAATTACCTGTTCCATTTAAACGGAGAGGTAGATCTAACCCGAAGATACAGTATCCCCACTATTTACCAGTCTTTGACTATGGCGAGAAATACCCCCCTCTGGAACCGTTTACCCATGTCGACCATGGAAAAGACGCCGATCCCAGTTTCATAGATCTTTTGCCCGAAGGATCCAAGATCCAAAAGTTGACCCCAAGTATTGGGTCCGAAGTCACAGGCGTTCAGCTCAGCAAGCTCAGCCCCGCTGGGAAGGACCAGCTCGCCCTACTCGTCGCCCAGCGTAAGGTTGTCGCCTTCAGAGACCAAGACTTGGCCGACTTGCCTATCCAAGAAGCCCTTGACTTCGGTGGTTACTTTGGTCGCCATCATATCCACCCGACTAGCGGGGCCCCAGACGGATATCCGGAGCTTCACCTGGTTCACCGGAACAAGAGCCAGGGGGAGTTCGATAAATATCACGCAACAACGAACAGCACTGTCGGATGGCACTCCGATGTCACATATGAGCAGCAGCCACCGGGCACGACGTTCTTGTATGTCCTCGACACTCCCGAAGTAGGTGGAGATACTGTATTCGCCAATCAAGTCGAGGCCTATAATCGGCTTTCGCCGGCATTCAAGGAGAGACTCCATGGTCTCAAGGCTCTTCATTCTGGCGTAGAGCAGGCTGAGTTTAGCCTACATCTTGGTGGGGTTAATAAACGTGAACCAGTGCAGACTGAGCATCCTCTTGTTCGAACCCATCCCGTGACGGGCGAAAAAGCACTTTTCGTCAATTCGGTCTGTAAGTATATTATGTTTGATTGCTGCTTGAAAGTTCCCGCACTTACATCAAGACAAGTTACTCGCAGTATCGTCGGGCTGAAGAAGGAGGAGAGCGATGCGCTCCTAGGCTTCCTGATTGCTCATATCGCGCGCGGCATTGACTTCCATGCTCGTGTTCGATGGGCCCCCAAGACAGTTGTTATTTGGGATGTAAGTGCATTAATCACCTAAGAAATGCTTCCAAGTTCTAACATATGCTTAGAACCGTGTCACTGCGCACTCTGCTCTTGTGGATTGGACAACTGGTGAGCGTCGCCACTTGGCACGCATCACTCCACAAGCCGAGCGCCCTTTCGAAACTCCTTATGTACCAGAAGCATGAAAGGCTCAAGCAAAGACTTGAGAACTATCCATTCAGCTCATGGATCCTTTGGAATAGTCAATATGTCTAATGATGATTTTTGCTTTGTGTCAACAGGGCCAATACATGACATGACTCAGGCCAATGTCTATCTACAGCCGTACAATAGTACAATTTATCATTTACGATCACATTGGGATGATAATAAAATATAGCTAAATTTTTTGGGCCTATAGAAGCAGAGGATTAATTAATCCCTCCCTGGCGACATATTGCAACATCTCCGCTAAGATGAACGCAAGCAATCGCATTTAAGGCGCTATGGTGCAATATCCCCAACGCTCGCCAGAAGCCTGTCAAATGCCTTAGGTCGTGTGTTCTAGACTACTAAACTTATAACGGGAGTGTATTTGAGTTTGATAATATCTGTACATGTAGGTAATAAAATCAGTTATTCTAGTCGACTTCTTATTAATGGGTGTAGTGCTGCGATCTGATAATCAATTGCTCTTTCCATTTATCATGTTTACAGCAGCTTAATATGTAGACCCTATGATGTGTTTCTCTATATTGTGTACTTTGGGCCGTTTTGATAGTTTAATTGCAATCCGATGAACTGATACGTACTCGGCATTGCGTCTGTATGCTCTTGGTGAGTTAAATGCTACAGATAGTATATAGAACAGCGTAAAGACACAAATTCCTGACTTAAGGAGCTCAAAGTTTGGTTGGGTCAAGCCCGGCCAGGTGCACAGATTCGAGCGTGCTACTATTTCTGTTTTTGGAATTTAGGCGGCCCTGCCCGAGACAGTGTTGACCTTGTTTTTGTCGCATTGCAGATTGCGAGTTTGGGAAGCGGCGGCAGTGTTATTGATAGAGGTGAGTATGATTACCAAAACCAGTTGGGTTGGTAAGACGCTGATTCTCAGAAATTACGAAATCAGAAAACGCACTTATGAGAAGTGACTCGGACGATTCGGACGCGGGTGGATTAAGACTGTGAAGCCACGGATGAGTATCCGGATTTTCGCTTACTGCGGTGAGAAAGTGGAAGTACTGAGCAGAGTTGGAAATATGATAGTGACCGCAAGCCTCGACGAACTCGGAGTATGCGATGCGCCATTGGTTGACGAACTCTTGTGGCGTAGTGCTGCCATCGTACGTCGTATGAGTCCACCTGGAGAATTTGTCATAACCGGTATTGCACTTGTGAACTCCAAAGATCTTATACAGCGTCTGGAACGCGACAAAGGCATTTGGCGCTGTGTTGATGTACAACTTGATCGAGCTATGGACTATAGCGTGAAGGTATGGAAGGAGTGTGTGCGACTTTTGATTCCACTTATCGAGATCCGTATGCTCGGTGTCGCTAGGCCGGGCGTATGCCCCGGTAAGGAGCTCGAAGAGTTGAGAATCGTGTGTGTCGAGAGCACACTTAAGTGCGGCAGACCACGAGGCGAAGTTCTCCTCGCCGGTGAGAATCGGGACAAGCTCAGCAGGCTTAGGCTCGGCAAAGCTGGCAGCTGGACTCTTTGACATGGTGAAACTTGATAAACGAAGGTTAGCAAGGTATTTCATAACCCCGACCCGATGAATGCTAAGATAAAAGGCGTGATGAAGCTTGATGAAGAGGCTAGGTCTTTTTGACCCGGAATTCACCTTGTTAGTAGTGAAATATGATGAAGTTGGGAGCTATGATAGCGATGCTGTGGACGGTGACAGGTGCAAGGTCTGATAAAAAAAAACGAGTCGATGGTAAGTCTGGCTTGTTGATGAAAATGTTGGTGCGTGACTTGGTAATAGTGAGTAGCGAGGTGAGGTGCTATATTATTAGCTAGATGTAGGTGATTGCTCTAAAGTAACACACCACAGTTTCTAAATTGATCAGCAACAAGTTTTAGTTGAGGATCGGCTGAGAACTACTAATGATGATTCGATGGAAGAACCCCATCCTGGCTACAGATTCGAACTAGCGACACGTTTGCATGTTGAAGCATGTGACGACTCAATATGCCACTAGCCTAAAATTCCCAAATAGCAAGAGGGCATAGGGCTCTGAACGGATCATCTGAGGGTCCATGTTCTCTTTAGCCAAAATTCAGAGATCGCCAAGTTGGGGTCTGGACTGGCTAAGATTCACACCGTTCTTTGTCTCGCAGATAATTACATACCTAAGTACGGAGTACATCGAGGGATAGCTCGAAAGATCTGCTTAAAATGAGGGCCCTTTGAACCCGCTTCGCCATTCGGTCCCTTGACTAGTGAAAACTGCATAGTGATTGTTTCATTTAGGCCATAGGTTTCGAATACCTATTTGGACACAATATAGCCTAGATGATTGCGCCCGCTTAATGATACATCTCGAGATGTTGTGGTCATCAGCCGATCAACTCATGGGGCATGCCGCTCAATCCAATGCCTTCACGGTGCTGATGCAATCTGAATCCCATGGTGCATGAAAGAAAGCCAGTAGACAAGGGAGTGCAATTGACCACTACAGTGCCAAGATTCCTTGTGCATGGGTTCGTGCTAGTGAGGACTTCTTGCTTTTACTCATTGGCGCCACTTTCTATTCTTGTAAAATTGTGGATTAATAACAATGCCTCCTGGACGATGGCTGGTCCCAGCTCATGGTTTGTTCACCGCATCACCGAGCTGGCCTTGATATTGGACACCAAGCTCCTTGCTCCTACCTAGGTAGCTATATAACATTAGTCATAGAGGTCTAGCTTGGTATGTTTTCAAAGAACTCGAGAGGCTCTTTTGTTCAGGGTGCGTCAACCCCCCTTCAAAAGAAATATGTCGGTGATGACCAGTTCAATAGTCCAAAAGAAACAAAGGATATCTTCAAGCTCTTGATGCCATTTTGCCGTTCATATATTCTCACTTCTAGGCATTTGACCAAGTGTCTAGGATCGGTTGTTATGGATTGAGGGAAAATGTCATATGTTGATAACCAGAAAACACAAGTCCCCCAGTCTATCTTTTTGGTAAGACCCAGCATATTGGATAAGATCATTCAAGTATCTAGAGCTAATCCAAAGGCTCACAGGGCGTGATCTGGGCTCTTACTGGCACCTCTTTGCTCTTCATTTTAGTTCGCATTTATGCCCAATTTACCTCCTTCCGTCGTCTCTTTATAGATGATTTCCTCGTCATCCTCGCATGGATTATGTTCTTCACCTCTGCGGTTATTTGGCAGATTGAGGGGAAAGTTCTTGAGGAGTTGAATGCGATCAGCGCCGGTACAAAGCCGTTCAAACTTGGGTTTTTGCCTCGGTACCTTAAGTTCAGGCGATTCATTGCTCCATTCGAGATACTGTTTTACTCAGCGCTGTGGTGTGTCAAATTCTCATTTCTGGCATTGTTCTACCGAATCAGTGCTAAAGTCAAGACCTTCCGGACTTGGTGGTTCGTTGTTCTTTTCTGCACAGCAAGTGTGTACATCGCTTCAGTAGCAGACATTGAGTATAAATGCAGTTGGGGAGAATTGGAGTACATTTGGAGTAAAATTAACCCAATCGAGAATCTGCTTGGCCTATACTGACGTCAAATATATTACAGATGAATGCCCTCAGCTCAATCACATTCACTACGAGAATCGTACGTTCTGGGCCAACTGTGCTGGGGATGTGATCACGGACTTGATGAGTGAGTGTATCAAAGAGCAGAAACTTCTTTGATACATCTGAAATCTAACAGTTCTCTTTTTCTCAGTCCTATCTATTCCATTTCTAGTGTTATGGAACACTCGAATCTCGCGTCGCAAAAAGTTACTCTTGTTGAGCATTTTTTCAGCAACTATTCTCATTATGGTGACCGCCATAATCAGGGTGGCCATTGGTGCGAACTATGACCGGCGGGTGAATATCAACTGGCTGTTTTTCTGGAGTTTTGTTGAAGTTGCCATTGGTAAGTCGCCTCGATTTACTGTTCAAGTGCTTGGTTTCTGACTTTGCTTGGGTAGCAATATTTGTCTCATGTGTCGCTTCCCTCCGGCAACTGTTCGTCACTTCCCAAAATCAGAGCCCATCTACCAAGCCCGCTTATCAGAACACGTATGATCCCTTGTTCAAAAGGTCCAAAGAGGCTTGTAGCGAAGACATGTCGTATATGGTCGAGGATCTTGAGCTACGCACGAATGATAGGGTTCCTATGTCGCCCTTGAACATCATACACGTTTTTCAAGATTACCATGTGACCAGTGTCGATGCAAGCCAGCCCGATGAAAAGAAGATCTCTAAGGGGCTGTAAAGGGTAGAAAAGTGCAGTGCCACTTCCTGAATCTAGCAATTCTGTTAAATTTTGGGAATCGGCCTCATTTTGTTTTATACATATCGTAGTAGGGAGCCAGGACCTACTCCTCACTACTGTCAGATCCCTATCCTAATAACTGCACATTTATGTTTTCGTTGGATAAGCATCATACGGATATATATGGCAGGTATATACAGATTGAATACACACACCCCTACACCTCTCTAATTTGACTCCATGGACTACCCTCCGTACCCTACTATTCTCTATGACAGTTGGTAAGTTGTTAGATGATGTTGCTGAATCGATCCCGTGTACCAGAGAGTGCACTGCCACCGAGCGTTCCCTTCTTCAATATGTATGTAGATATTTATATGGGAATTCCTCGGGGGCAGGATCTAGCCATTATGTCTATACTTTCAACGTCCCGTGAATTTCTAAATCAAGAAGTTGCAAAACCTTCTTTGCGATGGGGTGCTTGATATCATTCTCTGTGGAAAACAACATGACTACTGACATTCTATTGTCTCATGTATGACTTGAAATTAGACTCTGGGCTGGCTATCGTATCGCCTTGACCTGGGTTTCATTTTTAATATTGCATCCAGTCGACATACACTCTTTATGCTTTTCCCAGAGGGGAATAAAACAGATATGATCACTTTCTATAGCTTGAATATCGGGGAAATGGTAGGAATGTATTGAAATGCTACCATCTTGGCGTAGTGCGTGGTGACAGGTGAATATCAAGACATGATACAAACCAATAAAGTGATAAAAAAAAGAGTGTGATATGATCAGGAAATAACAAAGAGTACAATATTGAGTATAATATGGAAGACCAAACCTATGTAGTCATTGCTCGCCGCTTGTTACACATAACTGATTCAAATGAACTGGTATATATGTGTAGGCCTAGCAGGGTCTATGATTCTGGAATCTCAATATATCTCAATGGGCAACACGCTAAGGTTTGAATATTTACAAAATATCGAGGTCTTTATCCTATTTTGTCCTTTACATATATACTTATATACAGGTAGGAATGAGCCTTTTTACCTCGCGCTAGAAGAGCGGATTCCTAAGCCGAGGTTAAAAGAATACATAACAAGTATATAAATTTAAAAAGACGGAGTTTGATGTCATAATAGGGCGGCTGGCCTAATGGTAAGGCGCTTGATTTCGGCTCAAGAGATTGCAGGTTCGATCCCTGCGTCGCTCAATGAAATTTTTTTCGCTTTGGGAAATTGATTATTTTTTATGGGAAAATGAATTTACGGTATGCATGTAATATGTGATTACATAATTGTATTCTATGAGGGCGGCTGGCCTAATGGTAAGGCGCTTGATTTCGGCTCAAGAGACTGCAGGTTCGATCCCTGCGTCGCTCAACTTAGTTTTTTTGCTTGTTTCTGTCCGGCCTGTGACTTCATATGAGTTGCACAGCCTAAAATTAGGTACATGCCTAGAGACTTTGCTACTTGCACCAAAAATTAACCACGCGTAATATCTAGTGTCTTTCTGACTGTGAGACTCACGACCCTGCTTCTTACAATGACCATCTCAGATTTACTCCTCCGACGCAACGAGTGAGCTTCATGTCTTGTCTTTCGTTGTCATTCAGACCCAGCAGTTTTTAAATTGACATTTGATTGGCTGCTCAAGTCGTATGGAATCATGCAAGACATGGCGGCGAGCTCAAAAAAAGCGAGGGTAAAGCCCAGAATATCCCCAGTCGACGAGACAAAGGGATCCATCCGTCTCCAGAATCAGATTTCGACAGCAAATGGCATAGAAGGGTGCTAAGTCGGAAGAATCGTTGCGATATTGAAGTCTCTTGTTCATGTACGCATTCATATCCTCAGTTAATGTGAAAGTCGTCTTCGGGCCTTTCGCTACTGAGGAGAGAGGGACCGCAAAATCCTGCATTCGTCTAAGAGACAGAGAAGAAGGGAAGGAAGCTATCTAGGAGAAAGAGCTTCTTATAACAAGGCGAGGAAGGGGGAGTCACCTGACTCCAAACAGGATGTTCCATTCAAATGAAGCACTTCCGATGTCCCTGGCTTGTAGGGTGGGGGACTTGCTCGGCCCTGAGCTCGGGCAAGATTTCGAATAGCACGACACTCGGTGAGAGGAGCAGCAATGGCCGATGTAGCGAGCACCGCTGCACCATATATGATAGCAGGGAACTTCATGGCGTATATTAAAATGGTGAACTGGTGAACAACTTTGGGGGCAAAGAGCAGAGTAAGTAAATGAATGAACTATGGGGATAGAAGACAAGTCTGGAAAACATGCTGGTTATATAGGCTTTGGGGCCTGTTGCAAGCTCATCAATAAAACCATAAAACAAAAACGTGCCCAGCATAATCAAATCGGTCTATCTCCGCAAAATCGATTCGGATGTAACATCAGCTTCATCAGAAAGGAACAAGAAATATCAATATTCTCTAATTCCGTCGGAGACCGATGCATAGAACTAACTAAATATGGGTCGTGGGATATAGAAACCTCGCCCACGGGGTCAGATGCCTCAATTGACTGGAGCTACCCTGTGCATCACCACTATAGGTACTAATGAATGTTCAGCTGACGGGCTCGATAGCCTTGCCAATTTGCCATATATTCTGAAAGGGCACAGGCTTCCGGCCTTCGATTCTCCGACGGAGCATAGATGCATTGTGAGGCAGCTCGCTTTAAGTTGGTGAAGAGGATCCAGATGATATAGATTAACAATAATTGTAGACATGCAGCATGAGCAACTAGAAACTATCTACAAACTATCGCTTTTCTCAGAAGAAATCAGCGGGAAGTCTCAATAAGGCACGGCAACTTGGTGTGACTGTGGCTTGCAAGCTAATATCTCCTTGCAGCCTGGGAGTGATAAGAGTGCCAAGCTTTCGACAAGCAACTTTGCCCAGAAAGAGCAGGCGATCTGGGTATTGCGGATAAAGCTGTAGATTATAATACACCGTATTTAATAAACCCCAAGTTTGGGAAACAATGGCCATTCCTTCTTCCCCAGCTAATCTAATGCCTCGATGTTCAGGGAAATAGGAGAACACCCCCTCATCAATCTCGCGTGCAGATTTGTTTTGACTTTTCGTGCAGACAAGCTGGCCCACACTGACTACATTCGAGTATAATGTCCGAGCCAATATAGGTAAGCGTGGGGTCATTGCACATTTTTGGCGCCATCATTTCACCCGAGTACCAATCATATCTCTGATGCCATACTATTTTGGCACGGTTGAGGAGTCTGGCGTAATGTCATAAGCCTCCGGCGCTTTCAAGCCACAGCGCTTGTTTGGATGTGGTCCTAGCCAAGGTCAGAGGGAGCTGTGGTAGGCATTGAGAACTACCAATCAAAAACTTACATCATTCCCATAATATTGGCATATCTGATAATCTAGAAAGGCTAGATCAATACAGAGTTTTGGGAGAAAACTATGTCTTATTGAACTAGCTAGAGGGTGAAGGACGGGAGGAACAGGAGGAGAGCGAGAGGGGAAGGAGGAAGAACGAACTACCTACCTACCTCCTAGGTATCTATCTGATGGGTTATTTCGACCTAGGGCAGCAAGGCCTTAACAGATAACGTGAAGTAATTACTCCTAGGTAATCTTCGAGTAGGAATGGCAGAAGCATAAGTGAGCTTTACCTAAAACGGCTAAATCGCAAGTGTGTGATAGAGATGATCCTGTACGACTACTCATAAGAAGGAGTGGACTGGAAAATCTTGTATTGTGCGTAGAGAGAGAAAAGGAAGAAGAAGGAAAGCTAGCTAGACTAGACTAAAGTGCTAGGAGGTCACGTGTCTTCGCAACAGTGTGCATACTTTGAGAGACCCTAGCATTCTTTACAAGACTTGAAATAGCTATTAATAAGTATTTATGAGGGGGGGAAATAATGTACGCCACAAATAGATATGAGAGGCCAGTGGAAGGCCAGTCAGGCTGAGAGCCAGAAACCACCAGAAGTCATACATTATTTAAGAAGCAATCACTTAGCATGCCACTGTGTGGGTTGTAGTACCATGTTTCTTCCATTTTATATTTGCTCATTAGATATCCTTAGGTACTTTCTCAAACTCTTTCCCCTAATGAATCAACATACAGATATTACATCGTTAGAACCCAAGCATCTTATTGGGTACTAGTGCAATATAACACCGGACAAGATGCCCATATTGCCAGTGAAAGCCGTGATATCAACGGGGTTTAGACTGTCCGAACTCTAGGATTTTGAGGTGAACTAGTCAATTATATCACTAATCTGGGAGGCATGGGGAAAATACGAACTCAGAAACTCTCTTGGCGGCTTTTTGGCCGTTGAAGGGAATATGTTCAGATGGCTTTATTCTTTGTTTTTAAATCAAACAGACTGTATGTTTGCTTTGGAGATTCAAGTTGGTGTCAGCGACAGATGCCGAGCTCTAATCAACCCGGCTATTGCTCCTTACATGTCTACATTTAGGTATGTACCAAAAGGTTAATCAATACAGGGGAATTTGTTTCCCCGATTATTGAGCTTCGCCCGTGATAGGTGTGGCAAAATGAGCCTTTGCGCGGGCTCGTCATGACTCAGTATTTGAAAGAATCTTTCCACCTCTAGTGTTCAGATTAGAAAAAGAATTCATGTTAGGGGGCTCTATTGGGGACTGTTTTAGGATAGAGTCTCAATAGTGCCGCCAAACGCGCGGGCAGTACCAAGCAATCTATTCATTGCCTCCTAGGCACTATATGGGTGAGAGACAAAGGGCAAATTCAGGATCTGCATCCGCAGACGAGACTCAATTCTTTGTTGGTGATAAATTGTTTTGGTTTGTTTGTCTGACAGTTATGCAAGGTTTTACCATGCAACCCCGAGGACCTGCATTCAAACAATGAAGTCAATGGTATTCCATTTGTACCGACACTTGTTGACCAATACAGTGCTTTGTGTCTAGCCTCCTACATTTATGCTAGGCTATGTTTGTAATTTTGAGTTGGTTTTTTTTCCGATCGACTACCTATAAAACACGAGTCTATCGTTTCAGTGACTTATGGTGTTCCAAGGGAAATCCAAAGCAATGAGGTCCATTAAAATCCTCGTGCCACTGTTTATCCAGATAGCAACCTGTCTGTCAGGGCGCAGCTTTGGTGATGGTCATCGCCATTCAATCCAGAGGCGTGCTCCACCCGCACCACGCGCAAATGGCATCTGTTACACTTACACCATTCAGCATGGAGACAGCTGCCCGAAACTTGCCGAGCGCTATCATATCACTACTAGTGATATCGAGACTTGGAATACTGGATCGTGGGATTGGAAGGGCTGCAGTGGTGTCAAGCAGGGCGATTTTGTCTGTCTCAGCTCTGGTGCCTTTCCTATGCCGGTTGCTCTCCCACATGCTACCTGCGGTCCTCAAGTCCCTGGGACAAGACGGCCTGCCAACTACGCCGACCTTGCTTCTCTAAACCCGTGCCCTTCGGATCAATGCGTGAGACCTCTACGTTATCAATTCCTCTTGCTTCTGCTGACACTACCAACAGTGTGCTAAATCGGGTCAATGTGGTACGACCAAGGCCTCTTGCGATGCTACCCAGGCCTGTATCTTCAATTGCGGGGATAAGAGCCCCAAGAAAGCCGCGTCCAAGAGCGATGCGCAAAGTACTGCACCAAAGATGACCATTGCTTCAAAGGCGAGCACAACTTCCAGATCGAGGACGACTAACAAACCTACCACAACTTCACAGGCGACTACAAGTATAAAAACTACCACAGGTTCGAAAAAGACTACGACCAAGCACACTACCACTTCAACCACTACTACCAAAGAAGAAGTCAAAGCAACCAAGACTACTAGCGAGCTGAATCCTACTGAAACTTGGTCAATGATCCTCTATGATAAAGCAAAGTGTGAAGGGGATTATTACTCCATCCAAGGGCATGAAAATGACAAATCAGGCATATGCTTTGCTTTGTCAGAGGATACTAGCACCGAGATCTCGGATACGAAGAGGTCTTGCCGATGGTGGCTTGATGGTGGTCTCAGCTGGGACACTTGTTCCTCCAGTTCCCTTAAGCGGCCTAAGTCTTGGAGTGTTATAAACGGCCAGTGCTACGTATATAGTGATAAGAAATGTGATAGAGATAAGTATGTTGGGTTTATCGTTGGGACTGCGGGAAAATGCTACAAATGGAGGGATTCGGTTCATTTTCCTGTGGACGACTGGAACTCAATGATTTGTTGGTATATGTAGCTGATTGCCGATTTCAGTCACCAGAATATGTATTTTTTTTCTTACACACTGTCGGGCTATTTATTGGTTCCCACTTTGCCTGGTCAAAATATATAATAAAGCGTGTCCTATTCAATATAGTTTTAGCACATTAGCTTGAAGTCCTTGTAGCGGGCCACCTATTATGTACCCCAATTCAGATACGAAAAACCCCCAAAAAAAAACGACAGCGGCGCAGATCAACTGTTATGCCCTTGTTCAAAGATGTAGTTGGGATTTAGTTGGCTGGCGCCATAAAAAACTCATTGAAACTTTGTTCAATAAGCATAAAATAGCGTTTACATCCATCAACCAGCCAAGTGGCCGAGCAGTAACTCAGCCATCACATCTTCCTTGGTCTAGTGGTGATGATTTCCGCTTGTCATTAACACCGATAAGCGCGGGAGACCGGGGTTCGATTCCCCGAGGGAGAGATTTCTTTTTGCTAATTCTTTTTCATTTATTCCGCATGAATTTTTTTACAATATTGGAATAGCCGCACAGCGACGTCAATCCAGCCCCAAGCGCCTGTTATCATCAATCACGAGGGCGAAAGACGTGATATTGTTTACTTCCAAGTCAGCATTTATGTATAGTGATCAATCAAAAACAGAAGCGGGAGGCGATTGGGAGGGAGAGACACACCTAGAGACAGAAAATAACAAAATCATCAGCATTAGATTTTCGAAGGAAGATTATGTATGGACGGTAACCTTCCACCTTTATGTACCTACATGTACCTACATGTAGGTACATGTAGGTACATGTAGACACTCGATAGTAGGGAGGAGTCACTCGCACCTTCTACATTGGGTTCTTTCCTTGTAGGCCAGGATGGCAACAACATAACTTTTCTCGTTGCTGAACCTAAGAGACCCTCAGGGGTTCACTCTTTGCATCTAGCTCTTTCTTCTATCGATTCCATACCCAGCACAATCCTCCAACACTCTCACCCGGATGTCCTTCTTGCATCTCAGATCTGAATATACGGCAAGGTGATTGGTCATTATGGCCTTCTGGGTGGGCTGGGAACTATGGGAAAAGCTAAGCGTGGTAAGCATACAGCTCCCGATCAAAGAGATCATCTACTTATTGCTACTATTCATAGGTGCTGGCCTTATTGATTGTATGTGTCTACGACGCAATGCTATGAACAGCACAACTGACAACACATGCAGGCTTTAGTGCTCATTTATGCCTTATGCGTCCTTGGCTTGAATCGCTGGAGGATGAGCAAATATGCTGCAACAGAGGCAAAGGAACGAGAGGAGGAGGCTGAGCTGTATCCGATGCTGCATAAAGACGATGTCCCTTTCGGCGCCAGGGCTTTGGAAAGAGGAATTGAAGTTGAAGGAATTTGGGTATCAAATCCAAACACACCCATGCAAAGTCCACACCAGCCTGCAACTCCGGTTGGAAGCCGACCGGCTAGTCCTGGCTCGAGGTCATTGGCCAGAACACTTGAGAACTCCACATCCTCCGTGGGATCCCAGAGCTCTACGATCAGCCCGAAGCCGATGCCAGCGGTCGCTCGACGTGGGGTCATGTCCGAGCTAGACCTAGCCTCTGCAGGCTTCGTTTATGAGACTCACAGACCTGGCGGACTATATAGTCGAGCCAGTCTGCCCGTTAATACAAACGCCCTCCGCATGTCACCTGCACGGGAGGAATCAATGGTAGGCATGAAGACAACAGCAGTCAGGCAAAAACGAGCTAGTTTCCACTCGCGAGTATTCGGCACAAGCCTTCACCCGGACCCAAAAGTCTACCAAGCAGGTTTAGATGGCGCCAATGATGATATGGACTACATCCCGGCCATGAATGGATCTTCTGCTCATGTTTCAGCAGAGCACAAGCGGGCCTCACGGTTCACAAGTAAGTCGAATCTACCATGACATACTGGTTGACCATAAAGCTTAATGTGACTCCTCATCTGTAGGGAATCTTCGTCGACGATCATCCGAGGAATTCCGGCGGAGGATGAGCCAGATTTTCAACGACAATGTCCAGGGCTTGTCAGCCGAAGAGCTGGAATTCAATCCAGCTCTGCGAGAGTACCAAAGACGGAATTTCCGCGAGTCGCTGCTTCGTCCTTTCAGGCCGTGGCTCCACGCTTCTGGAGGTGGATAAAGACGAGATGCAGCTCACGAAAGGCCATTGTCTTGCGAATGAACCAGATCAATAATAACAAACCTTGGGAGGCCTGGAAGGCGAGCTCTGCTTTTCCTCAGACATCTAGCATTGATTTTGATCCAGCGTTGCGGCAGCTCATGAGCAGTTTTCAAACACTTGGTTTTGCGCAAAAGAAGATTGAGAGAATATCTTTTAATGGGAAGATGGAGTCTCAGTATGCAGCCATTGCAGCATTTGTATTCTTACACTTTTAATTGCGAATTCACCAGTGACATCCCATTGGGTCGGTAAATGAGTGTTGAGCCTCCTGAAGCCGTCTCGAACCATTCTTAAGGCCCAATGTCTAGGCAAAGCAACGGATAGGAGTACCTAAACTTTCATTTGTGCATTTTGAAGCACTTGAGAGAGAAGCAGGATGCTTGTTCCAGATCGGAAATCCCCAAGGCAGCAACACCCACGTGACCTCGCGATCCATTCAACGCGTCCAATATGTTGATTTGGAATCATCCTATGCTTTTTGCCACGAAGCGATTCTTCAGACTTTTCTGTCTTTCTACAGTCCAATCTTACTTTCATTTTCATTAACCCGCTGGAATAAAAGGGCCAATCGGTTAACCCCACTCAAGAGTATTGTTTCGCAAACGAGTAATTATCCACTCAAACGCGTCTCTTCAACTGGGTTCATTCTCCGCGACCTCAAGCCGAGACAAATTGCCCGAGGACTCTTACGACATCAACCTACCGCCGGAATCGATAATCGCAGCAAAACACCTCCAATATGGAGGGTCAAGAGCAATATGAGGACAATGGGCTTCCTGGTCCTGGTGCCCCGACCCCACTCTCTGCCCTGGACGTGAGTGAATCTGATAATAGGCCCTTGCTGCTGAATGTTGGATCATAGTACTGAGAATTTCTTTCATAGGGTGTTTCAGGGCTAACTGCCAGGGATATCAAATTGTTCGTGGATGCAGGATATAATACCGTCGAGTCTGTGGCCTATACGTATGTAGCCGAAAATCTTCAGATCAATTACACTTCCCTGGCAGCAACTTCTGTTATATCCGTTTCGTCGTCCCTGTCAAATTACTAACATGTGTGATTGACCCCAGGCCGAAACGGTTGTTGGAACAGATCAAGGGTATCTCAGAACAAAAAGCCACAAAGATCCTAGTCGAAGGTGAGTCTATTCTGCGCCGAGCTACAGCCTTGGCCGAGGGCAGGTCTGCTAACAATAATTACTCCATTAGCTTCAAAGCTGGTACCCATGGGCTTCACAACGGCTACCGAAATGCATGCCCGAAGAAGCGAGCTCATCTCAATCACAACCGGATCCAAGCGACTTGACACATTGCTTGGAGGTGGCGTTGAAACCGGGTCAATTACGGAAATTTTCGGAGAATTCAGAACCGGAAAGAGTCAGATTTGTCACACTCTCGCAGTGACTTGCCAGTTGCCTTTCGATATGGGTGGTGGTGAGGGTAAGTGTCTCTACATCGACACAGAGGGTACTTTCCGCCCAGTGCGATTGCTTGCAGTCGCACAGCGATATGGTCTCGTCGGTGAGGAAGTCCTTGATAACGTCGCATACGCACGAGCATATAACTCGGATCACCAGCTCCAGCTGCTCAACCAGGCCTCCCAAATGATGTGTGAGACGCGATTCTCACTCCTCGTGGTTGACTCGGCGACATCTCTGTACCGAACAGACTTCAACGGCCGTGGTGAACTCGCATCGCGACAGACCCATCTGGCCAAGTTCATGCGTACTCTACAACGCCTTGCAGACGAATTCGGCATTGCAGTCGTAATTACGAACCAGGTCGTTGCCCAGGTTGATGGTGGACCTAGTGCCATGTTCAATCCGGATCCCAAGAAACCCATTGGTGGTAATATCATCGCGCACGCCAGTACCACCCGACTGAGCCTCAAGAAGGGCCGCGGTGAGACTCGAATCTGTAAGATTTACGATAGTCCTTGTCTCCCGGAGAGTGACTGTCTTTTCGCTATCAATGATAATGGTATCGGGGACCCCAGTGAGAAGGACCTTGAAGATAAATGAGTGAACCTTTTGCAAGGGTACACTTTTGTTCCGCGACACGATTTTAGTGACTTGATGAGTATCACATTCAATTGTTTATGTTCTCGATGCCGCCCCTCGGCATCTCAGCGTTGTGATATTTTTTGTTTTGTTTGATAGCAGTTGAATTAGAAAGCACTATTTCTATTTCTTTGAGACTTCGAAAAGAAACATTTGATATCTAGGAGTAATCAACAGTAAATCTATGGAGTTCAGTAATTCTGAGCCATCGATCTCAGGCCTATCGTCGCGCCAAGACTTCCGTGTTTTTTGAGCTCCAGCTTCCCGCCCTTCGATCTTCCAACCTTTTCCACCTCCCGGCCATGGAGTGCTAAGTTGATTAACCTTGTCAATCGATCATGGCGAAAATCTACAAAGACTCAAGGGTGGACCTTCGGCCCTACTCGCCGACCACGGTTGCCAATATCCAGATTCCCACTCAAGAGCCCGTCGCCCGTCGCCCACGCTTTTCCATCTCATCCACCTCCGAGGAGCCCCCAATCGCCAAAGACGAAGATGAGTTCTCCAGGCGCTACCTTGCGACACAGGGCGAGGTCTACTTCCGAAAGCGCAGAGTCTATCCGAGGACATTCTTGTGGAGGGTCATTAATGACAACAAAGTGCTAGAGATCCAGTGCGCCGACCTGACAAAGGGCGGTACGGAAGTCTATGAATACAATGTTACTCTGCGCTTGGACTTCCAGGAGCAGATCCTCCCCTTTGGAGTTGAATTGTCCGACTCCGCGGACCACGAAATTATCAGTCTCTTTGTGATTACCGCCTCCAAGCACCTTCACACACTCTCCTTGCGCCCTGAGTTCTTCCGCCGAACCTCTTCGATCGACGAAAATGTCAGGGATTGGTGCAAGACCTTCCTCCCTGCCCCTCTGGCCTTTTCGAACCCCCACCGCCTACACGCGAGCAGTCCCCTGGAATTGTTTATCTCTCTCGACAATGGCGCGCTACTGCGGCTGACCCGGAGAGCCGGCGAGGATGGTGAGTACATTTCTTTCATTTTCTGCCTTTGCGATCCCCAACTGACTCATTATTTTGTGAAATAGGTTCCCATTGGTCGCCTCTCACCTTTGACGAACGAACTTGGGGCTCTTCAATTCGAGGCCTCGTCAAATGGCACGCCCCCTCCTCGATCAGACACGACGGACGCAACCTTGATTTAAACGTTGCAAATGCGATTGCCACCACTTCAGACGAGACCCATGTGTTCGCAATTTGTTTGAATCATACTCTCAAGATTTGGAACCTCGCAACCAACAAGCTAGCGGCTACGAAGGATCTTCTTGGACGCTCACTTCAAGATCCAGATCTTGCACCGTACACTTTGAATCCCGCCGAGACATCATTCATGCGCGTATTCAATGCCGAGCGAGCAATGGACGGTGGCCATCGCTTCTATGTCGTCACGTATTCGCCATTCGAGGATGGCAAGTTCAAGTTTTGGGCTGTCAAGGGCGGCTTGACATCTGAACTTGTAATTGAGGACCTTTTTGCTGATAATGTTTTCCGACCTGTTGACCCTGATGCCACGGGTAACATGTTTTGGAGCATTGCTGACTTCCAGATCAAAACTCGGGAAGAAGGCAAAGGAATGGAGCTGTGGGTGCTCTGGAGAAACCACGGCCTTTACCAACTGTACACCCTCCATTTCGATCTTCAGACTCTGGTTACGGATTGGGCTACCAAATGGGTTTCGACGACATTTGAAACGCATCGACAAGACCCTCCGCCTTCTCTTGTCGTTGATGATGTAGTCGACCCCACCGAAAAATGGCTAGAATACCTCATGCAACCGAATAGATATTTGCCCGAGGTCCTTGAGACTGCTCTGGCCGTCTATCAGGAAGCTATCAAACCATTATCTTCAGTTTCACCTGGGGGACTCAAAAAGAGTCTGCCTTTAGTGGAACGACTCTGCTCCACAATTGCAGCGGCAGTTTCTCTTCGGAAATTTGCGGATGAGGAGATGGACTACTCCCGCTATACTTCAGATACGGACTCGAAGTGGCGCCAGTTCTGGCAAGTTGCGGAAGATCTCAATAAACGCCGGTTCGAGCCGATCTCTCTCGCCTACGACTCGTACACCGATATGCCGTGGCTTCTTCTGTCTGATTCTTGCGCTGTGGTGCGCGAGTGCAGTATTACTGAACTCTTCCTGCACAATTCCAGCACCGAACTAAAGGACGCAGTGCCAAAGATGGTGGACCGTTGGAGGCATCGAAATGTTGCAAGGGAGCTGGGCCCGAAATTCGAAACAGCCTCTGGATTGTTGAAAGTGGCGTCCGATTTCCGAAAGAGATTCTCTCCAGAGCTTGATGGGGCATGCCGAGCAGCTCTGCAGGCCGAAATATTTTCTGAGCCTTCTTCCTCGATCTTGGACCGCATGGATAACTTCCGGGAGCGCTGTGACTTTACCAATCAAATCTCTAACAAGGCCTTTGACAGCCTCGATGCAGCCTTAAGTGAACACATGAAAACTGATTGTTTATCTATGGATGCTTTCCTCACTATAATTCAAACTGCGTCGCTTCACTTCTGCGGAGAGGACTCGGAACTTGCATCAACATGCTTTGGTGCCCGAGTTCTTGTCAGTGGTGCACAAGAGACCATCTCTATCTCGCGTCAAATCTTTTATGATCTGTTAATCCTTGTCACATTCGTGGATGGCGAATGGGAACAAACAAGCAAGTCTGACTTTGATGCGTCCGGTCTTTTCTCAACCCTCGTCGATCTCCTACGTGAATATGAGATGATGGCCTGGCTCAGCTCAAATGTCCGCAAGTGTCCTGACAAAGCAAAGTCCCGCGTTGACTCGTCGACCCATAGATCCTCACTCAAAGATAGCAGCTCGAAGGTCAAGGGTCAGCGAACTGCAAGCATTCTTGAAGATCTTTTTGTGGCCGTTATCAAGCCTCAGCAAGCAATTGACTCCCCACAAAGCTACACATTGACTTTGGGCATCAGGGATGTTGTGGCATGGATCACCCGCGAAGGCGAGGTGAACTATCAAAACGCAGTGGCTCACATTCAATGTGATTTGATCGCAAAGAATAACATCGACCTCGCGTGGGATTTCCTTCGTTTCCAAGCAAGTACATCCTGGTCAACCTACGTTAAGGGTCGTCTGCATGTGGCCATGTCAGAATTCGATGCTGCGGCTATTTACTTCCGGAAGGCAGCCTATTTGCTTTGTATGTATCTCCTAGTATATCCCGATCTTCATTTAGCCCTGCTAACCTACATACAGCTTGCGGAAAGCCAATGGGCAATCTTTCCGACATGTCAGCAGAGCTCTTAGATCTTCTCGATGTCGATTGCTTCCACAACGGTCTTGCGAAATATTACCAGCATGTTCTTTCGATCTTCGAGAAAGTGCGCTCATACTCCCATGTCGCGGACTTTGCCAGCCTGGCGCTGCAAGCCCTCGACTCTGAAGTCTGGGCTGAGCAAGACTCTGAATACCCGGGCGTACGCGATGATCTGCTGTCACGTCTGTTCACTGGAGCCCTCAAGACTTGTCAATTTGACCAGGCATACTCCGCTCTGGCTAGATTGCAGGATCTTAAATTACAAAAGTCCGAGCTTACAGAGCTGATCTCCACCATTATAGCAGTCTCTGGACCTGGCACTGCTGGCCTGAAGCAGATTCTCCGTTTCCCTACCTCACTAGTTCCCAACATCGCCTCCTTCGTCGATGAGATCCTCGTTCACCTGACTCACAAACAGACCACCAATATTTCCTGGTTAGATGCGGATAACAAGTTTTTCCCAGCCTTCCCCGATTACACCCGCATTCTACAGGCTTATCGCATTGCCCGCGGTGACTACCGCGGCGCTGCTGAGATCGCCTACGGCAACGTCCAGCGTCTCCGCAAAGCACGCGATGCCCCTTCATCAGCCTTGACCCGCAAAGGAAGGGGAGCGGACGATGCCGCCTGGTCGCCAGTTGAAGAAGATGATGCCGAAAGCAAGGAAATTCGGCATGAGCTGCTGTCACTAATCAATCTCCTCGCTTGCGTCGACAAGAGCGAAGCCTACATCCTCGTCGAGAACGGTCCTCCGATCAACGCCGGTCCGATCTCTCCCCGCGAAAGACGCCCAAGCACTCACGCCGACGAAGACGGAAACATCTCGATGGAGGATGTCGACGTGGCTTCCCCTACACCACTCGGAGGCAGGCGCCGACCCTCCAATGCCGTGGCTTTCGCACCCACCCACCACAGAGGCAGCAGCAAGTCATCCGCCATTGAACGGCGCAACAGCATTGTGTCTTTTGAAGTCCCTGCGACGAACCACTTGCTCAAGCGCCGTATTATCGTCACGCTCGAGCATCTGCGTCGAGAATTCCAGTCTGAACTCGATCGTGTCAGCCGGATTGAGCGTGGGGATTGGGAATTTGGTCTTCTTGATGAGGAGAAGGACGTGGATAATGACGACACGATGGGTCTGTAGTTGGGCTTTGCGGTGAATTTATCTACGACTTTGCATTTTGGCCCTGGGGGCTGCAGCCTCCGTTTTCGAATTTGATCTTCTTTTATTCCAATGTATGGTATCTGTCGGTGTTTCTCTTTGTTCTTAGGGTAGTCTTCCACTATTGGATGGGGTGCAAAATATCATTTGCTTTTCTCTTTACTTCTCGTTTATTTTTTGCTCGCTTTCTTGTAAATTGATTGATATATAGATGATTTAAGGTTGTACCGTAGAGCCATCGTGTGCAGGCCGACATTTGAAGACAGCGATGTTTGCTGTGATGTGAGGTATGTATGTCGGTGCCAGCTCGACTTGTCCTTAAAAATGCACGTATTAAGGGATGAATGATGGAGGTAAAGTACCTGCATAACAAGCTACATGAGTGAAAAATATATATTCTCCAACTCATTTTTGTCGCATCAACTCCAGGAGACATATGTTCCAAAATGAGGCCACAAGCGATGAGAGTTTAACTAAGGACTCAGAATCTACCTGGTTACCCATGAAACACTCCTAGGATCAACAACATTCAGAATGATATACTAGCAGACATGCAAATTCCACGAGAGTCAGGAGTCGGATTTAGCAGATGGCTATAAGTATTACACGTAAAAAGCGATCAAACACGTTAACGAGAGTCAAGAAGGAGATAGTCATCACAGCCAGGAATAAAGATAAAAAGTCACAAACATGAGCATGAAAATGAACATGAACAACAGTAGATCAATGCCAGTGATCTAAACCAAGAAAGAGCAGTATGTCGATGTCGATATATACCTCGAAAAAGGGAATGTGAGAGATTGGCGCCCCAAAAAAAACCAAGACGCTCCAACCTGCAAAGAAACAATCAAACAACCGAACCCTCAATAGCACAAATATTCGCAAGTAATCGAGAAATAAAACAATTAGTCCGATTCTTCGGTCGCCATAGCGCTCGCATACAATTTGCTGAAGTGCGACTTGGGTTCGGCAAGGAGCGCGTATGGCTCACCGTTCTCCACAATCTGACCTGCATCTAGAACGACGATGCGATCGAAATCGAGGATCGTATCGAGTTTATGGGCGACAGCAATGATGGTATGGTTACAGAATTTTTCTCTGATGACCCGCTGCATGATTTCGTCTGTTTTGGTGTCGATGCTGTGAATGTTAGTTTTATTCCGCAGCAAGGGGTGTGGATATGTGAATATTGATATAATCGCAAAACGCAAAAGAGATCTCCGCTCGGACGATGCCGCATCCATGCAGGGGGGTTTGGTGCAAGAAGGCAATGATTGTGAAAAGTGGGGAGACCGGTGTGAGGGGAACAGGGAAATGACTTACTTGCTCGTTGCCTCATCGAGGATGAGGATGTTGCCCGGGCGAAGAAGCGCGCGCGCAAGGCAGAAAAGCTGCTTTTGGCCGTGCGACAGGTGGACGTCGTCCACTTCGGTGTCCAGATTCCCCTTTTCTTGAATAGCAGGGAGGAGCTGGACGCTCTTGAGTGCTGCCAAGATGTCTCGGTCGGAATGACTTCCTGTTGGATCGGCGTTCAACCGAACACTGCCCTTGAATAGGAGTGAGTCCTGGGAGACACCGTTGATGCGTGAGCGGATTTCTCGTCGCGGAAGTCGACTGATGTCCACTCCGTCCACGGTGATGGTGCCGCTGGTTAGTTCCATCATCCGGAAGATGCTCATGATCATGGATGTCTTGCCGCTGTAGGGGTCTAAGGTTAGAATAGAACTCGTAGCGGACTGTTTGAATTATGGATTCTTCTTACCTTCCTGTTCGTCCACAAATGCCAACTTTATCGCCTGCCTGCACAGTGAGAGAAACGTCCTTGAGAACTGGCTCCGAGGGTCTGTAAGCTGCAGAGACAGCATGGAAGCTGACTGCACCATTTGAGGGCCAGTTAGGTGGTACATCTTGGTCTTCACCGGGCTTGTCTTCTGACTGGACAGTTGTGGTGAAGTCCTTGATACGCTGGATGGAACCAATGTGTGTCTCCAAATTGGTCCAGAAGGTCACCAGAAGCTTGATGCTCTGACTGAATTGGATGACATTCAAGAGAGCGACACCAACAGAGCCTGCACTGAGGGACGTCCCACGCAGCACAACGACCAGAACAATCAGTAGAACGGCGATTCCTGCCACGACCATGTCCAGCGACAGAGTGAGCCAGCGCTGGATAGCGAACATAAAGTAGAAGGGTCGCTGTGAGTGGTCTAGAAGAGCGATATTCTTCTTTTCCATGTCATGCTGCCACCCGAAGGCCCGCAGGGTCACAAGGCCTTGAAGACAGTCGGTGAAATGCGAATATAGTGGAGCCTTAGCCTCGATATCCAAGTATCGAAGTTGTCGTGAAGTGCATAAATACATCTTCTGAATTAGGAAAAGGATACCAAGAACGATCGGGAAGGATATAGCCGCGTAAGTGGAAGAGACGCCAATTAATGCCATCTGTGCCAGACAGAGGAAAAATGTGGCGACAGTGTTGATGGCGGCGATGGGGAGCTCCATGTCAATAAGCTGCAAATCTTGACTGAATCTGTTGAGGATGGCACCACTGTCGGTGCTGGAGAAGAACAGCATCGGAGCACTGAGGACAGTGGTCAACAACTTGCGGTGGAAGTTCTCGCCGGACTTTGGGACCATGGTAATAATCATTTGCCAGCAGCCAACAATCAATGCGAGCATAGCAACACAGCCAAGCATCACGTAGATACCAAGATAATGGGCGATCTCCTTCTTGTGATTCTCGGTGTCGGATTTGGCCCACCATTTCAGCCAAATGCTGGGGAACGATATGCAGAAGACAAAGCCAGCCATTGCGACCATGAAAATAATTGCAGGGAGCCATCCGATAGCATTGACGTAGTATGCATAGATTCCAAGATCACCGCCACCGTTGTAGTTCTCTGGCTCGTCAACCACTATCTCCTTTTCTTTCTGTACAGTGTCGACGCTGCTATAACTGGGAGAGTCGGAGAACCGCTTGGGCTTGTAATGCCAGTCAGGCAGCCCAAGTCCAAAGCTTGACACATATCCACCAGTTTTGTTGAGAGAAACAAAACTTCCCTGTTCAGAGATCCGACCATCTGGGTCCAAGACAATAATGAGATCGGAGTACGGAAGGCGTTTGACAGAAGAGGAGGCGACGATGACCGAAGACCCAATCTCTTTCAAAAGGCCTCGGGGCCCGAAAAGGCTGTGGAAGATGTGGTTCTCAGTGGTAGCGTCGAGACCGCTGAGGGCGTCATCGAGGATAATAATCTTTCTCCGGGCATAGACTGCGCGCGCAAGCGCAATACGTTGGCTTTGACCACCACTGAGGGCAATTCCTTTGCTTCCGATAACAGCAGAATCTCCACGGGGAAATTGTGCAAGATCTTCCTCCAGAGCACAAGCCCGAATCACAGATTCATACCATCTAGAATCGTAGTCAGACATCGCAATGATGCTTTCTTTGATGGTGCCATTCATATGCCACGGAGTCTGATCACAGTATGCAACGCTGGGGGATGATAGTTCAACCTTGCCATCAGCACTGGGGATTTCCCCAAGAAGAGCTTTGAGCAAAGTAGACTTGCCACAACCAGATGGTCCAATGAGAACCGTGAAGCTGCCTTGGGGGATAGTCATTGTAATGTCCTTGAGAATTGGTCCCTTGTCAGCCTCCCATCCAAAGCTTCCATTCTGGACCATGACAGCGTTTGTAGAAGACAGAGCGCTCGAGCGACCAAGAGATTCCACAGAATCCGAGGTATTGGAAGACAGCTCAAGGTCTTTGGCCGTTGACAGCACCCGCTTCTCACCAATATTGTCGAGGAAGAGAGCTTTAGAGAGGCTACTCCTGCGATCGGAGTGTTCCTCTTTATCCAAGAATTGTTGAATGCGCTGGAAGGAACCGACGCCGCCGGCAAAAGACATCAGTGCCATCACCAAGGTTAGGAGAGGGTCTGCGAGAAGGGAGAAGAGCGACAAAGATGTGAAGACACGAGAAACACTCAAGGACTCGCTAGAGGTACCAACATAAATGCCGAAGGTGAAGATTGGAGCAAAAATGCGAGTCAACCAAGCGAAAGCCATGTTATATACAAGAAGGGTACGGAACTTCTTGGAAATGTCCAACTCGCTAATGCGGAGGCCATGAACGAACTTCATGAAGGAGTTTTGCAAGCCGAGCATCTTGACTCCCTTTATCGATCCAAGCATCCCTGAAGTAGAGGAGATGCGCTTCTCAATAGCTTCTAACCACTGAGCTTGCCGTGCGACCACAAAGGACATACCGATCAAGGATCCAACGAGAGCGAATAGGGCAACGCAAACGGGCACAACGCAGGAGATTCCGAGCTGGATTTGAAGAAGGTAGATGGCCAAAGCGATCTCAACGGAATTTGCCCAGATTTCGTGCATGGTCTGCCATCCCTGCGTGATGCGCTCGACATCTGCACTCATCAAGGTGAGCGAATTGGCAGGATCGGTCTCCCCGAGCGTCAAACAGCTGGCTTTCTTGTACAGCATTGTGACAAGTACACCGCGGACCATAGTAATACCGCGGTAAGTGAGGTGTTGATACTGGCCCATTGAAACCCCCATCCCGGTGTAAACCATGAAATAGGCGCCAATGAGGCCATATCCAATGTTTTCGGTTTCCTTGCTCACGGGTGAATTGAAGAAAGACAGCGATCTTTCCAATAGCAACGGCTGACAGAAGTTGAAGGCCACAACACATGCCCTGGCAGGAACAGCTGCTAGCAAGGGCCATTTGACAGCCTTCAATGACTCCCACTGGAGAGTGTTGGATGACTTATTTGTGACTGAGTGAACATTAGCAATGGGAATCCCCGCGGGGGAGTCAAGACAAGTATTTACCTTTGCTCCATTTCACTTCGAATTGAGCTAGTAATCGCTCGGAACTCAATTCCTTATCCAAAAGGAATAGGTCTTCCACATGGAGCGAACCGGTGAAGCCAATCTTGAACAGCGGGTTCAGCCACCAGAACACAGCGCGGTTATAGAAACCCGCAGTGGCCTCGGGGGGATAGCTAGCATATTCTGACTGAAGGATGTGTCTCTTCTCCACAGCTTCGAGAACGAAAAGAACCAGTTTGACGCCCACTGCTACCGTCGTGATGATAGCAATGGTATCATTGAATGTGTCCACGCTGCGCAGCCACAGCGTCCTAGACCGGGCGATATCGAAAAGCAGGCTGCAGAAGAGGTACGTGTTCAAAATAAACGACGGTCTCACAGAGCGCGTGTGCTCTGCATACGAAAGCAGGCCGAGCGCAAGTACGCCGATTGTCAAGATGACATTGGCTGGTACCGATGTCCTGGTGCTGTCGGCTGCCGGAAGTGCCCATAGGGCGGTCTGGGCAATTTGGAGGCCCAAGAGGGCAAACCAAGCAGCCTGTGAAGACGAAACAATTAGAACGTTGGATTTCTCAGGTGGAGTTTACGCTATTGTCCAATTCCAGGTCGCATGTAGGCCGTGGAAGCACAGTCAAGGCAGACTTACAAGTTTGGCCAGGACCAGCCAGGATCCAACAACCTTGTTTTGCGTTTGCGAGAGATGCCACAGGCGGACAGGAATAGTTATTAGTATTAATAGAATAGGTAAAATTTCAAGAATGGTCTCTTCAAATAAGAGAGAGAAATCAAATCCTCCGCGGCACGATCCAGCATCAATACGCAAGGTATTGTCTAGATCGCGGCACGAAGGCCCCGAAGGACGAGAGGATGTCATGTTCTACCTCGAACCACCTGGCGACGAAGGATGGTTGAAGAGAAGAAAGACGCAGTACCCAGTGGTACGGGGAATTAGAATTCAAAAGAGTGTATGGGTTAAGAAACTTGCATGACTTAGGGGAACTTTGGGGCTTTTGGACGCATCAGAAAGTGACATTAACGTAGTGCTTTAAACTAGCATAACAACATAAGCACTGGCACTCCGTACATAGGGCTAAGACATCACCGTATCCCTCTGCACAGGAGCTGACTACATCTAGGAGAATTATAACTCTGAGCCTGCCTTTTTGGAGCCTGTTACTGGCTACCTGCACCCAAGTGGGCATGGAACACAACTGTTGATGCAACCATCTTAGAATGCTATTACTAGAATTACTTGGCGAGATCATCTAGACTCGGGTTATGTGCCGCTCTATGGCGATTGATCCAGCCGCTCCCCATTTGGGGTCATGTTGGTTCATTTTTTTATATTTATGCACGCTTCTTTTTCGGTCTTATTTATTTCCCCCATATTTCCGTGTTTCTGCCTCTACTCCGTATGCCATACCCCAATTAATGATTTCATACCTCAAACCATCCTGATCTCAGGCTTTGCGGTACTCATTTCCCCCTTGGGGATGTGGGGGATGCACTGGCATCACTAGATCTTTCGCCCCTGGAATCAAGGCAACTTTGGGCAAAAGCCGAGCAACACGAGGGAGTCCTACCTTGCAGGAAGAAACTAATGTCGAACGGACCAATAACGGATGTGCTTCCAAGTCGTGGCCAAAAGGGCCAAGACCCAGTCTGGAAAATCGCAATGAAAAAAAAAAAAGAAGGAAAAAAAAAGCGCCCAGGTGAGGGTGACAAGCCTCAATCTGTATGATGGCAGATCCTCCGCTTTGGGCTTGGACATTCATTTATTTTGGCTTTTTAGATGAATTTCGCATCTTTATTTTTACTCTGCCGATCATGTCCTCGTATCACTGTATCGTTAGGGAGTAGAGATCAATTATATGTACGAAGTACTCCGTCCAAGTTGTAAATATCTATACATCACTCTCAAACCTTGACCGCATGGCAGAAGCTGAAGTCAGACCGACGCAGATTGTCTCCAATGAAAAAGGAAGAAATAAGAACCAAAATAAAATGGAAAATGAGGCGACTCACCCATTTTCGTCACGATTGCAATCTCCAATCTCCGATCTCGACCGTCTCCAAGCGCTGTCATGTACTGACTCGGTAGTGGCGGGGATTAGCTTCTCGGGGCATCCGGGCCAATCGTCCCTTTTTACCAAACCAGAAGCCGGCTTTCGACGTTGGAACCCTTCGGAATTTTATCGGTTGACGTCGGGGTTGCGTCCAAATTTCAATTTTGGCCAACTAACTTGAAATCCTGCATCTTCCAAGACGTGCTCGTGGGGGGAAGCGGGCCAATCTGCACGGCTCGGGATCTGTACCTACGTCGCCGCCTGACCTTGATGACAGTTCATCGCTCGAACCGGGGTACCCCTGTTTTTATTTGTATTATTCTTTGCCCTGAGGTTGATCGGTGGCAAAAACCGGTGCATAACCCCCACTCTGCCTGGGAATCCGGTTATGCTTATGCACAGGATTCCACCGGGGCATTTGGAGTTAGGAGTAGAGACAATATCTACGAAGTATATGTAGATGGACATCCGACAATATAACCGATCTTCTATGGTAGGGTGCAGAAACCTTGTTCAACCATCCCATTCAGCTGTCATTTTGACTATGGCCATTGTCCATCATCATGGACTAGCTCGCACTAAAGGTTCGTACTAACCCCAAAGAGGACTCGACTCAGGTCCTCTAGCCCGAACTCATTCGGATGAGAACCGGTTTGCTGTGATTTCCCACTAATCTCGGCCATTCCCGTGTAGGTGAGAGAATCTTGGAATCGTCGGTATTTCCATAGATGCAAAGTCTCCATCTCACAATATGGAGGACTTCTGGAAGTGGAATTCGCCCCCAATGTACGGAGTACTTGGCAACATCAGCTTATTAGTGCATTGCAAATGTACGTTCCAGATCGTGCTTATCATGTTTACGAAAGCGAAATGAGAAAAAGAAAACATGCTCCCAAGAAATCCCCTCACCCTCCCCGGCCCCAAAAAAAAAAAAAAAAAAAAACACCTTGGTACCTGGCGACGTTGCTAAGGGCGCATGTTTTGCAAACCACAAACCACCCAACGATATATGTATGTATATATATATATCTATTTTTTTTTCACGGGCCTTTTCAGAGTGGATTCTCATCAAAAAGGGGCTATTGAACCTGGGGCACTATTCGATATATAAAATTATGCCAAGTCGACAGGTCGCGGGATTCGGTTACGCCCGCATCCCTTGATGACCCTTGCAGCATCCCAGGGCTCCGTGTGGCTTATGGGATTTCCCGTACTCCGTTCACATCTTTCCACAAAAATTTCATTACGTCTGACCATGGGGCCTTTATAAACTTGCGAATGAGAATCTGGGAATCTTCCTGGTTTATTGCCGTCCAATAGAACTTCACTTTAACCGAAGACTTCGTGCTATTTACACCCTGCGCGCATTGGGATTTTCGGGTTCGTAGATCGGGGGATCCGGGATGGGAAGGGATACTGACCTGATCTATGTGGTAGGCAATCGCCCCCACAAGACATTTTCATTTTCATTTTCATTTTCATTTCCATCTTTTCATCTTTGCATCTTTTCTTCTATTTGTCTATTTTTTTTTTTCATTTTTTTTCCCTTTCTTCTTTTCCTCTTTTCCCAAGCGGATCCAAGACGTGAAGTGTCAGACGGGGACGCATCAACTTTCCGATCATTGGGCGGATCCGCACTTCTACTGGCACCCTCGCTGCGATAGTGCCTGAACTGCGCGGTAAATCCATGATTACCTCGCCACACCTTACTGATGCGGGATTCTCATTTTTCCATGTCATGCGCAACCAGAGGTGAGCGTGGAGTCCGGGGACGGTGCCATGTGCGCATCAGTCGGTGTACGGAGTACACGATAACCGCCTCAGCCCTTCGCGAGGGTCATATACCTGCGCTTATGCCAATGGTTCGAGCAAGAGCCCATATCACATCCTGTTTGGGGTCGTCCGTCCATTGGCTTGCTATGTATGGTTCTGATACAAGGCCAATGTGAGAATGAAAACCAAGCTAGTTTAGTAGAAAGCCATCCGGGAAGGAGAGCGCCATCCTGGTTGGACCTGACTCGGGCATAACCACCCAGACGCCTCCAATGCCTTTTCCTAAACTGCTCAACCCACGTTCCAGACCGCAAGGGTTTCTTAATCGGGGAGCTGCAGGTCCTCGCTTGGAAGAGTAGGTCGGCTCCGTAGACAAGAGTACGGATAGTCTAGCACAATTCCCCTGCATGATGACTCTTTGGTATTATGTCAAGTGGGTTAGTCTTTCGCCCAAGGGTTACATTGGCTGTTGAAAATAGAAATCAAGAAATGAGACATGGAAATTGGCGGGAAAAAGAAATAAGAAAAAAAGACTGTCTGACTGGGTTCCACAGGGGGGCTCAGCACGTCTAATCCACGCATTGTCTCTCCCTTTCATCTAGATCCCATGCAAGGAAGATAGCAAATTTCCCATTGATCTGAGCCCTTGGCGTTCCAAATCAGTAGACTCCGGCTCTCAGAGAGCGTGGCGGATGCAGCATTGGGCCCCGACATATGGCGTAACTATTTTTGACGTGTTAGGAATAATGAATTTTATTTCTCTTTTCTCAAAAATAAAAAGAATTTCGTACTTAGCTCTTTAAAATAACCAACTCCATCCGACCTCGCGGGCGACCAATTCGAATTCCTTGCCGTTAGATTAATACTGTCGTTCGTCATCCATCATTCAGGCTCACTCTCTTTCTTTGTCGACCGGAAGCCAGAAAACGGAGGAAACCAGAAGACGGGTGGGAAATATCCAGCCATTTAGACGTCATGGCTCAATCTACCAAGTGCTATCTTCCTCGGTTCGCTTCCGCCGATGACGGGCCTAAGCGCGCTGTCTCGATGAAGACGAGGCCAACGGCTGCCCAGCATGCGCAGTTATTAACCGCATCTCACGAAGGCCGTCTGGACTCGATTCTCAGAGCCACTTGGGCTCTTGTCCTCAACTACTATATCCGCTCCAAGGATATCTGTTTCGGTTACCAACATCTCGAAGACGACTCTCGAACCCTCAAATCTTCTGTACAGCGTTCTAACGGCGTCAATATTTCGACGATCCGCATATCCATCAATGACAACGACTCTCTCACGGCAATTGTAGATAAGGTGCGCGCAATCAACGCGAATCGCCAGCCCAATGGAACCTCGGAGGCCGCTTCCGAGGGATATCTTCCTTTCAACACCATCCTGATGGTGCGCACATATGACCCACCTGCTTCTCCTTCGAAACCTCTTTTGGCAACAGCTCTCCCTGACGAGGTTAGTACAATCCAAAATCAACGCAAACCAGAGTCCTCCGAGAGACTCGGTGGGCTTTGCTAACAACCTGTAGTGTCAAGTTCGCCTTCACGTGAAGGTCCTGCGTGGAGACATCAGCATCTTCCTTGAATGGCGCAAGGGTGACATGTCTGGAGATCAGATGAAGAGTGTTGCCTCAATCTTTGAACAGTTGCTTGCCAAAGTCCTTTCTGCTGAGAACACCGCTATTAGCCAGCTTAATTTGTTCTCGGAGAATGACTGGCAACGCATTGCTAAGTGGAATTCCAATATTCCGCAGCTTCATGATCGCTGCATTCATGAGGCCATCCACGATCAAATGCTCAGCGGCCCGGACCGCGAGGCTGTATGTGCGTGGGATGGCAGCTTGACGTTCGCTGAGCTGGATCAGCAGGCCTCAAAGCTTGCATGTCACCTGCGCATGCAGGGGGTTGGGCCAGAAATCCGTGTGGCTTTATGTTTTGATAAATCTGTAAGTTAAATTTTTTTTTTTATCCTGATCGTGGCATGTTTTGCTGGGGAAACTGACACGGTAGTGCAGAAATGGAACATTGTGGCAATGCTTGGCGTGATGAAAGCCGGGGGAGCCTTCGTTCCATTGGACCCGACTCACCCAACTTCCCGTCTGCAAGGTCTCATCCAATCAGTCAAAGCCTCGGTTGTGCTGTGTTCTGAGCATCTTGTGGAGAAACTCAATCCCATCGTGAAGACTTTAATACCCCTTTGTGCTGACACGGTCGATCGTCTGTCCGGCCCCGCGGGTAGCGTCGATCTTGCATCGGGTGTCACAAGCCAAAATGCGGCTTATGTTCTGTTTACCTCCGGATCAACTGGAGAACCAAAGGTGTGTCTCGGTGCCTGAACATTGGAAGGGGGGGTTCTGCAGGGATGGCTAACTTGTGTTTCACAGGGAACTCTGCTGGAGCACCGCGCTTTTCTGTCTGGGTCCATGGCGCATGGGCCGGGACTACGCATTTACCGCGACTCACGATGTCTCCAATTCGCTGCTCACACATTTGATGCGAGTCTGGCCGAGTCATTGACGCCGCTCATCCACGGTGCATGTGTGTGCATTCCGAGCGAGGAGGCCCGGCTGAATGACATCGTGAGTACCATCAACGAGATGCGAGTCACCCAAGCGTGCTTCACCCCGTCATTCATCGGCTTCATTGAAATCGAGAGTATTCCCGGACTGGAAAGCCTAGTCCTGGCTGGCGAGGCAATGTCTCAGTCACAACTGGCCACCTGGTCCAAAATCAAATTGATCAATGGTTATGGACCGACCGAGGCAAGCGTGGCATCCGTGCTCAATTCGAATGTCACAGCAGACACCGATTGTAAAGATATCGGACTACCTGTGGGTGTTAGGACTTGGCTGGTCAATCCTGAGAACCACGATGAATTGGTCCCCGTGGGCTGCCCCGGAGAACTACTTTTGGAAGGCCCACCCCTAGCCCGGTGCTACGTGAATAACCCGCAAAAGACAAACGAATCGTTTATCTATGACCCTGCGTGGACACAGTTGGATCCCGAAAGTGGTTCTCACCGCAGGTTCTACAAAACAGGTGATCTGGTCCGATATAATTCTGACACTGGTGCTTTGAATTACGTCGGTCGGAAGGATACCCAGGTCAAGGTTCACGGACAACGGATCGAGCTTGGCGAAATCGAGAATCAGCTCAGCAAAGACTTGAATGTCACTCATTGCTCTGTCTTCTTCCCTCAGACCGGTTTCTCCAAAGGACGATTAGCGGCAGTTGTATCTTCCACTGGTTTGCTTGCGGAACAGTCAGGCTCCGACTTGGAGCCTCTGCGACTCATATCTGCCTCGAAAAAGGCCGAAGTAGTCCCAGGAATCCGAGAGCGTCTCTCAGCCCTCCTGCCGACCTATATGGTCCCTGCAGTTTGGTTGTGTGTTGAAGCTCTGCCGCTCTTGCCATCAGGCAAACTTGACCGCAAGGGCATCGCCACTTGGGTCGCCGATATGGAAAGTGATCCCGATCGTCAGAACGCAGCCTCTGTCCCAGTAGTTGGCACAGAAGATTCGAAGCCTGCAAATGATAGAGAAGAGGCTTTGGCTGCTGTATATAGCCGTGTTCTCAACATTCCCCAGAACCAGCTCAATTTGAACGAGAGTTTCCTCGCGCTCGGGGGTGATTCAATCGCCGCAATGACATGTATAGGTCTCTGCAAGAAGCGAGGATTTACCCTCTCTGTCCAAGACCTGCTTCGCAGCAAATCAATCCGTGATCTCGCAACTCGCGCAAAGACAATCGATCACCTTACCACTTATGAAGAAGCAGTTGATGAACCGTTCAGCCTGTCGCCCATCCAAACCCTCCACTTTGGCGTGCGCAAGGAAGGACAAGGTCACTTTAATCAGGGTATTGTTACTCGCTTGAACAAGCCCATCGATGAACGAGCGTTGCGCAAGGCTGTCGAGAGTTTGGTCTCACGACACTCCATGCTCCGTGCACGCTTTACCGACACTGGATTCGGTACAGCATCTAGCCAACACATTACTCAGGATATCAAGGGCTCTTACAGATGGCGAATCCATGCTGTTGATTGTATGGAGGCAATAAAGGCTCATGTCGCAGAAAGCCAATCCTCAATTAACTGCTTCTCCGGGCCATTACTTGCAGTGGATTATTTCGCCCTGAAGGATCAGTTCCATGTCTTGTCAATGACTGCGCATCATTTGGTTGTCGACATCGTCTCATGGAGAATCATCTTGGAAGATCTGGAGGACTTTATCCTGAACCCAGAGAAGACAAGTAGCAATGATGGGTCTTTGCCTTTCCAGACTTGGTGCCACCTCCAGAATGAGCACTGCAACAACCTTCGCACAGAGAAAAAGGTTCCCAGCGATACTCTCGCGGCCCCGGACTTTGGGTACTGGGGACTTACAGATACACAGACCACATACGGAGACGTGGATTGTGCTTCATTTGAAATCGACCCTGCTCATACCAACGCTATTTTGTTGGATTGCCACAAAGCCCTTGGCACTGAGCCAATTGATCTCTTCCTGGCAGCAATGCTCCACTCATTCGGTCGCTCTTTCCCCGACCGTGCTCCCCCAACGATCTATAACGAAGGCCATGGTCGAGAAGTGTGGGATCCCTCCCTTGACATCTCACACACTGTGGGCTGGTTCACCATCCTGCACCCAATCTTCTTGTCTGCATATAAATCCGATGACCCTATCGATACCCTTGTTCAGGTCAAGGACCTTCGCCGTAAGGTCTCAGACAACGGCCGCGCTGATTTCACCAGTCGAGTTCTGCCAGCTCATGACAATATTGAGTCTAAGCACCCGCGGCCCTTCGAGATGTCTTTCAATTACGTCGGGCAGCATCGGGATCTTCAAAGAAAAGACGGCCTATTTCAGCTCGTCGACCAGATGGCCGGAGAAGCCGGTCAAGGAGGCGGTGCCGCCGACTTTGGCAGCGACACTCCCCGCTTCGGTCTCTTTGAGATATCTGCCATGGTAGTGGCCGGAAAGGTCCGATTCAATTTCTCCTTTAACAAGCTGATGCAGCACCAGAACCGGATTCATCGATGGGTTTCTGAATGTCAGCAACTACTTGTATTCCTGTCCGAGCAACTTCCCATCATTTCGCCGCGTTTGACTCTCAGCTCGTTTCCCATGCTGTCATTGACGTACCCCACGCTGGACAGGTTACTCAATGAGAAGTTACCTGCTCTAGGGATCACGTCCCCAGACCTTGTTGAGGATATCTTCCCCTGTTCTCGAATGCAACAGGGTATTCTCTTGGGTCGTAAGCGAGACAACTCTTACTACGCTGTTCATGACACATTTGAAGTTAGAGGGACTGGTGTGAGCGCGCCTGACCTTGATCGCCTCGTTCATGCCTGGCAGCAGGTGGTCTCTCACCACGCGATGTTCCGCACTATCTTTGTTGAGAACCTCACCCCTCGTGATCCGTTCTCCCAGATTGTACTGAGGAGCTATGACGCCACACCGGTTATCCTTCAGTCTTCAAGCGATGGCGATGTTTTTTCCACCTTCGACCAGCAAGACCCCAAAGACTACAGCGAGCTTGGGCCCGCGTATCGCTTCACCATTTGCCAGACACCCTCTCATAGAATCTTCGCACGCATTGAGATCAGCCACGCTGCGATGGATGGTAACTCAATCTCTATCATCCTGCGTGACCTGCAGCTCGCATACGCTGGAAGACTTGAGGAAAGCCCACAGCCTCTGTTCAAGGACTACATACAATACCTCCAGGACGCACCGAGGGAAGATAGCATGAAATACTGGCGTTCGTATCTGGGTGACGCAAAGCCATGCCACTTCCCTACCTTGACTGATGGCCAACAGTCCGCTAAGGCTCTTCGGTCCATTCCCGTCAACTTTGGTGCAATCAACGAGCTCCAGGCTGTCTGCGAGAAACATGGGATCACTCTCGCTAATGTGTTCAATGCTGCCTGGGGCCTCACTCTCCGCGATTTCTGTGGCTCCGATGATGTTTGCTTTAGCTATATGGCATCTCTGCGTGATGTCTCTGCCGATGGCGTCCAGTGGGTTGTTGGTCCGGTCATCAACCTGTTGGTCTGCCGCATGAAAGTCGCGCATGATGCAAAGCTCAGCGATGTCCTGCATCAGATTCAGAATGATTACATGGAGAGCCTTCCCTATCGCCATACTTCGCTCATTGACATCCAACATGATCTGAAGCTATCGGACACCAATTTGTTTAACTCCGGTGTCTCCTACCGCCGACTTCCCGGTTCCAAGGACGCGGCCAGCAGCGACATTGAATGCGTTGAGGTCGGCTCAATCCACGATCCGGCTGAGTTCCCCTTGTATATCAACATTGAGGTCACAGAGACCAAGGCCCGGATCGACCTCAACTACTGGACTACCAACCTCTCTGATGCACAGGCTACCAATGTGGCAAATACCTATCTTCGGTGCCTCGAGAATGTCGTATCTAACATTGACGGCGAAATTAGGCAGATGGATACCCTGAGCGAGAACAACAGACTCCAGATCATGACATGGAACAGCAAGGCCCCCAAACCTTTCGAGAAGTGCGTTCACCATGCGTTCCAAGAAATGGCAAAGAAATGCCCTGATTCTCTCGCCGTTACTGCCTGGGATGGCAACTTGACTTATTCCAAATTGGATCAGTACTCCTCTCGTCTAGCCAGCTATCTAGTCACCTTCGGCGTTGGTGCTGGTACCTTTGTTCCCATCTGCTTCGAGAAATCTGTTTGGAACATGGTTTCAACATTAGCCATTATAAAGGCAGGCGGTGGCTGTATCCCAATTCAAAACCCGCAGAGTGTAGCCCTGGTTGAGAAATGGATTGTCGAAAACGTCGTCCAAGTTGCTTTGGCCTCCCCCGAACAGGCCCAGGTTCTCGAGGATATTGTCCCGTACGTCATCCCTGTCAGCGAGTCCCTCCTTGAGTACCTCACGGATGAAGTTTTGAACCCTGTTGGATGTCCATCCGATATCGCATACGTTGCCATCACTTCTGGCAGCTCTGGCATCCCTAAGGCCGTCTCAATAGACCATTCAACGGTCATGAGCCGAGTTGAGGCATTTGCTACCACCATGGCAATTGCAGATGTCTCTAGAACCTTGCAATTTGCACCTCACACCTCGGATGCATTCATCCTTGAGACCTTTGCCACTTTCTTGTGGGGAGGTTGTGTTTGCATTCCGGCAAATATTGACCCTATCAACCTGGCCAGCTCCATCAATGCTTTCATGGTCAACGTTGCCAGCATTACTCCGACTGCCGCGGGCTTTTTCTCTCCCAAAGACGTTCCTGGTCTACGATCCATCGCCTTAGGGGGCGAAGCAGTCTCTCAGAGCGTCTTAGACCGTTGGAAGACTGATAATCTCCAACTGCAGGTTTTGTACGGTACAACCGAGAGTTCGTCCAGCTGCTTTCATGCATTCCCTTCCGTCGGTCAGAGGCAGGCTACGCTCATCGGAAAAAGCATCTCTTGTGTCTCATGGGTCGTCCACCAGTCGAACCATAACTGTCTTGTTCCAATCGGCAGTGTTGGAGAGTTGGTGCTCGAGGGACCTGTGCTCGCCCGTGGCTACCTCGACAATAACCCCACAGAGAATCATACCTTCTTCCAGAACCCTCCTTGGATCTCACAATTGGGTAGAGAAACCCAATCCCAGTTCTTCAAAACAGGCGATCTTGTGCGGTACAATTCCGATGGGTCACTTGATTTCGTTGGCCGAAAGAACGACAAGAATGGACGAGCCTTGCCAGGCAACTTGCTCCAGACTCAAGCAGCCATTGATTCATTCCCGGGCCTGAACAAGAAGACTATTTTGCAGAGTATCGCGCTGCAACGTGATGGTTTGAACACCGATGCCCTCATCGCCTTCATGGTTTCCTCGGATATTACTCCGGTGACATTCGGGGAGCGCGTGGTCCACTCGGTAACCACTGAATTGAAAAGGGCTGTATCTAGTCTCCACGCCCACTTGAGTGCCACCCTTCCTGCCAACAAGGTTCCGAGTATCTATATTCCCATCTCGTCACTCCCCTTGACAATATCTGGAAAGCTAAACTATCAGGGCCTCCGGACCGAGACACAAGAGCTCTCAATCAGTGCGCTCGATTGTTTCGATATCAAGCATTGGAACGGCTCCAAGCAGGGCAACCGGCATTCACGCCATACCAGCCTCACCGAGCCCTGCACCGCGTTCTGGAAGAATTACCTCGCTGATGTGGAGCCCTGCCTTTTCCCAGCGCTCTCTCACGGGGCAGGCAACAACGCCCGCTCGCTGCGTACCTTGAACAAGCAGACAGCAAACATCCACGCTTTCAGCAAAATCTTTGGTCTCAGCATCGAAATTCTCTTCCAATTTGCTTGGGCTGTAGTACTTCGGTGGTACACCGGCTCGGACGACGTTTGCTTTGGGTATTCCACCTCAGCGGGGGAAGAGAAGAATCCGGACTTGGAAGGCATTTCAACCTGTCGATTCCTAGTGCAGAATGAGCACATGCTGCAGGAGATTATGAAGAAAGCAAAGACGGACTACGAAAATAGTGCTCTGAACAGCGCTCCCCTGGATGTGGTTCAGCGCCAGCTCAGGCTCGATGATGCTACACTCTTCAACACCGTACTCACATATCGTACAGTCTCCCAGCTACCCAAGGGAAGCCTTCATGAACCAGGCACCTCCACACAGTACAAAATCTCAGTTGAGGCTGTGATGTCGCACTCCCATGCCGAGATCCACTTCAATTACTCATCAGACACCATTTCCTCTTTCCAGGCTAACCATATCATGGAGATGTTCGACCAAGTTCTTGATGAATTAATATCTCAAAACCTCCGTGATCGCACCGTCGCAGATATCAATCTTATACCCGAGCGCTCTATCTGCCAAATTCGCGATTGGAATGCCTCATCACCGCCAAGGGTAGAAAAGTGTGCCGACGAGCTCATCCAGCAGCAGGCCTTGCTTCACCCTCGTGCAGATGCTATCTGTTCCTGGGACAAAAACTTCACTTACGGTCAACTTGAGATTGTCTCCAGTCGCCTTGCTCGCCATCTCTCCGGGCTTGGAATCAAGCCAGAAGTGTTTGTTGTCTTGTGTTTTGAGAAGTCTGCTTGGGCCATCGTTGCCCAGCTGGCCGTCATCAAAGCGGGCGGCGCTTACGTTTCCGTTGATCCATCACACCCAGATTCTCGCCTCAAGATGCTCATTGATGAAATTGAAACTGACCTTGTCCTGTGCTCTTCTTCGGTCCATGCTAAGGTCTCGAAGCTGGTCGAAAATTCTTTTTCTGTCTGCCAGACTTCAATTTCACAACTTCCTGACTCGCCTTTGGCTTTACCAGGTGTTCGGGCTACCCCTGCCAATGCCGCATATGCTATCTTTACTTCTGGTACCACCGGAAAGCCAAAGGCGACTGTTGTCGAGCACACTGCCCTCAGCACCACCGCACTTGCCATGACCGATGCTCTGCGTATGAACCCTACAAGCCGTGTTTTACAATTCTCCAATTACACATTCGATGTGAGTATTATGGAAATTATGATGACTCTCATGACAGGCGGCTGTGTCTGTGTTCCAAGCGAGGATGAACGCATGAACAATTTAGGTGGTGCGATCCGCCGTATGAAGGCCACCTACATCCTCGCGCCGCCTGCCATTGTCAACACTCTGGAGCCGAAGAGTGTTCCCTCTCTGAAGGTTATTATCACTGGTGGCGAGAAGATGCCCGCTAATCACATCGATCGTTGGGGAGATCGCTGCGTGATCAATGCCTATGGTCCTTCTGAAGCCACTGTCGTCGCCACAATCGGTGTCAAGGTTGACTGGGATGGTAACCGTGTCAATAATGATCCTACAACTATTGGAACGGCACCGAACTGCAGAGTTTGGATCGTCGATCCCAACAATTACAATCGCTTGCTGCCCGTTGGCGCTGTCGGCGAACTGATTATCGAAGGAAGCAATATTGCCCGTGGATACCTCCGCAACGAGGAGAAGACCAAGGCATCTTTCTTCGAGGATCCTATTTGGAACCGTCACAGTGGTCTACAAGCCCTGTTCAAGCGTAGCGACCGCATGTACCGCACTGGGGATCTTGTTCGCTACAACAATGATGGCAGCCTCAGCTTCATCTCCCGCAAAGACACTCAAATAAAGTTCAACGGCCAGCGAATTGAACTAGAAGAGATTGAACAACAGTGTCTCCAGTGTCTTCCTGAGGATTCACAGGTCGCTGTTGACGTGGTTGTTCCCGAGGAGCGCACCATCGCCAAGGGTCTTGCTGCGTTCTTCACTGTGCATGACCCGCATTCCAACGGGGGTAGCAGCGATCAATTCGTCCCCACTGTTCCTGGGGCTGATTCACTTCTACTACCCATCACGGTGTCCAACATGGATACCGTGCAGAAATTGAAGGGCTCCCTCCCAGAACTTCTGCCCCAGAGCATGATGCCCCGGCTCTTCTTCCCCCTCCGCAACTTGCCCTTCACTTCCTCGGGAAAGATTGACCGACGAAGACTCCGGGCAATGGTCCAGACCTTGTCTAAGGAAACACTCAAGTCCTATATCACCTTCAATACTTCCGAGAAACGGGAGAAGTCCGTTACCACCGGCCTCGAAACCCAGCTCGTGGCTTTGGTGGAAAGAATCCTTGACCTTGAGGTTGGCTCTGTCAGTACGGATGATAGTTTCTTTGCTTTGGGTGGTGATTCTCTGTCTGCCATGAACCTTGTTGGCGCTGCTCAGGCAGAAGGTATCGCTCTAACCGTGTCAAGCATCTTCAACTCCCCAATTCTGATTGACATGGCCAAGAATTGCACTGCTTCTAGTGGGATATCTGAGGGGAAAAAAGAGAATGTCAAGCCCTTCTCTTTGCTGCCATCTGAAGTGGATCCCGAGGCCCTTATGGATGAGATCACCGACACCTGCGAGATTTCTGAAGACCTTATTACCGATGTTTACCCGTGCAGTGCTGTGCAAGAGGGTCTCCTGACACTTTCCATCAAGCATCATGGAGCTTATGTTGCTCAGCCATCATTTCGCCTCGCTGACGGCATTGATCTTGAACGATTCAGACAAGCCTGGCAACAAACAGTCGCCGACTTGGAAATACTGCGCACTCGCATCGTTCACACAGAAGCAATGAACTTCGCTCAGGTTGTCCTGAGAAACTCACCTATCTCCTGGGTCCATGTAGAGTCTTTCGATGCTTTGCCCCACGACTTCATTCGTCTACCGAAGCAAAATGGAGCTGATTTGACTGGCTATGCGATGGTGAAGCCCAGAGGCTCCTCATCCAGCTACTTTGTCTGGTCCGTCCATCACGCACTATACGATGGATGGAGCATTCCCTTGGTGTTCCGCAAGGTTGAGGAAAACTACTTCGGCTCGAACACCACACAGTCTGGTACCCCCTATAGTCTGTTCATTGACTACTTAGTCAAGAGGGACATGCAAAAGTCAGATGATTTCTGGAAGTCTTACCTAGCCAATCTTTCCAGCACCCCCTTCCCTCATAACAAAAATGCGGTGCTCGGTGCAATGCGTGCTGGTAACACTCAACATCATACTATGAAAGTCTCCCGCACCTCCAATAGTGTCGACTTCACGATTCCCGTTCTTATGCGGGCTGCATGGGCAATCGTCATTGCCACCCATACTGCATCTGGCGATGTTTGCTTTGGCGAGACCCTGTCCGGCAGAAATATTGATCTTCCGGGGGTTGCAGATATTGCTGGTCCTGTTTTAACGACTGTCCCGACTCGCGTCCAGGTTGACAATGCAATGTCGACTACCCAGTACCTGCAGACCATCCACAATTCGACCGCCGAGATGATCCCGCACTTACATTCTGGTCTGCAGCGTATCCGCCAGCTCAACAAAAATACTTCTGTGGGCTGTGAGTTTAAGAACCTCCTTGTGATCCAGCCCGGCGAAGGTGGGCTCAACAACAGACTCTGGATTGACGAGAAACGTCAAACAAGCGAAGAGTTTTTCACTCACCCTCTCGTTGTGGAATGCGGTGTAACTAAGGCAAGCATCGTTTTCACTGCTCATCACGATGAACTTGTCATTACTGGATGGCAGACCAAACGGATTGTCGAGCAGTTTGCCCATGTTCTCCATCAATTGATTTCCATGCCCAAGAATAGCATGAGCACTCTTGGAGATCTGGAGGTCGTCAGCCCTCAAGACAAGGCAGAGATCGGTACCTGGAACCAACGCACTCCACTGACAGTGGAACGTACCGTCCATGATTTCATCCGTGAGAAGTGTGAGGAGACTCCGAATGCCCAGGCTGTGCGAGCATGGGATGGTGATCTCACTTACAGGGAATTTTGGGACCTCGCATCCGGCTTTGCCAACTACCTGGTCTCTCGTGGCGTCGGCCCAGAAGTCTTTGTCCCAGTCTGCCTGGACAAGTCGGCTTGGGCTATGGTTACCCTGATCAGCGTTCTCATCGCTGGTGGCGGTTATGTGCCTTTAGATCCCTCGCACCCCACTTCACGACACGAGGAGATCCTACTCGATCTCAATGCCAGTATGATTCTTTGCACCCCCAACTACAGTGATCGATATGGCCGAGTTGTGAGAACCGTTATCCCCATCAGCAAGGAGACCATCAAGGCATATGGTTCTCTCAAGTCATCTGCTCGTGTCCAGACTCACATTAAGCCGTCAAACATGGCCTATGCCTTGTTTACATCCGGTAGTACTGGCCGTGCTAAGGGAATCATTGTCGAGCACCGCAACGTGGTCAGCAGTATCATGGCATTCGCACCTTGGGTCCAAATGGATGCAACCTCCAGAGTATTCCAATTTGCTTCGCTCACCTTCGATGCTGCCGTCATGGAAACACTTGCAATTCTCATGCTGGGAGGAACGATCTGCGTGCCTAGCGAGGATGACCGTCTCAATGATGTGGCTGGGGCGATCCGTCGACTGAATGTGACTTGGACCTTCCTCACTCCTTCAATTGCCAGTATTATTGAACCGTCATCGGTACCATCTCTCAAGCACCTGGTATGTGGAGGTGAGAAGATGTCTAACGAAGTCATTACCAAGTGGGCCAACGCTGTTCACCTTATGAACGGATATGGGCCCACTGAAACTTGTGTGTTTGCCGTGGTTGACAATGCTGTTGCTGCCAATCGCGATCCCGGGCGTATTGGTTACGGCATTCCTAGCACCCTCACTTGGATTGTTGATCCCGACAACCATGATCGCCTCACCCCCCTGGGTGCAGTCGGCGAGCTTGCCCTTGAAGGAACTCCGCTCGCAAGAGAGTACCTCAAGAACCCCGAAAAGAATGCAGAGGCATTTGCGTCCAACCCTGCCTGGATCAAGGACTTCAAGTCGCCGGTTGCCGGACCACGTCGAATCTACAAAACCGGCGATCTCTGCTACTACAGCCCTGATGGTTCGATTCAGTACATCAGCCGCAAGGACCATCAAGTCAAGCTTCATGGTCAGCGGATGGAGCTCGGTGAGATTGAGCACCGCCTTTCTGAGGATACTCGTACCCGACACGCCGTCGTCATTCTTCCCAAGAATGGCCCACTCAAGCAGCGACTGGTTACTGTCATGTCTCTAAACAGTGTGGCTGCCGATACGAAGCTCATTTCCGACAAGGCTTGCGAACTAGTTGACGAATATGAGCTTGAACGACACGCCTATAACGAGCTAGTTGATGTCCAGAAGAGTCTCGAGAGCCAACTTCCAATTTACATGGTCCCCCAAACTTGGGCGCTGATTAAGAAACTCCCCATGCTTGTTTCAGGCAAGCTTGACCGCAAGAAGATCACGGCTTGGCTCGAGGATATTGATGATCTGTCCTACGAGCGCATCATGGCAGATTATGATCGTATCAAGCGTGGCAAGATCGATGAGAAACCACGAGAAAAGGAGGAGAAGAATGGCTCGCTCAAGATCGTCCGTGAGATATTTGCCCAGGTGTTGAACATGTCACTCTCAAAGGTCAATGTCGAGCGTTCTTTCGTCAGCTTGGGTAGGTTGCTTCTCATCCTTCGATTGCCAATATTCTAACATTTTTCTACAGGTGGTGACAGCATTACTGGAATGGCTGTTATATCTCGCGCTCGCAAGCAGGGCCTTGTCCTAACACTGCACGATATTCTGCAGAGCAGATCGGTCAAAGAGCTTGCCCAAACAGCCGGTTCCAAAACACCTCTCTCTCAGCGCGAAGAGAAATCTGGCGAAGGCTTTGCTCTCTCGCCTGTCCAGAAGCTGTATTTCCAGAGCTCAGATTCCTTCAAGGGAAGCGCTCGCTTCAATCAGAGCATCACGGTTCGCATTGCTCGCCGCTGTGAGGGCGAAGTACTTCGGCGTGCTCTCAAGGCTGTCATAAGCCAGCACGCCATGTTCCGCGCACGCTTCAGCAAAGCCACTGATGGTACTTGGCAGCAGAAAACCGCAGCGGTAATGTTGTCACCAACTTCTGATCTAGCTTGTTCTAATTCGATGTCACAGGAGGTTGATGAATCTTTCCGCTTCCGCGTTCACTCTGTCGGTGACACCCGTGCGATGGTCCCCAAGGTTGCAGATAGCCAGACCTGCCTGGACCCTATCAATGGACCTATTTTAGCTGCCGACCTATTCAACCTCCGGGCTGGCGGTCAGGTCCTGTTCCTTGTCGCTCACCATCTCTGTATTGACATGGTTTCTTGGCGCATCGTGCTCCAGGATCTTGAAGAGCTCGTTGTATCGGGGTCTCTCTCACTAGAAAAGGCTTTGTCCTTCCAAAGCTGGTGTGCTATGCAGACTGAGAGGGCCAAAACACATGACGCGAACATTGCTTTACCATTCACCCCCGAGAAGCCGAACTTGGCTTACTGGGGCATGCAAGACTTATCCAACGTCTATGGGGATATCAAAATGGAGTCATTTACCCTGAGCGAAGATACTACCCAGTTCATCCTCAGCGATTGCCATAGTGTCTTCCGCACTGATACTGTTGATATCTTGCTGTCGGCCATTATTAGCTCCTTCGGTTGCACTTTCACTGATCGCAAGGTTCCCACTGTTTATAATGAAGGGCATGGCAGAGAACCTTGGGAAGCCAATATCGACCTTTCTAGAACAGTTGGCTGGTTCACCACCATGGCGCCTTTGCTAGTTGACTCGAATGCTCGTAAGTTTACCGTATCTCACCCCCCAGAATCCAGGCTGACAACAGAAGGGGCCCTGAACGACATTATCAAGCGTGTTAAGGATACAAGACGCAAGATCACAGACAATGGACGTCCCTATTTTGCCAAGAATCTCCTCCAGGAACAGGCTGCCGACTTCCCTGTTCCGTTGGAAATCCTTTTCAACTACTTGGGCAAGATGCAACAACTTGAGCGAGCTGACTCCTTGTTCCAACACCATGGTAGCGTCTTTGACAGCTCGGACTTTGCTGTCGCGGGTGACATGGGTCCTCAGACTGCTCGTTTCGCACTGTTTGAAATCTCTGCCATTGTCATCAAGGATTCCCTCAACATTGGGTTTACCTACAACCGCAAAATGCAGCATGAAGGGTCCATCCGCCGGTGGATTCATCAATGCAAGCAGACCTTGGAGAAGGACCTGCTTATGTTGAAGACAGCTTCCCCTGAGCCCACTCTCAGCGACTATCCTCTCCTCCCGATCACCTACCACGGCCTGCAGATGCTCACCACCAGCACCTTCCGCAAGGCTGGTATTCGAAACAAGGATCACGTCGAGGATATCTACCCTTGTTCTCCTATGCAGGAGGGTCTACTGCTCAGCCAGCTGCGTGATCCTAACGCCTACATGTTCCACACTGTTTTTGAAATCAAGGATGCGAAATCCGGCAAGGTGGACGCTGAACGGGTTTCCCGCGCCTGGCAAACCCTGATCGATCGCCACCCTGTGCTGAGAACTATCTTCGTCGACAGCAACTACACCGGTGGATCTTTCGATCAACTGGTACTCAAGAGCCTTGACGAAAACAACATCTGTGTGGAATGCCACGATTCCCAGGTCCAGGAGAAGCTATCCGCCATCTCCCTTCGTGACTTGAATGCAATGCGCCAGTCAAAGCTGTCTCATCAACTTACTGTTTGCAAAACAAACACTGGACGTGTAGTTCTGAAGCTTGAAATCAACCATGCCATTATCGATGGTGGTTCGGTCGATGTCCTTCTCCGTGACTTGACCCTCGCATACGAGCGAAAGATCCCTGAGGGTGCCGGACCTCGCTTCAGCGACTATATCAAGTTTATCCGCACCCAGAGCCAGAGCGTCGCCCTTGATCACTGGAAGCAGTATCTTCGCGGAGTTCATCCATGCCACCTCACCCCATCAGCAACATTCGAGTCCAAGCGAGAGCTGAAGGGTGTCATGATGAACTTCCAACGCTTCCCTGAGCTGCTTAAGTTCTGCGAGCGCAGCTCTGTCACTCTTGCCAACCTGACGCTGTCTGCCTGGGCCGTTGTTCTTCGACAATTTACAGGCTCTGATGATGTCTGCTTTGGATATCTTTCTGCCGGTCGCGATGCCCCTGTCAATGGTATTCAAGACATGGTCGGAATCTTCATCAACATGCTCTGCTGCCGTGTTCAGTTCTCTGACCACCAGACTCTGACTGATGTGTCCAAGAACGTTCAAGATGATTACATTCGATGCATCCCGCACCAAAGCTGCTCTCTGGCGAGCATCCAGCACGAACTTGGCAGGCAGGGACAGTCCCTCTTCAACACTACCTTGTCTATCCAGAACCACTCTGTCGCAGGTGGACCCAAGGAAAAAGGGTTGTCATTTGATCTTCAGCATGCACACGATCCTAGCGAGGTAAGCACCAGGTTTCTGGGGTGTCTAACTCAATAACTAACTTAATCTAGTACGCGGTCACTGTGAATGTCGAAATTGCCCGAGGCCAAGAAGGCATCCTCTTGAGATACTGGAACGATGTTGTATCTGAGGACGAGGCACAAACTTTGGCCGATACCATTGCTAAAGTTTTTACTGGCTTCATCGAGGCCCCGGCAGCTACTCTCGCACAGTCCAAATTTGGCGCTGAGGCCGTGTCGGAGTCAGTTGATTGGGATCGTTCCCAGACTACGCTCGCTGAAAAGTCAAAGTCTACTGGAGAATCGATGGATAGCATTGCTATGCAAAAGATTATCGATGATCGTGTTCATGAGATTATTGCACAGATGTTGAGAGAAGGAAAATTGATGGTGCCACCCGTTCGGGCGGATGAGTTGTCTAACTATGGCAGTCAAACTGACGCGATGATTGACTCAGCTTACCAGTTAGGTATACAAGGAGCAGATGATTCGGGTGTTTGTTCAGCAACTTCCCGTTCTAGTGTGGACGGGATTACGGCTGATGTGGAAAGGAAATTGTGGAATCTTTGGAGCACTGCTCTTGGTCTTTCGCCCAACGTGGTGAGACACCAGGATAGCTTCTTCAAATTGGGTGGTGACAGCATCACCGCAATGAAGATGGTCAGTGCCGCTCGCGAAGAGGGCCTGGTCCTTACTGTCGCAGATGTTTTCAACAATCCTGTCTTCGAGGACATGGTGGTGACAGTGGCCGCCGCCAATGTCACTCAGCAAATGCTGGATGTTGATCTCAAATCTGGTGGCCATGAGGAGATTGATAGCGATTTGCTAAACATTAGCCCAACAACGTTGGGTCCGAGTCCCTGCTCTGAAAACTTCGAGGTTCTCAGACCTTATTGCGTCGATGATGCCGCGGTACGGAGTGGTATCTGCCCCAAGATTGGTGTATTCAAGGGTGGCATCGCCGACGTGCTCCCTGTCACGGACTTCCAGGCGATGTCTTTGACAGCAACTCTCTTTAAGTCCCGATGGATGTTGAACTACTTCTACCTCGAGGGCAATGGTCCCCTGGATTTGAGGCGCCTTCGCGAAAGTTGCTTGAAGGTTGTCGATGCTTTCGATATTCTGCGCACAGTCTTCGTCTGTTTCCATGATCAATTCTTCCAAGTCGTGTTGCGGAAGATCCGTCCAAGTATCTTTGTGTATGAGACCGACCGCGCTCTTGATGAGTTCACCATGACACTCCAGCAGAGAGACCGTGAATATGGACCGCGCGAAGGTGAGCAGTACGTGCAGTTCTATGTTGTCAAGAAAAAGGGCAGCGATCAGCACCGCATTTTGGTCCGCCTCTCTCACACCCAGTACGATGGAGTGTGCCTGCCAAAGATTATGTCGGCCATTAAATACGGATACGAGGGCACCCCGCTGCCTCCAGTGATTCCCTTCGCTGGCTACCTGCGACAACTGCCGGGTACAATTACCCCGGACCACTATCGCCACTGGTCCGATCTTCTCAAGGGATCCCAGATGACCCAGGTCGTTCGCAGAAAGGGCACCAGTATGTTCCAGAACGTTGGAGCATTCACCGAGATCCACAGGAAGATCGAGATTCCACCCACTGCTCTTGGAAACGTCACTGTTGCAACTGTCATGCAAGCTGCCTGGGCCCTGACTCTTGCCAAGCTATCAGCGCAATCCGATGTTGTCTTTGGCCTGACCATCAGCGGTCGCAACGCCACAGTGCCTGGCATCGAAAACACCGTTGGCCCTTGTGTCAACGTCATCCCCGTGCGTGTGAAGCTCAACGAGAACTGGTCTGGTGTCGATCTTTTCCGCTATCTCCAAGATCAGCAGGTTTCCAATATGCCTTTCGAGTCTCTGGGCTTCCGTGAGATCATCAAGCAATGTACCGACTGGCCCGCGTGGACCTACTTCACCACCTCGGTTTTCCATCAGAATGTCGATTACGAGGGAACAATTGAGTTGGACAACAACAAGTACCGCATGGGTGGTGTTGGTGTCAATGACAATCTAGCAGATTTGACCATGGTCTCTAAGCCATCCTGTGAACGTGGCCTTGATGTTACCCTAGGCTACTCTGAAAAGGGACCTGTGATGCCATCGTTTGCATCTAAAGTCCTCGACATGGCCTGTGAGATTGCGCAGTCACTCGTCGCCAATCCAAGCAACCCGCTTCCCTCCGCAAGTACGCTTTGCTCTCTGCCACCCCAGATAATCGATGACCTGCCCCGACCGACCGATGAACACTTCCTCAGCGCGCATCTCAAGTCACGCTCAATTGCTGAGCTACTCGTGCATTCGGATATCTTGTCTCGCTCGTGGCACCAAGTTTTGCCCAGCCGTAATGCTGTCCACGTCTCCGATGCGGAAGCCGACAACAAGGAAACCCACCAATCTACCTTCCAGTTAGACTCATCCTTCTTTGACCTCGGCGGTGACATCTTCAACCTGGCTCAACTGACCTGGCTTCTTGAACAAGAGGGTCTCAAGGTTCGCCTCGAGGATCTTATTGAACACCCCTCTTTCCTGGGTCAGATGGCCGTGCTGGCTTTGCATAACGCCAAGCACCAGGAAGATATTTCCGTCGAGCATCTTGCTACTGGTGCCGCATCTCCCGAGCCTGTGTCCCGTGTTGAGAAGAAAAAGACATGGGAGAAGGCCATAACCCTGGCACGCAGGTTGACTCGGCGAAACAGCAGCATGATCTCCAGTAGAGCTTGATGGCCTGGCTTCATTCCTCAAAGCGAGACAAACAAAAGGCGACAAAATCTGATCTTGATTCCCAAATGAAGAAAGAAAACAGAAAAGAAACATTACCATTTTGTTTGTACTCCTCATGTGTTTACGTTCACGTTGCATGGGTTGTACTTTGGTCTTCGTTTGGCGAACAAGACACCCTTCATTTCTTACATCTGCATTATATTTTATGGCTTTGGCTTCTTATTTTCTGGATTCGATACAAGTTATATCAAATCGTGTTTACTCACTACATTCTCTCTTTACATTTTGCCCACATCTTTCTCGTCTACTCTGATTTTTGTGTTCCCTGCTTTGTTGCTATACTCTAATAACTACATACAAACTTCGAAGTCTACCAGATAACCTTTCAATCAGTAGAAAGGTAACGTAATGAAACATTTGAGATAGCAGACTCAAAGGATATATGAAGTCAATTTGGATAACTCCAAATCGAGGGTATCATCAACGCAAGGCACGGGCACAACTCAAGTAAAGATTGAGCCACAATCAAACTTGTCCATATCCCAGCCATTCAGAGCAAAACATTACATAAAGGTCAATATAAAAACGACCAAAGACGACGGGAGACAATTATACAGCAGAGTCTCAAACAGAGTCCCGCGACCACGTCCCCCGTGCTCGGATGCGCTTCCCGTAACGATAGAAAAGGAATGGAATAGGGATTAGGGCGACAGAAATGAATCCCAACACGCTAGCAGCCCAAGGAACACCGAGATTATGGAACATGGCGGTTGTAAAGAGCGGGAAACAGCCCGCGAACATAGACCGCAGGAAAGTATTCGCTGCGATTGCGCTAGCGGAGAACTTTTGGAAAGTATCAATAAGGTAGTTGAGCGCGGCTTGGAAGATTGTGAAGAAACCGAAGCCCATTAGAACTGCACCCATGTTCGGACAGATCCAGTGAATATTTTTAGGGCTTGTCCAGCCGAAGACGAACAGGCCACTTGCGAAGAGTACAGAACCAATCATCATAGGCGGGAGCCGGGCTTCGGGCATCGGGCGATTGTTGTTCGCTTTGAAGCGCTTAATGTAGAACTTCTGATTGGCAAGATTGATAGCTCCGCCCATCAGAATGCCGACTAGGTAGGCGAGGAAGGGTAAGGCTCCGACGACTTGGTTCCAGCCACGGAGTTCTTGAAAGACGATAGGGAAGGCTGCTAGACTGAGGTAGAGAATTCCGTAGACGAATGATGCGTAGAGAGCGACGAGGAAGCAAATCGGAGTTGCGAGGAGTTGGAAAGGTCGGACGAGGTACTTGTTGCCTATTTCTTTCAGAGTTACGTCCCACTCTTCATGGCGTGCATGAAGCGCCCAATTGCCACTTTCAAAGCGAAGTCGTCGCGCCTTGTATACCAATAGGACGGGTGGATAGCTCTCGTCGACAAAAAGGATATCCATGACTAGAAAGAAGATCATCATGATACCGGTGATCTAGTAGATGTGAGCTTGGGTTCGAAGTTCAGAGTATATCTCCCCTCACATATTCAGTCCAACGCCACCCTAGGTTACTTTGGACGATGGCACCTCCTGCAATAGGCCCAATAACAGGCCCGCCTACTACAGCCATGGCATAGCCGACAATAGCGGCTCCGCGCTCTTCGGCGCTCCAAATATCACTCAGAACCCCGCCGGTGTTAGTCACGGGAGCCGAGCCGAAGAAGCCCGTGAAGAATCTAGTAATCATGATCGTCTGTACATCTTTCGCAGTGGCCGTCGCAAAGGAAAAGATAGCCGCAAGAAAGTAAGGGGGCAAAACGGCAGTTTTGCGGCCATATAACTCTGACAGAGGTGCCCAGATCAATGGACCCAATCCCAGACCGAACAACAGTAGTGAGGTGCCCAGTGTGGAGACCTCGTTCGAGATGCCAAACTCCTCGCTAATTTGTGCTTGGCCTGTCGAGTAGCTACATGCAGTCTTGCAGTTAGTGAGATAGCTTACATTTTTCAAGCCAAAGAAGAACAAAAAAAAACAGAAAATAATCCAAAGCGAACAACAGGCTTACATGGAACTCGCCCACGTTGAACCTGCAATCTCAATTAGCGTCCCCCGCAATTCCACTATTTCCCCGAGGCCGACATACCCATAGTCGTTAATCCATATAGAACGGTTGTGATTGCTTTCTTCTTGAACCCCCAGTTCAGGGGCCTGTATGGATCATCCGGTCCCTCAAAATCAACGATGACATCAGGGCTGGTCTGGGTGTGGGTGAGGGGATGATTGAACTTTGCCGTTTGGCCAGGTTCTCGACTCCGAATGCGCGACACTATAGACTGTGTGCGCTGTTCAAATGCCGAGAAGCCCGAGGTGGTAGTGCTTTGCTTTTCTAACGTTGCAATTTGATCTATGCCGTGACTGCTGCGACGCGATTCGGTGTCATCGTTAGATATGCTGGTGCGATAGTCATGTTCTGTCCGGGCCATTATCACGCTTGCGGCATTCGATACAATATTGTAGGCCCGACGCTAGGGCTGGAGAAGATGGGGTATGAAAAGGAAATGGGGGAAAAGAAAAGAATGGAACGGGAAATGGAAAACAGCCTCGGATGAGAAAGTAGGAAGAAAAGTGGAGATGGGCCTACGCTCCGGGGAAGACCTGGAACAGCCGGAACGACAGCCGGAGAACACCTGGAGAACACCTGGAGAACGTCCGAACATCTGAACATCTGGAGAATCGCTGAATAGAAGATGAACTCATTCCCTTCGGACGTCCGATGCTCCGTATTCTCCGAGGGGGCGGATGTCAGCACTGCCCATCTTCATGGTCTTTTTGATATTGAAGTCTTCAGGCGTCAGAAGATGAGTTCTGTTGAATGGATTAGATTCCCCTTACATGGCATGGGAGAAGGAAAGAAAGAAAAGAACGTGAAATGTCTAGACCTAATCTCTACAAAATACTCTATGTGCGTATGCTACACCAGGCCTCCAGGGCAGATATGAACAGAGCCCCAGGTTGAACATGGACACCCTTTAGGCCGTTGGGTGCATGGCCTCCCATTTTTGAACGGCTTCCATCGCCGCAGTGACCTTGAGCCCAATACGAGCATCCAGCTCATAGCTCTCCCAACGAGCAGCATTATCCAGGTAGTCCTTGCACTCGCGTACTTGCTTCCTCTCGACGTCTGTGTTCGCTTCGGGTCCGGTAGATGTTTCGTCCGACGCGTTAGAAACATTAATCCCATGAAGCGCCTGGAATGTCGATCGCTGCATCCAGAAGTTTGCCGCCATCTCGAAATTCGCAACTGGATGGACCCAGTCATCCTTCAGGTGACCCTTGAAGAGGGACTTGTCATGGTTCAAGACACGCGTCTTCAGGATCTTTTTCGCCTCATCGTATCTGCACAGAGATCGCAAAACTGCGGCGCGAAGAAGCTCCAGAATCGCTTTTTCTTCGGCCCCCTCGCGAGACCACGTCTTGTTGGTCGCGCTTTCGCACCATGCCAGTCGGCTCAAGGATTCCTCCAGCTGTTCATTGGTCATGCGACTGTGTCCGTTCCAGAAGAAAATCATTTCCTCGATAGGATCGACGCCAATCGCATCCACCAGAGACACTTTCCATTCTTTAGCACGTGCCTCCCATTTAGCGACCTTTCGGGTCACAAATACGTCAAAGGGTAGTTGCCGGGCCATGAATTTCTTTTTCCCAGCGAATTCGGGTGCCTTGCGAATGTACGAAATGGCTTTCTTCGCGTGTTTCGCCGCAGTTTTGGGATCGTTGAGGGATTGTCGGTACAGGACGACATGACAGGACCCGGCGATATAGTAATACAGCGAACGGGACCACGAGTTGAGTTCCACACACTAAGAAAATCAGCTCGATCGCTCACAAAGCCCTGGAAATAGACTCACCTCAATGAATGCTTCAGCACAAACGTCGTATTTGTGGAGAAACAGGGCATTCAAGCTCTTCTCAAACACACACAGCCCCTCGACTTGCTTGAGCGGGCTTTTCTTGTCAGTGCACAATAGCTCTAGAGCGCGGTCCAAGTTCTTGTTCGCGCCGAGCATCCGCGATTCTTCGAGCAGCCAAAGTTGACTGTTGGGGAACCGAGACCGCATCTCCGCCAATAAAGCAGCCAGTCTCTCCCGCGGGTACCCCTCGATGTCGCCCTCGCCAGGACTTGGGTCGGGCATAATATCGCAGTAGCGGACAAAGCCATTGTAATATGCTAGTAGTGCCAAGGCAGCCATGGCGCCGATCAGATTGTGGAACTTGCTAGCTTGCCAAAGCATCCTCAACCCACGTTGCTTGTCACCGTGGAAGCCAATGATAGAAAGAAGCTTGCTGAATGCCGGCGGTACCATGGAAATCAGTAGAAGAAGAATACCAAAGCAGAAATTAGCACCGGAGTGCACAAAGATATCGATGTCATTTTTGAAGATGTCGGAGTCGGGGTCATGGTGGATATGCTTGGCGAGAGGTGTAGAAGTGCCCGAAAGAGCTGGAGATGCCGCTTGGAGGGAGGTAGCCAAACCATTCATTGATGCATTCAGCTCTGTATTTTCGACACTATCCATTTTTGTGCCCTTTTTCGATGAAAGGCTGGACGAATCCGACTTCGTATCTGGGCACGTAGCCCTTGAACTCGAAAGATTACTCACAGTCGGCAGTAGAACTTTATTCGGATCTCTCAACTCCATAAACTTCTCTTCCATCTTCATGATGGCATCTAGTGTGATATAAGCCTTTCTCAGTCGATAGAACGCCTTGATACTTTCTGTCAAGCTTTCGTTCAGAACCCCAACGACTGCACTCATCAATTGTGCGATTGCCTGGCACAGTGCGTATTCGGTGCCGGTGGCATATATATCAGAGTGAAAGGCATTGGGTGCCTGGACATTTTGCTGGGACCGGGTTTGATCGTTGGCCGCACTCGTTTCCGCTTCATACAGGCGCTCGGAAGCTAGGAGATTGTCAGCAGGAGTCGATTTGAAGGGGAAATGAATATGAACCTTGCCGCATAATCTCCTGCTCAAAGCCTAATGTTGCCCGCACGAATGCGACCATACCCTTCCCCAACTAGTCGATGGGGAATCAGCATCTTGAAGGTCTGTGCTACGTCATAGCTCATAGTGACGATCACTTACATTGTGAAAAGATGAGGAGCCCGTGGAGAGGCCATTCTCCGCGCCATCAACATCGTCATTCAGAATCAATGTGGTCGCTAGTTGGGCATGACATTAGTCAATGCCTAAACGTTGAGAAATTTCCCCTAGACACACCTTTCATCGCCTCCGCCACTATCTCAAAAGACCACGGTCAGCATGCAACTAGATGGTATCTCCGAACCTTTGTAGGCAAAGTATATGACACGACTCACAGTCTTTCAATTCGACCAGCGCGTCCACAGACTGCGCCGGCTTTTTGCCATACAACCACGATCCGACTCGCAACATGGCGATGACCCCCGAGGGATAGCGAAAGCGAACTTTGCGATGGGGGAAACACTTCACGATAGTCTCAGGTCAAGGCAATCCGATTGAGCCGAACAGAAAGAGCGCCGGATCGGGAAATGTTAACGGTGCGATAGCGGGCACACGATGGACGCGAACATCACTTGGGCATAAGCAAGAGGAAAGAAATCGGCAAGAAAATTTCAGAGTGGGGGAAAAAGGAGAGCCAAGGTGAAAGGGGAGCGGCAGTAATATAACAACACTGAGGCTCTTCCCATGGATTCTTTTCCCCGACAGCTCCGAGGGGCGACATTGTGGACAGCTGAACATGTCCCCGTAAGCATTTAAATACAGCATGTAAAGACCCGGCTTAGCTTGGAATTAATCGCATCCTGAACAGGGGCTTTACGTCGTATTTTCCTATTCTTTCTTTCTTTTTTTTTTTTTTTCTCTCATCTCTTCTCATCGTCAAGGCTGTTCTGCCCCCAGGACCTGTCTGCCAGCTACATCATCGTTATCGCCTTATCGCAATCTTACTAAGGCAAACTCGTGGACCTCCGACCTCAAAGCTGCCACACCAACCATCTCCATCTCCACCTCCACTCCAAACAGCTACCTACTTTGATCACTGCTCATATCTCTCACAATGTCCAACACTACTACCCAGAAGAACGATGCCACTGAGCAACCACAGCCACCAAAGAAGCCCCAAGTCTTAGAGGAAGACGATGAGTTTGAGGATTTCCCCGTTGAAGGTATCAAGCAGATACTCAAGTGCTTCCCTAGACCAATGAAGCTGACCGTGGAACATCTAGACTGGCCCCAGGAAGAAGCTGAGCAGACATCTGGCTCCACGGCAAATGGCGGTAGCGAGCACCTGTGGGAAGAGAGCTGGGATGACGATGATGCCGCAGAGGACTTCTCAAAGCAGCTCCAGTAAGTTCGCCCTTTCGCATACCTGGAATACCCTTGACATTCTATTCCATAATTGCACACATACAAACATATGCTCTCTCTCTCTCTCTCTCTCTCTCTCTCTCTCTCGCGTTGGCCCAAGTCTATACACCTCGGTCCTCTTTGCCCCCGCCTCCCATCTCGCCCTTCTCCACAAATCCGTCACGTCACCCTCTGCCATTGCACGCACTAACATCCATCACTCCATCTAGGGAAGAATTGAAGAAAGTCGAAGCCGCAGCTTAAATTAGACGAACCAAGACAAGCATACCAAAAAGAGATGGCCCCCGCGTCGGGTTTCAGGATGGGTCTGCTATCGAGTGGGCTGGCCATCCATCTCGTACACTATACCCCCTGTCTTTGGAACCAATGGGAAGATCCAGACCCATAATTGCCACATGCGTTTGTCGGGAGCTTGTCAGGGAGAAATGAGATACGGTCCTTTTGATTTTTATTATGATTCATTACTCGGGGCGCAGATGTCACTTTTCGGATGTACCGCCATGATGTTCTCTCCCATGTTCCACCAATACCAAGATTTTCGATTCTGCGCAATACCGGAAACTCCAGTCTAGGAAGGTCTTTGATAAAAGGGAAAGGAACAACGTCAGTTGAGGCTGTGAAGGGCATTGGCAGGGTTCGATCCTATCTACATCTAAATCTGGCGATGAGATCTCATTTATTCAAGACGTGGATTTCCAGTAGTCTATGTACATTCCAATCCATCACCGAAAATTCCTCGGGGTCGTGATTAGAGCTTCGGTCTCATACCTGGGCATAGGACTTAGCGAACCAATCTATTTAAGAGGCTAGAGGAATCTTGATTTAAATGGGTTTGTAATTAAAGGAAATTCATTGGCTGTGTACATTACAGTTTCATAAACATGCTGGACGGAAGGAAGGCTGACGTAGACTCCTCAGTCGCCATATATCTTTCATCATTTACTTACTGGACAAAGCAGCAACACCGGGCAGCTCCTTGCCTTCAAGGAGCTCGAGCGAGGCACCGCCACCAGTCGAAACGTGGGAGATCTTGTCCTCAACCTTGTACTTGGCGGCCACGGTAGCGGTATCACCACCGCCGATAATCACAATGGAGCCGGACTGAGCAGCCTTGACAGCGGCATCAAGGGTATCCTCGGTGGCCTTGGCGAAGGGCTTGAGCTCGAAGACGCCGGGGGGGGCCGTTCCAGAGAATGGTTTTAGCCTCAGCGATGGTCTTCTGGTAGAGCTTGACACTCTCAGGGCCAACATCCAGACCCATGAACCCGTCGGGGATACCCGAGGCATCGGTGGCTGCGCCAACGGTGGCATCGGCGGAGAACTTGTCAGCAGTGACGTAATCAACGGGAAGGACGATCTCGACATTGTATTTCTTGGCCTTCTCGACGATCTCGCCAACAATCTTGCTGCCGGCCTCGTCGAAGAGACTGTTGCCAATCTTGACGTTCTCAAGGGTCTTCTTGAAGGTGAAAGCCATACCACCAGTAATGATGAGGCTGTTGACCTTGGGCAGGAGATTATCAATCAGCTGGATCTTGTCGGACACCTTGGCGCCACCGAGGATGGCAAGGAAGGGGCGTGCGGGGTTCTCGAGAGCCTTGGCGAAGTACTCCAGCTCCTTCTTCACAAGGAAACCGGCGGCCTTCTGAGGGAGGTCCACACCGACCATGGAGCTGTGGGCACGGTGGGCGGTACCGAAAGCATCATCTGTAGAGGTTAGAAACAAGAGAACAACTACCAAAATAGTACCACGGTGTTACGTACTGACGTAAACGTCACCCAGAGCAGTCAAGCCCTTGCGGAATGCATCAACCTGGGCCTTGTCAGCCTTGACCTTCTTGCCCTCGGCATCCTTAGAGCTGCCTTCCTCCTCAGCGTGGAAACGCAGGTTCTCAAGCAGAATGACCTGGCCATCGGAAGCCTTGTTCACAGTCTCCTCAGTCCGAGGTCCAACGCAGTCCTCGGTGAAGATGACACTCTTTCCGAGAAGCTCTTCAAGTACAGGCACAACAGGCTTCAGGCTGTACTTGGGGTTGACCTTGCCATCGGGGCGGCCCAGGTGCGACATAAGCACGACGGCCTTGGCACCGTTCTCAATGGCATACTTGATGGTAGGCAGGGCACCAACAATACGCTGGGGGTTGGTAACATTCTTGTTCTCGTCGAGAGGGACATTGAAGTCAACCTGTTCAAGTTAGCTACAAGTTGCTAAAGCTCAATTGGCTAGGAGCTTACCCGGATCAAGACACGCTTGCCCTTGAGGTCAACGTCAGTGACGGGAAGCTTGTTAGAGAGAGACATTGTAGACTGATAGTATGGTAGGTGATGGTAAGGGAGCAAGAAAGGAGATAGAAAGAAGAAGAAAGAACTAATCAGGCCACGGTGAGTCGCGATCAGTAGTGGAGGGGTTAGTTGTGGTGGGGCAAAGCCGGTGAAGAGGTCGCTCCGTAGCAACCAAGGTACTTAAATCGAATGTATTTATCCGCGAGGGTACTTCTGCGACCTATTGTGTACCTAGTATGTCGAAGTATATCCAGGAAATCAGTACCTCCAAGGCCTGTACCCGACTATCCCCGAAGAACTGATCGGGCTGATGCGGGACTGATGTCAGAGCTGCCGTAAATATACGGGGAAGGCCGGGCCATTTGAGCTGTTTTCGCCTCGGATTCGGGGAATTCGGGGGATTCTGGGGAGATCGCCTCTACTGCAAGAAATGCCCGCAGCCGCTACGGAGTATCCCGTTCAGCATTGGATGTTTTCCAAGTCCAACAGAGGCATGGGAAGCCCAATCGTCACGAAACAGAAAGGAAAGAGCAAAAAAAAAAAACTCCTTAGGCATCAAAGTCATATCACAAAAATAGTTAACAGCAAAAGCCCAACTTGGGCTTCCCAAATGTGCAAAATCCGATCTTTTGAAATGCAAAACCCTGCGCATGGGCAAATACCCTTGCCATGTACACAAAAGCCAGACCAAGCAACCAAAACGCCTGGACATATTAGCGAGGGGGGAAAAGAGAGTAGTTTAAAGCCCAATTCATCATCATGATTTTCGTTTTTAGGTGTGTTCGATTAGGACTCGTCAGAGGAATTTGTTAGGGAGAGGTATGCGGTCCACGCAATACCAATGGTTGAGACAAAGGGCTAGTTGAAGAGTCAGTATAAGTGCCATTCTGGACAAGACAACCTAAGAAACTAACAATTTGGAATTGAATGGGAACAACGCGGAAGTTGAGGATCTGCACTGCTGGCCAGAGCACAAAGTTGGCCTTCAGGGTTGGTAAATAGACATCACGGAACTTTTGTGTTAATGCCCTTCTACCACCACCCTCGGCGATCGTCATGTAGGTGAAGAAGCACGCCAGACCTAGTGAATCGAGTTAGTATAAATAAATCAGGTAAATAGCTTGGAGCTGACTGTACCAAATGGTGCAAATATCAACTGGTCAAAGGCAACACGCTTGAAAGCCGGGGCAGTCGGGTTTCTCTTGGTGAGAGGGAATGCTCTAGATAAAAAGCCAAACCACTGGAACTGCACCGGCGCCATGAAGAAACCATAAGCCATAAATCTCGTCAACCGCTCAAAGTCAAATGGCGGTGATGAGGTCCGGGCATATCCCAGCTCCCCTACAGCAGGGGGTTTCTGCTTGTCCAAGTCGTGGATCTCTATTGAAAGGAAGTCATCGCCACTTGTGCGGGTTCGGCGGGTCCGGAAGGCCGTAATCAGTTGCGCAACGGTATCAGCAACTCCACCAAGCACCTAGAACGTCCATCTGTCAATTGATTGGTCACACTAATGTGATTGCATTGGTAGGCTTACAGCGTTGGTGACCATTGTCGTCAGCACTATTTTTGACAGTTGAGTTAGTCGTACATGCAAACCCGCGGAAACCGAGCGCTAGGGCCCTACCTGGCTTTTCAGCATAGTATGTGTTGAATTTGGCAGCAAGCCGTGCTGCTACTGCCATCTCGATGAGGAAGATGATCGTGTGCAATAAAGGCTATAAAACAATGACGACAAGGGTTAGCTCTTGGGAAGTGACGACCAAGTGAGCTCTAGGATCAGCACACGTACCACGCGACCGTAGATGTATCTCTTGTTGAGTCCATCCAGGACTTTCCTCTTCGTAGAGCAGATCATGATGGAGAATTTTGGATCTGACAGATGGAGTGAAGTGATGGGCAAGATTTCTGGGCAGGGAGGTGCGCCAGTATGACGCAAAGTTCAGAAGTACTGGGCAGTTGGAGAGCTAAGCTGGAATATAAATCCTAGTCTCCAAAGTTCATGCGAAATGCGAAACAAGATGATAGAATCAAGGAAGAAGGTATCTCGAATGCCTCCGACGCCGCCTTTGACTGACAAAGTCACCTGGCCAACTACGACGCTCCAGGGCTGAGTCCATTACCCCGTGATCTCGCTCCACCAATCACATCCATTGAACTATATCCTGTCGTTTATCCTCGTTTGATAAATCCACTCTGTCCTTGATACTCTGGATGTTCAGTATTTCAATCGATATACACCAAATATTGCACTCATCCCCTTTTCAAGAGGGTTGACAAGGCTTGAAGAGCTAAACCCATGTCTTTCTCTGCACTGCCTCCTTGAGGGCCGATCTTGGCATTCTTCGGGTTTCCTTCCGAGTGTAGATCATTGTGGGACCGCCAGTTGACCATATATACAAAACATATCCATGGACTCCTCCTAGAGATAAATGCAAGACTGTACATATGTATATAAAGTGATGGGATTGTTGTTTGCTAGGCCTCGGTTGAGAGAAAGTGAGGTGTTCGTAGGAAATGCTATATGGATCATGTATGTGTGTAGACAGCATCATCTGACATCAGATGGACGAAGTATCAAGTAACAGATTTGTTCAGTGAAAAACCTTTACAGTTCCAGACCAGCACGAAGGGTACCTAGCTGACTGCCAAGATTTCTATGCTAGTATACAGAGTGTTATGGTAACAGATACTAATCTACTTCAGTACTTCACTATCCCAAGAGTTACTCAGAAACTTATTGAGTCTGTGACTGCCATTTGCAGGGTATGGGGTAGCATCAAAGGCGCATGGCCCTATACATCTCACGCCAGATACGTAGTTCAATACCAGTGGTTGAATGCGAGTAGGATACTCGACCATACCTACCTACATAAGCCTATTATCCTTGTTTTCCCACAGTAGAATTAGGTGGAAAGTAACTTTCCAGAGCATAATAAGGACAATTTTCTTCACCTTCCTTTACATACTAGAAAAGGAGAGTCGGTACAGCGTTTGGAATAAGGATGTCTTAGTCCAAGAAATAAAAAGATTGTATACTCCACTGTATTATATAGGTACATAAGTTCCCTATGTGGTGTAGTATTCTTGACAGTATTTATGGCCCAAAAGGGTCGGGGGAAAATGTAAGGAGCGACCTCTTCCAAGGGGCTCATACTTCGTCATATATGTACAATGCTTGGACTGGTCTTAATTAGAGCGCAGTTGATCGTCTGCCAAAATATCAGGAAGGTCTCGAATATCTGTCGTTTCGTTCGTGTTCACATCTATAAGCCGGACTGCCTCCAGGTGAAGCGGGCCTGTGGCTAAGGGAAGGAGTTTGAGTTCAATCGAATGACATGTTCCTGGAAGAAGAGGGCTGGAATATAGTTAGTTAGGGTAGATTGTAAGTGAGAGAAAAGGGAGTACTCACCCCACACGAATATCGGTGCTCAAGCTAATCAGCTCCACTTCCTGGCCAGCAACACTCTTTTGTCTCGCATGCACAATGTTGTCGTCAGTCACCGCTTCAGCTACTTGATCCTCCTTCCGGCTGGTAATCGACGACGATGAAGGCCGAGCAACATGTCCTCGCGGATCCACACGTTTTCGCTTAGGAATAGCGATTAAGGCAAACTTGCGGGGAACATTTGACCGGTTGACAATGAAAACATCCCAGGAGAAGACTGTACCGACTTGCACACGAACAGGTCCCGAAAAGGATATTGTCACACCTGCGTCAGTGACCGAATAAGCTCGTTCTCTTAATGAGGTTCGATTGGAGGGTGTCACACCTGTCTGAGTTGACACGGATAGACTAGTAGGGCGGTTGCTCCTTTGCAACGCTGGGCTAGGCCCCCCAAAATTCGGGTTCAGTGCGACTGAAAAATCGACGTTGGTTCTCCACTGCATAGAGATACGTGGATTGCAATCGTCATCAACAAGAATGACTGCTTCCAGGGATATATCCAGTGTACTGACCAGAGCAGTAGATGATGGATTAGTCTCCGGGCCATAGTCTGGAGTGAGTTTGTACATAAGGGTCACGTCGTCTCGTGGACGACAAGTAATCGGGAGGGTGAGGCCTGGGGTGTCTGATAGTGACTCGATCGTTCCTTCAGATAAGTGAAGATCCGCTTTATCAAACAATACCTCGCAAGCCAGATAAGGTGTGATCTCAAAATCGAGACTGGCGACCGTCATTGGAACGCCGGTGTAAGAATTCAGCCGAGAATATCGAATTCTTGCACTCGCGGCAGGTACAACACGAAAGGGGTGGCCATGTTGTTGCTGGATATTATAGATCGGGTCCTCGTTATGCGTTGTCGGTACAACCCTCAATAGTCTGGACGCAGGGAGGAAAGGCTCTTTGTTATTGAAAGATTTATCGGCAGAGAGTGATTGCAGCATATTTGTTGATGCTGGGATGAGCGAGGGAAGATAGTCATCCCCCAAATCCTCTTGCCGACAAGAGTCAGCTGGATTTAGACAGGCAGAGGCAATGAATAAAAGTGACGGGTGTTGGATTCGAATACGGGGGCGCCCTATACAGTGATCAATTAGTGGCCTGGATACGCAGGGTTTAACCCACAGTATCGAATCACTCACGCAGTATGGTTTCAATGTTCCAAGCTAGATAGACATGGTTTCCACTCCCCTCATCACCCTCAAATTCATTGAAGATCACAAGTGGATCTTCCTCCCCACTCACAATTCCTGAGAAAATGATGTCTCGGGTTGGGGTAGGATTTTCACCAACAGATTCTGCTGGATCGACGGCAAAGACATCAAGCTTGATTTCAAGTCGAGGCAAGTAGTGTTTAAGGGTCGTCTCTGAGCAATCAGACAGTCTTAAGATTATGCGAACGGTGAGAAACTCATCTAATAGCTATCAATAAGCAAGCGACAAATCCTGGCAAGCTACCGAGAGTGCATACCAAAAAACAATAGAGAACGTTGCGGGATTGATGAGAGAACAGAGGGAAGATCATCAGCTCCATCCTCTAGGGCTGAGCTGAGGGCACTCTCAATATCGAATGCAGGGGCATGAGGCACAACAGTATCAAGAACGGCATGACGCAAGAATTCACCCGGAATCTCCAGACCAGGCATTGCAACGACGGATGTCGCAAGGGAAGTCAACAAAGTGGCAGTTCGGAGTTCAGGAGATAACCGATAAGTATCGATATACGGTCAACGCGAAGAACCAAACGCGCAATTCTGCAGAGATGATGGACAGAGCTTCGTTTTCAGTTCTCTCACTTGACTTCTCCAACAACATTACCAATGGATTCACGCAGTCGCCTGGCTGCTGCCCTGTGGCAGGAGGCGCGAAATGAGAAAGGTCGTGTTTACTACTACAATGTAGAGACCAAACATACTCAGTGGACAAAGCCTACAGAGCTGATGACTCCAGTTGAGGTTTGTACCCGACTCTAGATGTTTTAAGCTTTGCTAATGATTTTTGCAGGCCGCTCTGGCGAAACAACCATGGAAGGAATACACTACAGAGGATGGGCGCAAGTACTGGTACAACACAGAGAGCAAGCAAAGCACATGGGAGATGCCTGTAATTTACAAAGACGCACTTGCACAGTCGCCTGCCCCCCCGACGACCCCCGCGTAAGTGCCTTCCTAGTTTGACTCTTGTCAATACTAATTTGAGTCCAGTGCACCTACCTTTGTTGCAGGTGGACCCTCTTTCTCGCAACCCCAGCACCGTGATCAGCAGCGTGATCGCGAAGATTTTGACCGAGCTGAGCGGGGTTACGGCGACCGTCGCGCTGGATACGGTTCCTATGAGACCAGCACCATGGCTGCAGCTCCAGAATTGAAGTCGCAGATGGACCCTAACTACCATTCGCTTGAAGAGGCAGAGAGTGCATTTGTGAAGCTGCTCAAACGCCACAACGTGCAACCTGATTGGACTTGGGAGGATACCATGCGCGCTACAATCAAGGACCCACAATACCGTGCTCTCAAGGACCCACGAGACCGCAAGGCAGCATTTGAGAAATATGTGGTCCAAGTCCGGATGCAAGAAAGGGATCGGGCCAAAGAAAGATTCGCCAAGCTCCGCACAGATTTTTATACCATGCTGAAGCGCCATCCTGAGATCAAATATTACAGCCGATGGAAGACAATCCGTCCAATTATTGAAGGGGAGACTACATTCAGGTCTACCAATGAGGAAGATGAGAGGCGCCAGCTTTTCGAAGAATACATCCTCCAACTCAGAAAGGATCACTTCGAACAAGAAGCTGCGACCCGCAAGGCTGCTATGGATGAGCTGGTTGAAATCTTGAGCTCGCTCAACCTAGAACCATACACGCGTTGGTCTGAGGCGCAAGCCATTATTCGGTCTAATGGCAAATTCCAAGGCGATGAAAAGTTCAAAGCTCTGAGCAAGTGTGATGTTCTTACTGCTTTTGAGAACCATATCAAGTCGCTCGAACGGGCTTTCAACGATGCTCGCCAACAGCACAAGGCAGCGCGAGCCAGAAAGGAGCGTAAGAACCGGGAGCAGTTTGTGACACTTCTCAAAGAGCTCAGATCTCAGGGTAAGATCAAGGCGGGCACCAAGTGGATGAACATCTGCCCGATCATTAAAGATGAACCCCGGTACCATGGAATCCTGGGCCAGCCTGGATCCACGCCTCTTGATTTGTTCTGGGATATGATGGAAGAAGAGGAGCGTGCTCTGCGCGGACCTCGGAATGATGTACTTGATGTTCTAGATGTGAGTTTCTCCAGGATCAGCTCGTCTTATTGACTATACTAACCAACTGATCTTAGGACAAACGATATGAAGTTACGACAGAAACTACATTTGACGAATTCAGTTCTATCATGTCTGCCGACCGCCGGACCTCCAAGATTGACTCGGATATCCTCAACCTCATCTTCCAGCGTATCCAAGACAAGGCAATTCGACGCACCGAGGATGAGAAACATGCCGCCGATCGCCAACAGCGCCGCGCCGTGGACGCACTGCGGTCTCGTATCAAGCGCCTGGAACCGCCCATCCGAGCTACAGACACTTGGGCTGACATTCAACCCCGCCTTGAGAAATATGACGAGTACAAGGCCCTTGAGTCGGATGAGCTCCGGGAGTCTGCATTTGAGAAAGCAATTCGCCGCCTGAAGGAAAGAGACGACGACGCAGATAAGGATCGCGAGGCGTATAACCAGAACCGGGGAAGCCGCCGGGACTATGACCGTGGTGATCGTGAATACCGTAGGGGCAGAGGGGAGCGACGCGGACCCAGCGGCCGAGTCAGTAATACCCCTGAAATGGATGCGTACGAGGCAGACCGTCGCAAGGCACAGGCCGACCGGGAACGAACTTACCGCAAGGTCAGCGGTATCTCCCCATCTCGCGATCGTCGCGACGAGCGTGGAGACCGTGACCGCTATCGCAGCCGGGATCGTGACTTTGACCGTGGCCCTCGCGCTAGAGACCCCGACCGACGTGAAGACGAACGCGAGCGCCTGTATCGCACTCGTGGCGATCCCCGTGGAGGTCGTGATGAACTTGACTATGGTGGTGGCAGCGGCGATACCCGCAGTGTAGTCGGTGGTGACCGCCGCCGCCGACGTGACAGTGATTCCGAGAGTGTGGTCAGCCGGTCGGCCAAACGCTACCGACGTGATAGCCGCGAGCGAGACCGCAGCAAGGGCCCAAGCGCTCCCCGACGGGAACGCTCTGCTATTCCGGAAGAAGATGAGGGTGCGACCAAGGACGAGAAGGCCATTCACTCTGGCAGCGAGGAAGGGGAGATTGAAGAGGAGTAGATTGGGGGTGGGTATTTCTATTCACACTTGCTCGCATATGCAAGTAATTCCTGGCCTTTAATACATGTAGGATATTGTGCTGAATCTATTCAATTTCATTTGCTTTCTTCCTGTCCTATTAATCCTTCCTATTCTGACCTGTGCACAATCTAAGCTCTCTGGGAAGTACTATATTGCTACGTGAAAAGACCTCCTATCAATCCTTGCACGTAGCTAATCTACTCGGACAAGAGAGATATTTATATGTACATGTATATATGTATATATGTATATATATATATTTGTATACATGTGTTGGCACGTATGTATATTCTGTCAGTCGTCAGAAGTGCTATTTGAAACAAGCCATAGCACAAAGCGACTTGAATCAGAATACATTGTGATAGACATGGCGGTCTCAAAAAAAAAAGACATGGTCGATATTCGAGATACTCCGTGTATCAGGCCCTGATGATGCGCTGGCTGGAGCAGCCCGCTATAAAGATATATCGAATGAACTATGCACAAGAAACGAAGAAAACATGCATTCTCAAAGGTTCTGCAAAAAAAAAAAAAAAAAAATAAGGAAGGACAAGAACCATCTATCTACACGAAGGAGCAGTGAATCCGGCCAGCATTCGAGTAGCCGCCTGTCCCATGCCATCCTCGGCCTGTAAACAATCACACCACCGAACCATTCCGTCGCAAAATCCATTCTTATAGATCATAAAATTCATGGAAGAGCTTTTTTTGGCAACCCAAACCCTCCAACCTAATGCAAACATAACTCCGTCGGAACAATAAACCATGCCAAACCCAATCCACCATTAAAATTTAACAGGTGTCAGTGGAAGATATGCAGACATGGGTTCCTGTCCGGGGGCCGATGATTCTGGATAGACAAGACCAGAACAAACCAAGGCAGGGTGCAAGGCGGATCACAATCTAGGTTTTGATGGATTGATGAATGGAAACAGGTCGCAGGAAGTGAATGAGCGTACTAGCCCGAAAATAGTAGGGTGTGAATCAGGCCACTGCCTCTTAGTCGGGGTCGCTGTTGCCATTCAAGTCATCACCATCGCCACTATCGCCATCATCGCCATCATCGCCAGAGAAACCATCATCAGCACCGGAAGACAGGCCGGACTTGCGATGAAATCCCTTGTCCCGAACCACCGAGGCTCTGCAAACACCGGGGACCTCCATTAACCACATGATCTTCCAATCGCCACGACGCCGGTTGCGCCGCTGCTCAGAGTCGCGGCCATCACGGCTGTGATGACGGCGACGAGGCTCCTTGAAAACGCCCTTTTCAGTTCTCTTCCTCCAAGAAATACTGTAGAGCATTGTTAGCACATCCATTATCTCAGAGATACATATTATCCAAAGATAATGTAGAATACTTACGAAGTTGCCAGCCAACTTCTGCTCCTGGTCCATTTGACTGTTGTACTTGTTGATACGAGGGCGGTAACTGTTGGGGTCACGGCGGAAAGTGACATCCAAGCTCTTCAAGAACCTGTTGCAACCACCAACCAGTGACTCAGGTGTCTGAGCGCGGGCGTCAACGGATGGCTGGCCATCAAACACGATGACACGGTCGGCCAAGTAAGTGGCCATGATGAAATCGTGCTCAACGATGAAAGCGGTCTTTTTGGTGTGCATGATGAAACGCTTGATCACACGAGCAGCGACAATACGCTGCTCGGAGTCGAGGTAGGCACTGGGCTCGTCAATCAGGTAGATATCAGCGGGCATACCCAGAGCCAACACAATGGCCACACGCTGCAATTCACCACCGGACAGGTTCTGGACCTCCTGATCGATGAAGTCGTCCATCTTAAGCGGCTTGTAGACATCGGTCTGGAACTGAGGCGACAGGAAAGCAGTCTTGATGCGCTTGAAGAAGAGTTGGCGCACAGTACCCGTGAACTTGGGTGTGATCTTCTGGGGCTTCATGCTGATGTTCATCTTGGGAACGGAGATAAGGCCATCGGGCTTCAGGGCGCCGGCAAGCATCTTACAGAAAGTAGTCTTTCCGGTTCCGTTCTCACCCATCATGACAACAATCTCAGAGTCAGTGAACTTTCCGGCCTCAACCTTGAGGTGGAAGTCACCCATAGTTTTCTCCATTGCGGGATAGGCGAAGGCACGATCCTTGTCCGCGATGAATTCTTCACCCGCTTCGGCGAGACGGAAGGTGAGAGACTCGTCACGGAATCGCAAGTTCTCGGTAGGGATGTGACCATCCAGGAAGATGTTGATACCCTCACGCACAGAGGCAGGCAGAGTGACGACACCGTAAACAGCAGGACGACCATACAAGACGCAAATAAAGTCGGACAAATAGTCAAGCACGGACAAATCGTGCTCGACAACAATGACATAGTCATCGGGGCGGAGGAGGCTGCGGATTGTACGGGCAGCAGCCAGACGCTGCTTAACATCGAGATACGAGGAAGGCTCGTCGAACATGTACCTGCATTAGTATTAATAACGACGCAAACTCAACAGTATACACACAGGAAGAACCTACACGTCGGCCTTCTGCACACAAACCAGACCAATGGCAAAACGTTGAAGCTCACCACCGGAAAGGTGACCAATATCACGTTGTGCGACCTGTCTCAGCTCTGAACGAGGATTAGCGAGTAAATTCTAATGGAACAGGGTATACGAACGCACCGAGAACATCCATGATTTCATCCTCATTGCCTAGCGCAGCACGTGTGCTGATGAGCTGCTGCACCTGCTGGATGGGTCCCTTCACAGCGCGAGGAATTTGATCCACGTACTGAGGCTTCACAACCGCCTTCAGGTTGTCCTCTAGAATCTTAGTGAAATAGTCTATCACCGTCAGCGACATTCGTTCCAAACCGTGGAACTTAAGCTTAGGTTATGGTGCTCACTCTGCAAATCGGAACCACGGAAGTACTTCAAGATCTCCTCCCAGTCCGGAGGGTTATCATAACGACCAAGATTAGGCTTCAATTTGCCACTGAGAATCTTCAAAGCAGTACTCTTTCCGATACCGTTTGTTCCAACCAGACCAAGGACCTGACCGGGACGGGGCATAGGAAGTCGGTGAAGCTTGAAGCTGTTGGCCGAATAGCGATGGGTGACCTGGGTCTCGAGGTTGGTGGGCAAGTTGATGATATTGATGGCTCCGAATGGGCACTTCTTGGGACAGATACCACAACCAATGCAAAGGCGCTCGGAGATAAAGGCGATCTTGGAAGTGTTATCGACTTCAATGCAAAGCTTGCCGGTGCGGACCACAGGGCAAGACTTCTTGCACTCTTGACGACATTTCTACTATATATTAGCCTCCGTAACTAACATGGGATATTATACCAAGTCGCATACCTTCGGTTTGCACTGTTAAATTGAAAGATTGTGGTGTAAGCTTGGCTTTCGCGAACCGGAGTGAAAATACTATTAGTGGGGGTATTTTGTGACGAACCTTATCACTGTTGATGATCGCAATACTACAAAAAGAAAAAAGAGACCGTTAGCTGATGATGTAGCACTCCAAAGGCTCCAATAACATACCGAGTAAGCTTGTCAGACATCGTGGGTGGATGTGGCTCGAAGAAACCGGCGTGTGAGGCGGAAGATTGAGGGAAAAAAGATTCAGCACGAAGCGGAGGAGGGGTGAGTATTTGGAAGTGGCCGACTAAGCACTGTCGCAGGTATATGAACTGGGCTCAACAAAAGCACCGAGTATCTCTGCGCAGAGTCGACGAGAAATGGCACAGGAAGAAACACTATCAACGATCGAGGGGCGGCAGAATTGAATGCACACTTTCCTTTCTGTGGGCTGAGATGCCTTAGGCCGCCAGTGCGTCACTTATTTATCAAGGCGGTGATTGGCTGTCGGGATTAATCCGTACTTACGTTTATCCGGAATGACTGCACGTGATCATACACCGTGTCAGGCGCCAAGCGAATACGCTAGTCTAAAAGGGGTCAATCTCTTGATGCCTGAAGAACCAGGCGTGAACTTTCCCTGCAAACCAAACCGAAGCAAACCCTCCAGCCGGTCCCCAACTCTTAGTTCTTCCAAGTCTCTTGTCTCCTCCTCCCCCAATATTCCAGCTTCACGCCTCCACCCCACCATTCAATTTCCCACATTGATCGCCCGATCCCCCGCTTTCGGGGTCACCACGCTATGGAGTGTAAGTTGATTTAATCTTTTCCTCGAGCACAGACGTGCCGACCGAAGCATTCGCCGCGGTACTTCTCCGCGCTTGTCGACCCACTGCACGATTCGTTGATTCCCTCTATTCTGCTCCGATCGGGGCAGTTTCCAACTGTTACTGGTCAAACAGCATGTCATTTCCTTCTCCAAGTCTGGGTGTGTATATGGACGTGCCCATTGCTCTGGCTTCCAGCCGGCCGCGTCCATCCCACCTGTTATCAAAAAAACATAGTCTTTCATCAAACTCCATATCCTGTCCTATTTTGCTGGGTTTCAAGCTTCATTTCAACGCACTTTGGGTCGCGTGCCATTGTTTCACCTGTCTATGTCTCTTTCGCACATCTCCTGACCTAAATTGAGCTTCAATGCTGACTGCCCCTCGGTAATAGCCTCTGGCATGGTGATCCCATCTGCTCAGGAACCTCCCTCTACCTCGACGATGTCTAATGGGTTCCCTGCTTTACCAGTCGCCGATGATCACCACGCGGATGGCGATTCGGTAACACAACGTGATCGCAGTCCATCAGAGCCCATTGAATTCCACCCCGTCTCCGAGTCCTCCCCCGAACCCGATGCCGCGGACGACTCATATGACGGCGCGTCTGCGGATTCAGATGCGGAAGATGAGGACGTGGTGGAGGACAACAGTGATGATGAAGGCAACTCATACAGCCGTGAAAACTCTTCATCCCCTCACCCCGACCGCGGTGCGAAGCGCAAATCATCACCGGTTAGTGAAACTGACCTCATGAGGCAAAATCCCGATCTGTACGGGCTTCGTCGCAGTGGTCGTGCTCGCACAACGCGCCATCTCGCCGACTCATCTGACTCGGACTCTGATGTTGTTGCACCGCGTTCCAAGCGCCGGCGCAAGGAACCATCCCAACAGCCCTCCAAGGCCTCCCGGTCGGCTACTGTGTCGTCACTCTCCGAGACTGACAGTGACGAGTATGGTGGAAAGAACTCCCGTGCCAGTAAAGCGAGAAGGCGGCGTCTCCAACAAAGCGCCAGCTATGAACCCTCCTTGAACGAGGTCCGCTTCTCGACGCGAACAGCCAAGAAGGTGTCAAATTACAATGAGGATGATGAGGATGATGAGGATATGTTCGAAGATGATCCAGACGATCTTGCACCAAATTATTGGGCTGAGAGTTACGCGGAGGACACTCGCCCTGCTGTCGACGTCGTTCTCAATCACCGCCTTAAGGAGGGCATCGATCCAAAAACCCGCGATCTTGACCGAAATGATTTTGAATTTTGTATCAAATGGCAGGACAAATCACACTATCATGCAACATGGGAAAGCAATGAGTCTATCGCCAACTTCCGCAGCACGCGACGTGTTGATAATTATGTTCGGAAGGTATTGAATGAGGACATTCGGCTGCAGTATAGTGCGGATGCTCCCCCTGAGGATCGTGAAAAATGGAACCTTGATCGCGAACGAGATGTTGAAGCCATCGAGGACTACAAAATGGTTGAACGAGTCATTGGTGTACGTGATGGCGAGGATGGCACTACGGAGTACCTTGTCAAATGGAAGCGTCTCTTTTACGATTCCTGCACTTGGGAGCCCGAGGACCTGGTTAGTGAGATCGCACAACGTGAGGTTGACCGATTTTTGGACCGCACCGCTCGCCAGCCCATCTCCGACAAGAATGAGACAAATATTGCTACCCGTAAATCATTTGAGCCCATTCATGGAACCCCTAGTTTCTTGCAGAATGGAGAACTCAAGGATTTCCAGGTCAAAGGTCTAAACTTCCTGGCTTTTAATTGGGTCAGGGGTCGAAATGTGGTTCTGGCAGATGAGATGGGTCTCGGAAAGACAGTCCAAACTGTCTCCTTCATCAACTGGATGCGTCATGTCAGACGGCAGCAAGGACCGTTCATTGTCATCGTTCCACTGTCCACCATGCCAGCATGGGCCGATACATTTGATTACTGGACGCCTGACCTGAACTACGTTGTTTACAATGGTAGTGAGAAGGCGCGCTCCGTGTTGCGGGACTATGAACTGATGGTTGACGGAAACCCCAAACGTCCAAAATTCCATGTGCTGTTGACAACCTACGAGTATGCAATGAATGATTCGCCGTTCCTCGGCCAGTTCAAGTGGCAGTTCATGGCTGTGGATGAGGCACACCGTCTCAAAAATCGCGACTCGCAGCTTTACATCAAGTTATTCGAATGGAAATGTCAGGCCCGGCTCTTGATCACCGGTACTCCAATTCAAAACAACCTTGCTGAACTTTCGGCTTTGATGGATTTCCTCAATCCGGGTCTCATTGATGTCGATGTCGACATGGATTTGAACTCTGAGGCTGCATCACAAAAACTTGCGGAATTGACTGAAGCCATCCAACCTTACATGTTGCGGCGTACAAAATCCAAGGTCGAATCTGATCTTCCACCCAAGACCGAGAAAATCATTCGGGTGGAGCTCTCAGATGTCCAATTGGAGTACTACAAGAATATCCTGACCAAAAATTATGCTGCATTGAATGACGGGAACAAGGGAATGAAGCAATCTCTTTTGAACATCATGATGGAATTGAAAAAGGCTAGCAATCATCCTTTCATGTTTCCCAACGCGGAAGCAAAGATTCTGGAAGGTAGTAGTCGCCGAGAAGATATTCTTCGAGCCATGATCACCAGTAGTGGAAAGATGATGCTTCTCGACCAGCTCCTTCGCAAGCTAAGCGTCGATGGTCATCGAGTTTTGATATTCTGCCAAATGGTTGGTATGCTCAACATTCTCAGTGAGTACATGGAGTACCGCGGTTACAAATACCAACGCCTTGATGGAACTATCCCATCTGCCGCCCGTCGCTTAGCGATTGAGCATTACAATGCTCCTGGCAGCACTGATTTTGCATTCCTTCTTTCAACCCGTGCAGGTGGTTTGGGTATCAACCTGATGACCGCAGACACTGTCGTACTGTTTGATTCGGACTGGAATCCACAGGCCGATCTGCAAGCTATGGCGCGTGCCCATCGAATCGGCCAGACAAGACCTGTTAGCGTCTACCGTCTTGTCTCAAAGGACACAATTGAAGAGGAAGTCATTGAAAGGGCTCGCAACAAGCTCCTACTTGAGTTCATCACTATCCAGCGCGGTGTTACAGACAAGGAAGCCTCAGAGCTTCAAAACAAGATGGCACGCGTGGTTGCCGAGCCTAATTCCACAGATGACATCTCTCGAATTTTAAAGCGCCGCGGTCAAAAGATGTTTGAACAAACCGACAACCAGAAGAAACTAGAGCAGCTTGATATCGATTCCGTCCTTGCAAATGCCGAATTGCACCAAACTGAGGAGGCAGAGCAAATTCAAGCCGACGGCGGTGAAGAGTTCTTGAAAGCATTCGACTTCGTTGACATCAAGGTTGATGATCTCTCTTGGGATGACATCATTCCTAAAGAGCAGCTTGAAGAACTCAAGGCCGAGGAAAAGCGCAAGGATGATGCCCATTATCTCGCCGAAGTCATCGAACAAAATCGTCCCCGCAAGCGCCAGGCGCCTGTGGACACGAGAGACTCTAGAGAGGAACGCAAGGCTAAGCGACTTGCCAGAGCTCAAGTTAATATCGACGATGGGGTGGACGAAAGCACCTCATTGGATCCAAAGCGCCCCCTTGGAGAAAAAGAATACCGTGCGCTCTCTAGGGCTTTCCTTCGCTACGGCGATCTGGATGACTCTGAAGATCTGATTCTTGAGGACGCAAGACTGCAAAATCGTGATCGGAACACTGTCCGTGCTGCTCTTCATGAAATAACCGACAAGGCAAACTCGCTTGTTCAAGAAAGCTTGAATCAATTGGAAGCAATGAAACAATCGGGAAGGAACCCCACCAAGAAGGAGCAAAAAGCTGTCTTATTCGACCATCATGGTGTCAAGCGACTTAACGCATGGACTATTGTTGAGCGTCCGCCGGACATGCGCCTCATTCGTGGCATCACCAAATCGTTGTCTGATTTCAAGACATTCCGCCTCCCTGAGGCGACCAAATTGGCAGACTACAGCTGCCAGTGGGGTGCGCGTGAAGATGGAATGCTTCTTGTGGGTATCGCACGCCATGGGTTTGGTGCGTGGACCCAGATCCGCGATGACGCTGAGCTTGGCCTGGGTGACAAATTTTTCCTCGAGGAACATCGAGTAGAACGCAAGACACAACGTTTGCAGGCCGAGGAGAAGGCAACAAAGTCACCGGGCGCTGTTCACCTTGTTCGACGAGCCGAATACCTCATGTCCGTTTTGAGGAACAAGTACAATAACAATGCCACAGCCAGAAGAGCAGTGGATAATCATCACCGCAATAACAAGCGAGGCTCACGGGTTTCCGGCAGTGGCAGTGTGTCCGCCTCTCCGGCGCCCTCGAGCTCTCGCAGGCCCGAAAATCCTCGCAAGGGTCACCGTGAATCTGATCGATCACGCCCGCGCTCTCACACACATGGCAGCCGGGAGGTTGATCGTCACCATACTCCCAACCACGACTCTCGTTCACGGTCTGGTCTGGATATCGATCGTCCACGTCATCGTCTATCTGACGCCTCCAATGACGAACTTCGTCGACGGAAAGGCCATGAGAACGGCGGTTCTAATAAAGAAGACATGGCATTCATGTTCTTCAAGCCTATTGTTCACAATCTGAAGCAAGTATCCATGATTACTGCCAAAAATTACCCTAGCAAAAACGAACGCGCCCAGAAACTCCGTCTCACACTTGTTAAGATTGGAGAATTCATTCGCAATACTTTGGAGGGATCGCAATCGATGCCCTCCTTGGAGGTTCGACTCTGGTATGTTCTCGTTAGCTCATATCTTGCTCATCCTCTGACTTTACCTCCAGGGACTATGTTTCACTCAACTACTGGCCAAACAAAGACGCCAGTGGTGCCAAGCTCCAGCAGATGTTCAACAAGGTCATGGAAGCCAGCAAGGCCTCCAAGGTCTCAAATGGCAGCTCGGCTTGAGGGATTTTTCACCTCGCAATGGGTACAGGTGTTCTTGGTTCTAGTTCCAACTCGACTTTAGCACGGTTTGATGACATGCATGTTCAGCGTTTCCGATATCAGATATCTATCTATCCTCTTTTTCTTTTTCCTTTCGATGATAGACACCCAGCGTATTTTTTGTGCTCTCCCTACAATGTTCTCGATGTCTATTTTGGACTACGTGATTCCTATATTCTTGCATTGGCTCGATGTTTTTGGAGTCGTCATTGTCATTTCTCTCAGACATCTCTCACAACTCTTTCAACTATTCTTATCAAGGTGAATTTCATCTCTCTCTTTTGTTGCTCCTTGATTGAAGGTACATATGGATGCAACTTGTTGCATGGCATTGCGAATGGCGTCGAATTCTTTGCGTGGGCCACAAAAGCACAGAAAGAAGAATTTTCGAAATGAGCATGACCTTCTGCATGGCGCATTTGAGGATTTGAGGGTTTGGTTTTTGTTTCTTGTTTTTCTCGGTTTCCGGGGAGTTTTGGACAGGCTTTCTCTTATGGTCCTTCTTTTTGCCTGGATTGAGCCTATCGTAAATCCTCTGCTATGATCTGCTTTTTGTCCTTGTATGTCTCGGCATACTGGCCTGGGTTAGGTTTCTCGTTGGAAGAAGTCCGTGGAGGACAGTTTGTGTTCTGTTTTTTTTTTTTTTTTTCCTCAGCACATGTATCTTATGGAGTGGCTATGATGGCGTTGACTGATTTCGTACTGAGATCATTCAGTTGGTAGGATGCGTGTCCTTTTGAGATTTTCAAGTCAATTCTTGTTTCTGGTTAAAATAAACGCAGAACATCTATCAAGATCATCTTATTGTCTATGAACTATTCCTGTCCGCTGACTATGTTTTGGTAGATGATTGGCAACAAAATCTGGGGGTTGGTCGAGAAGGATCCATATCTCCTCCCTTTTCTTCGCAAGATCTGGATTGTCTGAATGGATGCTCATAATTTGCTCTATGATCGGCATATTAGCCAAGAAATGATTTTGGAGAGACCAAGCCAGATGCATTGTGGTAGAAAAAGTACTATTCCCTGCATAGTGTATGGGGCAGGATACTTGATCTGATCAGAGCCTTGAGATAATGGTGATGAACGATATCACAGTAGCTGCCACTCATCATGGGGAGCTGTCATTGAGCGAGCCAAAGAAAAAGCCTATTCATACATTCCGTTGCAGGACACCTTTCTCCTGCCGGACTTGAATATATAAAAGCAAAGAACGTATTCACCAACGCCAGGATATGAGGACAAAGAAAAGTAAGGAAACAGTAATAGTAAATGTAAATCGCGGAGATGACCGAGACCAAACGCACCGGGCCTAGCCATGAGCAGGGGAGAGGGAATGAGGGGAAGAGGGAGGAGGAAGAAGGCCAATCAAACAGTGTTGACATCGACAGTTGGCACCTCGGCCGACTTTGCTAGCTGTTCTTGTTGATTTTGGAATTCCTGTTGTTGCTGTTGGAGCTTTTCGAGACTGGTGGTCAGGTGTGCAGGTGGAACCGAGCCGACGATTGCACTGAAGAGCCTGATCTCGGCGTCGATGAGGTCGTCAAAGATTGCCTCCTTTTCGCGCCACGCGCGTTCGCGCTGGGGACGAATGGTCTCCCACTCGGTTTGTAACTGTGCAGTCTCCTTCCCTGCCCATGCGATCTGCCGTCGGAGAAGACGATAGAGGTCTCGTGGTGCTAGAGCGAGCTCCGATTCGTCGAAGTCCAGCTCCGGTCCAAACTCTGGCATTGTCGTCTCGTCAGGGTCGTGTGCGTCGCCTGTGATTGTGGTTGGCACGATGGGGGTTGGTTCGATATGTGGCTCAGACTCGGTTCCCGGCTCCTTGGGTTGGGTCAGTTTCAGACGAATGCGCTGCAACTTGGAGGCTGGGGTGCCAGTGGTACTGCCGGGGGTGCCGTGGACCTTGGATATAGAGTCGACTGGCCGCATGGTATCAGTCTCATGAACAGAGCGCATGTGCTTGGTCAGAGCATCAGAGCGGGTGAAGTTGCGGTCGCATTCTGCAGTTCTTTGTTGTTAGTTCTCGAGATATCTCCAACTATTCTGAGTTCGAAATCTGCAGCAACGTACCTGGTAGGGTGCAGTAGAATGGCTTTTCGCGAGTGTGACTTCTCATATGTGCGCGCAAAGCATATGCACTGGCATGCGTTTGACCTTTGCGGGTGCAGTCGGTCCACTCGCACGAGTACCGCTTCTGTCGGCTCCCGATGTGCTCATTGTGGAGATGCTGCACCAACCCATCCATGTTGCCGAGGTCGCCCGTAGTGCATCCATCCCATCGGCAGATTGTGACCTGGTCAGTGCTCTGGCCACTGTAGTCCTCCTCTTGATTGGTACCAAGGAGTGTCAGGATGCTGGGGGAGTTGGGAATATCGCCGGAGCTATCGGAGGAGATTGAGGCAGTCGGGGAGGGAGGTGGATGGTTTTCGTCTTGGACAGAGGATAGAGGAGTCTGCCGGTCCCAGGATGCAATGCCGGTGCGACGACGCTTCGAGGGCGGCATATTGGACATTGAAGGTGAATGCGCGCGGCTCTCATGTTTCATAGATTCATGATCTGAAGTCTCGAGGGATCCCACGGAGGAGAGGGGAGAACCGGGAGAGTCTCGTGAGGCCATTGTGAAGGAGGGCAGCTTGTACAGAGCGATGGAAGTGACGAACCAAATGAATGCGTCTATAAGCTACGCCGTGGATGTCGCGCGAGGAGGCCATCGTATCACATCACGTGAATGACCAGTATGGAGAAAGGCACGTGATTGGCTGAGAGCTGGCCCCAAAGGACACCCTCTCCCCTTCCATTGTTCCTATAACTAACCAGCGGGTTGGTCTATTGTGCCATATGTGATCATTCGCCAGGGTCTCATTTTGATCACTATATTCATACACTGACGTCCTCTTTAGAACTATACTAATCCTTTGGTAAGTTCATCTTTTCCCTATCGAGAACTATACACAGTACTCGACATACCTATCACCCCTCAGTGGCCCTACATGATGAACAAACCATGAAGAATTCTGCAATTCTGACAGTCTCCATTTTCATGTGAGATTGCGTGTTGACTCTTCTACACTTGATCTGACCTATGCACACAACAATCCACTGGAACCTTCAACATCTCTCATTCAAGTTAAGATCTGTGTCTAACAAAATCCAAGGTATCCTGCAGGATCGCCCTAATAACGAGGCCCAGCAACCGTGTGCTCCTTTAGGATGGCATCGATCTCAGCTAGCTCGGAATCCGACAGGACCTGAGTACCGCCCATGTTTTGAACTACCTTGTCCTTCGTGGTGCCGCCAGGAATGGGAATAATAGTAGGCATGCCGGGCTTGTCACTCCGGCTTCGGATCCATGCCAGTGCAATCTGAGCAGGGGCTACGCCCTTGCGAGTTGCTAGATCCTTGACTTCATTGATGAGCTTCAGGTTATGTTGGAAGTTCTCTTCCTGGAACCGGGACAGGTGGTGCCGGATATCGCCTTGGGGAATATCAGCCAGGGAGGTCACAGCTCCAGTCAGGACTCCCCGACCCAGCGGAGAATAGGCAATGACAGGGATCTTGAGCTCGGAACAAGTTCTGGCAATGTCATTCTCGAGGATGTCGGTGGACCATAGTGACATTTCAACCTCGACTGCAGCAATCGGATGCACCTTGTGTCTAAAAGCGGTTAGAGTCGAGTTCATCCATAGGGGTTCCCCAATCATAAAACGAAAAAAAGAGAATCAGATGAAAAAACAGGCACATACGCTCGGCGGATTGTCTCGGCATCAACCTCGCTCAATCCAATTCCACCAATCTTGCCTTGCTTAACATACTCGGCAAGAATGCTGATAGTGTCCTCAACGGGGAATTTGGGGTCTTGTCGCGCGCATTCAAAAATATCAAGCTTCTTCTTGCCATCCAGTAGACGCAGACACTCATCCACACTACGACGGATGTTCGCTTCTGAGCCATCCACAACAAGCTCTCCCTTCTTCAGGCCACCCTTCACGCTGAGAACGACCTTCTCTGCATTTTCGGGGTACTTGGCAAAGTACTTGTTAAGTAGATGTAGAGAGTTGTACTCTGGAGAGCCGTATAGTTCCCCGGCATTCCAAAAGTTGGCACCGAGTTCCAGGGCAGTATCCAAAGTTTCAAAGCACACCTCTTGGGACGGAAGCTCCGCATTCCAAGTCATTCCTGGGTTATCATTAGCATGGTTTTCGCCAATGGTTATGTTCGAGGGCGGGGGAGGGGGAGACCGCACTCATTGTGCCATAGCCAGTAGAGCCGACTTCCTTTCCGACAAGAGAAGGCATGATGATTGTGAGAGTTGAAGATTGATGGAATATGTGAGAGATGAAGTAGTTGGCTGACGAGGGAGCTTGGTGGGCTGAGAGAGTCTTTTATGATTTTCACGACGGTCGCCCCGCCGGAGCTAGATTGAGCGCAGCAAAAGATTCTCGGTCACCGCGAGCCTTAGGAGATGAACTCACGAGAATACCTCTCTCCCTCACTTGCAACATCCCTGAGTCCCGGATATAACGAACGCAATTGTACCGCTGAGATCCGGAGTTGTGGTCGGAAAACGAGTACGGAGTTAAGGGAGTTAAGGGTTTGCGGATCAGGAACCAGTTGCTGGGTTTATATGTCAAGTCTGCAAATGGAAAAGCTGATCTATGGACCTAAGCGCAGGATGCTTGGTTCCTAACGAACTGCTATTGCCATTCGATCTTCCGAGGTAGACATGGGAGAAGAATCCCCTATAGAATTCAAAGCGTCTTCTGCGCCAGACTCAAATACATGCAGATTTGCAGTCAATATCTAGGTATAGTAGGGCGCAATATAGAATCGAGCAGTAGTATTCAAAATGCACGCTTTTCCCAGCCCATAATTCTTCGTTTTTCCTATTCTTCGCCGTAGCTGAACATCCTCAATCCAAGAAATTCTCCAATCCAATCTCATCAGAGCTGTTGATCATATCACTCAATCGATGTTTCAGCTCCCTGCGTAGAGCCTCAAAGACAAGCGGAAGATCTTCAGCAGTCAACTTCCGGTCTTTGTTCCAACCCTGCACGAGCTCGATGTTCTCCATGGGCTTTTTATTGCTCGTCTCGTGTTTCACCGTTTGGGTGTAACTGGCCCCATTGCTGCCATAGGTTGGCGTATAACTGGTCGAGCTCGAGTAGATTATGTGGGTGATTGGCAATGGCGAAGGTGATGGTGATGCCTTCAAGCTCTTCGGCTGATTCTGTTCGGCTTTAACGCTGGGTGTGGGCGTAGCAGTTGGAATTGGCTCTGCCAGGCCTAAACCTTGAAGGATTTGATTTACGTAATTCTCGGTGTCGGGGATGAGTCTCTATGCTCCTGTTAGCAAACGATTGTTCGATAGAAAGAGCGTCATTTCCAAGTGACCAACCGGTGATCGAGATTCAAGCTTGCCTGCTTGTCCTCTATCCTCTTTCTCTATTTGATGAATTGGATGTGCATGAACAGTCGATACTGCTAGCAGAGCTACCACCAAGAAAGGGAGCCATGATGCATTTTTGGAAGATTGTGACATGTTGTATAGGGGTTTAAACGTATGTTGTAATGGAGACCTTGGAAATGAAATACCTTGAGAAGCGACAGGGTCCCAAGTGTCTGTATAAGATGAACGAGAGACCGGTGAGCCGTAGATCTAAGCCGCGACGAAAATACCGAGATTCCTGTCTGTTATCCTTTGGAATGAGGTTTGGAGGAAGCTAAAATGCCAATGTATGCTGGTCGGTGCATCTGCCGTCTTCTTTTTCCTTTTTGAAAATCGTAAACAAATCCTGATTGTGCTCTCCTTTGCTATTGTAGTTCGTTATAAGGTCCTTCCCCGTTCAAAACTCGCCGATATTGCCTCAAAATTATCTTTCTTCGCGCAAAGGGTTCCTGGAGCTAGGGGTATACTCGGTGTTGATCCCCCATAATGACACAACGCATTCCAGAGATTGACACTTCTGCCAATCAAGTGCCCCCCTGTGAGCTCATCGTATGTAATTCTGTGTAGATAATGGAATGGCCCAAGGTATCATATACTGCTTCTGGAATGAGGGAGTGTTGCATGCTCTTCTGTTTCAACCTGTTACCATGCAACTTCTGACGAATCGGCATCCTCTGGCTCTGACTGTTACTTTTTCCTATTTCTTTTTGGGTGACACATCAAATTGCGGTAAAACAAATGGTAATCGAAGGTTGTATTTGATCCAGTCCTCAAATACCCGATCCGACAGGCCCGCGGAACAATCGTATGTCATGAAGTTTCTTCCGTTACCCAGGAACATCTTATACACCATCGTTGAAGGCATAAAAATTCATCCATCTCTGCGAATGAAGTATCAGTCACCAGTGTCTCTTGTCCATGCGTAGATTACTCAACAAAACATACTTTATCGTAAGGCTTGGACGAATCGCAGAATCGCAAATCGGTTGCCAGGCGGATAACATTGTCCGGGTCATTGTTGACAGTCGAGGCGTGGATCTTGACCAAATGATTAGCACCATTGAGACTTTGGTGTTTCCAAATCATCTACCTACCATATGAGGCTTGTGCAGTACCACATCACCCGCCTCGTACGTCGACACCAGCCATCGTCGACCATGCTCCTGAGCGAACTCGGCCGGGAACTCAGACAGCAAGCCTGTCGACATCATATTCGAGTTGAAAGCTGACATAGCTTCTTCGTCAGTCAGACCAGCCTGCTTCGCTCTGGTATAGAATGCTTCTTCCATCTCAAGACCAATATTTTCCCCTGCCACATAGAACTCGATTAGTCTGATGTGTTTTCCACGGAAGTCACCAAGAAAAGCTAGAACAAACCATTTTCTAGGTAAATAAGTCCGCCACCGTTGAGCTTGATGTCACCCATAGGAACCCAGGCAGTGACACTTGTCGGATCTCCATATCGTAGGAAGATTTGATCATAGTGCACGCCAATCGGCTTCGATCCCGGGATGTTATTCCTTAGCAGGGTGCGGCGCAAGGTCAAAGTATTCTTTCCCCAATCCGAGAAGCGCGCAATGAAATCATACAGCGCTGGATGGTTACAAAATTCTTTCGCGTACCAATCCTGGTAGTGAGCATCGAGAGCAAGATCAACAAATGCCGCTGCTCGATCGCCACCGGGCTTGCCATTCCCGCCAATATGACCCGCTCCAATGCCAGGATAGTCTAGGTGACTCTTAGCCGGGTCAAAGACGCCTTCAACGGGTGCTGTGCCGGGCTTGAGCACTCCTGTCGATTCCAATGAGGAGAAGTATGCATTGCGGGCAGATAGCACATCCTCGCGAGGAAGAATTTGTTTGAGGAAGAGATAACCGTCTTCTTCGTATCGCTCGCGGAGCTCTTCGAGCGGAAGGGTGGGTTCTGAGGGGCGAAGGAAGGCGGTATTTTCCGATGTCAAGGGTCCATCATTGACTGAGAGGTTATTCGCTTGAACGCCAATCATGTTGGATAAATGAAAGGATTCTGATCGAGAGACTGAGGTTGTGCTTGAGAAGAGGTCTCAGGAAGTCGGGATGGTGCCTTTTTATAACCCCAGCTCCCATGGCCACGATCACGGAGCGGATATACCTATAGACTCAAACTAGAAAAACATCAACTCAATCATTTGTTGACCTCAATGCCCCGCCTGGTTTGTATAGCACCGGAAGCACAGCAAAGAGTAATCATGTCCGCGAGTGGAGGCGGGGTGTCCTTCCCTGGCTGGTGAGTGGTGGAGGCGCCAATGTCGACCGGCGCGGGGAAAGTTGCTCTTTACGTTTCCGATTCTCCAACTGGACGAAGTGTCTTGCTAGGAGTGGCTAGTTCCAGATGACATGATTGATGTGGAATAATGCATATATCCATAGATGTAAATGCACGAGTAGTATAGCACTAGATGTACATGCAAACTGTCTGGGGACCCTACTGGAAAGCCTTACAGATAGGAGGTTTTTCATTCGATTCGGATTTCAGTTTCCACTATGGAGACACTGACCGCATATTCCAAGTGAAATATCGTCCCAGCGCGGGTCCTAGACTCAGCCCAAGACGTGGGTTGGGCCGACGACTTCAAAGATGACCTGAAAGTGTAAGGGATTGTAACATGGAAGAAATCTTGGGAAGTCCTCCTGCACCTCTTCCATAAACCTCCTCAGCAAACAACCGCAGCTGTATGGGCATAAAGAGGTCCTCATAATGCTCAGCGACGTCTGACTTGGTAATTGCGTTAGCCAGGTCGCTCCACCAGCGGAGGTTAAAGCTCGGATCGACACTGGAACCATAGCGAACACATTCAGTGGCCTTGCTAGGAGACCACCAGTCCGGAAGCAGTCCCCGCTTCTGCTCAATCAGCCTCAGAAATCGAGTAAAGCCCATCTTTCCGTGATTTGCGCCACCATAAATGCTGTCCCGGTCGGCAATGCCCCCGAATTTGTAGTCATCGTCCAATCGCAAACGATAGGCATCGATCAACAGCTTGTAGACGTCTTCTTCAGGCCGATCACAAAGCCATTTTCCTGCTTCAAGTTGGTAGAACGGCTGTTCGATGTTAACTTGAAGGGCCTTTTGCTTGGGGGAAGTTTCAATAGAAGTTTCAGCCACGGAGGCTTCCGTTGCCGCAGTAGACTGGGTCTTGGTGGTGCAAGTCTGCTTGTGGACTCTGTAATCAGCTTTCTGGCATTCACGGGAACAATAGAGGATGGTGGTCGACATGCAACGAGCACAGTGTTTCAGACGATCGGTCGCGGTCTCATCTTTCCTGCATGTATGACATTTTCTTTCGGTGGAAGGAGTGAAATCCGCCATTCTTGGGGCTACTCAAGGTACTTGATTACTGCGGAATAGAGTCAATAGGATACTGTTCCGGGGCTTGGAAGATACTTACGAGCAATGATAAATGGCAGGATCTGAATAAAGAGAAGGATCACATGGAAGAAGAGAATAAGCAGAGAGAAGGGACATATGTTCTATCTCCTAGTGTCCCGAGTAACCCGGTCGAGGCAGCGAGGCCGCTGCCGAGATCTGTAGAAGCAAACGACACGTCAAACGCAAACATAACTCTGAACATTTTGCAATCGGAGTGCTGCAGGCTGTGAGGCACACACACACACACACACAAACACACGTCATAACGTTGTATGTTCAATCTAATTAGTCGTAATTTGAGAGGTCTATGTAAAGTATCCTATATGCCAGCGATAATTCTATGTATGAGGTGAATGATAAGCGAATATGCAGGTTCACGTATAAGGAGTGAACTTCAGTGTCGTGACACCCAATGTCCTTTTTGCATTTGATTGGTAAATCTCTGTATGCTAATAGGTACATGGATAGTATGTATGCACTGCTAAATAGTCCATGTGTGTTTCTCACCTACCAGATATACTTGCATATTTTCGCGTCCTTCGATCTATAGCCTAGATAGTGTGCTTGGTGTTTCAACAGCAGATTCCATTTGAAAAGTCGTACCAGGCCATGCTGTTTGAGACTCGAGTTCCATTCATCTGATACTCAACAATCCGATATTACTAATGTTACTAATGCTAAGAATGCAGGCCTGTGGGCCTTATGCAGTGTTTTCTTTCCAACCACTCAGCTTCCAGGAATCGACACCATCCGCAATTCCCAACCTCAGTGTAGTGAATGAAATCTGCTCATACATCACCGTAGCCGCTGCTCTTGCTTGGGCATGCCAAGGTCCACGACCACCGAGTCGAGCATCGTTACGACTCCGCCAAATGCCTGGGATAATGTATTAGCCACTGATTACCAAGTTCAAACCGGAGACATCAACAATCCAGGTGGAGCTGCCGAATACTCACAAGTTGCCAGATTCTGATTCTTGTCATTCTTCGCCCCAAACCAATACTTCAGTAACCCTCCACTTGCGATAGCCTCCTGGTGTGAATGTGCATCAAGTTCATAGAGACGGTCCGAGTCGATGTCAGGCAGCAGTCTTGACCGGAAAATCACGACGTAATAAGACTGCGATGTCCATGTGTGATCCTCTGCTTGTGAGAATGCCTTCAACAGATCAAAGACTTCGGTCCAGTTAAATGATTCAGTGTATGCAGCCGTGGCATAATCATCACAGGTAGGTTTCAGATATGTCAATGCCAGAGCAAAAAGCCGGTCTTGGGTTTCAAGTGCCGCAAGGTCCAGAAGATGCGGGATGTCGTTGTACGGCGATGCGATGAGTCGCGTGTCTGTTTCTGTCTCTGAATATTTGCTCTCGAACTGGAATTGCAGTTGCAAGGATGCAGCAGCGTCAAACCTCAATGGGTCAAAGTCTGTCGTAACATGGCTATGGTGCAGCAGTCGAGGTACGCTGGAGAATTCTCGGTCTTTGCGCTCGTCCGGGTGGCTGGCCATAGGTACAGTGCTGAGGACGGGACTGGCGATACTCAATGCCATGATTCAAGATTTTTGGTTCCTGTAGTCTGTAGTTGCTGCGATTTCTGCGATTTCTGCGATTCCTGCGTGTTTGACCGGAGAATTTGTGGGAAGATGGTGCCCCAAGTCAGACTGCTCTGGGATTCAATATAGGGCTATGGTCCCCAAGTAAAAAAGTTCCCGGGGGGCAAATTCTGTGGAATTTTCACTTGATCCACCCAAGTCAGCGCAGAAGGGGATACTTTATATACATAGTCTTATAAGCCATTCTGACCGCTACCATGGTATAGTGTCTTATGCCACATTTCAGGGAAATTGTGTGCGCAATGAAGAGCACGCCATGTGGGTCATTTTGATACTCTATGTTGTATACACCTACGAGTAGGACATACATCACTATGTCCTGGGACAGAGGGTAATGAAAAAGTATACAAGAACCCTAGGCGAATTTAAGATCCCTAGTTACACTGTGTTCTGCTCTACGAGGCCAGCAGTGAAAATCCTTTCCAGCACGATGTCTAGAGAGAGGAGTACGAAGCGTTCACTGAGATGGTGCAATTGCTTGGCAGACTGATTTTCTTTTTCTCGTTTTTTCTATCTCTCTTTGCCCCGGTTCTACCCCAGATTTACTGGAAATTTACTGTACAAATGGAAGCATTGGAATTGTGATTGGAAGTCTGTCAGATCTGGAATACAATGTGGTATCACGTAAATCATAGAAGCTCAGGTCGCCTGATCTTCCCCCTGAAACGCCGTCAAAATGCTGGGACCCGATAAAAGCAACACGAGAAAATAAAAAGGACGTTTAGCGCTTGGGTGGGGGTCCCATCTTGCCTTCGCCGGTATCAAGCTTCTTCTTGGCCGGAATAGCAGGCACCTTGAAACCGCCATTGTCTCCCTGCGAATTGCCGTTCTGCTGAGGAGCTTGGGTGAAAGTACCAGAATTGAACCACCGGTTTTCCTCGGCGTCACGCTTACGCTTCAATTCCGCTTGCACCTTCGGATCTACTAATTCCAGGCCTTGGACGGGTGTGAATGCGATAGTACTGGATGTACCAGCTGGACCAGGTAGAGACGAGCCGATTCCAGATGCGCGCAAACCTCGTGCCTGAAGAACGCTTGCAGTGCCACCAGCACCGCTTTGGCCAAAGCCACGCAGAGACGAAGCCGTGCCACTAGCCGGGGTATTTGTGCCCCAGCCTTTGTTGTTCTTGCTGAGTCGGGCCCGAGTACGCTGATCAATCTGCGTAGCCCGGATGCGACCATCGTCCTGTTGGCCGAGCATACCCAGGCCAACAGTGCCAGAGCCGGTGCCGTACCCAACCTCTGCCTCTTCCTTGCCAAATGCAACGCGATTCTGGGCTTTTCGTAGTTCAGTCATAGCGACAGCCTCCTTGGCCTTTCTGGCGCGCCATCCACCTCGCTTTCTGGACGGTTTATCATCGGGCGCTGGGAGAGCCTTGGTACCGGAGTTCGGTGCAGCCTCGGTCAGTTTCTCCAGTCGTGTGTAGCATTGTTGTTTCAGATCCTCGCCCAGAGAGCCATCTTTGGCATAGTTGGAGACATCTGCGCGGGTAGCGAGTACCATCTTGGCCGCCACAATTCGGATTCCTTGTTTTCTAAGATCCAGGGGAACTTCCTGGAGAAGTGGCGAGTCATAGAGGAATCCTTGTGCTCGAACACCGTGATTGGTCGCAAAACCCAGCCCTTCCTGCCTCCGGGCTCCTTGCGCACCCAGGTTACATGCTGGGATTTTAGCTAGTTCGAGCAAGCCTCCGGTTTGGTTGAGGAATTGTGCTGCCGTTTCGGCCCCGATGAGTGCAGCCAAGTTGGGCGCAATTTGGTTCATGCGGGATTGAATGCTTGCAGTGAGACCAATGCGCTCATGGTCCAGTTTGAGGATCCTTTCGCATGTATCGAGAACCGATTTGAGCTCGGACTCGGTCATCTCTCGGCCTCTTGTTTTTGTTCCCTCCAGCGCAACCACCATCATCAACGGTCCGTTCAGGACCGAGTTGAGTGGCACACCAGCCATGTTATCGGATGATGTGGAGAGGGCCTTAATATCGTTGAAGGGGCCATTTTGGAGGATGGCAACCGTCTTGGCGTACTTGATGGGAGTGGTGACGAGTTTTTCGAGCTCGGGAAATCGAATGGAGTAATGATCACGCAGAACTTTATGTAGCCGAGTCAGTTCATCTGCAGTAGAGATGGAGCGGTCGAAATCGCTGGAAATTCCCGCGCCGTCTTTGGACTCTTCCTCGGGCTCTTCGTCGATTTGATCCTCGCCCACATCAAAGTCTTCGTCATCCTCAAAGTCACGTAGAAGTTCTTCGGCAGTTGACATTTTGGCTTAGGGACTTCAGTTGAGGAAGTGAACAAGTTAACAAGTTCGCTGTAAAATGTGATCGCCCCAGGACGCCACTGGGTATGCTTTGGAAGAGAGCAACATTCTAGAATTTTGGCAAGAGCTGGGGATTTGACTGACCGCCTTTCTCTCCGCCTTCTTTAGTTGTCTATCACCCTAGAGATTCCCACGTGAGAATACAACATACAGCTTCGACTCAGACTCTTGTGAGGTATGGTAGCGTGCAAAGACTCATGAGTAAAGTAAAGGTATATTTAGGGAGCTTACAATTGATATAAATATGTACAATCAAGACCACTGGAAGGTGACATCGTCACATTGCGAGTGTATTTGGTCCAAGAAGAGCTGCACGGGTGGCGACAAAGACCAGATATGCAGTGCTGCGATTTCGTCGCGGGCCCTTCACGAGCCATCTGCACATGCGATCCAAGTGCTCTTGCTGTCAGTGACTTGCGCGTGAGACAATTTTCCGTCAAATAATCGGTTAGGAGATTGTTACCGCTTGGTGAAGTTGCCTTGAAATTTCCCCAATTTACTTTCTCTTTCAACTCTCATCGCTTGTCCGGTTTTATCATCGCCAAATCTCATCGCAAATCGTCATATTATCTTGATCGTGGACCCAATCCTTGGTTAACAGAAACCGTTCACTACCGTAATCATCACAATGGAGGCCTCCCGTGGCCCTCCCCGGGTCAAGAACAAGGCCGCTGCGCCGGTTCAGATCTCCGCAGAGCAACTGCTCCGCGAGGCCGTTGATCGGCAAGAGCCTGGTCTTGAGGCGCCAACACAACGCTTTGCCGATCTTGAAGAATTACATGAGTACCAAGGCCGGAAGAGAAAGGACTTTGAAGACTATGTGCGGCGGAACCGTATTAACATGAACAACTGGATGCGCTATGCCGCTTGGGAGCTCGAACAAAAAGAATTCCGTCGGGCACGATCCATCTTTGAGCGCGCGCTTGATGTTGATCCAACTTCAGTGGTTCTATGGATTCGGTACATCGAAGCTGAGATGAAGACTCGGAATATCAACCATGCCCGAAACCTCCTCGACCGTGCCGTGACCATCCTTCCCCGCATCGACAAGCTCTGGTATAAGTATGTCTACATGGAAGAAACATTGGGAAACATCCCCGGTACCCGCCAGGTGTTCGAGCGATGGATGTCATGGGAGCCGGAAGAAGGGGCGTGGGCCGCATACATCAAGCTGGAAAAGAGGTACAGCGAATTCGAACGAGCACGCGCAATTTTCCAACGCTTCACTGTCGTCCACCCAGAACCCCGAAACTGGATCAAATGGGCCCGCTTCGAGGAGGAATTCGGAACAAGCGATCTGGTCCGTGAGGTCTATGGTTTGGCAATCGAGACGTTGGGAGAGGACTTCATGGACGAGAAGCTCTTCTCGGCGTATGCCAAATTTGAGGCCAAGTTGAAGGAGTACGAGCGCGCACGAGCGATCTACAAGTATGCCTTAGATCGACTTCCACGGTCGAAGGCGATGGCCCTTCATAAGGCCTACACAACCTTTGAAAAACAGTACGGTGACCGTGAAGGCGTGGAGGACGTGATTTTATCCAAGCGGAGAGTACAGTACGAAGAACAGCTCAAGGAGAACCCTCGCAACTACGACATATGGTTCGACTTCGCACGGTTGGAGGAAACCTCAGGCGACCCAGAGCGAGTGCGGGACATCTACGAACGGGCCATTGCACAGATTCCGCCATCTCAAGAGAAAAGACATTGGCGCCGCTATATCTATCTTTGGATATTTTACGCCATATGGGAAGAGATGGAGGCGAAGGAAATGGACCGAGCCAGTCAAATTTATCAGGAATGTCTGAGGATAATTCCACACAAGAAATTCACATTCGCCAAGGTCTGGCTCATGAAGGCTCAGTTTGAAGTTCGCCAAATGCAACTCCAAGCAGCAAGGAAAACATTGGGCCAGGCGATTGGAATGTGCCCGAAAGATAAACTTTTCCACGGCTATATCGATATTGAAATGCGATTGTTTGAGTTTGCGCGGTGTCGTACTCTGTGCATGAAGCGCATTGAATGGAACCCCTCCAACAGTGAGTCCTGGCTGAATTTCGCGAACCTGGAACTTGAGCTAGATGATTCGGAACGAGCGAGGGCCATCTACGAGCTTGGTATCGAGCAACCAACGCTTGAAATGCCAGAGCGGGTGTGGAAGGAGTACATCAATTTTGAAATATCCGAAATGGACTATGAACGAGTGCGACAACTGTATGAGCGTCTTCTTCAGAAGACTGATCATCTCAAGGTGTGGCTCGACTATGCCAAGTTTGAACTGAGTACCATGGATGAAGAAGAGGAGGACATGGAAGCGTCTAGGAAAGATGCAATCAAACGTGCGCGTGGGATCTTCACCCGGGCACACAAGCTGTTCAAAGACAAAGAGCTCAAAGATGAGGTATGTTTCTCTGTCCATCAACTGTACTCATCTCGATTTTCTCTAACTTGTGTACAGCGTGCAGAAGTTCTCCATTCATGGCAGTCATTCGAGCAAGCATTTGGCTCAGCCGAGGATATCGACAAGATTGACAAACAAATCCCCCGGAAAGTCAAGAAGCGCCGCAAGTTGGAGGACGATAAGTACGAGGAATACATGGACTGGGTGTTCCCTGCAGACGACCAGTCCGCTGCCAATCTTTCTCGTCTGCTTCAAAAGGCACACCAATGGAAGCAAAGCCAGTCTTAGAACGTGTGCTAGTGTTGTCTTTGCTAGAACCATTGATCCTCAATTTTGCCTCCGCTTGATCTCTCTGGACCCCAGTCATCACGAGACCTCATGTGCAAAGCTCATGGCTAGGGGAGAGTCTTTCCCCCCATGTATTATCTTAATCAGATCAGAACACCATTCACAATACCTAGGTGTGACAATGAATCCAGCAGCTTGTGTAGCATTCATTCTTGTTCAATCATACAATCATATCGATGTCGCCAGTCAAGCAGCCCGGGCGTGATACATACCTATATGTAGGTAGGTCGTGTTCTCGAAGTAAGATCCCCCTCCATCTGACTACATAATATCTGCTATGTTGGTCATCACCTGCATTAACCAAACTGTGGTCCTGTCCTGCAACACCCATAATTCCGCTGCCAATGACTCAACGACGTGGCTAGTTGTAGTATCTTCCTATTGTGGTATGCCTGCGTCGGTTGGGCTCAAGATCAAATGGCGGGCAGGAACTGGATTGGAAATTACATTGATGTAGCATTTAGAAAAATGAGAATGAAGTATGTGCATGATAGATATAGTTATACCATGTACCTACCGGGTATACTCCGTACTGAGTTAATATGATATGTATACAAATTTGTACACATCACACATAGCAGATGTTTCACCGGCACACGCTCCATGCCTTCGAAGCTCCACGAGGGAACTTCTACTGAATAGGGTCAAGATGTTACGATGAAGGGTTAAAGACCTTTGCTTTTTTGCCCTAGAGAGTGTCAAAAATCCGCATGAATTACTGCCTAAGAAGATCGCTGACCATTTCATGTGACATACAACAGTCTTGAGGCTACTGGGGAAGAGAGAAAGAAGGAGAAAAATTCTTGTTTTTCTATCTCTGAGGAAGCTTTGGGCTTTATAGCCTCCAACCGAACAAACAACCATCAAATGGCACAGTCTGCACAAAGAAAACCTGGGCAATCAGGCACTGGGAGGCATCTCAACGAAGAGGTTATGTATGCATCTTGCGATCTCATCGCACGTCATCGACACTAAGGCAGAGAACAGAAGATAAGCCAGCCAGCCGAATGGCCCATCCAGTGGACACCAAAGAGTTGACGAACCAGCAGATTCCAACAGCACCGCAAGCCGTCAAATAAGCTAACAACCCTAACTCCGAGGCACTCAATATTGCCCAAGAAGTGCAAAATCACCTCGAAGTTAAAGACTTGATGGCAGTTTCTTGGGATTTTAAAACTCATCATTGATGGGCAACTCGCCAGAAGACAAGTGGTTCAATCATACTCCGCCCAACTCTACAGCTGGGGCAATTAGCCTCATTCCTCTGGGGAGAGAATCTTTTAAACATTTGGAAAAAGCGCCACTTTCAGACCCTTCCGAAACAGAGAATCAGCTCACATGGTACACAGTTCAAGGCAGGGTCATACCTTGAGAGTCTACAAAATTCCAGATTCGAGTCATCGGGCATTGAGTGACATTTGAAGGCCTACGGACAGCACACAGTAGCGATATGACCGTTGTTTTCATTGCAGATGGCAAGTCAAGGGACTCCTGTCTATAAAATAAGGGGCAAGGTATGATACCTTTCCTAGGAGGTGGCACTATTCTAGGCATTAGACATTATATAAAGGGAATGCCAGCTCCAAATCTAATGGTTGATTCTTAGCAGAAGTTATAACGCAGCATACACACTGTTCTGCAACTTTCAGTCGACCAATTGACCACTTCAGTCAATTGTGTCCTGGCCATATGGAATCTTCCTCGCGGTTATATATAGTCATTATGAGATTTGCAAGGAGGGCTTCTGCGGCACCGAAACATGTTCGTATGGTGTTAAAACAGTTGAATTTGTAAACAATCGGGGCGTGTTATGGCTGCAGCTGTTCTATTCTCGAACTATAGTGATCTGTAATACTAGGATACACTGGAATTAATTTGACCCTCGGGTAGAATACTCAGTCCATAAGCTATACGAGGTACGGAGTACGGAGTACTTCGTACACCACCGTTTAACCCGGAAATTCATATATAGATAGTGGGTCCGAGCCCTACCGACTTGCCCTGAAAGCCAAGGATTTTAGTGCAGGAAGACCGAGAAAGAAAAAAGTCCAAGGCAGGCTTGGAAATTATGTACTCCGTAGGTACGGAGTACATGCCAACAACGATGCATGGGAATCACATACCGATAATTCCACAGGGTTAGCGTTAACGTTAGGAGCAGGAACGGGGAACACTTGGGCAGGAACCTTGGAAGAAGGGACGGGTGGAGAGGCTGGATTCCATGGATTTGCAGGGTTGAACCACGGGACGAAAGAGGGGGACCCTCCAAGGTGGGAAGTGCAGGTGGTTGTTATTTTCGTTTACATTCTATTTCAAGGTTACTTATAGGTATATACGGAGTACATGTATGCACATATGCGCATATGTGCAACATACATGTACCCTGTGTTGTGATATCTGCATGTCCCCTTGCGCTCTAATTACCTGGAAGCGTTCCAAGGCTGCGGAGCATGGAGTCGCCCAGGCACAAATGTAAAACGAGGGGTCCAGGTCCTTAGATACAACGTACTCCGTCCAGCTCCACTCCGAAGACCCCTGATCAGAACAGAAAATCTAGAAAAATCCACATCCAGAACGTCGAGAACGTCGAGAATATCGAGAGGATCATGAGCTACCAATGTAAAGAAATTCTTCATTGCAATCAATCTGAAATGATCCAAATGAACTGCAATTTTAATCCAAAAAACCCCAAATTGAAAATGACGAAATGATTCCCCTTAAGGGATGGTGTCGTTCGCTAGGCCCGCTCGGCCGCTCACCTGCTAACCTCCTCCGTTAGGGGGTTGAGGCCCTTCTCCCTGTCTCACTTTGGATGCCTTCTCTTTTTCCGTGTTTCTCTCTTCTTCTGGACTTCCTCTTGTGCTGTGCACTCATTTGATAGCCGGACTTCTAGCCTTTCGTTTCGCCAACCTCCTCATTCGCTTAATCTGTGTTGGCCGTTCTTTACACATCTCACATTTCGACTGGATCGCCAGATCTCTGTGATTACTTGACTTCCCTTCGACGCGCCCGTGTTTCGATTCCAGAACTCCTCGACGGTTTCGATTTGTGTCATCCCGGGTCGAGTCATCCGATACGCGATCATATCTCCGCCCTGAAAACTAGAAACAGTTTGCGACGTGGAAACGGTCGAGAAGTACTACTGAGCCGTTGTCGCGTGGTCAATCCACTCAGGCTGAGCGCATCATTGTGGAATTACCCACCCAACTGCCTCGGTCAACATGAGATAGTGCTCTGGCAGTCACCTTCTATTCTTCACTTTGGGTCCTCGAGTCTCGCTGACTGAACGCCCACCTTCGCTACTGGTCTGGAATCGATCGCGATCTTTAACTATTCAACATGACAGGCCCCAAACCCCTGGTCAAGATTGAGGGTGATTGCTCCACCATTCACAGCAATACACTCTACGTCTATTCACCGGATGGCTTTGCCTCCATACCCCTCAAAGAAAATGGAACATGGCACCAACTTCCCTCGCCAGAACACAAGGTGACCGGCCCTGTCTGCATCCAGGGTGGGATCGATGGCATGGAAGACGGAGACAACAATGCGCTCTACATGGTCGGCGGGACCGGCCTCTCGGATAGCAGTGGTCTTCAGCGATTTTCCTTCCGGGCACAGAAGTGGGAGACACTACCCATATCATCGGCAGAGATGAAAGATCGGACTGGACATGGCGCCGGATACCTTTCCTCGAGTTCACAAATATTGGTATACGCAGGAAACAAAGACGGCAGCAAACAGATCTCCCAATCGACTCTGCTCATTTCCACAAAGTCGTCGACCTTTGAGATTACATCCGGGCTTGATCATGGCGCGCCGGCATTGTATGATCCCATCATCTTGCCTTGGAGTGATACCCAAGTTGCCTTGATCGGAGGTTCTGACACCAACACCGCCATTTTTATCTACGACCCCGAAAATGACAAAGGCTGGACCATCTCTGAGGCGACTCTTCCCGATGCAATCCCAGCCTCATCCCGATGTGCGCTTGCTAAGGATTCGCATGGCAATAAGATTCTCGAACTATTCAATATGGATGTATCTCCGAACAGTGTCACTAGCTATGTTCTCAGCTCGAAAGGAAAGCTGCAGAATCCGGCTCCGGCCATCACATCTTCTGAAAAGAGGAGTATTACCGATCCCTACGACAGCAAATTCGCCCCCACGCAAACTTGGTCCGACTACGCCCTTGCTCAGAGTAACAATGGCTTAGTCGTACTCGCTAATGGCAAAAACAACGACTCATTAGCAATCTTCAACCAAACATCCAATGGCTGGGTTAATTCTACAGAGTTATTTTATGGGAAAGGAGAACAGAATGTTCTTAAACCATCCACCACATCATTCACATCATCTACTCAGACACCCACCTCAACTACATCCACATCGAACTCAGCCTCAGTCACTTCAGCCTCCTCATCAACGCCAACCTCCTCATCGACGCCAGCTGCGGCTGCAACTGGCGGGGGCGGCCTGAGTGATCATGGAAAAATGATTCTTGGCGCAACTCTTGGGAGTGTACTCGGATTTGGCTTGGTCCTGCTCATCATTCTTTTCCTACTACGACGTGAGAAGCAGAAGAGAGCGGGGACTCAGTCTGGCAGTGGCGGCGATAGCAAAGATCGCCTCAGCTTCCAGGATCAAGGAATAGAACCCTTGGCCGAAAGCGCCTACCCCATGGCCAGATCTCCTGTCCCAGTTGCTGCTGCTTCGGTGGACTCCCTGGCTATTATGACCGGAAATTACAGCAGTGGAGAGAAATCACTCAAGCCACCCGGTGGTACGGGCTATGGATTGTCCTCCCAACGCAAGGGCAGCCCACTCTCCACGGTTCCCTCAAGCGGTGCCATGGGTGCATCGAGTGCGTACACTGATGACACCGATCGCGCTGGTGATAACACTGCCCGTGTAAATCAGCCCGGAGATCGAATGACAGACGAAGGATGGGAAAAGTATTTTGAGGACGGCGGCGCCACTAACTTGCAATCCGACCGCTCGACCATCAGTTCCGCCTACACCAAGTCCGATTACCGCGGAAGCGGTTGGCCGATGAGTAGCTTAACACCATTAAACTTCGGATTCCTCGACCAGCCCAAGCCCCTTGGCCACGTCTTTAGTGGCAGCCCAACGACAGAACATGGTTCTTCGGGGATGGATGGTCGAAACCTTGTGATCCCGGAGAGTCAGTCGGCACGCATCTCCAGTGCAGACTCAATCAGTATTGCCTCAGATGACGACCGTGATGATCCAAAGTGGCAAGGTGCGGGCCAAAATAGCTGGCTGGGCCGCCCTACAAGCAGTAATTACACTACCAGCTTTTACCACACAAGTACCCAAGACTTGCCATGGTCATCATCAAATAAGAGTCTTGGAAACAAGGGAATGCACTCCAATGCGCGAAGATCCAGCATTATCATTCCAGATGATATTGATGAGAATTCAATGCAAGCACACAAGAACTATACCAATTCAGATATGAGCTGGCTCAATCTCCATGCTGATCGCTAACCCATGTCAGCCCGAACCTTTTCACTTACACTCATTTCTCGAAGTCCAACTCTCCTATACTCTCCCTCATTCCCCACAGGATACCTCACCCCGCCAGGTCTTTCGGTGATCCCTTACCTCTCTTTCCCCCCATGATGTCTCTGTGGCTACTAGTGTTCTGAAAAAGCCTATTGTTTTTGCATTTGACATGCTGCATTCTGAATTCCGTCTAGCATCCTCGTTTTGTACCTGTGTGTATGAGCGATTCCTTAGCGTTGTGCCACACTTATTGAACCGGTTGCTCTTGATTTTATTTCGCTTCGTGGCTGTGCCTGTCCTGTGTTTATGTATTTGTTTTTCGTCGAATCGCCGCTGCGTTTATGTTATTTTGTAGATATCTCGATTTGTGGCTCAACTAAATGTACCTATTGCAATCAAGCGCATGCCCTAACCATGTCCTGCACCTATTAAGTGTTTGGCTATATCCATGACTCCGCCGCTATTATGCCGCTATTAAAATTGCTATTAGCATCCTCCTGGTATCCGAGAAGTCGTGTATCGTAAGCGTTCAACTGCCCTCATGTAGGCGAATCTCCTTTTCAATAGAGCTTTGCCAAAAGCGAATGTCGCTTGGAAACCTTTCGGAACTCATCAACCATCGGACTGAGCATCCTCCCATCCTCATTGTCCATATCCATTGGCTCCAAACGCGTTGAGTTCATGTTCCGTAAGAGGGGGGTGCTCTCCTCCGTCTTACTCCGAATGTAATAATGCTCATCATCCTCTTCCATGCCAATGAACCACCTCTCTTTGAGCTGCTCTTTCCAAGGCCCACAGCCACAAGAACCTTGCAACTGCGTCGTTTGTGGACTGTTCATCGCAAGTGCGAACAGGTTTTGCGGCTCGGTGAAATCAGTCACCTGCCGACCACGCGCTTCGACAATCATAAATCCAAGACAGACAGCACTGGTCAAGAACGCAAAGACCAGGACCACGAAGAATACCCCCTGCCATTTCTCCGTGCCACTGGATGAATACCCCATAGCCTGGATTGTAGCATTGAAGATTTGATACGCAGGCTCTTCAAGCGGGGTTCCGTCTTGAGTATAGTTCCAGAACGGCACGAACGGTGCGTACTGCGAGCCAAGAAGAAGCGTGCTGCCAGCCATGACAGCCAATGCTTCTCCAATTGACGGAAGAGCTGGATCTAGCTCGAATATTTGCTTTCCTGCGTTATATCGCGGCATCATCTGCATGAGCAGGCGAGCATTGCTTGCCGCGCCATCTGAAATTCCCGCGTTTAGACTAAGCGAATTCGCCCACTCCGACGCAAAATCTCTCCAGTCCGGATTCCAGTACCCCTCAACAAAACCACGTTGTTGCCTGTCGTACTGCAGCCGATTCAACGGATTCGCGCAGTTCGTGCTGAGGACCGCCCCGCTCGAGTCTGCGGAGTACTTGGTCGAACACTGGCCGGTCTGTTTCCCGCGAAGGGCGCACATTATATAGGGTGGCATGTGTGTGTTGTTGTCTTTTGGTGTTGCCGTGGCTCCAAGAAGGTAAATAGCGTTTGCAGGCCAAGCCCCGGTCGTGTTGAGGAGTGTGTTATATGCTTGTGGAAACTTGCCGAAGACTGGGGGAATTTCCCTTCCCTTGCCGAACTGGAAGATTTCGTCAACAACTGTGCGGTTTGACGTGGATGCGTCGATTGGTGTGCGACTATTCCAGGTCGTCATGTTGAATTTGCCGCCCTGCGGCCAAGTGGCGTAAACCAGGGGGCTAAGTTCCTCTTCGGTCATTCCCACGCACAGAACATTGACTGCCGGCGAGGAGACAGAGGCTTCGAGATTGTATTTACCCTCGCCGGAGGAGTTGACGGGTTGTTTTATTTTGTTTCTATCGTTCATTGCTGCGGCGGGGATGCCACCGTGGGGCATTGCCATTGTTATGTTGTTGATCATTCGGCCATATTTCTTGGAAAGCATGGACATATCTTGAATATCGATCCAGCTGCCTGTCACGGTGGTATTGTCCCAGATTGAGGCCGATGGTGTTGGTCGCTTTTTCTGCTCACTTGACGTGTCGTTATCGGTTCTCACTCGACGACTCCATTCGGCTATCCATTGTTGGTAGTTGTGATATGCGTGACCGACGTGGTCAATTTGGAGACATGTACTGTTGCGACTGTCAACATCGATTTCATTGGTGACGGGTGTCTCGCACACTGATCCGAGGTAGTGGTTATTTGCATAGCTACTGGTGACCTTGCCCTCGAGAACCCTTGACTCAAGGGGACCCATAGAAAGCTTCGGAGCAACTGCCATAGGTCAGTACATGCTGTCTGATATGGAGCAAAAGCATTTACCCAAAGCTTGCGCTGCAGTGGTGTAGAGCATTGCCACAAACGTAGCGACCAATGCTAGCGCTCCGAGAAAACTTAACGCTGAGTACCGCAGCGCCTCCCAATGTACGATCATCGATCCTGGCTGCATGATCCAGGCCCTCATATTCATATCCGAGATACTGATTCCTCGTGAATTCTTCATCAGAGCTCTTCGACTTAGCACCTGCCCTAGAAATGCCACGCAAACAGTGACATAGGCCAACTCGATCGTTTTGGCAAAGAATGCGCTCAGCAAAGTTGCAGTCGCGGGTGCCAATGGTCCGTCGCTAGAAATCTCTGCCCAGCGAGGCTCGCGCAATGCGAGGCCGAGGTAAATGCCTGAAAATAAAGTGGAATAGACCGCAAGAACCAACACGGTCATTGGAACCCAGGAGAGTCGTTTCTGGAGAACCGTCGCGCGGTTAGGGCACCCCAGGTAGCCGTGTGGAGACGGCGGGGACGTCTTATGAGTATCGTGGGGAGTTGTAGTCCTGGTGCTGTCGGCTGATTCACGTTGATCTGCGGCCGGGATAGCATCTCCCGTAGCATTCGAGATGCCCAAGCCTACATCTCCTAGAGCATCTGCAGACCAAGAGCTGTCTGAGGCAGAATGATAACGGTACTCCGCATCGTGGGATCGATCAAGTGGATTCCACGAGCGTTGAGGTCGAGCGCCGTACTGTGAGTCCCGCGATGAAGCCATAGGGTGCCGTGAAAGACAAAGCCAAGAAGCCGAACAAAGACAAGTGCCCAAATCAAGCGTTATAATGATTAAAACGGGGTAAAGGGGAGTCCCCGCAGTACTTCGTACTTGCGGCTGAGATTTGGGGGCCAGGTCTCGTCGCTCTAGCCCAGAGCCTCTTGGCTGCCGATTAGCTGCTTGGCACGCTGAGGTGCCCAGGTGTAATATTTTTGATTTGTTAATTCAACAGAAGGCTGATGATCCTTGCTCCTGATGTTTATTTCTGGGTTTCCCTGATGCTTACATGCTCCTGCATAGGGCTGTGCGGGATTTGGATCGCTGGGTCTCTTGGTATCACCAGGTATTTACGCATGTTATGAATAGAATCTCGTTATGTGTACATACTCTGCATGGCCCATCAGCACTAGTCATGGAGAACGGGACATTGCCGAACTTTCAAAGTGAGCACTCCTGATTTTGCTCTCTTGGTCCTCATGCTGCAGGCGTTCCCTCCTTCAATGCATGCCTAGGTGGACACACGAGACGCCTCCGAAGGTGGCATAAATCAGCGCACCGACCGGGCATCTTGTTCGAAGCGCCCGATATGGGTGCCCCTATACGAAGTACACAGTACGGAGTACTCCAAAGAGATATGTAGTTTGTATGCTTTATGTGGAGGATTCAGGCATACGGCACGGCAATCTCTACAATAGCTGGTTTGGTTTCCACTCGCTGTGAACAAGGGTTGAGTAATTTGTCGATAGATCCCAAGAGCCAAGCTGAACTTACGGAGTATTGCCCATTCAAATAGAACTTGGAGCCAAAGTGCAGGCTCTCGTAGCCAAGCCCTCTAGCTCTCGAGGCCATCCCTGAGATTCTGTGATTGATTTTTGGGCTAACTAGACATCCATATTCGCTTTTTACATCTTCAACAACTACAACGAATTTCATCCTACAGCTATGCCTTGGCTATGGTCTTGCAGGAGGTTGGAGGGTTGTTGCTCGCTTCGACAATCACATGAGGCAATGAACCCTGACAAAAGAAATTATAGGCGCCAAGCCCAAGAACTGCTGCAGATGAATCGTCACATCCTCGTAATGGATGTGAGGGGTTTGAAAACCCAGGCAAACAAATGCCCATGGCTACTCCGTACTGTGAGCTCTGTACTCCGTACGGAGTACTGCGTATAGAGTAGTCTGTACCCCGTACTGTCTCAGAAGCTCCCGCAACTTGGGTGGTTTTATGCCACCGTATGCATCCTCCCCTCGATAGTCAGATCTTTCCATCTTTACGTGAGCGCATATCTCTGGTCTCGTTTTTAAGCCGGAGGATTCTGTGTGTCCCTGGTGTTAACCCATCGATTGGTGAAGGGGGATCTGAGGACTTGGATGATCGACAAAGAAACCGACCTGACAACCCATACGGAGTAGTAGGACTCGGCACCTATTATTCGTCGGCCTGTACTCCGTAAAAAACTTGTATACTATAATGTTGCCTAAAGACTGGCGAATTGGAATCAGTCTTGCCCCCTGAAACGCCCTTCGCGATTTAAAACCTCGGATTCTACCGCATGGTGCTTCCTCCGTACCTTGCTCCCTCTCCTATGCTTATTACTACACCCTGGTCGATCAAAAAACACAGTTACCGTTTCAAAATGCATCCTCTACGTGATTCACTGCTTGGACCTTCGCCAAAAGGCATCGCCGACATCAGCTGCCTAGACAGCCGCTCTCATAGCCAGGAAGATGTGCGGCAATCCATCGCCCGGGGGGAATTGGAGGAAGTCCGGGGAGCAGCTATCTATAATAGAACCTGGATCACCAGCGACCGATACTGCAATGTTGGGGATGGGGTGGATTCCCTCGAAGGCTACCTTCATGAGATATGGTATATGTACTTCCAACTCAGTCAACATACGTCGCATGAAAAGCCCGACCACGATCGTCTGGTCCTAGATATCCTCCGCATCCAGGGAAAGGGGCCGTTGACTAGACCTGTGAAGGGAGTGTACGGGATTGACATCGCACGAACGGTTGAAGGCACGCTGTGGAATGACCTGCCCTTCTTGGTTACTGATATGACCGACTTATGGATAAACAACGGGGGACCAATGTCGGGTACCCAGCGCCTGAACTTTGCCTCCTTCCTAGCCAAACTAGCGTCCACCCGCGTCTGCAAAGACAGAATGTGCCAAGTCGCCCTTCTCATCTTCCGCTGTCTGTTCGAAGAGAGACAAGAGCTTCGCACTACTGATGATCAAGATGATGAAACCCCAAAACGGAGTATGAGTTCACTGGAGATTATGCATTTATTGCCAGCTGCCTCTGCGTGGTTTGACGAGGCAGCGTACAATCTCATGCAACTCTCGGAGGTTTCTTGGAATGATTGCCCAAGCGAAATTAGCCAGGGAGGCCAGATGTTCATCGAGTCGGAGTTCGGGAAGCGATCACCGACTGGATTCACACCATGGAGGTGGATGTACTGGCTCAAGCGACTCCATGAAATTGAGGAGGCGGCAAAAGAGGCTGGCGAGAAACGTCTGGAGGAGTATGCCACCGGCGCTATCTCAAGCATGATCAAGGAGATGGAAGAGCGAAACTCTCACATTCTGAGGGTTTACAAAACCAGCGGCGATGTCATCTATCATGATAAACGTTTGTTCCGTCTGAAAGCGCTTGTGGGGGGCGAAGACACCCAGGAGAATGAAGAACCCAAGGCGAACAACAATACAGACTGAGTATCTTTCACTCTTTCTTTCTCGTCTTCTCTACTCGGCCTCAATCCGCCCTCCTTCGCGTCTGAGCTCTAATAAATCGAATAAGAAGCCTACATGGGCTTTTGTGTTGATATCGAAAGTAAAAGGGCAAAATGACACTTTCATAACGCCACATCAAAACCTTGCTTCATAGTCTCTTTTTATAAATTCTACTGCCTCTTATCAAAGGTATTGAAACTATGGTAAGACATCCTCAACGGTGAATACATGTATATGAAGGATATAGTACCTAGAGAACAGGATGGTATGGTCTCGGCAGGGTTAGGAAATGATTAAGTGGCTCTGCGCAAGATTGAGAAAGCCTTTACTGCTTTCACAGTGGATGAGACGGATTGGAGTGGTTTCAACGGTAACTCTGATTTGTCGTTCTGGATTGCTAAGAGGCTCGCTCAGTATATTCGTGTAGGTTGTGTCTCAGAAGCATGTTTCTTGCTTCAGCTAACCGGGATCTGATGAACTAGTAGGTTCCCCAAGTGATTCATTTTTGGGAGTACCTAGTGCTGATCGTTGCTTGACAAGCTTGAATGCATGTCAAATCACCGGGTGAATAGTCAGCATAGTCAGCACCCGCTAGGTTGAGTACGAATAGTTTTGTAGACTGATAGTTGTGCTAGGCGCAGCGTGGTGAGACACCCAGAAGGATCGGATCAGCAGACCACATGATTGTGGTGCTGATAGATCGAGTTGATCACCCATATCTGCAAAGGAGTTTGACTGCATTGCATTTGATGAAGGTGTTCCCAATAGGAAATGAGCTCCAGATCCAAAGTGTTTGTATGGTAGCTGGAGGATATAGCGCATCGTTATTGGCCCTAGAGACAAAGGAACTACCTCCTTCATATTGGGAGAGAATGTGCGGAGAAAAGTAGGCTTAGGTGGTAGGGGTAGATGCTAGTCCGTGGGTTTTATTTCAGCCCCATATACGGGATATCGAAGTCCCTCCTACCTAGATGCACATGCAGGTAAAGGTATTCGTTCTGTTTTATAATGAACAGCGTGAAAATAGTCTTAAGATGCGTAGTTTGAATGCTAAAAGACCAAAAGACGCCAGTCTCGAGGCCATGGCCTGTAAGCGTGAGCACTTTGCAGAGCGACAACTATGAAACTTCTTGAGGTTACTAGGGAAGAGATAGAGAGAAGAAGGAAAGTCCTTACCCTTCTATCTCTGAGAAAGCTGGGGGCTCTATAGCCCTCCAAGCTGGCAAACAACTATCAAAGGGCGCAGTCTGCACAAAGAGAGCCTGGGCAATCCACTGAGAGGCATCTCAACTAAACTTGATTTTTGTAAGATGATTGGCGAGGCACACACATTGCAAACTACGCTCAGTGACATCATTTTGACGCGATTTGACTGTTACACTGGTTTGTATAGTGATCCTTCGCAAAGAAATTTGGTTTTATAATCAAATCATTTTATCAGAATTTCAACCATCCATACAGTGGTATCTTGCTGAAGAGAGGACCACTTTGTGTGATGGAACTTACGCTAATGTGGATGTCTTAGAATTGTCAGAGGTATGAATAGAATGGAAATTATGAAAGTATTTATCAATCGCGTAATCCAACCTCCATAACAACCGGCTTCCAACATTCAGTTGGTTAGAGTGTGGTGCTAATAACGCCAAAGTCGAGGGTTCTGGAGCCACGCTTCTTTTTTCGCCTTCTTTCTTTTGCGTTGGATAGTCATTTGTCATAACCAATCCGAAGTCTACCGGAAACCCCATTTCTGAATGGGTTGGGTCAGGTTCTGGCAACACCATAGCATTTGCTTATTCGTTTCTTTTTTCCTCTTTGGTGACAGTCTGAGAATCGCGTTTGATCATAGCATGATATGAATACACTTTCTAGCTACGTTATTGCTGGGGATGAGACAATATTTTGCAAATGATCTAGGTCTTGAGAATTTGTATGAGTTGCACGAAGGGCAGGGTCGAAGTAAAGTGTTTGGCCTCCTTTGCGAAATATATAGGGAAAAAAAGGCTCGACCATGCATATTGACAACACTGAACGAAAAATAGATCAAATCTCGAGGATATTGCACATATCCAAGACAGGTCTAGAAACACCCCAAGAATTTGTAGGTAGAGGTGACACCGTACTACACAATGGCCGATAGTTCAATATCTCATGATAGCAACATAACGGGTGACTATGTCTAAGAAATATCCACTACCTATTATGTAAAGATGAGAAACAAACCCCAACCCACATCAAGGGGAAATACGATATATATTCAACGCAGATAGTCTGGCTCATCCCTTCCCACTGAGGATGGACCTGCTCCCCAAAGCCCAGCACAGACGAGAGGGCTCGATCATGCATTATAACAGCGAATTTAAAAATCCAGATTAGGACTTTGGCTTGATTTTGTTTTGAAGGGCCACAGCCCAGCTCTTTAGAACCTCCAGGTCACTATTTTGGCGAGCCCCGTGCTGTGTCATCTCATACACAGTCCCCTTTTATTGACAGACCCCGCATTGTGGTTGCTGACCATCGGAGCGCAGCTCGTGCCGTTGGCATTTGTCCTACGCAGAACCTGGGCATCGGCATCCTTGTGTTGCACTAGGTCGTCTCGTTTCCGTTTTGATGTTAATGTTGGATGACATGGATATCAATCCGGAAGATTTTCGCGCTTCCATTGGCAAACGCGAGGAATGGCACCATTCAAATCATTAACACCGCGAATTCCGACGAGAGGTTTTGAAGGGTCATTAATTTAATGCATTGTTCAAAGGGGATGATAAAAATTCGTGTTCGGAGGTACATTTCTTCGAGAGACTGGCAGAATCTATTCGGCATATGTTAGCTTGGATGTCTCGATATATTCTAACGGCACAGTTGAGGATGATACCCGTCACCTGGGGTTGGAAACAAGTCAAATTAGATATGTATGTTGGTCAGCGGTGTATCTGCATGGTCCCGACAAAGTAGTATGTCCGCGAAGGTCGAGGACTAAGCTCTCTTGGTGGTGAAAACCACTCGGCATTCCTTCGAATAAGGATCTGTGTCTGCCAGGAAAGGCATTTTCTCCCACTGAGACTCAACAAACTTCAACAGTAAGGAACAGGGAACAGCCTAAGGAGACTAGTGCCGATGGAGGCGCCCCTGCTATGGCCTGGGAATATACGCGAGATCAAGATATACAACCTGGGAAGGGACAGTGTTGAACTTCCGAGGAGATATCAACCAAGGAAAGCAGAACAGCTGTATTCACCGGTGACTGTCCCGAGGAAGATTTAGATTTCTGCTTGGTAAGCTCCAGGGAAATCCATCCGTCAAAACCTTCAAATACCTACAACATATGCATGGGTAGTCGCCATTTCGCATCAGCCTTCCCGTCAAATATGCAGGGGCTAACCTATCAAGCCTCACAGTAATTTCCGCGCGGCTTGGCAACCCAGCATGCACACGCCAGCATGATGGCGCGAGGATAGCCTGTCGGATGACGTTTCCGCTTACGCAGCTTCGGGTTGGCGCATGTTTTTCTGACCAGATTTTTGCTAGGAGTGGATGTGTATCACAGGTGTTGAATGGCCAAATAGAGTGAGTCTACGGTGTCAAATAGAGGTTCCAAGAGCGAAGTTGTTATGCATTGACTACCTCAATATGTTCACAAGTAGGTATGACTATGGGCATGCTGTATGTCTCAGCCACATATGCGAATTCAAGCATATCCCCGGATGATACGCTTGCCGACCCTGACGGTTTTAGCCATGTATGTACTATTTACTCGCCTCATCAAGCCACATTCGAACAAACTGCTTTTGATAGGTGCTGCTTTACAAGGGAATCTCGTGGGTTTCCTCGCGATGCCCAATGTCGATAGCTGGTTTATTTTGGGAAGCTGGTCCCCGCTACCGATCGGGGGGACTATTGTGTCCACCATTCGCTAGTATGAAGATGGAAGACTTTTACCTCCCCACTGAATACAACTAGATGCAAGAATCAACTTCTCAGACGCGGTTGTGGAGGGGCATGGAGTGGAGTTGGACGGTGAACCACTGCAAGGCGCGAGGCCAGTACATGACCATGTTCGACTCGATTTTTGATGTTACGACCCAGTATGTATTCTGTAGAAACGAAAGTTGATCAACTAGGTAGTGCTGTCTTCTCTACAAAAATCGGGGCTTTCATAGAACTACAACTACATCGTAAGGATGTACTCCGTACTCCGTACGAAGTACTCTTCGTAAGCTGAACTGTGATACCTGGGGTGGTATGCGCTTAGACCAGGGCGTCGATTGAATTTCAGAGCTCCAGCAATCAAGACCCAATGATACACAACGATTGAGAGCATGGAGCATGTACATACATACTGTTAATCTCCGGGCTCTACGGAACATTTACGGAGACCTCCGTACTCCGTACGATGGCAAGAGTACCGAGAAGCTGAACGACCCCGTTCTTCTCCAAGGCAGTGCAGATCCTAGAAATAGATCAATAGATCAATAGCGCGAAAATTAGCGGACACGAGCCACAAGGGAATCTTAGTACGGAGTACTCCGTACTCCGTATGGAGCAGGGGATCGGTGGAAGCAGAAGTCCCGTGCCATCTGCTGAGTCAACAATCGGCACCGGCCGGGAACGTGTTTACCGGATCAACTTCATGGAGTTAAGCATAAAGACCGTGAACACTGAGAAATTATGAACATTGGGGCATGTTAGACGTGGTATATTGGTATGTTTTACTCCGTACGGGGTATGTAATCAGGCAGCAGGTTGCCCCGTGGCTGTATACTCTGTATTGACTGGGTTTTTTCGTGTGGAACTCGGTGGAGATCTATTTGGGTCTGTTCTGTCGGTGTCAAGGACATCTTCCATATCGCAGAAATTGTTCCTAGTAAGCCACCGAATATACTTGACGCCTCCAGAAGGGTTGAAACACAGTGCTTATACACTATACCTTTCACGACTAGAAACATAAAGGCCGCGTGGGCAAAGAAAAAAAGTCAAAAGTAGCGGGTGCAGTAAATTAGGGTCTCCATGCCGCTAAGCGGGAACGAGGATTAGGGTGCAGCTATGTTACTGGTCAACGCCATTCTCGAAGAAAGGGCTACAAGTCCCTGCATCCCCGGGTGTTAAAAATGCCGAAACAGGGTCTTCTTCGAGCCGTACATAAGCTAGCTTGACCTTCTGTTCAATGACCCGGAAACAGATTCCTGACGAGTCAAGCTTGTGGCGTCAACTGGGACATCAAGAAAGACGACACGAACACTCAATCCTTACACAAGCACCGGGTAATTGCCAGAACCAAGACTGGGCAATTCAATTCCGCATCGTAGATATACGTAGGCTGCATACGTATGCCCTGTCCAGGATCGGGCATAGGCAAATCAATGCTCGGCTGGAAAATCCCCAAAACGTTCCTCGTCCTCAGCCACGAACCGTATCTTTCTTGCTCCGTAGATGAGTTCCAGATCGGAAGATTGAAGCTTGGCTTGATCGGCGGTGCCATGTGTGTGTCCCATATTGAAGGAAAAAACCAAAACCCGTGGAATTATCTGATGGAGCCCGTAATTTTAAGGCTATCTGGTCTCTGCGAATGAAATCACATCAAATCACACCAAAATCCCGTCTTTTATTGTGTATACTCCGTACGTCGTGTTACATACGCAGTACTGAAAAGCGAAGAAAGAGGAAGTCCCCGCGAAAATGGGTTTTCGGGGCGGGGCGGATGTTGAGCGCGAATACGACCAACTCCAGTCATTATTCTTGGGATGGGAAGGTTGACGCAGCTGGAGTCACAGCGACAGACGAATCTTTTTGTGTTCTACGAACTTATCGTTGCCGGAGGCCAAGGTACAGGGAACTAACGTTATCCAAGCTGGAATGAAGGGGGCAAAAAAAACTCGGTGCAAAGTTCCCTTTGCAGAGACCGCAAGTCCGAGACGCAAGGGCGCCACGTAGGAAGATTATCTACTCTGTACGGAGTACGGAGTACTGAACACGAGCATGGACTTCCTAGGGCTGGATTCTTGGGTCTTATCTTTTGATCCGATCGTAGGGCGAGATCGCCAGTCGGAAAGATATTGATGACTCCGGATGGAGACCGTATTCCGTATGCTGTACGGAGTATGTTGCACTCCGTACGGAATAATAATGGATCCCAAAGGAAATCCAACCAGAAATAAAAATAAGCTAGACTCGAATCAATCCAAAGGAAATAGGAGAAGAACGTGGCAAGCCCGAATAGAAGCCAATTCCCGGTCTGGAATCCCCGAGCCGGAGGTGAGTGCCCAAACAGGTCAAGTCGCTCCAGGGTTAACATCATCACTTACGTGTGTCCTCGGATCTCGACTACAACGTCTCAAGTTTCATCTTGCACAAAATGAGGGCGTCTACTTCGTACGGAGTACGGAATACTCTGTAGAGACTAGGCTTTCGATCTAGATGCATGAGTATGGATATCGTCTATACCTGGCGTGCTCCGTACTCCGTCCACATGGATAATGTGGATAGGGCTAATGGAGGGCCTTGATTTGCTGTGCCAATCCATCCGGAAACCCGAAAATCCGGAAATCCATGATTCACCGTAAACTGTTCAGGGTCCAAATGGTGCCATGATTGTCCGTAGTTCTGCCGAGATGGTGGATCGTTTCCTGTTCTCGCTTGGCCTAGCCGAAGCCCTAGTCCAATTGGGAATCTGGTCGGAGCTAAGACCTTGCACCGCACTCTCAAGGGGGAGACTCAAGACAGAGAAGAGAAGAGTCATTCACGGAGAGGGGGAAGCAAAAGTACGGAAAAAGAAATCGAGGAAATTGTGTGGCGGCCCGGAAGAAAGGGAGCAGAAAACGGGCCAGTGGATTAGGGGTCGTATTGTATGAAATGTACGAGAGATGTATGAATGAACGTATGAACGTACGAACTGTATGAAATATACGGATGAAATGATTATGGATTTCCCATTTGCATTCTCCACCAAACTAAATAGCTCGGTATCGAAGTGGAAGTTCTTCTGGGGGAGCCTCGACAGACCCTGGAGCTTGGCTGCTTTCGCCTTTTCTTAGTATAATACATGGCTCATCATTTTCCCTATTCCTCAATCTATACCCATTCCTATTTGATCCCCCCAGACCTCATTTTCTCTTGATTCCAGAAAAAGACTTCATTTCCACGGTCAACCCCTCCCCCTCCTCTCTCTCTCTCTCGCGTTCTTATCTCATTTGGGGCTTGATTACCCGACACTTCGACTGCCAAAGCCTATTTGATTCTGAATCCCCAGACAGTTTAGCAATTTTCTCAACTGTTACTTTGCGCGGTTAGACAACCGGCGCTGGACTTCGACTTTCTGCAACATCCCCAGTCCAGTTTGCAACTGCCGTTGAGGATTGTGTTCCCCACATCCCACGGCAAAATTTAGAGAAAGAAAAAGAGAGAAAGGATAAAAGCAAAGAAAAATACAAGGGGAAAGCACCTTTAAAAACAGAAACATCTGAGCCCTCGGAACAAAGTCTGCTGTGAAGGAGATTTGTCAGACCTCACCTTGCCCTATCGCTGCTGCGTGTTGCATTGCCCCGGGGTTCAACAACCTTGAAGCTCCTCATCGTTCCATCCCTCGCGAACTCGAACGAACGCAAGGAGTGCGGCGTGAACTCGAGTCATTGGGCTTCTGTTCAGGTCTGCAGGCCAGTGTCGATTTAGGGTCTAATGTTGTCGACGTGTTACACGACGCAGAGGACAAACATCTTTCGAGAGCCGCTGGTGCGTTTGTTGTGTCCTCCGGGGGCAAGAAAGGATCGAGATGTCCCTTCTCTCTTTCCTCCCCCTCTTCTCCTCTTTCCCTTTGCCTTGGATCGGTGATCTCGCGAGTTCTTACGAGCATTCAGAGCCCGGCTGAGCCGGTTGCCAACAGTCAAACTAACTTGGATTCTGCCTTCTAGTATAGCTTTCCAGCCCCGGTGACCGCACATCGGGGCATTGAGGAGATGTCTAGTTGCAGGACGAGTATTGTGTCCATCCTCAACAATGATGATAATCCATCTTTTGCGGTCCGCTCCGCTCCTAGACATAGTCGGACCCAGACATCGCCATCATATTGCCCACCTCGTTCAGAGCACCTTTCCCCGCCCGTCAGCGAGCCACCGTACACTCGTCCCGACGTTGTCTCTGAATCTCCAGCAGCATCACCGCGGGGGAACAGGCATCCTTTTGACCCAGTGACTGAAGCCGTTCAACCTGTTTCGCCTGGGTCCTCCGATGGCTCAGCTTATGACTATATCACGAGCCAGCCATCGGCTTACCACCCGTACGCTCGGCAGGATCCGCGACGGGATCCGTACCGATTCCCTGGTCGTGGCCCAGCAACTCCCCGAACACCGCCCGAAACGCGCTCGAGCACATCGGAAACGACATCTCAGACCGGAGCGACTCGTGGCACGGGGCGAAAGAATAAATACCCGTGCCCCTATGCCGCGAGTCATGGATGTTCTGCGACGTTTACGACCTCGGGTCATGCTGCACGCCACGGCAAGAAGCACACTGGCGAAAAAAGTGTACATTGTCCGATTTGCAACAAAGCATTTACCAGAAAGGACAACATGAAGCAGCACATCCGGACCCACCGCACCCACTCGGACGAAATACGCTCTGTATCGGAGCCGGAGAATGATGTTCGGTGGACGACGGCTCGTCCCGAAGCATACGCTCCGGCCTCTCACCAGCGCAATATCAGTCAACCTCTGGAGGCAGGTGTACGGCCTCCCCCTGGACCTGGCCCGCAGGCGCTCTAATGGAATGCTGCTCCTTTCCCCCGACCGTTTGATTTATTCTACCACTTGTCTAGTATACGAATTTCCTCCTTGTGGTCCCCTGTGCATGACCACTGCTGTGCGGTGTACTTCCATCCTGTCTGTTTATTCTCATATTGTGTCCTCTGTCGATCCAGAGCTCTCAACCTGCATCTGTCTTTTTTTTCCTAACTCAGCGTTCGTCTGCATGGCCCACTACGATGTTTTTTCAAATATCGAGGCGGCTGGGCCTATCATACTTGTTGTCATTTGTCTTTATCATTTCCCTGTTTTATATCCCTCGTGTACCATGTGCTGATTCTGGTGTGTGTGATGGTTGAAATCTGTGAGAGGCCATGTGTTCTAAGAGAGCCAAATACTGTCCAGTGTCCCATCAGGGATTCCCATGGAAGAGCGTGTGCAACCAGTTCCAGCTGCACCCAACGACATCCAAAACATTGTGTTGGTCAGATCGTAAGCCACTGGGGACGCGGGGAACCCCGAAGACGACCCGTGGAACCATTGTTTACTTTCCATAAATCATATCGCGGACCTTAGGCACACATGTACATATATGTACTTGGTAGTATTTCATAGGAGCAGAGCACAAGTAGAATGTTCTCAACCAGTCAAAAGAAAACCCCCCTATCGACATACATTTGGATCATGGATGGCATTTCTGTAGGGCTGGGTCGTCAAAATTGCCCTGATACCCACAAATGCAGGATGACGTCGGAGTCATCTACGAGAGACGACATCGGTCCAGATGCTCATTTGATGGGGCTTGTTCATCCTTTTGCACACTAGGGATTCCCTATGTACTCCCTAGGCTGTTCGCGACTGTGTCTTGTACGTCATTTCTGTAGTCTTGATTCGCAAATATATAATCTCAACGTTATCCTTTGGTTCTGGGACCTGGGACTCTGATCCAATGTTGTTATGTATCGAGATACGAGAACTCCTCTCTTTCTTTCTCTTGTTGTCTCTCTCCCTCTCAGCCACTGCCAAGTCTCTCAGCCCCAGTGCTTCACACCCATCTGAATCCACATCGACGTCACGCCACCCCCCAACCCCGCCAAACCTCTGTAACTCTGAGCCTTGTTTTCCTATCTCAACCACTGCTTTCCAAGTGAACCGTCGCAGCTTACAAGACTCGACCTTGCCTCTCAATTTGTGTGATCCCTCCCTCACTTTCGCCTCGATCATGGCGTATTACGACGACCGCCGTTATCGTGAGCCCCGCGACCGGTATGCACACCCAGTCAGCTACACTGATCCGTATGACGATCCTCGTGGCCGTCACAGAAAGCATGAACGGGACTCATATGTACCACGTACAAGCAATGACTCGATGGAGGAGGTTCGGCGCGAATACCCACCAGGCTCAGACTACGCCTATGAGCGTGGGTACACCTCTCAGCGGCCGAGACGACCCGCCTACGGAAATGTGCGCCGTGCTTCTTCTGTTAACGGTTACGATCCACACTATGATACTGCATACCGAAGTTCCCGTCCTCGCCGAGCAAGAAATTCCGAGGATAGAAGTAAGTGATACACAGGTGTAGTGGTTGGGATTGCTTCTAACGTCTTTCAGGTTCCCGTCGCTCCAAATACGATTCGACTTCATCATCAAGCCGCTCTCCACCCCGTCACAGTCGCCGCAAGTCTTTTAGCGAGCAAGCCATGGGCGCTTTAGGCCTTGGGGGTGCTGCTGCATCGTCCAGCCGTGGTGAACGTGGTCGCGGTCGTTCTCCTTCTCGTCATCGCCATAGATCATACTCAAGATCGCCATCAGACTCACGCAGTCGCAGTCGTCACCACGGTAGCAGGCGACGTGATAAAAGCGAGCAGCGGATTGTACAAGCTGCTCGTGCCGCCCTCACAGCTGGCGCAGTTGAGGCTTTCAAACAGCGCAAACAGCCCGGAGATTGGGCTGGTGCAAAAGGAAAGCGTGTTCTCACTGCTGCTGTGACTGCTGGTGGCGCCGATGGTCTCGTTGATAAAGATCCCAAAAAGCACGGCACTCGCCATGTTCTCGAATCTACCCTTGCCGGTCTCGCTGCTAGTCACTTCATAGGTGGTGGTTCACGTTCACAGTCTCGTGGCCGGCATGGTCGCTCTTCGGGTAGCAGTGCCATCAAGAATCTCGCTGCCACGGGGGCTCTCACTGCTGCTGGAAAAGAGATATTTGATCGAGTCTCACGATCAAGATCTCGACATCGTGGCCGCAGTGATTCCCGGGATAGTGATGAAACTGAGCGTGGCTCTAAGAAGCGCAGTAAGAGTGTTTCAGAATACATCACCAAGGGTATTGCTGCCTTGGGACTTGGTGAACAAGATGATCGGCGCCGAGACAACAGAGATGAAGATAGGGAGCATCGTCGGGAGCATCGGGGACATCGGGATGACCGAGACCGGCGTCATCACCGAGGATCACGACACGACGACTATTCGGATTCAGATGCGGACAGTGATTATTACAGCAGGGACTCGAGACGGGGCAGAAGCTCGAGAGATGTAGGTCGACACCGTTCACTGGACGGAAAGAATCCACCCCCTATGCCCCCACCACCGCTCCCCGTGGTGGGGCAGGTGCCGATTCCAAATATCGTGGCCATGCATCGAGCTCCGAGAGTGATTCTGAGTTAGGCGACAGTTCTGACGAGAAAAGGCAACGCAAGAAGTTGAAGCGGGACATGTTATTGACGGGAGGTTTAGCTAGCGTGGCTACGATTCACGCTGTACATGGTCTCTATGGAAGCATGGAAAAGAGGAAGCAGCGCATGCAAATGTTGAAAGAGGGCGAGATCACTCCCGAGGAAGCTCGGAAACGTCGCATAAAAGCTAACACCATGGACGCTGTGAGTATCGGTTTCGCGGCCCTCGGCATCAAGGGCGCCTACGATGAATGGAAGGAAGTTGTTGAAAAGCGCAAAGAAACGAATCATTTCCAGGAGGAATGTGCTCATCGCGCCGTGAAACGTGAGCGTCGCCGTGCTCGGAGCCAAGATGCTCCTTCCCGCCACCGCTGGCCCGACGAGATCGAATATGCCCCTTCAGTGAACGAATCCCGGTCAGATGGTGCCCCAGTTTACCGAGATGGAAACCCATACAGGGCTCACGAGACCCCGCAGATCTCTTACTAGTGTGTTTTCTCTGGCCATCAGGATTGTCACTTGTTCTTTTTTCCCCTTATGATTTACGAGACCATGCCTGTTACGTGACTTTGATATCTAACCCCCGCCAACCTTCCTATGTTCAATTCCTTGACGAAGTTCTTATGGTTATAGCGAAACTTGCAACGGCTCTGTTCTTTTTGCAGCGTTCTATGGAAGTGATGGTGCGGGTAACTTAAATGGGTGGTGAGCATTTGTATTCTTGCTTTATTCTTTTTTGCTTTTTTCCTTCTTCTTCCAATGACATCACACGTACTGTAAACAAATGACGAATCTGCGGTGCCAATGGATTGAATCCACTAGAAGTAGACGATTAAATTGAACGTTCAGAAGTCCTCCGTAGCTTGGAGTTGTTGACAACACGGTCCCCAGCTGCCCAAGTCACGGGCCATCGACGCTGACTCAGCAACACCCCGCCATCCATCAGTCAGCCCACTTCGGAGCCCGGAAAAGCTAGGAGGTACTGGGTACCTGGACATCCACAGGAAAGTGCAGCGAGACACAGTACCCAGTACTTCCCACTTTTCGGGATCTTGGCGATCCCTCACTAAGCGGAGAGTTTTCCTTCCCCTCTATTATTCTCCTTTTCCCTCTTTCCCTCTTCCTTTCTCATTCATATCCATTTGGTCAGTCAAACTACATACCCTCTCTATCTTTAACATTCTTTACTGACAATTGCCAGTTTTTGAATAACTACATTCATAATGGCTGCCCCCGCACAGAAGTTCAAGGTCGCTGACCTGGTAAGCCTCTCTCACCTCCTCTCTCTGTCTGTTTCAACCATTGACCATTGCCCTTAGTCCCTGGCCGCCTTCGGTCGCCGTGAGATCGAGCTCTCCGAGGTTGAGATGCCCGGTCTGATGGCCATCCGTGAGAAGTACGGTGCCGACCAGCCCCTCAAGGGTGCCCGTATTGCCGGTTGTTTGCACATGAGTAAGTTGATCTATCACACAAGCTAAAACGATCCTCTACTGACTGATCCTCTAGCCATCCAGACTGCTGTCCTCATTGAGACCCTCACTCACCTCGGTGCTGAGGTCACCTGGACCTCTTGCAACATCTTCTCCACCCAGGATCACGCCGCCGCCGCCATTGCCGCCGCCGGTGTCCCCGTGTAAGTCTTGCTTGGAATCCCCAAAGCTCGTTTTGCGGACAATCTCTGACCATTACTTCCTACAGCTTCGCCTGGAAGGGTGAGACCGAGGAGGAGTACCAGTGGTGCTTGGACCAGCAGCTCCAGGCCTTCAAGGATGGCAAGAAGCTCAACCTCATCCTCGATGACGGTGGTGATCTTACCTCCCTCATCCACACCAAGTACCCTGAGATGCTCGAGGACTGCTTCGGTGTCTCCGAGGAGACCACCACTGGTGTCCACCACCTCTACAAGATGCTCAAGGAGAACAAGCTTAAGGTTCCTGCCATCAACGTCAATGACTGCGTCACCAAGTCCAAGTTCGACAACCTTTACGGTTGCCGTGAGTCTCTTATCGACGGTATCAAGCGTGCCACCGATGTCATGATCGCTGGTAAGATCGCTGTCGTCGCCGGTTACGGTGATGTCGGCAAGGGTTGCGCCCAGGCTCTCCACTCCATGGGTGCCCGTGTCATTGTCACTGAGGTCGACCCCATCAACGCCCTCCAGGCTGCTGTCCAGGGTTACGAGGTCAACACCATGGAGGAGGTTGCCCCCATCGGTCAGATCTTTGTCACCACCACTGGCTGCCGTGATATCCTTGTTGGCTCCCACTTCGAGGCCATGCGCAACGACGCTATTGTCTGCAGTAAGTCTTTCTTTTTCAACGCTCTCCATTCGAGTTAGAACTTTGATACTGACGTTTTTGAAAGACATTGGTCACTTCGATATCGAGATTGACGTCGCTTGGTTGAAGGCCAACGCCCAGTCCGTCCAGAACATCAAGCCCCAGGTTGACCGTTACCAGCTCAACGGCAAGAACATCATTCTCCTCGCTGAGGGTCGTCTTGTCAACCTCGGCTGTGCTACTGGCCACTCTTCCTTCGTCATGTCCTGCTCTTTCTCCAACCAGGTCCTTGCTCAGATCGCTCTCTTCAAGGCCGAGGATGCCGCCTTCGGCAAGAAGTACATTGAGTTCGGTGCCGGTGGCCGCAAGCCCGTCGGTGTCTACGTTCTGCCCAAGCAGCTCGACGAGCAGGTCGCTCGTTGCCACTTGGACCACGTTAACGCTAAGCTCACCAAGCTGACCCCCGTCCAGGCCGAGTACCTCAGCCTTGACGTTGCCGGCCCCTTCAAGCCCGAGATCTACCGTTACTAATTTCTTTAACTTTCCAATTGCGTCTGATATTCGATGATCTTCTTGGGAAATAGACTTTCAACATGATTCGACGATGTTATGATTGGCATTTCGGGTTCTCCATCAACTAAGAACCCAAAAGTGGTTGTCCTTCAACGGCATAAAAAGTGGCCTGCACCGGGGATGGTGTGTTTCTAATGTTTTGTTTTGGCGTGGGATGACCTGGGATGGTCTTGCATTCAACACTGCGTGCGGATGGGATTTTACTCTTGATACCTTATTCTGGTGTGTAGGCCTCCATGGGCCGATTGTGACGGTATAGAACTTCAACAATCGAAGCTATGCGTCAAAATTTCCCTCTTTCTGTAATTGCTTTCGTAGAGCAGGTCTCGTATTTATTCTCCGTGGATCAACCGGACTAACTCATCTGCGACCGCTACTGCAAAGCCAGGATCGTTGATTTCACGCGTATCTCGCACGACAGATATCCCACTGCCCTCCAATTCCCTTTCCAACGTTGAGAACAATGCCTCGTCTGCCTCTGGGTCCTGGAATGGTTGGCCAGGAATATCAAGCATGCTCACTCCACCAACGGGTAGGATTACCTTCGTCCGCGCTGGTTCTCCTCTGTCGCCTGAAAGAAGCAAGAGATTCCTGGCGATAAACGTCGCAATCTCCGCACATTCGCTTTCAGTAGTTCGCATCAGCGTAACGGTCGCATTATGCTCATGCAATAACCTCTTCCCATCCTGAAAGGCAATAGGAACACTCTCGGAGGCTCCAAAGTTGACTATATCACACGCGCCAACACTCACGACCCGAGGAATGTTTCGTGTCGTCGCTGCCGTCAACCGTTCACGTCCAGCGCTAAGAACCCCGCCGACGACTTCATCCGCAACCTCCGTTGTTGTCAAATCAAGCACCGCATCAAGCTGTTCCTCACGAATAAGCCGCTCCATAGCTTTGCCGCCAGACCCGGTTGCATGAAAGACATAAACCTCGCACCCAGGCAGCGCAATCTCGAGATGTTCCCGCGCCCGCGAAACTGCGGGTGTCGTCACGCCAAACATGGATATACCAATCCGCACCCCCGTAGATGTACTTGGACCCATCCGCAAAGATCTTCTCATATATGAACTCGCCATCCCCAGGATTCCCCCAGCGGCATTATCAAGAACGCTCTCCAGCAGGCGGTTCCGTCCGGCAATGTCCACTACGCTGTACATCATGCTAATATCGGTTTCGCCGATGTACGGCGCCACGTCTCCGGATGCCATGGTCGAGACCATTAGTTTGGGGAATCCGATAGGCAGCGCATCACGCATTACTGCGGTTGCGAGCGATGTCCCACAAGAACCACCGATGGAAAGGATTCCATGGATTATCTTGGCTTTGTGTAGTGAAACTACTTTGGTTGTGGCGTGCGGGATGAGGGTGGCGATGTACTCGGCGCGTGAAAGTGACGATAGGTCTGGAATCGACTCCGATTGGGAAATCAGGTCGTGTTGAGTTATGGCGATGTCTTTGTGTGTGGTTGAGTTGCGACTGACGTCCATTACAAGTACTGTGGCGCTAGACTCCGATTCGATCTGCTCTTTTGTGTAGAGGAGTTCTGGAAGTTTGGTGTCGCATGTTCCTACGAGAAGGATTGTGGGGGAATTGGAGGATGCCATTTGGAACTTGATCCTGGGGACTGTTCGCAAGGAGAACTAGGAGAGAGGTGAAGTGGAAAAGGGAGACTGGTGGGGTAGCTTTTGGTTCAAGTTCCCAGCGTCTTCGCGCCGAATCCCAAAGGGCACTCCGTCAGAAGAACAAGAAGCCTCAAATCGATGATTGAGTTAGAGTCTGAGCTACTACGGTGTAGAAAGGCTTCATAAATCCAGCGAAAACAATGGGGAGTCCGGGTTTGCGAGAGAGGCAGGGCTGATGTATACTTCGTGGACTATAATTCTCCGACAGGAAGGGATCGCTATAACCTCTGATGAATAGGATTTCAAAGCTGCCAGGATCGCCCAAAAAAAGAGGAAATGCCACCGAGAGACAAGGAACTTCCCATTTCTTGATGCTGCACCACGCTGCCTCATCACTCGGGCCGAATGGACGGGATTTAGCCGCTGTCTCCGGGCAATTTGGGGCGCTGGTCTGTATTTACCCGAGCTTTAAGAAGGCCAACATAGCCCTTTTCTGCTTTTGACTCTTCATCTTATCATTCTACACAATGGCTCGCGTACTGGAAGGCAAATTCGGCATCGTCACGGGCGGATCGCGGGGTAACGTCGACCCCCAACGCAAGAGAGGAGCAAGCTAACACCCAGGACAGGAATTGGCGAAGCGATTGCTCGCAATCTGGCCGAAAAGGGCTGCTCGCTGCTATTGAACTTCACATCTGAGTCTTCGCGTGCTCCCACTGAAGCACTATGTGTCTCTTTGGCCGCAACCCATAACATCAAATGCCAGAGTGTGCAAGCCGATCTGAGCAATCCCGCCGAAGGCGTGGCAGCAATCATCGCTGCAGCACAACGACATTTCAGCTCCGCGGGGAAGCTCCAGATTGATATTCTGATCAACAATGCCGGCGTGTCCCAAGATCGGAACTTGAACGATCCTGAGAGAGGACCCATTGAGGCCGAGCACTTCAACTGGCAATATGCGATCAATGTGCTCGCCCCTCTCCTCCTCACACAGGCCTGTCACCCCTTCCTCCCTACCGACCGGAGTGGCCGTATCGTTAGCATCTCCAGTGTATCTTCCTCGCTTGGTTTCGTGGGCCAGTCGATCTACGGCGGTACTAAGGCTGCCATCGAGGCGATGACTCGCACCTGGGCACGCGAGTTGGCCGATCGCGCAACGGTCAATGCCGTCAATCCTGGCCCAGTCGTGGGTGATATGTACTTTGCAACTGGAGAACAATTCTGGCAGGATATTCAAGGATACCAGGATAATACCCCCATGAGCAAGCTGGATGTAAATAACCAGGACACCATGAGTCGTTTGACCGATGAACAAAAGCGGTTGATTCAGGAGAAGATGGGTGGTCGTCGACCAGCATTCACGAGCGAGGTTGCCGGTGTGGTCGGCATGTTGTGTACGCCCGACGGTCTCTGGTGTACTGGTAGTGTGGTGTGTGCCAACGGAGGCATGAAGATGGTGCAATGAGAGAGAATAAGCTCATTTGAATACTTGATATGAACAAACCGAGGAGAACAATTGAATCAGATTCTGGAACAGATGGACTGTATGAAGTACCTCGTTTGGTGCGCCATGGAATGGTTGATGTGGTAGTATACTCAATGCGTGTGTCGACGCCTCCATTTGTAGATTACAGTGCCTTGATTCATGGAGCTGTTTCTTTGACTGATACTTCATCTTCGGAGTTCTGCCACACTCGCTCATCCAGCTGTCATTGAACCGACTTGTACAATGGGCCTGACTCCTGGCCTAGGAGCTAAATGATGTATCTGTCTCGACAGCCCATGCTCTTTCTTCATTCAGCTGTGAGCTTGACGAATTCCAGCTGAACCAACAGGAAAATGAAACAAAAGGAGTACGAATCACCATCTAAATTCAAAATTGAAAGGATCTCTAGGGTACCGGCCTCTGTTCTGACTTTTTGGTGAATGTCCTTGAGTTGCGAATCATATTGACGGAGTGTATCCTGAACGATATCGAGGAATCGGCTCTGGGATTTGGGAAAGTGCACTGTTCGATCTTCGGATGTGATCAACGGGCTGTTGAATGTGAATCTTTCATTCTCCCAGTCCCTTTCATCTTCACGCTCCTTTTGATACGTCTGCTTCCCAACCTCTATGTGATATACAGATGGTTCCAAGGTGGCCATCCCTCCCCTGTGGAACCCCAATGTCTTCTACAGTAACCATAGCCTCATGATGATGTTTCTGGTGAAGCTATAGGTCATGCAGATTCTGCTGATGTCCACTCATCATCAACGTCTGTCGACGGACTTGGTAGTATCTGTGTACCCTTTTCCCTCCTCTTGACCTTATATTTCTTCACTCCTGCGGCTCTCCTTTTTGGTTCGGGGGGCAGCACGGCTCGACACTGATATCTTCCGCTTTCTTCATTCGGAGACAATAAATACAGCATTTAGTCTCTCTGAACTTTACAGACTAAGCCGACAGTCTCTTTCCCGCTTTTCGGGGGATGGTTATCCATACTGTCTTAGCTTGACGACATGGAACCATTGTCTATTTCCACCTCCGTTTTCAAGATATTGTGAGCGGGAACCTTGACGTTCAGGACTGCGACAATAGCTTCATCTCCCTCAACACTACAGTCTCCCATGTTCTAGATCTAAGCCGGAAATCACACCGCAGCCGACCACGCCTTATGATCCGGATCACCTGGCCATTGTGCATTGCAGGTATCGCAGCTTCAGATCAAATGTATCAAGACTGGATCTCTATCCGTCTTCGAGAGCTTAGAAGATATGGGCAAAATTATGATCGAATCAGTCGCCGATTTGACGATATTATCCAGGGCAATCAATCATATTCTCATGACAAAGGGGCCATTGGTATCTAGACGCCTAGTTCGCAAGCTCGATGTACCTGAACATTCTACCCAGGCTCTATAGAACAGTCGCAGAAGGGTCCCTGTGTATAGTGACGCGTAAACAAGAAGATTAATCCTCCAGACATACAGTCCTCGTACCAAGTGCCCAAACTTCCAGGCGACTCAGACTGTCTCACGGCATTTCATTGTAGATTCGATCCTGCTCTGACGGTTGCTCTAAAAAGTCCGATGGAGGCTCTTGAGGCAGCTGGTTGTTCTCCGCCCACTGACGAATGGCATCAAAGTTTTTACATCGGTGCTGGGTATTGAAATCAACGTATGGCTCTGGACTCTCTGGGTATATCCAGATTTGACCGAGGACTCCACTGTCGACCGTGCACATGAGCTGTTGACGGAGGATATCAAGGCAATGGGCTGTGATGAACGGGATTAGCTCAAACATCTGCTGTGATAACATGAGAGAAACATACACACATGTCGGCGGATGACAAAGTCATCATTCATGAAGGGCCCTTCGCCCTTTGCGTGGTAGTAGTCATAGTTATAGTACAGTGATTGGCGAAGGAGGTTCTTGTCAACATCAGTACTCTTTATTCACAGCACAGCACCGAGGAAAGGGAGACAGACCAGGCAATGTAAATGGTGCAGACCCTCTAGATTTACGGGAAATCCTCCCCCATACTTTTTGTTGATCTTCACTTGGTCGGTAGCAAGTCCAGATCGTTCGGCATCTCCTGGGGGTATTCGAACACTGCGATCTGAGAACATAGATGCGGTTAGCTTGCACTGGAGAGCTGGGGGGTGGGGGGGGGGGGGGGGATTTTGGAAACACACAATTGACACCCAAAGACTCCCACGCTGCATCGACCTTTGGGCTGGCATCTTGTCGGAAAACATTCTCTTTCAACAGAGAGCCATTGAACTCTTGCAGGGTATATTGAACCCCAACTTCCCTCATCACAGTTGCTATATTGCAATCAGTCCAATGAAGAGATGGTAAGCCAGGACTTGATCTCACAATATTGGGAAACGTGTCTACTGCAAAGGACATCCAGATCCCCACGCCAGTGGAAACCGAACAATGCCCCGACTAGAAATCCCAGAACAAGTGCGCTCAATTGCAAGAAGTGTGCAAGATTCTTACAAGTGTATGTTGTTGTTTCATCGCGTTTGGTCCACAGAATACCCTCCTCGGCTAGAAGTCGTTCATGAGACTCTTGCTGGGTTTCTTCAATGCTAGAAGACCTTTGGGCCATCATTTTGCGTGTCTCTGGTAAGTCTGTGTTGGAATGAGCAAAGACAAACCGTGTTAGTTTCAATTTTCCAAGAAGCAGACAAAATACCTTGTTTTCGTCGCCAGCGCCAGACCGTCATTCCACGGACTTTCCCAGGTTTGACACTGACTAGCTAGGTAGAGATCAAACCCCCAAGAGAGTACCGGGGCTGACGCAACATCTGCCCTGCATGTCTTACACGTTTTACAGGCAATGAGTTCACCAGCGCGTGGTGCTTGGGAAACGCGTGTTTTCCCTCAAGGGGTCCACTGCATACAATATGGACCCATAGCTCATTTACCGAATTGTATGGCTCAGGGGTGTCTTGTCATTGAGAAGATGGACGCCATTGGACTGCGGATGATCTTCATAGAAGGCGATTGATCCCCTTGCGGACAGAATATGTCACTTGTTTCCGTCCTCATGCGAGGTTCATGCAATTGTACAAGCTACCACGCAGCAAAGTCTGGGCGTCTAGTTGAGATGATCATGTCGACTCACTTGTCGTGGCAAACTGAGATCATCGCGGATCTGCTTGCTTACCCCCCGTAAGGCAATATAGGTATTGGCGACACGTTGGCCATCTCTCCCTTGCAGCGGCATTCAACCCTCATCAAGCCTCACCGTGAAATCGCGCGAACAGAGCTCAGACATTGTTGTCAATCTTTACGAGATATATTGAGGAATACTCTCAAGCTACGTAAGTCTCGAGTCCGGAGCCGGGCTTGCTCAGGTATAAATACAGATGGACAAACCAGACTTGAATTATCATTCTCGAAGCAAAACGATCTCTGAATCTCAAGATTGAACAAGACTACCAGGCGTTATCGCTCAATACTCGACTTGAATGCTCGTCAATTTGTCTCTTATCAATATGCGCTACTCCATGATCAATGGCCTTCTGCTGTTGGCAATCTCCCCTTTGGCTGCCCTTGCCCTTCCCGTGGACCCTAATGACCAGACTGGTCAATGGGATCCAAATGGACAGTACCGAAAGGGTCACTGGCAGAATGGCGTGTTCGTTACCAACAACGGCGATAATCGCTACAGCCAAAATGGTCAACTCAATCAGAATGGCTATGTTGACCAGAACGGTCAGTGGCATGACAATAGTCGGAATAACCAGAATGTTCAATACAACGATAACCAGAATGGCCGCTGGGCCCGCCGCTCGGTTGTAAGCCAGCTTCGCAGCTGGCCTAATGACAACCAGAACAACCAGAACGGTTGGACAGACAGCAATGGCCAGTGGCATGACAACGACCAGAACGGCCAAAATGGCTGGACCGATGCCAATGGGCAATGGCACGTCAATTCTCAGCAAAATGGCTGGACTGACCAGAACGGCTGGACTGATGTCAACGGCCAGTGGCACTCCAATGATGGCACCGTCCAGCCCCGTAACTGGCCCAACGATAACCAGGGCAGCCATAATGGCTGGACAGACGCCAATGGTCAATGGCATTCCAACACAGAGGATCAGAACGGCTGGACCGACCAGAATGGTCAGTGGCACGCGCACCAGAAGCACCAGGCTCTCCCCCACCAAGCAAATCCCATCTCTACTGAAAAGAGCAACCCGACGGGAGCCGAACGCGAGAACACGGCCAGTCCATTGAGTGCAATCACTCCCCACACTCCCCACCGCCGCAGCTGGCGTGACGCTGGCAACGACAAAAACAGCGACGACAACCGCAGCGACTGGAACCGCGATAAATGCGACCGCGATGACTGGAACTGCCGCAACAAAGGCAATCACATTGGCAATGACCGCTGCCGTGACAACAACAGTCAGAACTGTCGAGACCGCGGCATCCCAACCACTCCCAGCACCATCGCGCGCAACTGGCCCAATGACAATAATGGGTTGAGCTCCGCCAACAACGCTCAGACTACCCCCAGCTCCCGGAACGACCGGTATCAAAGCTATGGTAACTACAAGAACTATGGCTCTTACCAGAACTACCCTGTCAATGGACAGAAGCAAGCTCAGAGTAAGGGCACCACGGCTGTCACTGGGCAACAGGAGTGAATACAACGCTTCGCCGTGAATCCAACCCGGAATAGAGCTCTAGGATAGGAGCTACAAGCTCCAATCCTTTGATGGTAGTCGGATGACCGAGGAGGACTAAGTTTGCCTCCGACTTAGAGGAACCGATATTTGCATGAGAACACGAACCGTATACGCTCCTTGACTTTTTTGTGGCTTTGAATGAAGAGTGATATTAGTGAGGATCATCTGACAGAATGAGATATGAGTTCTTTTGAAAGCTTTTCCCTTTCAATACATATAATGCACCGAGTCAGCCGATAGTTGTGTACTATTGACATGTCTCCTCTTGACGATCTCGCCCTGTTTCCTCGTTGTGCCTCTGTTGCATTAGGGCTGGGAGCTCGATAACTATTCTTTGCGTACCCTGTACAGGGAAAGGTTGATATCCCAGTGAATATCAAGTATCACATCCGAGTCTCGGTTTTTGTGCGGTATCCAGGTAGATTTTGAGCCTCAACTGCAGCATGTACAGTGCTTCGGGTGACTTCTCTGACTAGAGCGCGGGATCTGAAAGCAGCGAGATAACCTGTCAGTTAATTAGCATTCTGCACCTACCGCTGCATATGGATTTGCGATTTGGGTCAGTTTCAAGAAAGACCTCGATTCATAAAGTTGGCCGCCCAAACATCGGGTTAAATCGCGGGCTCCAGAATGGATTGCCGAGGCAGTGGGTTGACAAGAACAAGAACCACTCGTGGAACTCAAAGCAATTGATCGCCCAAGTAGGTTCTGGGTCATTCCTATGCTCATGCGACCGATAGAAAGAAATGTCTGCCGACACACTCTCCACAGTTCGTAGTCTTGCTGTCACTCTGCGACGCCCTGGAAATCATACTGTTCCGATCACCGGTGGGCTTTCGCCTCATCTCATAGAGTGGGTCACTTGTGAGAAATCGCACAATCAGCCAGCTCTGTCGGCCCCGGTCTACAGATATATCCAACCTAGTCTTTCGGGTACTAATTGGTGGAACGGCGACAGTTTGAATCCACGAAAGACCCAACTGGGAAAACACGCGCAGAATGGAATTTGGCCGTAAAGGGCCAAATGAAGGTAACCCGGCGAGTGGCGCTCATCCATTCCAAGAGATCAAGGCAGTTGAGAAGGCAACCAGGTCGAGAGAGGCTTTTGACTGCATTCGAGAGGAATCGATAACCATATGCCGATATATACCCACTGCCTGAGTCCCATGCAAAAACAGGGCGAAACCAACAATCAAAGCAAAAGAAGAAAGTGAAACGAGGGAGAACCCCCACTTATCCCTCGTTCTCGTCCCTTGTGAGGAGAGTGGGATCTCGGAGGACCCCCTCTCCGAGTCGCCAAATTCGTGAATCTGCCCTCTCCGAATGAGATTCAGTATACACCAAGGGGATAATCCATAGCCCTACTGGTCTGATATGTCATCCGCGGCGTATTTCCCTACCAGTGAAGGGCAATTGGAGGGGTTGAATGCAGGTCCTGGAGATATCTGGTGGATGCTGCCCTACTGCCCTACGTGGGCCTGGGTCTCCATGGGCGAGATTAGCGATCACCCTAATTCACTTCCTAGCTTTTTCTGCAAATTCTTCATAGATTGGCTTCTGCGATTCGAACCTTTTATTGGAATCCTTGCATAACGGTTATCTCGCAATCTTGGCCAAAAGAATGGGGTTGATTCCGTTGCGATTGAAAAGCCCACCCCAATATGTGCTAGCATGCATCCTATGTTCAGCGAATGGGATCCTTTTTGGAATGGACACGGGCATCATTGGGCCTGTCACCGACATGAGGGACTTCAAGGCCTCATTCGGGAGTATCCAGAACTCTACAATTCATGGCCTCATCGTCTCATGTATTTTGATTCCAGCAGCACTCTCTTCTTTCTTCGCTGGCTATGTCGCCGATCGGCTGGGTCGCCCAAAGGGGATCTGCATCGGCGTTTTTATTTTCGGCGTTGGAGCGGCCATAGAAGCAGGAGCTATCGCCCTGCCCATGTTCATCGTTGGTCGCATCGTGGAAGGCGTTGGCGAAGGTCTGTTCCTGGGAAATCTGGTGGTTCTGATTTGTGAAATTTCACCTACCAGTACTAGGGGTGCTCTGACAACTGGGCCTCAGCTGGCCACTACTCTAGGCCTTGTCCTGGGCTACTTCATCAGTTATGGAAGTTCCAGCCTCCAGTCCTCGCTCTCATGGCGGATGCCGTTTATTCTTCTTGCGGTCCTCTCCATGATCCTGTGTGGGGCGTCCCTTGTTTATTTACCCGAGTCCCCACAATGGCTGGGGCTCCACGGTCGCTATGAGATGGCCGAAGAGGCATGGGATAAATTGGGGGTTAGTCATACAGAGCGTGAAAAAGTCGCACTGCAAGTACGGACACAGGATGTTGAATCTAATACCGAAACGGTCGAGGAGAGAACCATCAACAAGCTGCTTGCTATCTTCTCCAAAGATGTGTTGGGCCGGACCATTCTGGCGGTGTTTTTGATGGGTATGCAGCAAATGAGTGGCATCGATGGTGTCCTTTATGTAAGTCCAATTCCATCTCTGGCCCTGGCTTGCTGTGACCAACAGTGGCTGACCGGAACTCGATAGTATGCTCCGCAGTTATTCCAGAAGGCCGGGCTAGCCTCATCAGAAGCAAGCTTTCTGGCCTCTGGCGTTTCGGCGCTGGTGATCTTCGCCGTGACTATCCCAGGACTCATCTATGCCGATAAATGGGGCCGCCGAAGCAGCATTATCTATGGCGGGATAGTGATGGGAATGCTGATGTTTTTGATGGGTGGCCTCTATGCTGGGAATGCCGTCCACAAAACCAATGGCGTTGGTCGCTGGGTTGTGATTGTCTGCATCTATCTTTTTTCGGCTCTGTATTCGCTGACCTGGGGTATCTCTGTCAAGGTCTATAGCGCCGAGATTCAGCCTCAGCGAACACGGGCATCAGCTACCACGTTAGCTCATTCAAGCAACTGGGTCTGTAACTTCCTGGTGGCATTAACGACACCCATTCTCCTTGCAAAGAGCAGCTTTGGGGCGTACTTCTTGTTTGGCGGGTGCTGCGGTGTCACAGTGATCGTCGGCATTCTGTTTATGCATGAAACAAAAGGTCGAACCTTTGGGGAAATTGAAGAGGCTTTTAAAGGAAAATCGCCTGGATCACAGAATAAATTGTGTCGCGGTATGAGCAAAGCTTAACAGTTGATTTGCGATTGAGACGTCATGATGCATGAATTGTGATTGTATCTTGAACAGGGAAAATACACAATCACCCCCGCAAGAAGGTTTCCAATAGTTGAAAGAAAAGGCAGAATAGATATGGAACTCAGGTTCCTCCATCGTTCCTTGTGAGGATGATATCCCTTCTGGCACAATTGGACCGTTGCACTTCGGCCAGTGGCATGCTATATGCACGTGATGAGATCAACTGCTCGCGACGTCATCGCCGAGTGGCAGGCTTCCATCACGACTCAGCTACACTGATTTCCAAGTTTGGCATTATTCCCACTCTCTTCACATCTCTCTTCATAATGTCTGCCCAGAAATTCATCCGCCCTGTACAAAACATTCCGCTGATCCGCCTTGGGGGCCGACAATTGCAGTCGTCCACGCGGCGATCACTCCCCATCTCTTGCTCGCTGCACAGCCTGTCAAGCTCTAAAAAACGACGAGCCATCAACAATTGCCCTAGATTCTCATACAATTACCAGTACCCCCCTCAAACATCAAAACGAGAAGCTTCACCGACCTTAAAGGCTCCACCGGGAAAGCAGAAGCAGATCTCCTTGTCGAGGAACTGCAAGAACTGTACGAAATTGCCAAAGATGAGTTTGAAATTGCCACCGAGAGCACCGACACATCGACAATCTACGCTGCTTCAGACCGCGAGTCTGCACGTGATGCTCTGAACCAGTTGTCCTGCGTGTACAGTCTATACACTGGTCGGCCCGGGGAAATTGATAATGGGGCGGCTGGGTCATCCTCTGATAGTGAGGAATTAAGGGACGGTCCAATTGTTGAGACCAATTACAATCCTGCAGATATTCCACAGGAGGTCAAGGATGAAGTGCGTCGACGCGTTGGGCAGCGGATCCGGGAGTTGAAAAATGCCGTTGAGTTTCTTGAACAGCGGGCTATGGAGGACTGAGCTCTTTTTGTTGTATAGTCCTTCAGAATGATGTGTGTTGACATGGCATACTAAAAAGGCCTCGCTTCTACATCTGATGGCTGAGTTTGTACTTCATGTGTGTCTTTCTGGCACCCCTGTCACATATTTTTATACATGCATATGTAGGTACCTTCATTGATCAAGTATACAGCGGCAAGCCATATTGGGTATATTGGGTATATTGGGTCTGCAACATCTACGACTCCTAGGCGCGAGTACTATATCCGAGATGGGAGTTCATAGCAAATCATAGAATAATTCAGCAATTGATCCTTGGGCCAATCAAAGAGCTGATTGCCCTAGACTTCTAACATCAAAGCACATTAACAAATAACAAAAGATCCCTGCAATATCGAGCCTAAGTGGTATCAAAATTGTTTTTGGTTCTCGAAAGTCCTTGAAAAATCATCCATAATGCGCCTGACCACAAAAATCGCCATATCCCGTTGTGCGGTAAAACAAGCGAATCACGAAGGGGGAAAATAAATAAGTGTCTCTAATGAGGTATATTGTCCTTAGACAAGTGTGAAGGGGGTCATCGTGAAATGGTCGGTGTTCGGTGATGGGAGCGCCAAGCAAGTTTCTTGTTTATGTGTTGTCTTCTGGTGACGCTTTAGCTGATCTATGAAGTATTGGCCCGTTAGCATGTAGGCAAGAAGAAGAGGTTTAAGTCCGGCAGAACTCACCAGGACGCGTAAAGCTCTTGGTACACCCTGGGAAAAGACATTTGTGTTTTCGCTCTCCGTGCGCTAGATGAGGTTAGTAACATTCGTGAACCATCGACTAATGGAGTATCATACTAAGTCGGTGACTAGACATATTCGATGACTATTATGAGGTTAGAAGATGTATTTATGCTTGTATAAGGAGCAACTCACGTCACCCGTTGTGAAATTGCACCCCGGCCAAGTGCATTTGAATGGCTTTTCCCCGGTATGGGTCCGCGAATGTGTTTCTGGAATAGTCAGAGACTGATCTGAGTTCAAAATTCGAGCATGACATACTCAATTCGCTACTATCCGTAAATGATTTACCGCAGTGTTTGCAATTATAAGGCTTGTCACCTCGGTGGCTGCGCTCATGTCGGTCTAATGTTGCCTGCCGAGCAAATGCCTTGCCACACACCGAGCACGAGAAATTTTTATCTAACCAAGTTGGATTCGTGTCAGTACACTGAACTGGCCGTTCTTGCATCGCGAACGGAACAAAAGGAAAAACGAGAAACGAGGGTTCCCATACAGTTACTGTGTGTGAGGAAATGGCCCTGAAGCTTGGACTTCTGCGAAAAAGGCTCATCCGGACGATGGCATCCTCCCCAGCAGCAGTAATACCCATTGCCCTTTGCGCCATTCACAGTATTCATATGATTGACAATGAGATGCTCTTGGAGAGCACCACAATCAGTGAATTCCGCACCGCAGAAAGTCTTGATTCCATGAATGTCTGTCGACCACCTGCACACATGTAACTCCTTGTTATTTGGAGAGAAATCCGGTGTAATCTGCGCGGATGACACATCACCTTCCAGAGGTGGCGGGGTCTCTCCTGGACTGGAGATTATGTGGGAACTGATACTCGAGCGAGATTGTCGCGAATAGGGAGAATATGGGTGAGAATGAGCGTGGGTGTGCGCTCGACAACGATGATGGTTGCGATGGGGTCCTTTGCGGATGGTTTGCAAATTCAGGTCATTAGGGTTTTTGAAGTGGTTGTGGACATGACGATGTTCATGGTGGAAGCAATTAGTTCCATATGAGGTGTCGATTTTGGGTTTTTCGAAGGTATCAAGGCAGTTCTGGGGCTCGGGTACATGTTGATCTTGACATATCGAGAAGTCGGAACACATTCCAAGCATGTGGAAAACTTCCGCTGGATTGACTTCGGTCTGCAGGGGAGCAGGTGGTGCCGCAAACATCACCTGCCAATCTTTCTGGAAATCATGGCACTCAAAGTGGCTATGTACATCCTGCTCACAGTGGGTGGCATGCGCTTGGTACGTGGATAAAAAGCTTTCTTGTTGACTCGGGTCGGCAAAGCCAGAGAGCGGATATTGCATCGATTTGGTCTGATGACTGACGGGATGATTTCCAAGGGCCGTAGAAGGAAAGATTCCCGTGTCTAATGACAGTGAAGAGTTGATTCCAAACAGAGCATCAAACCCACAGTCTTGACTCTCTGTCCCGTCGCAGCAGTGGTCTTCGAAACATAGGGGGTCAATGCCTTCACAGTGCGCATCGTCGCAGTTGTCTTCTTTGCAATGCTTGGTATCACAATGGGTTTCGCAATGGGTTTCATTGCAGTTGTCATCCCCACAATTGTCATCGTCGCAGTGAGCAACTGAGCATACCGTGGAAGTATCACATCCCACAAATCCGTCACATATTGACCCACAGTCTAACGCACAGTCATCTACATCACAGCAGGCCTCATCAACCTCGCAATGGGGTAGCGGTGCCTGATTTTGGTGGTTTGAACAGTTCCAATGATGCTGAAGGGAGTTACCCGAGGAATGTATTGTGTCCTTGCCGTCGATGCGGAGGGCTTCCCAGTTGCATTCAAGGCAAAAATCGCCATCTGGGGGTTGAGACGCCATGATGATGCACGGTTCACTTCTGGTGGTCGAGGGAACGTCTTGGGCCCGCGATCGAATCAGATTAGCCAAGAACGGTGTCGACACACCAGCGTCGACAGCAAACAATGTAAAGTAAACGCAGTTCGAGAGTTGAGAGGTGTACGACTGTAAGTGGGATGGTAAATGGCAGTCAGGTACGATGCCCCGCCGCAAGAGTCACGTAGCCAGGGGTCACGACGCCACGAAGAGTGACGACCACTTGTCGGGTGTAGCAGCAAATGTATGGTGTATCACCAAATGATCTTCCCTCGCGGTGGGGGACGTCTTGGGATCGTGTAATGCGCTTAAACCGGTCTGGGCGGCTGAGAATAAACGATGCAATCGGAGAATTGGTCACGATCGACGTACAGTAAATGTGAACAAGAGGACCTTGGAGAATTCACGGATGCAGAACCAAAGACCGAATCGAAAATGGGTGGAGGGGATCAGGGGGCATAACCTGATGCCGACTCCCCCCAGTGCAGCCGTGAGGACCTTCGGGACGCAGGTGACGATGAGGACCTTGGGGGTTAGGCGTCATGATTTTTGAGCAAATCGCAGGGTTTCGGTGATCAACGTTGCGGGGGTTGGGTGTGTATATACGAAGTAGAACTGCAGACAATATAAGTCTCAGACCAATAGAATCTGCAGTATACAAGATATCCTCCCAGCATTCCGATGAAGAATTCCTTGTCCCCGCGGAGGTGATCGCAGGTCTCTGGGACATCCTGACTAAGCGCCATTCTGCCCCTTTGACCCGCCCTACCTTAATATTGGGCGACTGGTCTCTTTTTCCTGCAGTTTGAATCGGAGATATATCCACACTCCGTACTTGTGAATAGTATGTATCCATATCCTCCTTAAAGTGACTTATCCATCGTATCCGCATCTCACTCTAGTTTAGGGGGCTTCTCTAGGCCTGACTTGTCAACATCCTAATGTTAACATTCTAGCCCCGGTGACCGCCTTCTCCCCGGATCGACTATCAGCTTATCGCCATGTGCCAACATCCACTTGAGATGAACTACGAACTACAACCCATAACCCCAGAGTAGCAGTCACAGGCTTCTCTCCAGGGCTTGATTCCAACCCATTGCATTCTATTGGCTACATAAAAAAAAATTGATCTGGTCCTCCAGGACTGCAGCCGGGGCTTTAATAACCAATCTCTCTCCTTCCTGTGCCTTCTCCCAGATTGATCACAACAAACGCTCTGATCTCGTTGAATCACAATACGATCGACATGGGCAACCTCTGCTCGCGATCATCCAATGAGCCAGATCCTTTCAGTCAACCAGGCCGTGTAGTTGGCACCAACTCTTCAGGTCGGGATGCCGCACCCCGCGCCCCACTTCCGACCAAGACAAACTGGAAGGCCACACCCGGACGCACCTTGGGTGAGAGCAATACAACTAGTAGCGTTGCAGGAGCAGATGAGGCACGGGCAAACGCTGCAATTGCTGCACAGGTATGAGAGCCAAATTCGGGACTATGGTCACATGTATGTTGCTATACAGGGTGCGATTGCTGACTCTTGGCTCTCCCAGAAACGCGCTGAGGGTATATCAGCCAATAAGGGGAAACTGGGGGCTAAACTAGCAGCTCAAAAGGCGCAGACGCATGCACAGACATTAGATCAAGTCAGTCGGACAGAGAGGGCTACACGAGATGCAGATGGGGCAGAGGTGGCTAGAAGATGGGAATAAAAACAGAGCCATGCCAGCTTTTTTACTTCATTATCTTCTGCTGTTATATCCCAACCATTCATTTGTTAGCGTTGGATTCTCATGATTATTGCGTGTCCCTGTAGCGTTTGGGTGGCAGGTTGGCTGTTGGTCGTCAGTCTTGTGGTTATTTCGACTGTTGATTGACAAAGGTCGAGATCTCATAGTTCCAATGATGTCATAACACCTTTGTTTAGAGGGCTAACGCTCTGTCCAGTGAAATCGACCCAATGCAATCATATAGGAATATGGGATATTTGGCCACTTTCCCTCTGAGCGCATGCAGCCAATCTACATATTACATCACAATTTACAAATTTTCAGTAAATAAAGCCGATGTACAAGCATTTATGCTATTGGTTCCGAATTGGGGTCTGCTTTCAACTAGAGAACATTGTACCGGCCACCCACCGGGGCGCGTGCTTCACCTTCAGAAGCTGCCAGTGTTGCATCTTTAAGCAGACGCCGAAGGTCATGTATGGCGGTGGTGACTGAAATCTCCGTCTCGCCTTCAACCAGAATGTACAACTTAGGAAGTTCTCCGGGACCAGGTTCCTTTCCGCTAGGGTAAAAGTTGCCCTTGGTCGTGATAGAAGTTCCGGATGATTCCAGAATCTTGGCCACATTAGTGCGGTTGGTAACGGCCCAACGTGCTTTTTCTAAGAGATGATGACAGTGGTCAGTAATCATCTAAGCAATAGGAGAGATACAGCATAACTTACGAGGGAAATCGTTGATCTCGAGTGTTGCATGGAATGCACCGGCATCAGGTCCACGATTATCAATCGGCACACCCGATCTCATGACACCCGCACGACTCAAACGTGCGTGAATATCAGCAACAGCGGATCCCACCTTGTCTAATGCATTTCTCGGCGCATTCGGGGAAGCTCTCTCTGTGCGATGTACAATGACCTTACCATCCAGATCAACACCCTTAGGGACACCTGACAAAGACGCGGACGCTGGAGCGGCTGCGGATTGCACGGCCGAGATAGCCTTGTTAAGTCGATCATTTGATTCCTCCTGTTTCTCGTCTTTATCCTCCTCTTCGTCGTCGTTATCATCCCCAGTCTTGTATGCTTTCCGCTCACGCATTCGCGCAGCATCTCGCTCTGAATTGAGACGGTCCAAGCCCTTACCACCAAATCCATGGCCGAAGTTCTTTTCTTTTCCGGACTTGACTTTCTCAACCCACGAATCGACCATCTTCTGGATAGGCGCAGGAATCTCTTGTCCACTTTGCTTGAGAGCCTTTGCAATATCCACAGCATACCGCTCTTGCTCCTCAGTGAGGAATGTCACCGCAGTTCCAGTGTTTCCAGCCCGACCAGTGCGGCCGGCACGATGGACATAATCCTCCAGGTGATTAGGTGCATCATAATTGACAACAAGCTTGAGTTGCTTGACATCTAAGCCACGAGCTGCCACTGATGTTGCAACTAGAATAGGGAATACGCCTGCCTTGAACTCGGAAATCGTGGTGTCGCGATCAATCTGATCCTTTCCACCATGAATCGACATACACGGATAGCCCCTACACATCAATTGTTTGAGCAGATCGTCTGCAGACTCTTGACGGTCCACAAAAATCAACGTGCGATCGTCTTCATTTGCTTCATCTTCGTACATGTTTCCTAGGAGCTCCAATAGGCGGACGAACTTTTGGTCATTGTTCCGGACCTCGACGATTTGTGTGATTTCGGGAGCTACAACACTCCGCCCGCCCACTGTGATCTCGACTGGCTGCTGCAACGTTTTACGTGCCAAAGATTCCATGTTCTTGGATAATGTGGCCGAAAAAAGGACTGTTTGTCGATCCGGTCGCATATTGGCCATGATCTTCAAAACTTGTGGGCCAAAGCCCATATCGAACATACGGTCTCCCTCGTCCAACACGACATATGTGACGCGGCGCAGGTTGAGAACTCGCCCTTGGTTGGCGGCCAGCAGATCAATGAGACGACCGGCAGTACACACAATGATTTCGGCTCCTCGTTTCAATTCGGAAATCTGGTCCTTAATGGGTGCTCCACCATAGGCACAGACAGCACGGAGACCCAAGGCTTTCAGGAAAGGTTTGCAGTCTTTATGAATCTGTGTGGCCAGTTCTCGGGTGGGTGATAGAATCAAACCGATCGGACCGTCCATATTAGCCAGGGGTCGTTGGTCTTTGATGTGCCGGAACATCGGAACTAGGAAAGCAACAGTCTTGCCTGATCCAGTTTTCGCCACGCCAATGACATCGCGACCCGACATGATTGTGGGAATTGCTTGGGCTTGGATGGATGTGAGATTCTCATAACCAAGCTTGTGAATGACATCCAGTGTCTGCACTCCCAATCCGCACTGCGACCACTTTTGAACGGGTGTTGGGACATTCGAACCGCGGATCTTGATACCATCCAACTCGAGTCGCAAATTTGCAACTTCCGCTTCGGTCATCTCGGCAAGATTGGAAGGTTCGGTGTAAAACTGCTTGCGGAATGGCTCATATTCGATCTTAGAGTGGTCGACAACAGGGATCTCCCGTTTCTTTTTCTTGTTCGCCGCCATGGCCAGGACATCCTCAGCGTCCTCGTCACCGACAGCAGTGAAACCCATATCCTCATCGTCGCCGAACATCGCCTCTGGGCGCTTCTGATTCTGTTTCTTGGCGAATGTAGCCCCAGTTGTCTTCTTGGGTGGGCGTGCGTCTTGCAGTTCAGACATGAATGCATCTAGGGGGTCCACTTCTTCGACTTGGTCAATCTCCATGGGAATAACACCGATCTGCCCGTTTATCGTCTCCTCCATGTTAACATCGCCATCTTCATTCTTAAGCAATTCGTCTCCTCGTTCAGCAGTGACACCTGTTGCCAATGCAACGTCCTTTTCTTCTTCCACTCCTCCACCTTGCATTTCAGTATCATCGTCATCCCCGGCATCGTCTGCCGTTGCACTCGCATTCCTATCATCATCGAGCGGAGGCGTAGGCAACTTTTCAAGTTTTTTGGGTGCGGATTCTTCGTCCCCAAAGCCTAAAGTCTTGGGGGCAGACGGTTTCTCCGTTTCGAAAACAGCTTTCGCACCCAGGCCAAACCCACTGACATTACCTTTGGGCTTTAGGGGACCCGAGAGCTTGGCGGGCGCAGGAAAAGGTACATTGACGTTCGGCACGGATGGGACCTTGCTAGACGTCGGAACGGCAACATCAGTACCAAGAACCGCGGGAATGGCCGAATTTGTGGTTGCTGATTTGACGATGGCCTTGGGATCAAACTTTCCGGGATATGCGGTAGGGGTTGGATACTCGGCCGGAGTCACCGGGGTCTGTGGTGAGCCCAGAGCCGGAGAAAAAGCCGATTTACGATCAATCGCATCAAGGATCTTTTTGGGATCGTCCGCTGCCTGTTCTCGTTGCTTTTTCTCGCGCTCAGCGGCTTGCTTCTGCTTCCATGCTTCAAGCTTGGCAAGTCTTTCGGCTTTCTTTTCCTCGTCTGCCTGGACGGTTGAGGCGGGCATGGACGATTTTGAAGGCTGCAGTGAAGAATTAGTCCCATGGGCTAGGGAAAAAGCAAAATCCGAGCATCTTACCTCCCGAGGTCTGGACGTGGACCGTCGGTTTGGAGCACGATCACGGCTGTCATCCCGTCTAGACTTGGGCTTAAAATCAGCAGCATCATCTATCCGCCTCCGATCCCGGTCGCGGGAGTCATCTCGCCTGCTTCGGTAATCTCTATCCCGACTTCTGCGACGAAGCTCATGGTTATCATCACGTCGGCGTTCTCGGGATCGGTCTCTCCGAGCCGGACGATAAGTATCCTCATCGCGTCGATCTAGTGGAAGGTCTCGGCGTCGATACCCATCTCTGTCACGGGGGTGGTCGCGCTCTCGGTATCGTCTCTGAATATCACAAGCATAGTCAGAGATTGGAATATTGTATGTAGATTTGGGATGCGCTACACGTACCTCTGGGCTGCGGGACCTGCGATAACTACGCCCATCATCCCGTCTGCTTCTGTCATAGCGATTATCCTCTCTGCGAGGCCGCCGGGATGAAGAATATGTGCTGCCTACAGGCGATGGTGAGCGAGTATCCCCGTGGCGAGCCATTGTTGCAGGCTGATTAGTGAATTTTACTAGAACACAAGAGCCCCCAAAATAGGGAGGAGAGCGATGGAGAGAGAGACTGCGTGAAAATTGAGGAATCGAAAATTCAGGCCTCAGGCCATCGACAGAACACAATATGGAAGACCTTTGTCTACCTCATCCTCACCTGCGCAGCCGTTCCAATGTTGGACTGAGGCGATCGATTATATAATACATGTGATGAGCTAACCCGATGCGGATACCTAGATCCAAACGACGTAGGCGCGACCTCCTGCTCCGCTTGCGTCAACAGCTCCCCCGTCAATTCTGAACTTTGGAAGATCCGATTCCCATTCATTTTTGCGTTTGGTTTGTCGCTCAATTCTAATCCAGCTGATATTACTTGGACAATTCCTTGATGACTTGTCAGGCGGCAGCTCGGGGGAGCTTCCTCCGTACTCTGCACCTCAGTGCTCACTCTCGCCCGACTGGCGTGATCGGCCGGCAGAACCAACTCCGTCACATTTGTCTGGCTGCCAATTCTGGCCTCACGCGTCCGCAGGCCCCAGCTCTCTGCTCCATTCAATGGCGACCCCAATCGAATTCATTCGCAACCAGTCCGAACCATCTCGAAACCACCAAGGCTCCTAGAACAGAGGAGAGCTCGGACAAGGGCGCCAATGGCAAACATGCAGATGATAATTCAACTAAAAAAAAGAAGAAGCCGCTCACTGAGAAACAGAAGGAAAAGAGAGCCGCCCACCAACGCAAGCTTCAAATTGACCAGCTCAAGGTGACTGCACTGACACCACCCAAGAAGCTGCCTCCCAATTTCTTCTCTCTTGCTATCGCAGAGAAGATCAGTGAGATGAAAGATCTTGGTCAATACAAGCCCGGCGAGGCATTCACCATTGCTGCTACGCAAGCCAAATCTCTCAGTGCTCAGGATGAGGAGGTACGCCCCCTTGACTTTCTGCGTTTACGTTGGAAGCTAATCACCTCCCTCAGCGACTCAAAGCCCAAGCCGAAAAAAATAGGGCCGCTAATACAGCTGCCTACAAGGCCTGGATTCAATCGCACACACCTCTTCAGATCAAGGAAGCCAATGCCGCTCGCCGATTCCTCTCACGTCTTGTCAAGAAAGATTATCGTAACATCACGGACGACCGCTTGGTCAAGGCACCTTCCTCCCGCTACGCTCTTTATCTGAAAGAACGTCTCAGTTCCGGTGAATATCAGGCCCAAACCCAAAAAGAGGCCTTTGGAGCCATCGCTAAAACATGGAACGAGCTGGCCGAATCGGAAAAAGAAGTAAGAGCCCCTAGGGAATTGGATGTATTCCATCCTTGCAGGGACTAACTATCAATCTAGCACTACCACAGGTTGCACGTCGAAGATCGTGCGCGATACGAAAGAGAGCACCAGGAAGTATATGGAATTCCGGCACCGAAGCAGGCCCAGGAACACTCGTAAAGCCCTTTGTGCACCTCAGCCGGGTTTGCCATAGACATATCTACCGTGACGGTATTCGGGCTTGTTTGTCACGTGCTTCTTTGAGTCAACCATATCGCTTGAGTCCAACTCGTTTCGCGTGTGCTTTGTTGCATTGTTTGTTGTAATCCCTCTTCTCAAAGTGTACCTTGTATCATTTTCCCGGTAGTGAAATCGCGGCAACAAAGAAACAGCCCTCAATTCATCGCCCGGATTCTACTCTCCTCTATTTCCATTTTCCACACCACTCACCAGGGCCATGTAGTCAGATGAGTAAGAGAAGAGAGAAGAGCATCCGTATGTAGTATGTACGGAGTACTCCGTACCTCTTTGCCGAAGGCTCCCCACCACCCCGCACTGGGAGGGGTTTCTGCTCCGAAACTCAAGTGGCGGTGAGCAAGTGATGTTACGCTTGCAGGACGCCCTGTCAGTTTGCACAACAATTACGTCCAATGAATTGGGCGAATTGACCAATATGTGCGGTGTACTCCATATGGAGTATAGACATAGACATTGATAGGTCTCAAATCCACAAATGGCCTGCGTGACTACATTGTCAAGTCTGAAGGTAGAGTTATATATACACGATATAACTACATGTACATGTGATTAACTATAAGAGGTAACTAACTATACATGTTGTACATGTAGGTATCTTCTCCATAAGTCCATGCATTATATGCTCTTCTGTACGGAGTACATCAGTGTGTATACGTGTACGGAGTATGTAGCTACTGGTATATCCCATTAACCCGATCAATCTTATAATTCGTGAAATATTCACGGGTGGCTGGACCAAGATTTTTAATTATAGTTTCTGATCATGCAACCCCTATCCCATCAGCAAGCACGGAGTACAAAGCATATATTCATCGGTTCTTCCAGCGATGGTGTAGTCGAAGTCAACTATCCCTTTTAACATGCAGAGCCTTGATGATATCTGTGATTGGCATGTCGATTCTAGGCAGAATCCACACGAATCAACATGTACAATGTTATGTACCTACATCCTGGGTATATGGACAGGTAGGTTGCCCGGGGAGCGGCGTACCGTGGGAGGAGGGCAGGCATTCCATGGTCCATTTGAAGGCAGGGGTCTGTGCGAAGTTTCGCGTATGTCATGCAGAGTACTCCGTAGGTACAGGTACAATAGTAGTGCGACATCGAAAATAAACCATGCATGTACACCTGGGCTCGGTATTTGATTGTACCTATATGTAGGCCTATCTACATGTATCCATGGTCCTATGTCCTTTTCTGATAACTTGAATGTCTAAATATGGATGGTCCTAGGAGTAGAGCACAAATCAGATAAACAACAAGGGTGTGGGGGACGTTGACAAGAAATGGAGTGTACTTATGTATCTTGTGTGCGGAGAACGGAAGATCATACGAAAAATAGGATAAGATTCATCTCCACCGCCTGAACGTATCCCTGCCGCGATTCAGATGATCCCAGTCTGCCTTTCTCCTGCTTTTCTCCCTTGCCCAGGGAACTCCTCGACACCCCTTGTGTTTCTCACCTACTCCCTACAGAGTAAATCCTTCTACTGTCTGGTCTTCGTCTTTTTTCTACGGCTTGTCAGCACAACTGAAGTTGCGCCGGTCGTGCAGGGAGGCTATCTGTTAATTTGACTTCTTTTATTCTCTATTAGTTTCTACTTCTACCTGCACGCCCCTTTCGCCTCGATATCGCGATTCTGGAATTTGACAATTCCGCGACGAAACTTCCCGTTACCGATTGAAATCCCCGCTGGGACTCGAATCGCACCCACAACCGTACTCCGATGCTTTCGCTATTTTAACACAACGGAGCTGACGCATCAGTGATCGGGGCCACGCATGAACTTGGCCCATGTGATGTTCGGCATGGAGGCGCTCGACAGGTCTTATGGTAGATGCGCGGGGATCACTAGCACCCCAAAGGACCTCGCATACCACATATGGAGCGTGCAAGTTGAGGTGGAGAAAATCCTTGACGAGGTATGGATTCAGTTCATGTTGGGACCGGCGGGGTCTCATCTGCCGGGCCACTCGGCGCTCCAAAAGGTAGATTTGAACACTGCATTGAGTTCTCGCCCTGTGACTTGCTCGTCGGAGCCACCGTTGTACAACGAGCTTCCACCACCCTACGAGGATGTGATTCATGACCTTCCTCCCGAATATTCTCCGCTGCCTCTACTTTCACAGCGCAAATCAACGCGTTTTCCCTATGCGCCAAAAACTCAGTTTACACCACATCGTCAGTCATCCTGCTTGCTGAAAAATCGCATGCTCGATATATCCATTGATTTCGAGAATCCTACCGGAGTTCGGGAGCACAAAAAGAAAAAGACTGCCGCAAAAAAGCCCCACCACCTCCCACCCCGCCTACTCCACCCCCGCCACCGGCAGATGGAGGAGATAACGACCCCAATGGTGGTGGTGATGGCGCTGGGGCCGGTGGTGATTCAGGCGGCGCTGGTGACGGCGACGGGAATGGCGACGGGGGAGATGGCGACGGGAATGGCGGCGATAGTTGGGGTGATTGGAATACAAGCGGAAAGAAAAAAGATAAGAAGAAGAAAGAAGAAGAAGAAGAAAAAGAAGAGGCCGAGAGACTAGCTAAGGAAGAGGAAGAACGAAAGGCCGCTGAGGCCTCTGCTGCTAACAATCTTAGCTGGGCTGAAGAGGACAGCGGTGGAGGTGATGAATCCTGGGCTGGCTTTGCGACTGTAGGAAAGAAGAAGAAAGGAAAGGTAAGCAAAACTCTCTCCCTTATACAAGATAGTGTCTAAATACTATTGCAGGACGATGCACCTCCTGGGGCATTTCAGGACGTAAGTTTGAATGACGGTGCACAGCAATTGGACTTGAACTTCGACACTACAGCGCCCAAGACTGGCGGCACTGGGTTTAGCTTCGGAGGATGGGGAAAAGACTGGAACACCGGTGGCAAGCCCAATACGCTTGGAGGGGCTGATCCCAAAGAAGATCCCAAAGACAACAACCCCTGGGAAACCTCTAAGAAGAAAACGGGCAAGACCTCCCCCGGTGAATTCAATTTTGGCTTGGATTCTGCACCTGCCGAAGGAACAAAACAAGAGGATGATTGGGGAGGTTGGGATATGCCAAAGGAGAGGAAGAAGGGGACTGGCGAGCCAGAACCTAACATCGAGCCTCCTGCACCGCCCCCACCACCTGCACCTAAAGTCGATTTCACACAGGAGGCTTGGTACCTAGGACTCTCCAAGAAAGAGCAACGTAAAGCGAAGAAGGAAATGGAAAAGAAAATCAAAGATGAAGAGGAAGCTGCAGCAAAGGAGGCGGCAGAGCAGGAGGCAGCCAGGACTGCGGCTCAACCCGAACCTGAACCCGAACCTGAACCTGGACCTGAACCTGAACCTGAACCGGTGGTCGAGGAGACTCAGAAACCACCCGAGACAGATACTGACTGGGGCTGGAATGTTCCAGTCAAGTCCAAAGACAAGAAGAAAAAGAAGATTGACCTTCTAGCTGATTTGATGCCCTCGACTCCTGCTGATCCCCCACCTAAGGAGGATGTCTGGGAAGATGGATGGGATACTACAAGCAAAAAAAAGGACAAAAAGCCTATGAATCCAGAGCCCATTGCCGACGAAGTAAGATTCAAGGAGCCAGAACTCGAGCCGGCGCCCATTGCGGAACCTGAACCCGAGCCTGAACCGGAGCCTAAAGCGCCAGCAATACCCGATGATCCTCTATACGCAAACTGGCGTACTATATCCTCCAAGGAACGCAAGAAGCGAGAGAAACAACTGACACGAAAGGGTCTTCCTATTCCCGGTAAGGATTTTGAGCTCCCTTCCGACGAGCCGCCTGCGGAAGTGCCTGAACCGGTCGTTGAACCCGAACCCGTACCTGATCCTGAGCCCGAACCCGAGCCCGAACCGATCGTTGAACCCGAACCTGAGCCTGAACCGATCGTTGAACCCGAACCTGAGCCTGAACCGATAGCTGAACCCGAACCTGAGCCCGAACCCGAAAAGGCGGCCGAAGATGATGCCTGGGGTATTTGGGGGCCTGTAAAGGAGAAGAAAAAGAAAAAGAGGGGCAAAGACATCGAGCAACCTCCTCCTCCTGCACCGACTCCTCCTGCACAGGGCCTGACTCCGGAGCCGGAACCCTTTGATAATGCAGACGATATTTGGGCAGACCTGGCCCCCAAAGCCTCCCAAGGCTCCAAAAAGGTCACGAGAGCCATTGAATCCCCCAAAGAAGAAAAATTGTCCAAAAGCTTCTGGTCAACCATCACCGGGGGTTCCACGAGCAAAGCCAAATCAACGAAGATTGACGAAATTTCTAATGCCAAAGAGGAGCAGAAAGAGGTTGCGCCAATTGAAGAAGAAGAACTACTGCTTGATGTTGATATGGACCCTGTAGACTCTATAGCACAGGTGGAGCCTGAACCTGCCCCTGAGCCTGAGCCTCCGGCTCCAGCAAAGCCAACCAAGCCCAAGACTTCTAAACTCAGTGTCGCAGAACGCATCAAGGCGTTGGAGCAGGCCAAGAGGGAGAAGGCAAAGGAGGAGAAGGCAAAGGAGGAGAAGGCAAAGGAGGAGAAGGCAAAGGAGGAGAAGGCAAAGGAGGAGAAGGCAAAGGAGGAGAAGGCGAGCTCAAAGGGGAAATCTAAAGAAAAGAAGGCCGAGCCGGAGACTGAGCCAGAGCCTGCACCTCTCGCAGTGGAACCTGCTCCGACGAAGAACAATTCAAAATCCAAGATCAAGTCATTGTCCAAACAAGAAGAGTTTCAGCCAGAAGAAAGAACATTCTCGAGGGATTCTGTGCCCGGAAGCTTCCCAGACTTTGGGGACGACCTCGAGCCCCAGCCCGAATATGTACCTGAGCCCGAGCCTGAGCCCGAGCCCGAGCCTGAGCCTGAGCCTGAGCCCGAGCCTCCAGCCCCGGATCTTTCAAAGATGACCAAAAAGGAACTCAAGAAGTATAAAAAGGCCGAAGCTGAAAGGGCGGCGGCAGCGGCAGCGATAGAGTCAACTTCACCACCCCAGGAAATCCCTCCAGCAGAACTAGTTACACGAGAGCCAGAGCCAGCGCCAGAGCCAGCGCCAGAGCCAGAGCCAGAGCCAGAGCCAGAGCCAGAGCCAGCGCCAGAGCCAGAGCCAGAGCCAGCGCCGGAACCAGAGACTGAGTCTGCACCCGCGAAGACAGAAGAGGAGAACAAAGCCGTTCCCCCGACGCCAGAGCCAGAGCCAGAAAAAACGCCTGCAAAATCCCCCAAGAAGGACCGAGCACGCGAACGCAATACGAACACATCGCCATGGAGCTTTTGGGGGCCCACACCACCTCCCAAAAAGTCAAGTAAAAAGGAAAGTAAGAAACAGGAGGCTGGATCTCCAAAGCAAAAAGACTCCACGCAAGAGCATTCTCCTGTCGCAAAGCGGTCAAAACCTACAAGCTCTCGACCCAAAGACCTTGAGCCAGAATTGGAAAAGTCTTCTCCATCTGAATGGGGAAAACGGCGAGAACGAGAGAGCCGATCCTTGAAGAACCAACGTGGCGTGACTTTGGCCAACATGGTACTTGGTACACCCCAGCCCAGAAGCAAACCAAGCCGCAAGCCTAGTTCTCCATCGAAATCCGTGTCTAGACGCCCATCAGTCGATTTAGATGACAAAACTGCTACCGCGAACCCTCTGAGTGAGAAGCCGGATATGTCTGTCAAGGCAGCCAAGTTGATGGGCATCGATGCTTCTAAGTCTCGACGTGAACGTGAACGCCCACGGGCTGAGAGGCGGAAATCAGGTACGTTCTTTTCCATGCCTATGGTCTGCCTTTGCTGACTTTCCGCCTGCTGAGCAGCTCGAGATCCATATCCAATTGAGGATGATGATCTCGTTATCGTAGATTTGGAGGATGGCAACGTTCGGTCTCCGAAACGGCCTTCCAAGGAGAGAGGCAAATCAAAGAGACAGGTAGCTTATCATGACCACAGCACTCTTTGTGCCGTTGTATTGACTGACAATTTTTTTAAGTCCCGCGTCAACCCTGACAATGAGGACGATGCTGTGATGGTCGACATGAACCAAGCACATCTTGCTCCAGACATCGTATCACGGGCCGACGATATGGCCTTTGTCGATGCGTCCCCAAGAGAACGCCGCCTAAAACGCTCGAATACTGCACCACCAAGGATCAAGGAGAACAGTGGGATTATGGGACTGTTTGGTTTGAGGAAAAACGCACGCCCAGAACGCACAGAGCGCCCAGAGATGCCTGAACGTCGGAAGTCGCGCTCATATCGAGATGATGACGCAAGGGGTCCTTCGGAAATGGAGCGCGATTTTGGTCGCAGATTACGCCGCGAAGAGCGACGTCGAGGGTCTGTCCGACCAGAGACTGATCGTGAAGGTTTCATGACCGATGACTTTGGTGGCGGTGCAGGCGGCGAGATCGAAGCAGAAGAAGCAGAAGCTCGACGAGCAGCACGTCACGCACGACGTGCATCCCGCAAAGCTCCTTCCGACACACATGGAAGTGAGGCACGTGAAGCAGAGGAGCGCCGTGCGAGAAGAAGAGAACGAGCACGTGAACAATACGTAGAATACCGCAACCCGCGAGCAGCAGAATACCCACCCCGGGTACCTCTATATGCGGAACTTCATCCTCTGGAATCACAGGCGGCTCTGCGAGCCGAAGCCGAATCCAGAAAGGCAGAGCGTCGTGATCGCCGGCGCATGCACGACGAGGAAAAGATGGCAGCGAGAGCGAGCCGACGCCGTGAACGCGAGCAGGAAATACCCAGTGAATACTTTCCCGATCGGGGAGCGTTGGATTATCGAGGCACGCGCAGCTCCCGTGCATATGACGATCCAAGGTCTCGTCGTCGCAAGTCCAAAGTGGCACCCGAACCAACCCAGGAGCCGTTCATGACTGGAGGCATATATCCTAGCAGTGGTAGGAAAGATAAGATTTCCTCATGGGTCTACTCACAAGCTGATGAGCCCCCGGAGCCACCGCCAATTGTCCCCACTGTGATTGATATGCCTCCTACAGCTGCCGACGGAGGCAATGCACATTCTCTTTCTTCGGACGAGGAAGCCCGTCGCGCTGTTCGCCGCAAGGCTCGTCGCCGTGCCAAGTATCCCGAGGAAGATTTTGATGACGCCCGTCCTCGATATCGTGGCTCCCGTCGTGAGGGTATGAAAAGTAGCTCTGGAAGCGGCGATTATGAGCGTGAACGTGGGATGAGGTCACAGCCGGGAAGTCGACAGAGCGCTCCGCCAAGCTCTGGGGCGAAGATGCCCAGTTGGTTCCGCAAACTGACGAATCTCTAAAAAGCAAGTCGTTCTGTTTCAAATGAAATGTCGGTGATAGCTTTCATATTTGGTACATGATTGTAGCGTGTTCTGATTTGTGGTTTTGCCTGGAAGCAATGTGTCTGAGGGACCAGGTTGGATGTGACGACGTGTATGGAGTTCAGTACGATACTATGACACAGTAGAGCATGTTGAGTTTCGTTCTTTATTCCAAGTTGACTTTGTGACTCCATCGGCTGGCATGTAAACCATGTAAACCTCTTCACATTACGCAAATGAGCCGAGGTTGGCAGGCTCGATGGCTCGATAGCTCGATGGCTCGATTCTTCGACAATGACAGGGCAATGAGGGTCCATAAGATAGAGCTTGAAGCTTGTTCCATCGCCCCAGAGCTTCTACGAGGCCGACTAGGCATCAGCACGGAAAAGCGTAAAGAAGCGAGGCAATTTCCCTCTGAGAGGAGAGTCTCATAGCCACCAACAGTCAATCTGATCTTCCCGTTCTCTGTGTGTCAAGCATCGACGTTATTCCTCCCTCCTGTCCCATCGTGATTGCCGAGGTCTCTGGACTGAACAGATCGAGATAGTGTGTCTCTTGACATCTCACATTGAGGTATTATGACTCTTAACGTGGTCTGTACGTCGTCGCTGACCAGCCGGTTTGCTTCAGGGCACTCTCTGACCCATCATCAACGTGCCATCTATCTTTTTCTCCGAGCCAACCCGCCTCCACAGCCGAGTCTCGATACTGTCACTTCCTCAAATGCATCGAGTACAGGGTGACGTCCGTTCCACACTTGACAGATCCGCACCTACTTCCGTCTCCAACTTTCAAGAGGAGCGTTCTCATCTCTTGAACTTCCTTGAACAACAAGCTCGTCTCATCAGACAACAGCCGGAGTTAGATACAATCGACAAGGTCAAAGTTAATCTAACTGATCATGCTACCGAGCTTTTACGTCGAGTCCATGAAGCTGCTGTAGCCATGGCTATCATAGCACGAAACCATCCCTACGTTACTGCTAAACCGCCCGGCTTCTACAATATCGATGTTCCCACGATGTGTGAGGCCCTGGAGAAAAGGATGCCCGACCTGGCTAGAAGGCTTGGTCTGAACCCAAGATGCGACATGTGTGTTCATTTTACCATCGAAAACATCCTGGCTGACCTAGGGTTCTAGGTAGTTAGTTACTTTCTTTTGAATTTCTGTGAATCCAGTGATATGCGTGATCATCGCATTTGTTCTTCCATCCCCTATTCTCCTGTAGGCACGGACTCGAGGCACAAGGTGGTAATTATACATAGCTTAGGGAATGTCTCGATGATTGTATCGAATTTGCTCATGAAAGAAGAATTGGTTCTATGACTACTTCTTGATCTGATCGGGTTGCCATGGTATTGAGGCCTCTGCTATGCATGTCATTGGGAGGGAAGGACAAGTCAGATAACTCATGATCTAAGAGTGAACAACGAAATTTCATCTACTAGCGATATGGGTTGATCTTGATTCACTGGGAGCCAACAAGTTTCCCAGTATCTTTGAGACAAACCTCGATATCGGTGACTTGATCCGCAGGCACCTCGATGATATTTCGCCACAAGGTCCAGATATCCTGGTGATCAGAGACACCATCTGGGTCCTGTTGTTCGATCTCAAATTCCCTGGGCTGGGATGCCAAGAATCGGACTGTGGCAAGATTGACCGGTGCAGGAGGAATAACCGAAGAGAAATGGGTATACCCATACGATTTCACCTGCTTTTGGATTCTTTTCCACTGGAATCGCCACTTTTCGAATGCAAGCGTCCATTCTGGGTCGGCATCTCCATCTGCGAGAGTGGCACACATTGCCCAAAGAAAATGAGAGCTGTCGGTCCAACCATCAGACTCACCCGATGCAGTTAGAGATGGACTGTGTTCACGATGAACCCTGAAATGCAACAGGGGCCGGACTTCATCCAGTAACCTGAGTGCTACAGACATCGGTACCAAGTCAGAAGAATCCGAAATCTCCGAACCTGATCCCTCGTCGTCTGCATAGCAGACTCCCTCAGTATCTGCCGGGCGCTCCGACTCCTGTGGATTAGACACGTTCTTCATGGTGGTAATTGGATCGCGAGGTCGACCGATTTGAATTCAGAAGTTGAAATTGCGATACAAAGGCCCTGAGTTTGCGATAATATATCCGGCAGAAATGATCCTTTATATAATAGAATGCCAATCCAGTGCCTCATGCTTGAACTCAAAGACACTCTTTGTTCTCTTTTGATTTGTATTCTTCCTTCAAAAGTAGCCGCAAAAGTGGAAGATACAATGCCTTTCGCACAATGCGCTTGTTCTTTGTTCAACAATGGCCAATTCGGATACTTCTAGAATTGAATCAAAAGTGAAAGCCTTGAAGGCCACTCGGTTCGAAGTCTCACAATCTTCAAACCTGCAAGGATCTGAGTGCCACGTCGCACATGACACTGCCACTAGATGGCCTTGTCGCCCTCATCAGCAGTCTTTCCGTATTTCCGATCAAGCTGGTCCCGCTTCTTCCGTCGACTTTCGAGATAAAATCGGCCTCCTTCATACAGACTGAGATACAAACCCGAAGCAATCGCTGTCCACCCAGCACGTATCAGCCCGCCCTTAAATAAGCCGCGGATACCTTCGTGGTCTACGATATCACGACCGACAGTAATAGGCAATTTGTAAGACTTGGTCTTCGGCTGGGCCAACGACGCTACCACCTTACTGTCACGAGCACCAGCCTGGGTGCCAGCATCGGTCGCTGAAAGCATGACTCGGGTCTTGATCACATCGATGGGAGTAGTCACTGTCGATGTGATTGTACCCGCAAGCGCCGCCGAAATACCCGTCAACCCGGCCCGTTCGATCAGTTGATCTGACTGTTCGGAAGATGGTCGGTTTGTGTTTGTGCGAGTCGCTTTCTGTGTTCTCCGTCGGTCAATGAGATGTGATCGAACATATTCAAACAGCGGAAACTGTAAGGCTGTGGTCGGTAAGTTTCGACCAACCAGCGCCGTATATCCATTCCACAAGCGCCAAGGACGATGTCGAAATCTTGAAAGCACTTGGTGCATGGCAGATTTGGTCAAATGTTGATTGATGTTTTTGCTAGGAGCCTGGACCATTTGCGCGTTTTGTTTCAGAGCTTCTGCCGGCGTGAGGATGAGACATGACACCATCTCTCCGGCAGAGGAGGCAATCCCATTCATAACGGGAGTAGGAAGGGAATGTGTGAATGGCAATTGTACACTAATTAGAGAACCTTTAGGGTAGATTGTTCTGATATCATCCGATCTCGTGACATTTTTTATTGAAGAATTTTGCAGAGTACTTCTCACGGCTTCATATGTAGTGAAGAAAGCGCCAGCTAGAGGTGTATTGGATCATCAGCTATGGACTCTGTCGCTTTTCAATCGTAGTTAGCACGTACAAGATGGTATAGTTGAAAATACCACACTCCACACTCCCTGATATAGTCCTCGGAAAAGCACATGGCGTTTCACGGCTCCTGTGCGTACGTCTTTGAATACCTTCTCGTAGTCTGGAGACTGTATTCGGGTTTTGAGGGTGTCGACTGGGTAGACAACGAAATCGACTACCACTGCAGCAAAGGCACCTGCCTGTTGGATTGAGACGCCCTTGCAGTCAGCGAGTTACACATTGGAATGCGATGAAATTCGAAAAGCACTAGAATGAGGATGGGTGAAATGCAACTGCAACTCACTACCCAGATATCGGAATGACTGTTGTACATGGAAACAACAAGAAACTGAAGACTTTGGAGCAATATGGAGACATTGTCACCACTCCGAATAACGAAAGGCGAGCGAGGTACAGAGACAGAGTCATGGAGCAATCCTTTCGACTAACTGGTCACGGGGGATATGATGGGCGATGATGTCATTGACATGCATAGGTACGGGCGACTAAGTGTGCCACCCGTGACTTAATTATGATTGGCCTATACTGCTGTCCGCTTTTATCACCGCCTTCTCGAAGCACGTATGCTAATCTCAATTCATCTCCATTTCCATTTGCATACAAGCTTTGTACCTCGTTCAAGATGCCAGTCGGTCGCCCTACCATTGATCTTGAACCCTATAAAGCTATAATCATAACTTTTTCAGGGAGCCTCGAGTGATGGGGAAGAGTAAGCGTGCGTTAGTGGTAAGGAGTAGGGGGAGAAGAGAGAGACGGGGACGGTTTAAACGCCGAGAGACAGGTGTATACGGGAGTCGGGAACTACTATGAAGGCAGTTCGTGGACCGTAATAGGCCCGCACGGTGACCCACTTAGACCAACAATGCATAAAGCATGGTATGACCAAGTCCCAGGATCACAATAGCTTCATTCTTTTGAGGTTCCAACGATACTTTGCTTATTAAGCCCTCTGTCATAGTGATTCAAGTATTTGAACTTAGGCCAGCCTGAAATAAGGCAGATTCAGGTATCTTAAGGAATAAACCCGGCAAAATCAGGCATTTGGCCTTTGGATGACTGAAATACTGCCTGGCAATGCTATCCAATAATAATTAAGTCACGGATGGCATACTTAGTCGCCCGTACATAGGGAAACTACATCTCCAACATACGTGTAGGTATCTTCTAACCTGCCTGTACCTATATGTAGGTACTATTGAACCCTTTCTGGAATTTGAGGTATCAGATTTATTCATACCAATGCTCTAGGGTTCCTAGATGCCATCATTATATCGCAACACGGGAATACTGTACACAGCCTCTTAATAACCTTCCCCTCCATCCTCTACAGCCAGCCCTTTGGCCCACCCCAGTGACCCTTGATCATATATTTGCCGTACACCCAAGGGAAGAAATCTTTCTTTAGATGCCAGAACGAGCGACGGGGCTTACTCTGGTCGATACCAAGCAAATCTCCAAATGTCTCCTTGGGCTCTCCGCCATACTTGAACTCGGCAAGTAGAACCTTGCCATATTCGGTCAAGAGCGGGCACGACGTGTATCCGTCGTAGGAAGCATCCAATTCCTTGCCTTCCATGCTTTGCAGTAGGTTGCGAACGAGGACTGGTGCCTCGGAAGTGACAGCTGCAGCAGTCTTGGATGTGGGCAAACTGGACGCATCGCCGGCTGACCAAACATTGGCGAACTTCTTGTGGCGGGTACTGTTGTCATCGACATCCACGTATCCGGCCTCGTTGGCCAGAGGGCTGTTCTTGACGAATGCGTGGGCGCCCATCTTCGGAGAGACATGCAACAAGTCGAATGGTCTGGTGACCTCCCCGTCTGGAGAGGCGAAAATGGCAGCCTTGCCGTCAATGGCAAGGAGATCGTGCTGGAACATTCCCTCGACACCGCGATCCTGCCGCATCTGCTCCAGGACAGCGCTGTACTTGGGCACACCAAACATCACTGGGAGGCCAGTTGCAAAGCTGATTTTGATGGGCGAGTCAGAGGGCTTGGTCGGGTTGTAGAGGCCAGCTCGTTTCCAGTGATCTAACGCAAGCCACATGATCTTTTGCGGAGCACCCGCGCACTTGATCACGCCAGCTGGCTGGGTGAAGATGGCGTTGCCTTCGCGGAAGTTTTCAATGGTACGAAAGGCCTTATCACATGTGTCATAACCATAAATTGATGAGACATTTGAATGCCGATCCGCAAGGGCCTCGGGAAGACCTTGGATGCTACCGTAATTGATATTGATACCAGGCACGACAACCAGATGCTCGTAGTTGATCTTGTCACCACTCTCCAGTGTGACTGTATTTTCTGTTGGGGCAAAGGCACCGACACCTTCGTTGTAGAACTTGAACTTGGGGTCGATCAAGCTGTTCATGGGCTTGCGCAGATCCTCTTTGTTCTTGAGGCCACCCCCGACTAGGGTCCAGCCGGGTTGGTAGTGATGCCATGAGGCTGGGTCAATAACCGCAATGTCGTCTTGCGCGAATTTACCAGAATGCAACAGCTGATGGCTGATAGACAGACCAGCAGCACCACCGCCAACCACTACGACCTTGTGGTTTCGTGTATGGCTGACAGGAGACGTTGCAAAACTCCTCCATTGAGCGACGGAGCGCCTAGCAGCAATTGTGCGACCCTTGAACATCTTGACTGAAGATGAAGCAAATTTTGAGTTCAAAGAGCTCACGCCTACTGCGTACATATGAGGTATATATAAGTAGGCAGCCCATCTGATGATGTCGTGATTTCCGGGTTAACTCGTTCCGATATCGGGGTCTCGGCTTTTCTTCGCCGACGCCTTTCGGGGTTCTCAGGTCGGGCTACCGATCTTGCGTGTCCTAGGACCTCAGGCCATGCCTCTCATTGATTTACTTCGGAGATGCGAATTCAGTACCTCATCTTTTCTGACTTTAATATATGGGGTTGTGTGTGGAATCGACTTGATAAGGTCCACACAATCCTGGTAAACACATTCAACATGCATGTACTTTCAAGCCCAAGCAATGCGACCAAGATGCTTCTCCGGTTTACCTAGGTACTATCTTTGCCTCCCTGACTTTTTTTTCTTTGCTTCTCTTCGTGTATGGGCCCATATTGCATCCTGGGGAATCTGACCCGGGAACCTCCTACCAAATCCCATGAGTGGAACCCGATATCAGGACCATAACGACGAAGCCCTGTTCGGAGTACTTCATCCAGTGCCATCTCATTCCCCGGAGTTTGAGCACGTAAATTCGACTTTTCTTCACAGATCCAAGATTTCATTGGAGCGGGCCTGGCAGGCGAACGTTCAATCGGCGACCTCGGGAGCGTGGATATGGTAGATGCTCGCCGAGTCGCCGACCCAAGTCTATCCTTTTATCATGGCCAATACAACTCCAGCTTGCACATTCTTCTTCAGCTTGATTCCTGAATCTTGTGAACTGTGCTCGGTTCTTTGCAGCCACCATTGATCACCACTTGGAAGATGCCGTCAAACTCGCTCAGAACGGCCAACGGGCTCATTCGAACTTCGACCCTGGGTAACTTCAGGCATTCGCATCGCCTTCAGCCATTAATAACAGATGTATCCACCGGCCTAAAACCCCTGAGTAATAGTGCTTTTGCCAGGGGCATCCATCATCCATCATCTCAAGATCGACCGGTGCAGAGATCGCACCAGCCATTCTCGCCACATCCGTGGTCCATCACTACCCACTGTCGGAACACGCCACGAGTTTCATACAGCACTGTGGCTAATATGCCAACTGAGCCAATTATTCACGATGTTTTTGAACCGACATCAGGAACATGGCAGTATGTCATTGCTGATCCGTCTACATTAACAGCTGTCATCATTGACCCCGTCTTGAACTATGATCCCGCCACCCAGGACCTGGCCACTTGCGCAGCCGACTCCCTCTTGTCTCTTGTAAAGAAAAAGGGGTATAAGATTGACAAGATTCTTGAAACTCATGCTCATGCAGATCATTTGACTGCAGCGTCATATCTTCAACACCGTCTTGCGCATCAACAAGATTACAAGCCACCCATTTGCATTGGCAGACGCATTGAGCAAGTGCAAAGGTTGTTCGGCCAAAGATACGGTGTGCCAGAAGAAGAATATGAAGGCATTTTTGACAAGCTCTTCCACGACAATGAAACTTTTGCTATTGGGAACCTAAAAGCAACAGCCATGCATCTTCCGGGACATACGCCAGATCATCTTGGCTATATGGTTGGAGGTAATGTTGTCCCGAAAAACCTGACACAGATACACATATACTCATAAGTCTTCTTCAGATAATCTGTTTTGCGGGGATTCTCTCTTCCATGTGGATATTGGCACTGCACGCTGTGACTTTCCAGGTGGTGATGCCAAAGATCTCTTTCAATCGGGCCGGAGGCTTTTAAGTCTCCCTGACCATGTCAAGATCTGGACAGGCCATGATTATCCATCCGGAGAACGCAAAACTCCAGTCCCTTGGATGAGTGTCCAAGATCATAAGCGGTTGAACAAGCATCTCAATGACGGGGTCAGCGAAGAAGAGTTTGTCACTATGCGGAAAGGGCGGGATGCACAACTAGCCGCACCTAAACTGCTCCATCAGTCGTTACAAGTCAACATTCGAGCAGGGAGACTTCCTTCGCCCACAACGTCTGGCTATCGATTGCTTCATCTCCCGCTGAAGCTCGCAGGGCAAGGGTGGTAAATGAGACGATGTTGAACTAAAAAAAGTAAAACGGCACATATCCATATAGTCCTTGCTCATTAGAAAGGAATAAGAAGAATATTTACTACCTAGTTATGTCACAAGACTTGCCAGTTCCAATTGTTCAATCTTATGTGGTGCCGATTACATACCTAACTAAAGCGCAAACTCCAAACAACCATTAATAGGTGGATCTTTCTGCCTTTTTGACTGGATTAGCAATGTATTCACAGCCGTTCTGTTTGAAAGCGACCTTGAAACCGCATTCATTTCGAGGAAAGCTCATTTGCGGCATTACTTATGTGCGCAGTGATGAGTCGCACCATATATGCTCCACGAACTCAAGGCCTTTTCCCTTGGAGGGGACCAGTCCATTCCTAATCGATAATCACAATGATCTCGAGACAGTCTCTACTAGGATGTAGTTTTATTTATCCCCTAGACGTTTGATCTAGCATCCTTCTGGTCATCTTTCGTCGAGCAGTATTCCAGGCAATATTCATGTGACATATACAAAACAAGTGGTCGTAGCAGTGTCTACATACGGAGTACACGCAGGTATACTCTTTAAGCTTGAAGTGATATCTTGTTGAGGCAGGTGCCTCAGGCCGACAGGCCCCATGATAGATAGATCTTCCTTTTCCCCTCCTCTCTCTCCTCTTCTTTCTTCTTCGTCCTCCTGTCCTCTTTTTTTCCGGAGTCTAGCACAATACAAGATAGTTTCTCCCTATTCTCGCATCGTACTCGACTTCCAAGATATCTGAACCAATTCTTGGATAACTTTGTCTCCTTTTCGAGATTTGCCGTAGATCAATTCACCTCCATCCAGCTTGTTCATTACATATACCTCCTCGACTTCCCGTTTAGGACGTTGTATATCCCAGGGTTCCAAAATTGGCGATATTAGCTGATGATCAACGCCATTATGCAAACTACACCTACGACGCTGTATTTGATATTCTGGCCATCCTAACTACCTTATGTACCTAGGTACGTACAGAAGCTTGAACATTGATGTCATGGTGCTTGACGGCGGGCGAGAAAGATATCTCTCCCATCACGGGCGGTCTCTTGCTAACTGTACTGTCTCCTCGACATCGCCAGCCTGTCAGGAGAGATAGACCGTGTCAGTAGGGCTTGAGAGCATAGAGAACATCGGGGTTGAACAAGATTGTCTAACATCCATTCAGAGATAATACACCAACAATATGAATGCCAATGTTCTTTCCCAGCCCTCTCTCTCTCCCCTTTCTATTGCTTTGGAGTTACAATGACCTTTATGCTCCGGCCGTTCTGAGAACCGCAAAGCCCTGTCAATATACTCTCTTTCGTCCTTATATTGTTCTCTTTCTCAACAAGCTGCGTGTCAAGAGCCAAATCCTCAGTATATGGAGGTTGCTCGAGCAACATAAATAGGCTCGACGCCGCTTGAATACTTTCTCATCAAACCACTCACAGTGTATTCAGCAAACTTCTCAAAGGTACTTATTATCCCGTAACCGATTCACAATGATTCTCGCTGCCCCTGACAGTGTTTACGCCAAAGAGCGAACTTACTATCTTAACCTCCTAGAATGCCAGGTCAATGATCTACGGTGGATGCCAGAGCGTCACCTTCAGGTGATTGAACGGCTCGTAGAGCTACATAACCTGACACAGGGCTATATCACAGCTTCGCATTTACTAGAAGATGCTTGTTTCCATCAGATTTGCTGCACCTTGCAGCCTATCCTCAGCAGCGCAATCCTCACACTCCGCAGAGATAGTGACCCCGTCAGTGGGTACAGGATTGCTGATGAGCTCGAGAACGCAGTTCCCCTGGCCGTTCGAGACCCGTTGGCCTATTCGCGAGCCCGAGCAGGGGGCCTTGATGCTGTATAAGAAATTAGTCAACTTCCTAGAATTCATAGCTAGCTTGCGTTTTGTTAATTCCACTTGATAATCCACGATGTCCAAAAGAAAGATGAAGGAAAAGAAGAAGACAGTAGATGAAAATTGGACCTGTTCGATGTGTTTGATGTATTCTAAACAAAATAAAGATTTTCCTTCTACGGCCGAATACAAATCGATACACGCAGGAGTCAGGTAATGCCCAGTGACTCAGCTCCGCTGATCATAGAAGAAAACAAAAAATAAGAAACAGGAAGTCATATTAACATCCAAAATAGAGAACATTTTCCTTCCCTACGCCGTAAAAAGGTCATGCAATCCCAGAAGCATCGTATCTCCCCTTCGCAATCATCAACGTTCAGTTCGAGGTCTCATTGGGCAAAAGGTTGCCCTTGATAGCAAACATCTTGCCTGTGCTGGACGAGACGAAGCTGTCGACCTGGCGTGCGTACTGATCCACCTGGCGAGTATTGAGCATGCTCTCCAGGCGGCTGGGCTCGACCGGAAGCTTGAACAGACGCTGCCACTCATCTTCGGGGAGAAGGGGCTGGTTGAGGGTGGCACGGGTGGCGTTCTCTTGTGCGCGCTTCTGCTTCCAGGCGTTGATCTTCTGCTGCTCGCGGCCGAGCACACGCTGGTAGTATTGGTAGTTGTTGACCTCGGTGTTGTGGGTCTCAATGCTGTCGAGAAGGAGATCGCAGTTCTTCTCCAGGAAGGGATCAATGTTGAGAGACAAGTTTTCGAGGTTGGGGGTGAGGGTAGAGGTTTTACTGAAGGCACTGGACTCAAGGGCGGCCAGGGAGGTGGGAAGCTCAGTCGAAGCCGAGGAAGTCGGGCACTGCAGCTGGTGAATGAAAGAGGTGATCAGGTGGGAGTTGTGGAGCTTGACGGGGAGTTCCTCGAAGATGTCGGGGTGGCGCATGTTCGACTTTTGCAGGCTGCGATTCTTGTCAGTATTGATTTTTCTTGGATATGATTCTGTGGGCACGTGGGCCATCACACGTACTCCTCTGAAGTGAACTTGTTCTCCTTGAACGCGGCCATGAACTTGGATGACAGGCGGAAGGCACGGAGGCTGAGGCTGCCCTGGGCGCTACGGCTGACATCATGGACAAGAGCGACTGTGCGCTCGTTCAACTGACTCTGGTAGTAAAACTGGTTCTCGATCACGTTCATGTTCACGAAGTTGCCCATGTTGGCACTGGTGTACCATCCGACATTGTTGGCATCAGTGTTGACCTCGCGCAGCATACGGATCATTTCTGCAGAGTATGCGGCATTTGCCTTGGCACGAGGAGCAGCGGCGGCTGGGTTGGGAGCGGCATTGTCGAAGTGCGACTCAGCGGGGACTTCGACGACGGGGAATGGGAAAGTGTTGGTGATCTCGAGGGTGCCGTCGACATCCATTCCGACGATGGCGCCGGTTGCAGTGGAGGGGAAGGTCTGAGAGCAGTGCTTGATGATTTTCATCACCACCTAGAACATTGTACGTCAGTATTTCTGACTGGCGAGAACTGGGGGGAGATTTTCGTCGGGAAGACCGTACCAAGGCCTCGACCTGAACGGCCGCGAGGGGAGCTGGAGTTCTAGCAATCGGTCAGTATCATGTCACAGATGGAAAAAACGAAACAATCATTACTCACTCGGCCATTGTGGAAGATTGCAACAGTTGGGCGGTTGTGAAGGTCGAGACGGTGGACTTGGAGGGTTTGTGTGAAAGGGACCGTTCATTCCTGATCGAGTTTAGTGCGTTACCGATACACGGTGAAATGTGGTACGATCGTGCCTCATACAATTGGAGGGGCAATACAGTCATATTACATCTCCCCTACAATACTACGTATGTACAAACATAGTACATAGGGACCTGGTACCTACCTCTTCCCCCAGAGAATTGATCAAGTTTCCGTTGGATTGAGAGAGAGAGAGAGAGAGAGAGAGAGCGAGATAGGGCAGGCAAGGAGAAAAACGACAAACCATGAGCGAACGTCTCAAGCTTACGCAGAGAAACCGCCCCAGTCTGCAATTCTTCGAAGCCGAGGGCTTGCCAGGAGCTCAAGATGTACCTCCAACCAATGGCTTGTAATCTATCTTCGTGTCGTCCCACTTCCCCATAAATCACCGACATGAAACTCCGCAAGACACCATGCTGGATCACTCAGCTACTCGGATTGTCGACTACGATCGAGTCCATAACCTACAAAATATCGTGGTGACAACTTTGGCTCCATGCAAAGATGGCTACTGGGTGATGTACAGGATGTCCCAATCTCCACTCTGAAACATCGACTGACGTTTCACGATTTACATAGCTACATTCACGGAGGTGCCTGGCGGGATCCGACAGTCACGTTGGACTCCTTCAAACCGACCGAATCCATCCTCCGTGACGCAGACCTGCCTATTGCTGGGTTTGCATCAATCTCGTACCGCCTGAGCCCGCACCCAAATCACCCGCAAGACTCAAGAAGCACTGCCCCGAACGACTTCCAAAATGCGAGACACCCTGATCACATACGAGATGTGAAAGCAGCGCTTGCCTTCTTACAGAATACATACGGCTTTGGTGCGCGGTATATCTTAATTGGCCATAGTTGCGGAGCGACGCTGGCCTTCCAAGCCGTGATGGGCGCGATTTCAGACCATCGTGAACAGCCCTTCATAGGGGGCAAGGAGAACCAAGATATCAGTGTCGGAGTTGTATCTGCATCTCCTGGGCCCCTGCCACCTCCCTTGGCAGCCCAACCTACCGCCATTGTTGGTGTGGCGGGTATCTATGACCTGCGACGGCTTCGGGACTCACATCGTGATATCCCGGCCTACCAGGAGTTTATTGAGGGAGCTTTTGGACCGAATGAGCTACTTTGGGATGGTGTGTCACCAGCCCAAATGGCAGGATCTCGTGGAGTAGAAGGCGGATGGAAGTCTGGAAGGTTGGCGGTCCTGGCGCATTCCAAGGACGACGGCCTGGTAGATCACTCCCAAATGGAGGCCATGGAGGAGGCTTTGAGGTACTGGGAGAAAACAGAGGCCCAAATACCGGCGCATGAGTTCCCACACCGTGATAGACGTCTCTGCGTCCTATCCATCAGTGGTACCCATGATGAGGCATGGGAGAAGGGTGACCAGCTAGCTCGCGCGGTGAAGTTCGCATTTGAGCAACTACAGGACATGGGGCTGGCCCCTCAATCCTGAGGCTGAGAAGAAACTAGGTCCAGATAATTACAAGCGGCCACTGTAAATAATAGGCTATGCAAATTGACATGTATGCTTCTTCGTGTGTAGCAGGGACCTCACCACCAATCAGTATTCTCGACATACAAATATCAGAACCAACTTCATTTTCGGGAAAAGAAAGAGGAAATAAAAGTCAAATAAAAGTGCTTTCCCTTCGATTCAGTACTGATAGTCATGAACTGGGCTAGACTGGTAATTTGGATACATACGAAGTTGAAGAAGGCAACAATAAAAAATTAAAAACGAACCCATCGCATGTGGGCCATGCGAGCCAGACAACGCCATAATTTGTGAAAACATCTCAAGCTAAAAACAAGCATAGCACGTATCCCTCGTTGCGCCGAGATCTTGCCCATGGAAGATCGATAATGGAATTACTTTCAGTGAGAATTACTTGGCGACATCCATACGAGCGGAAGCTGTATCACCGCGGATCTTGTCATGCTTGACCCCGTGACTTTGACCTTCGGCATAATCATCGTCGTACTCGAATGCATCGTCATCACTTTCACTGTCCTCGATAAATCTGTGGTTGATGTCGACTTCGGCAAGACGCCACTTGAGATCTTCGCGCTGATTGTCTTGGAAACGAGCAAGCGCGGCTGCAGCGTGCACTTTGAACCCGTAGATCCTTGGTTCGTAGCGACGACTGCTCTTCTCGGGATTGAGAGCCGGGTAAACCTGGAATAGGATAGAGTGGAACGAGGTACCAAAGTATGCACCATCGATGGATGAGTGGCGTGTTGACTTGGGGTTGTAGATGTCTTCACATTTGGGACAGTAGAGTTTGACGGTGCTAACGTTTGGAAGATCCGATTCGCCCAGAGGTAGTAGAGCATGTCCATCGCACATCACACGAGGGCATTTCCCGAAATCGCTCTTCTTGTACTTTTCAAGCTACATGATTGTTAGGGTCTGCGTATCCAGAAGACAATCATCGCAAAAGCCCAGCATCTCAACATACCATTTTGGCGAGACCACGAGTGGTCACAATGTATCGAGCATGAACCAAGCCATAGAGATGACGGGCAGACTTTTCGATTTGCTCACGCAAGTCATCGTCGGCGTCGAGATCGAAAACGTCGGTCACAAGGTCAAGAGCGTACTGATAGTACGAGACTTCAGTATTCAATCCGGTGAGATTGAACCGATCAGTCAGGTAGTCTTCATCAATTTCGCAGAAGTATTCGTTGCCGCGGGAGGAAACAAACTGCACGAGGCACAACATCGAAGTTAGCATGATCATGAAGAAAGCCGCGCGAGCAACAGGACCGAAAGGCTGGGCGTAAGAAGAGCGACTGCGAGTGCAGCAACGCTATCCCTGTCCCATACCGCGATGTGATGGGCTGTGGGGATCCCAAGTATTCAAAGGAGCAGCATCTGGATCAGGTGGCGGGTCGCGGGGATCGGTTTGGTCGGCGCCGGGTGCGCCAAAGATATTCTTCAGGACGAACAGGAGCAAATGGATAAAGAGTATCAAGTAAAGCACAGCCATCGAAGTGGGCAGGATGCCTGCAATCCGGTTTCCCCCAGCAAAGGAGGAGAACGCGTTTTGGAAGGAAGCAATAGACATCCCGAGGCAAGTAGCCATGAACATCATGAGCGCACAGTGAACGATGAGAGATTCCATTGCGTATCACAAGTTCAGATAATATGCAGATGAGAGCTCGTAAGGTTGGAGTTGTGACAAGGAAGTGAACAGAATTGAGAGCGACTTTGCAATACGTCGACGGCATCTCAGCTCCGCTGTGTGCTTTATCCAAATTATCATGACAAAGATCGTGGCCTGGTTCCATTTGAATCGCAGCTTGATCCCCAAGCGTGCCTTCAAGCCGTCGACCCCCACATTGGCCCAGCCGCGGTGACATCCTGTCGCAACAATATTTATGAAGATAGAGATCCACTTACCCAGTCTCGCCAATAGCTAGTATAATCGCTATCTGTCTCGCTGTTGAAATCCTCCATCATGGTTGCTTTGAGCCGGTCAAGTCACCTCGGTTGTTGAGTGCTCGTTTTGAGTGTGGGTTGGCAAAGTCACGGGTGGGGTGATAAAGCTCAAAGTGGTGGGACACCCAAACCTACACGGCCGTGGAGTATGCAGCGCTTTATATCCCCTGATCGTCTCAAAGCGACAGGATAATCCGACAATGGTTCGTACAGAGGGTCCAGATGTGAAGAGAGTGGTGAGCAAGCCGTTCCGCATCTCGTTATCGAAGCTCTTCGCCTAGCGGGCGGTCAGAATACTGCATGATCTTCAGACCGCCTTTGACAAACATAAGTAGTGCTCACTAGTTAACTACATGTAACTACATAATGTATGTACCTTATGTACCTATCTCCAAAAAGACATAACTACGTGTAGGCTTGTATGTACGTTTTACAGCTGTATACATATGAAGTGCTAGGTGCTCTTCCTACGTCTCGGTTTAGCGGCATTCAGAACTAGTCAGTGGAATTTCGGCATCATATCATGCCACTTGAGGTCTCAATACTCCGTACATGATCCACATTCACCACTCTCTCCAGCCTGTATCTGTCTCAATATTGGCTAATTTCAAAACGAAGGGTTCGCATTTTCTACGAGCTGGGCAAAGTATGCCTGTCCGGTCATCAGTATGCAATGGATGGATTATCGGTTTAAAATCAGGGATTCGTACCTGGAACCATGCGCCAGCTTCAGGTGCAGGCTGAAGAGCGTCGCTATACCCACAATGTGCATCATATCGAACTGCACTGGAGTCTGAAGTCCCATCACTTTCACCGCCAGGCTTCACCCAAACAAATGCGTCCGTCAGGGCATCACCTGTGTCAGTGGTTGGCCGAACACCAAAACCGGTTCCCTTCACATTACACCAATCACCCCAGGCATTTTGCTGAGTGGGCTGGACTCCATTGCGGCCTATTCCACTGCAGTTAGCTTGAATACTTTGGCTCAAGGATAGGGATATCTCATTGTGACTCTGCGTGCGAAGCACTCAATGACATACCGGTGTCGGTTATGAAGTGAGCATCCCAGCCTGCGTTCTGAAGATGGGGAGCAATGGCATTAATGTAACTCTTTTCATCACAATTGGGATTTCCCGAGGTATATGATGGGCATGTAGACAAAGACCAGCCGTTGTAATTGGCAATGTTGGTCGCAAGTCCCCGTAGAGACGCGGGTTGAGAGGCACTATTGTAAACGTTGGCGTAAAGCTGAGCTGCTGGGCTCAGATTAGCGGGCCAACCAAGCCATCCCGCATGACCTAGACCAGTGGTTAGTGACTTTGCTTGAGGTATCAAGGCATATCCCTTCACGGCGCAATACAGAACGCATAATAAGTAGCCAATCACACAGAAAGGAGGGAAAAAGAACCACACGAAATAGGTTCCCCGGTGGCTCTGCTAATTGCCATGGGCTGTAGCCATCCGTCACTCTGGATGAAGGCTTACCTGCGTCAAGGTACATGGCAACATTGGCCAAGTTCAACTGAGTGACAGCATAGTCAGTGCACTCCAAATATGCATCATGTGCATTTGCACACTTCGACACATCCATGTTGGTCACCAAATTAGCCAAACTATCGGGTTCTAGAAGGAAAATTAGCAATGGTCATTCTGTGCACCAAGGTCATTGATGAACAAAGTCTACTCACCAATCACTAGGATGGTCTGGACATCAGAGTGCTCGACCAACACCTCGCGGATAGAGTCAATATATGCCTTGTAATTTGCAACGCCACCATTGTCAATGGAATACTCCCCATTGCTTGCCAATGCTGCGCAGTCCCGATCAGGCAGATCGTAGACAACAAAAGTGCCAGCAATCGGCGGGCTGGCACCATCTTCATTCTTGGCTCTAATATCGGCCAAGAAGGTGCTCATCATCGGCACCTTGTCTGCAGTATCTCTGGAGATAAACGTCAATGCGTGCCCTGGAGTAATGGGTATCAATCCGATTAACTCACAGCCAATAAAAGGATGGAACTTCAGCGGCCGAACTTGCGGCAGCTTGGGCTGTCCCTGTCATTGATGGCAAAGCGGAGGCTGAGACCTCGGATGCATAATATGGATTGGCATAAAGCTGGTACCCGGAGAACGGATTAGTCGAGGCTGCATTGGTGACAGTCGCTCGAGCGGCGTTTGAGATAGCCGCAGCCGTTGCAGAAGGGACTAGCAAAGACAAAAATGGAATGAGAGATCGCATTTTGGCAGTCATGGACGGATTCAGATGTTGATGTTGTAGAACTCCCTATGATGTCCTCGGAAGTTGTACAGGAGCGGAATCCCATTATATACCTGAGCGACTTGTCTGGCCTTTCGGCCTTGCGGGATTTCAAGCCGGAAAGTCGAACACAATGTCACCTCAAAGCAAGCCATCCGTGTGTGGAATCAGAACTATCTCCGTTCGACTGACCATTTCTGGACATTGCCAAGCCAGGAGCACGGCAGAGAATACTGCCATGATACCTACTTCTTTGTCTCATCGGTGGTTTGAAAATTGCCTTCTTCTTTTTATGTTCACCGATCACCGATTTATGCTTCTTGGTGCTCATGGCCTTCCTGGCACAGTCCATGGGTATACCTGGGTAATCGACATACCTTTGCAGACGTCCACTCTTTTTCTTTTGGCGAGAAGGAGATATGGGAGATCGATTCGGATGTCGCTATTCCGTACCGTGCATACGACTCAATTTGGCTAAATATGTTTGGCCTGGGGTAGACGAAACACAGCACAGATCAGGTGTCGTCTGCAGCGTGGGACTGTAACTTACCTAGATAGTCAAGGGGAAAAGGTTGAGATGATGCGAAACCCCGTCAACGCGGCATTGATCCTCCGTCCCCAAATCGGATTCATCGTCGATCCTCCCCCAACTCGGCGCGGATATTAGGTTGGATGCATCTGAGCCCCGGGGTTGTGAACAAGTGGCTTGGCTGTGTAATCCACTTGAAGCGTTTCGGTCCAATTATATGACGACCTTGCCACCTGCTTGTCTTGACGAAGCAACATCCATTCCACTGCAAGCGAACGATGGCTTTGCTCGGGGGAGACAAACGCCAGTGACATTCGAATGTGCCCCGCACTGTGGCGGCCTTGGTTCTTCAGGGCATCAAATCAGGAATTAACCGAAGGCAAGTAACAGTCAGACTTCTGGGCGCTATGAGATATTAAAATGGGTGTCTCCAGGGGGAAACGAGACGAAGGCACACCTTGTTTTACTACAGGCACCACAAGGACTAAACTCCGTACTTTTGGAATATTTCCCGCTAAAATTGGTTCTGACCTTGTAGCTAATATGGTACTCTCTAGAATAATTATGGATTTCTGATCGCGCTCGAAAAATAACCCTCCCCTGAACATAAGGGGTAGACTTCTCAGCCTATATTACCTAGGTAGCCATATCACGCCCCCAAGAGGCTTCATGTACCGCATACAGCCCCCGGTATCGCAAGTTGAAAGTATCCAAGCCCCAATACTTGCAAGATTCGGTCAGTCGAATATGCGGAAACTTTGGATTCATGATTGCTCCCTGAAGCTCGCCATTGGTCCCATACAAATTCAAACAGTGTACCCGATGCGCGTCATCATCTTCGCAGGTGTCGGGGGAATGATCAAGATGGCCTTTGATCGATGCAGGTTACGCCATGGTAGAGGTCGTCGCATTCTCGTTGAGGCAGTCCAGGCAGCCAGTTTGTCCAATCTTCCCAAGTCTGGGTTGCAGTGTACGAATCATAGCCAAGATACTCGAGGGTTGCGCGAGATATCATCCAAAGGTAGTTGAGCCCTTATTGTGCCGTTAGTAAGAGAGGTATATGTACCTGAAGTTGCTCTTGCGGAAAATATCATCATGCTGTCCATGGCCTCCGTGGTCGACGAAGTTGTTCAAGTTAATCTCCCATCACGGTCTCCAAATGATTCTAGAAAGATCAAGGCAGAAGCTAGCTAAGCAAGATGAAGCTTGCCCGCAGTTGCATCAAACCAAGTGTTTTACTATGAGTCGCTGGCATGTTTATTGCTCCGAGCCGCTGAATTTACGCCGCCAATTACAGACAGGGCGGGGTGGAAGCAAACGAGTGACATTCAATTCTACTGCGTATATGACAGAAAGGAAGTTAAAGAGCGGAGTGGTATTTGTATCAGGATCATCATGGGCATCATAAAGTTCAGGCTGAGACCTGGGGGCTAAGTCCCAAAGGGGGGTGGAATAGTGAACAAGGGCGAAATGAGGCGACGGAAAAACAAAACAATAGAAATGTTCATATTGAAAGTCAAAACGTTCGAAGAAAAGGAATCGAAGGCCTCGCATAATCCGACCAAACGCTTGTATTAACGCCTGGCATGATCACATTCTGCCAAAAACTTATAAATGCCCTCGACGCCTTCATACGCGGAGGTGCTCTCGGGTTGACCAGCGCTGGAATATTCCGGGAAAAAAGCCTGGTCTCCAAGCTCACTGACGTTAATACTGGAATAACTCTTGGCCGAGGATCTCCATGGATTGATTCCAAATATCTCACTATCCTCAAAACTGATGGCGTTGCCCGAATCCCGACTGGCAACCGGTGAGGTCGGTACATAGCCCTCTGGGGTCATCATACCTTGCCAGTCAACATGCGCTGGATATTGAGCTTGGGACCCGGAGACCTTTTCAAAGTAACAATCGATAGAGGAAGAGCCAATGCTTGGGGCGAAAGGAAACAGGAGAGCCAAATCGACACCAGTGTAAAGGTCAAATCCCTCGTCTTGTATGATTCGGCCTCGCTGGATCCCGGCTTCAATACACAGCCGCTCCACGGTTTCTGCATCACACCCTGGAAAACGCACCCGTATGGTTGATCGGTTGTGTAGTAAGATCGGAAGATCGCCGAGAGATGAGAGCCGCTTGAGATCGTTCATGACCGCAGAAAAATCCTTCAGCGCACGAGCAAAGTCGGCAGAAAGCAGATCCATGAGACCCTCGGAGTTCAGAGTCATGCACGAGGCGGAGCCGTCCTGCTTGGCGAAACTACCAATAGCACCGAGTGCAGTAATGGTCGGAGAGACATGGAACTCAATGTATGAGCCGGGTGCACTGTGGGGCTTGACATTCATTTCCCGCTCGGCTTGGTCCTGCAGCGTGCTGACGGCCTTGTACCGCTTCTCTCCGGTGCGAGGATCGACACCGTCGAATCGCACTTTCTGCCCCGATAAAAAGAAAGCACGGATCCCTTGGGACACATTCTGGATGACTTGTGCTGGCGCTACAGACCCATGTGAGAAATATCGAGCTCCACCGAAACGGCCAGCACCAATAGCGTATCCTCCTGCAGTTCGGCCGAGGGTCCCACCGGTCAAATTTGGACGAAGGGTAGAAGCGAAAGGCGCGCGGCTGCCCAAACGACCGATGTTAGATGCAATACGAGATGCGTTGCGAGAAATGGCATCTGCCCCAGGTCCTAATCGACTCGCAGAAGTAAAGGCACCGGCAGCACGAGTCGAGAAGTGGCGACTACGGCTCTGACGAATGGCAGCGGCACGACTGATTGGCTGACGAGGGTTGATACGAGCATAGATCGGTTGATATCGCAGTGTGTTGTAACTTATAGGCTCGGGTAATTTTGAAAGTATGGCTTTTGAGGCCCTTTCATATGCAAATCTGCCAGAATATCAGTCAATGACTCCATTGTGACCCTAACCAGAAGACAGGGGAAGAGAAAAACATACCTTGCTACTCTCCAAATCTTGGGAAGTAACAGGTGCCCTGCAGAAGGTGCCATCTTGAGGATCAGGGGACGAATCTTCAAAAGATCCAGTGGGACGGATGATGAGAAGGACGGATGCCTGATGATGCTGGGGTACAAGATATACACGCTTATCTCTCCGCCTCAGCCGCCAGGCTCCGCAGTGGCTGTGCAACGCCACTTGCGTGACGAAAAGTCCTGCGATGTACATAGGGACATAACTTATGTACATTAACTACTCCGTACATGTACATGTAGTTAACTAGTTATGTACACATATAGCTATGTGTATGTCAGGTAGTTATTGTACAGAGTACGGAATACTCTGTACTCCGCACATATGTAGGAGGTACACACTCCGTACGGAGGAGTGGGGACCCAGGTCCTCCACTACTGTCGGAGCATGAGATCGGCATACCGGAAGTTTAGTTTATCCTGTCCACGCAGTATTTTTGATATTAGTCAGAAAGTCATATTTCCTGCTAGAATACTCCGTAGTGGATACAGAAATACAGAGATTTCAACTCCCTTGATTGGACCCCTATTATACTGAATACACCATCAGTTGACAACTACGGTCAGATCTCGATCCTGCCCGACTGTTGCACATTTGCGATCTCGTGAGATAAGCACCATGAGGATATATATAGGTAGTCGGTAGATACAGATTGCCAATATACCCACCTACTACGTACATCTCTCTGATTTGCCTTCATGAACTACCCTCCGTACCCTACTGTTCCCTACGGTAGTTGGTAAGTTGTTGGATGCTGCCCGCTGAATCGGCCCATGTGCCAAAGAGTGCACTGCCATCGAGCGTTCCCCTCTTCAATATGTAGTTTGCTACGGTTGTTCGATTTGCCATATTTGCCTGGCCTAGCCAGTTGTGATGTAGTTTGACATTTATAACGACAAGAGATCTGGGAGCCCACAAAACGCAGGGATTGGTATCACATCAGTACTTGGTATCTGAACCCTAAATAATCATCAAAACATTCATGAATAATGACATATATTTACTCATCATCCCCGAAGAACACCTTGATGGGGAGCCAAGCGTCACCGCAGACCTTGAAGCGGTCCTTGAGGTTGTCGAGCTGGCTCACTTCATCTTCAGTCAAGTTCCAGCCATTAATATCAAAGTTACCCTCGATGCGCGACTTGCTGACGGACTTGGGGATGACACTCCATCCCTTTTGGACGCCCCAAACCAGGAGTACCTGCTGAGGAGTCTTTCCCTTCTTTTCAGCAATTTGCAGAAGGGTGGGATCCTTGTATAGAGGAGAGTTGGTTGAGCCTAGGCAGGAGTAACCCGTGGAGTGGATGCCCTTCGAAGTGTTATAGGCGACCAGTTTGGGAGAAGGATTGTTCGGGTGAAGTTCAATCTGGTTGACGGCAGGCACGATCTTGCAGCTGGGGTCATTCAAAAGCTTCTCCAAGTTCGTAATACCAAAGTTGGAGACACCGATGTTGCGGACTTTGCCAGTGGCAGGAAGCTTCTGCAGTTCTTGCCTGTTAAAGCCCCGACGTCAGCAATGATTTTCCAGGGGAATGATGCCATCAGCCATATCACATACCACGTCTTGATGAAATCCCAATCGGGCAGATGCTTCGACTTGTCATTGGGGTCGGTTGAGCTGGGCCAGTGCATCAAATAGAGATCCACGTAATCGGTGTCGAGGTCCTTAAGCGACGAGTCAATACCTTCGGTCACGCGGTGGTGCCAGGTGTTATCCAACTTGGTGGTGAGCCAGATCTGGTCGCGGGGTACGCCAGAGTCCTTGATACCCGCACCGACTTCGGCCTCATTGCCATAAGCCAGAGCAGTATCAATATGGCGGTAACCAGCAAGAAGAGCGTTCTTCACGGCCTCGCGGACCTCATTGGGCTTGGACTGCCATGTTCCCAGACCGACAGCGGGAATCTTGGCGCCAGTGTTGAGGGTGTAGGTCTTCCTATAGGAGAGAACGAGGGGTCAGTGCGATGATCTGGTAGTGTTTATTGACGTCCAACGTGTGTCAGGATTCAGGCACTTACTGGGTGTGCTGGTTCGACATTTTGATATAATGTGCTAGAATGATGAAGGAAGAAGGAAGAGCACAGAGGTTCTTATAACTGTTCCGGTCTAATCAAGCGGGCAGGTCCAAGAGCAGCGATGATGTGGAAGTGGGGATGGTGGCCCTGGGATTTTCCTTGGCCATTTGATCCTAAGCACAACAGCAATCCCCAGGAAGTCCCACCTGCGGGCAGAAATTACCCGACTGGAAATCAAATAGACACAGAGATCGTCATACTGCGACTGTATGACGCCGAAGGAGACAGGGCCACATTCTGGCTAAATGCCACGTCCCACCTGAGGCTTCCCACTCATCGTCCTCTCCCCAATCACATCTTCCAATTGACATCTCCCTCGATTCTCCTTCTCCCAGGCGAGACCGTTCGTTCCAGAAACTTCGACCCTTTCATCTGTGCGACATCTGTTATTCGCCTGCTTGTCGGTCCATTCCACACCCCCACGTCCCGTCTCGGCCCCCCGTCGCCGGATAATTTCCCATCCCGACCGTGCATTATACCCGAGTGTTGGATCCTGTAAACCTGCTTTGACCATTCTACGGTGTCCCCAGCTTGTCCGACCGCCATGTCATCGGGATTTATTTCAGCCGGAACCAACGAGCAGCCAATTGAACGAGACGATGAGTGGCTCATCGCGCAGCGGGAATTGGAGGAGGAGCGGAGGCGGAAGGCCGAGATAGGGAAGCAGAACGATGGCAAAAGTCTTTTTGAGGTGCTGGAGCGGAACAAAAGTGAGCCAATTCGGCGACTTGCGCAGTCTCACTCTTGAACAAAGAGCGGACGATGTATCCAGGGAATCTGGCTGACATGTTAGGGTGATTTTCCTCGGTCGTCATGTAGTGGCCAAACAGGAAGCCTTTGAGGAGAAATCCCGTTTGAAAAACCAATTCCGCTCGCTCGATGAAGATGAAGTCGAGTTTCTAGACTCTGTGTTGGAGTCAACACGTGCCCAGGAAGCTGCCGTCAAAAGAGACACTGCGGCTCAGCTCGAAGTCTTCCGCAGACAGCGCGAGGAGGCAGAGAAAGCACTGCTCGAGCAGGCCTCGTCGGATCCAAACCCCGTGAAACTACAAACATGGGCTGCACCTACGCGCAAGAGACGGCGTGACAAACAAAGGAATCTTTTAATCCCCGGCAAGAAACGCAGAAGTTCGGTCTCAGAGACTCTCCTCGAGCAGGGCACACACAACAGGCAAGACTCGCCGGTACAGCGCGGAGAGGGCATTTCGAGTACCATAAAGTCGGATGAAGAGACCTCCAAGTCCAACCAACCCAAACCTGCTGCTTCTGTAACGGCTCCTGCAATTAGTGATCCTACCATGCAACCTAGGGTGGCGACAGATACAGAAAATGGATCACAGAAGACAAACCCCCTGACGAGCCCTTTAGTTTCGCTTGGGCTGGGAGGATACGATTCTGACTCGGACTGATGGGCCAATAGTGGACCAACCAACCAAAGTGACATATTGCCATCGTAACGGGCACACGAGAATATCCGAAGCTGCTGTGGATTCCTTCTCACTAGGTTGGTATATTCATGCTTCAATTGAGCGTTTGCCCACCAATAGCTTCATTGGCTCAGATAAAAAACCATATCAAAATCTCCAGAAATGGTTACTCCACGAGCAACGATTTAGATCATACCCCAGCTTTCCATGCCTGCACTGCGAGCCATCTCTCTCGCAACAAGCCCCTTGACTCACTTCTGCTCAATGTCTTCTACTGAACATGCAGCGCGTTTTGCTTCACTTCCTGTTCTTCAAGTTTCCGCTCTAGATCATGTGTCATATACTCTTCCCTACGACTTCCTGGCACAATCCATGGCGCATTTGTAAACATTTGGTTCATTTCTTCGAGAGGCACCCTCTTGGTCTCCGGAAGCAGGAGCCAGAAGAAGACCGCATTGGTAAAGTTGCAGATGACGAAAATGAAGTAGAATCGATAGCCAATATTTGTCATTGCGATAGGGGTGATCTGGCCAATCATCGTGTTGAAGGCGAACGAGAGCATGGTGGCAATCGAGACACCCTTAGCGCGTGTGCGAGTATCAAATACTTCGGCTGGAATGATCCAGGACAGGGGACCGCAAGTTGCCGAGAATGAGAAATTATACAGCCAAGTCATGATGATGAAGCCCCAATGCGCGCCGCTGTTATTCGTCGTCGGAGGGAACTTTGCTAGCAGGATAGTTGCCACGATGAAAGTCACCATATTGCCGAGATTTCCAGCGATCAAAGTCCAGCGCCGGCCAAAACGATCAATATACATCATGCACAGGAACTGCGCTATCAACGCAATGATTGAATTGATTGCCTGATACTTCAGAGTATCTTCCTCTGAAATACCGATTTGACCATAAATCTCGGGCGAATAGTATCTACGTGAAACCACATCAGCAGGTTGGTCCCATCCATATCGATCGCCCGTAACTTGATCTATACTTACTGGATGGCGGATACGCCAGTCATCTGAACAGAAGCCTGCAGGGCACAACAGAGGAATAGCCGACGGAACGAAGAGCGGTTGGTCAATAGCTCGACATACGACTTGGCCTCATTCTCATGCTCGAATGTGATGCTCTCCTGGATTTGAGCAAACTCTGCCCGAACCCAGGCATCGTTTTCGTTCCCATGTGAATGCAGCTTCGCCAAGGTACGTAATCCATCTTCGGGCCGGCCGTGGTCAATGAGCCAGCGAGGCGACTAAACAGGCAGGCATCAGTCACTAGACTAGATTCAATTTCGTAATACTTACCTCGGGAAAGAAAGAGATCAAAAGACCTAAGCACACAGCAGGGGCAATCTGCAAACCAAGAGGCAGTTGCCATTGTGAAGAATTATCCTCTGAGAAGCCGGTATATGTTCCGTATCCAATCCATGTGGCACAAAGCGCTCCAACTCCCAGCATAAATTGCTGCAGGGCCGTCACTCGACCACGGATTTTAGGATGACAGATCTCGGCTTGGTAGAGAGGAATCATCATCGTGAGAAAGCCGACGCTAAGAGATTGGTAAGTTGCTAGTTGGGAATCCGCAACGGGTGGGCACAATACCCAAATCCAGCAAGGAATCGTCCACTATACAGGTAGTCAATCGTTCTCGCGCCAGTTTGCAGGCCACCTCCAATGGTGAAGACCAAACATCCCAAAGAGATAGTCCGTCGTCTGCCTAAGTGGTCACCACTGGGGCCAGCAAAACCGGCACCGACACATGCGCCGGCTGTGAATAGCGAAACAACCAAACCCCTGTTAACTCGTCAGGCATTCTTCAGTTCCCTTCCGTGGTATATGAGAGTCTGACTGACGTTTCCGTGTCGTTTGCGGCGAACTTGGATTTGAATGACTCGCAGATAATTACCTCGGCGATGACCCCCAGATCATCTGCAGCTTATATTAGATTGCGCCAATTGTATGAAGAAGCAAGGTCAGACATACATCCGTATAGGAATGATCCAAGAGAGGCAAAAACGCCTACCAGGAACTGTCATGTCATGAGCTCGGCCTTTCTATTGAATGTGTGTGCTCATACCTGGTACCATACTGGCGATAGATGCATGTTATGAACAATGGGTAATAATCCACACAGAAGAGCCTTGGAAGATCTAAAGATTTCAACTTATCCCCAGACGTGGAGCGTGAATCTTAGATATAAGGCTCACACATGGCTCGGAGCAATTGGCCCGGGAAAATGTCACGGAAAATCGTCTACATCGTGCGGAATTAAACTAGACTCAAAATAAACCAAAGGTATACATGAATACAGTAGATATTGTGTCGCAATTTGCTTACCATGCTCCCTTGTCGCGATGACGCTGGGATGAGGAGCTTCACACATGCGGGGGAGAGGAGTGACCACTCATGGTGGCGCGCTGTCTCCCTTATGATTGACGGAAGATCTTCCATCTTCTCCAGGTTATATCGTGAGGCCAAACTGCCGATTTATTGGTCTCTTGGGCTTGACTCCGGGCCCGTAAAGAGCTTTGTCGCGTTTCTCCGTCAGCCACATAGTCTCGACTCCTCTCTCCACAGGAGTTTTACCTCTTCCAGGCTGTCAGAACGGTTGTGGTGGTCCAATCCCTGCAGTCAGTACGCCTTCCACCTCTTCACTTGGATCTCCTTAAATTGCGCGCATCTGGGGAATCAAACGAGAACAATCCTCAACCAAGTGGACTATAGCCTGGGAACCTCCCCAATAGCTGTAAAATACACAGCGGAAACGAAATCGTGCCAAAAAGAAATGACGACCTTTACGAGATTGGATGACGACGAGACGCCTCTCATTGCCATCCACCACTCGCGGCGCATCTCCAAGATTAACCCGAACATCTATGCCGGGTTTACCGAGTACGCTCTCCCAGACCTCCATTTGTATAACATGAATTGAACCTTTCCTCAGGCATATGGGCCGTTGCATCTATGGTGGTATCTATGACCCTGGCAATCCGCTGTCCGACGAAAATGGATTTCGGAAAGATGTCCTGGAGGCGTTGAAGGGACTCAACATCCCTGTCGTTCGATATCCTGGCGGAAACTTTTGTGCGACCTATCACTGGCTTGATGGTGTTGGGCCCAAAGATCAACGTCCATCGCGGTATGCTCGGTTCTTATGTTACCACCCCCTTTGATCCCGCCTTGCTGATGTGAATCCGTTGCAAAGTCCAGAGCTTGCATGGCTTGGAACTGAGACCAATCAATTTGGCACTGACGAGTTCATGAGATGGTGCGAGGCTCTCGGGACAGAACCCTATCTTTGCCTGAATTTTGGCACTGGTACATTAGATGAAGGTGTGCATGTCTGTTTTTCTTTTCCACAAGGAAAAAAAGAAATTACATTCATTCTAACGTATGCTGATGCTGGATTGCTTTAGCTTTGGGCTGGGTCGAGTACTGCAACGGTACTGGTAATACTTACTACGCCAATCTGCGGAGAAAGAATGGCCATGAAAAGCCTTACTGTGTATGTTCAGATTCGAAAGAAAAAGAGCAAAAGAAAAAAAGCAAATAACCGCTCGCTCCGTTGCAATCAGTCTGATACCTCACACAGGTCAAATACTGGGCTCTTGGGAACGAAACTTGGGGTCCCTGGCAGGTTGAGCAGATGACCAAAGAGTCATATTCTCACAAGGCCATTCAATGGGCCAAAGGTACGATTGATGTTGATAAAAGACAGGCAACGCTCACTAATTTTCTTTCTCACAGCACTCAAGCTCCTGGATCCCAGTCTTATCTTGATCCTGTGTGGCCAAGATGGCACTGCCTCATGGGACTACTACACACTCAAGCACTGTCTTATGCCTGCTCAGTCGGCCTTGTCTACTAGTTCAGTTCCTCTGATTGATATGCATAGCATCCATCTCTACACATCCTCAGCCTCGCATCTTCCCAATGTTACGGCGCCATTAGCCGCCGAGCGTGCAATCGAAATCACGTCGTCGCTGATTGACCTTGCCAGGATTGAGAATCAAGTTCCTCCAGAGCAAGTTCGCCCGACAATTTGCTTTGATGAGTGGAATGTCTGGGATCCAATCCGCGCAGAAGGAAGCAAAGGGGCCGAAGAAAGCTACACACTCTCCGATGCGCTCGCTGTAGCTGTTTGGTTGAACGTATTCATTCGAAAGAGCAGGGATGTCAGCATGGCCTGCATCGCGCAGAGTGTGAACGTCATCTCGCCGCTGATGACCACCGACCAGGGAATTACTAAACAGACCACATGGTGGCCTCTTTGGCTGTTTTCACGATTCATGCGAGGTTGGACGGTGAGCACTCATGTGTCTTGCGGGACTTACGAGGCCGAAACGTCTCCCACGTGGGTTCGAAGTGCTAAGGATACTCCTTGGTTGGATGTCAGTGCCACTCTGGGAGAAGACGGGTTCGCCAGTGTTGCCGTCGTAAATATCCATGAGACACAAGACTTGACAAGTCGAGTGGAGGGTACCCAAGGACCGGTGTTGGTGTTTACAGTGACGGCAGAAGACCTGTTCGCTACAAATATGAAGGGCAAAGAAGAAGTGACGATCCAAGAATCAACCTGGGGTGGAGATGGGCAGTATACATTCCCGCGACACTCACTCACTCTACTGAGATGGAAGGCCGAATGAGTCAAACAATAACCAGGCGAGGAAATCCCAGGACGACAGCAATCGACTTTCACATTATACATAACATATTAAATGGTCTTGAATAGTAGGCTTGATCATGAAGTTCCCGTGGTAAGAACCAAGATGTAAAACCTAGCCGAAATTCACATCACGAACAGCACCCTCGCCGTCGACATGAACATTGAGTCTGGATATCAAAAGTTCCCGGTCAGCAACATCGATCTCTGGCTGTGTGGGACCTTCCAAGGGGATCTTACCGATTCGGGTTATGATCCATGGTCTTCATATCATCCGGCTTCAATACCCGGTGACATTCGGGAAGGTCTTTCTTTGCAAAATTCTACTCATGGTCAAGGGTTAATGCGTCTTGTATCTTCCTCAAAGGTGACGCACTGTTTCATTGCTGGTGTCGCTGATCGTCTTTCCCATCAGCTTGTTGATCCACTCGGACTTGTCGCCCATCGAGGTGTTGATTCCAGGAACGACAAGAGGCATTGTGCAATGTAAATCAAACGTTCAACAATGCGATCTGAAATGAAACCGGTCGGGGGACGCCTCTTGTATATAAAGACCAATGATGACGTAGTGTTCCGACCGAGACTAAATGTAGCCTTGGTCGTGGCACCGACGTGATGTCATCTCGAAGCCACGCACAAGGTATCCCAATGGCGTGTCTGCTCCCATACTGGAGCAATGTTAACGGATGGCATGTCAAGCGTATTCCACGATGACCTTGGCAAAGTGGTCACGCTGTACTCCGTATGTCGGTCCACGAGGCTTCCATGAGATGTTCATGAAGCTTTCATGCAGCCTGGAGGGCTGTCCGCCTGAAAGGTCAGGCCATGCACTGTGCAAACAAGACAAAAGGCAAGGCAAAAGAAAACAACCTGGAAGGGGTCCAGATCCCGCATTCCCTGCAGAGCAGTCCGCTTTGCTCTCTCTGCACCTCGCATCTCCCATTTCTCCATCAACTGCTTCCTCCATCAACTGCTCTCTCTCCAGGGCTTCCCCCATCACCGAGTCCCCGTATCACCAGGATCCCCGGGCCTGCGCAACCTACATTTCGTACACAAAGACCATGCCTCGCCGTCTTCCGGGCGGATACCCGTATCCTCATCATTGCTGTCAACATTGGCTGTTCTGTTTGTTGAGTCGAGGTGTCCTCGGCAGACCTGGTATCTGGCCACTGCGCAGTGCGTCCTTGTTATCTGGCACTCACAGAACCCCGGTTTGATATAGTGCGGACGATTTTCAAATCATGATCATGGTCCCCATCCCATTCCCCCGGCGCCCCACCGGTGGGGACAGATTCCTCTGACTGGAATCGTCTCAGCAGTCCTATCGCGATCACGAATTGAGCGACATGTTACGACCCTCTGCTAGGAGAGTGCCTCACAAGCTGGATCCCGCCTGGTCCTGTGACCCAGAACCCGTGACCCAGCAGGGGTAGCATGACCCCCCGCCAGAGACTGCACCAGGGAGACTGAGTCCTGCCGGGTCAGGTGACCTAGTCCCGTGACCCGCCAAAGGTCATCCATGCAGAGACTGCCAGGGGAACTTAGCTCTTTAGCGATTAGTTTATGAATATACCAGCACCCTGCTATTCCTTCACTCTAGTTCTATATTATCTGCCAGGACCCGCCAGCACGCCGGTCCTAACACGACAATAGGCGCTGCTTTCGGCTTAGTTGGCAGCCCATTTGATCCTAGTGCGTCGAGACCCGCTCCTTCCACATTACAGCGCGCAGGCCCTCTTAGTATCCTCAGCTAGCCTTGCTTGGCACCTCGATCAGCCTTCTCGTCCTTCTCACCGTCTTCGTCCACGCCCTCTCCCATGCCAGTCTTGATGGATCGTTTCGTGGGCGCAGCCAGCGGGATATACCGCTTGTGGTTTGTTTCATTGGCGGTGGTGTTAGCAGTACTGGCTGGTGCCTTTGCGTAAATATCAGTCATCTCGTTGCCCGTCATATGCACATGTGCTTGGAATCAGCGGGGCTCCTCCCTAATTCCCACACCAGCGGACCACCTTGCCAGGCGGACACAGTGATCTTAGTAGATCTGACCAGACGGTAGGTAGCATTGGGGTCTGGAGGGCTGGGAGTGCCGTTGGATGTCAATGAATATGATGCCCCCATTTCAAATTTGCCATTCCCCTTGGATTTGCTTCACCAAGTATAGGGCCATTTTGATGGTTGACAAGTCAGCCACCTGGACCATGGCTGCAATGTCCGTCCCCATGATTATGATGAGCTCATATGCCCAATATGGCTCGTCTTTTGTGCTCCTGGGAGGGAAAGGGTATCAGAGACAGCTTCGAAAATGGTCAGTGGTGGTGCATGCCCAGTATACAAATTGAACGTGTAGATCCGTCCTCGCGGCGTACATGAGGCGTGCATGCACCCTCGAGGACTATCCACCTGAGAGATAAGGCCACAGGCCGGCAGGCCAAACAAGACGAACAGTCCTCCAAGCGTCCATGGAGTTTCCGTAAGAGTTCGCGGACTGTCCACGAGAAACGGGAGACCGAAGTGCGCGTAGAGGTAAGACCGACACACAAAGGAGGTAGGGCCTGTAGCAAGTGGGAGGCGATCCAGTTGAGCGGTTCACTCCCGAGTTCGCGCCACACCTTGACAGGTCAGTTGACCTCCCCACTTCTGAAGGGAAGGGGGTGTGTTTTTTTTTTTTTGTTTGTTTGGTGGGTGAGGGGGCCCCACTCCTAGGGGGGTTTTTTTTTGGGGTGCGGGCCCGGACAAACAAAGCCGGGCAGGGGGGGGGGGGTCTGCCCTTCGCCCTCGCGTCGGGGGGGGGCGCCGGGGGCCCCCGCCTCCGCGCTGCCCCCCCTGCCCCCCCCGTTCCCCCCCGCCCCGCCCCGCGCCGCCCCGGCGCCCCCCCGGGGGCGGGTGGCGGCCGGTGGGGGTGCGCGCCCCCCCCCCCCCCTCCCCCCCCCCCCCCCTCCCCACACACCAGGCCAGCCGAGTGGCGGGGGGGGGGGGGGGGGGGGGGGCGGGGGGCCGGGGGGGGGGGGCGCGCGCGGGCCCGCGCGGTCGCGGGATCGTGCCGGGGCTTGGTCGGGGGGCATGGGGCCGGCGGGGGGTTTGGACTGGGGGTGCATCATGGGGTAGCCCACGCCTGGGAGTGGCCGCCGTGGGTGCCCCGGGGGATTTGGGGCGGCTCAGGTCGGGTGAGATTCCGGCGTGCACGGACCACTAATCGAAACATATTCCCCCGGGGCTCGGGCTGGGGGCCAGGGGCAACCGGGGCCGTTGGACTGGGGGTGCCTGGGGGGGGTAGCCCACGCCTGGGAGTGGCCGCCGTGGGTGCCCAGGAGGGATTGGGGGGGGCCAGCGCGGAACGGATCTGGAGTGGTCCGATGTTGGCCAGTTTGCTGAATCGCGCTGCCAGGAAGTGCCGGGGCTCGGGCAGGGGGCAGGGGACCGCCGGGGGATTTCCACTGGGGGGCGCCTCGGGGGAGAGTCGACGCCTGGGAGTGGCAGTTCTGGGTGCCCCAGGGGTATCCAGGCGGCCGGGCTGCAAATATATATCTTCAGTTCTTTGTACGACCACCTGGACAGGCCACCACCATCACCCATCAACTCCATGCACAGATATATATATCATATATATATCTGCACCGAACCCCTCCCGTGACCCCCGGGCGTTTTGGTTCGGGGGCACCAT